AAATAGAACAAACATCAAGGGCAGACAATTTGGATACGTGTCTCACCTATGGATCAAACCAGGGGTTAGTGGAGTGGAACGGAATGAAACGACTGGGGATACCGAGGATGTTTATCGATTTGTGTTGATATTTTATAGATTCTCTATCTATCTCAGTGGCCCGTGAATATGTCAAATAACTTGGATATTATTAGTGTAAATATTATTCAAATAACAATATTTTTAAATAAAAATATTTTTTACATGTTCTATTAAATAAGTTTATGACATTATTAACTCCTTTTCATGTTCGCTCGCTATTGTACTAAATGCAAAATGAGAGCAACGTTAAACAAAATATAGCTATGCCAAAAGGTTTATAAATACACAAAATGTCTCTGAGATGACCCTGCAATAAAAACCATTTACGAGGACTGGCTGAAAAGTTCTAAGTCTATCTGTGGAAGATCTGTACAAGGTATATGGTTTCCATTTAATTTTCTACCTAGTTCTATTTGAGGTGTACACACTTATAACGAATAAAAAAAAAACATAATTAGCAATACGCAGGGTTTTTGGCTTTAAAATTGATAAAAATTTACAAAAATTTAAAAATTCAAAACATTGAACCGTCCATTTTCCGGGCACAAATAGCAGGGAATGGGGGGGCGGGGTAATTTGTTTTTTGCTTAGCATATATTCGTTTTAGTCAATGATTGATTTATTCTGAAAATTCGGGTGACGTAGAAAATTTACGGGCAAATAGCCTCAGCCCCCACCCCTCACCCACACCCACACCCGCCAACAAGGATTGTCTAACTGTAACGTATACTTTTTTATGTTACATGTAGATAGCATTTGTAATCTTTATTTGTGTTGAATGACCCGTTTAAATTTAATCTATATAATTTATCTTGTTTCTATAAACTGCTGCACAAGGTCATTTATTCAAACATGGCGTTGAGTGGTGAGTATCATTTTCGAACAAGATGTTTTACCTTTTCACGAGACTTACGTTACATTAATGTGATTCGCCGGTTTGTCCTAAACATATTCGCATCCTGAATAAAATGTGTGTTGAATTTTATACCTGAAAACAAATAGCAACGTGAAGTTGGCGCATTATTCGGGAAACGAAAAACGAGCCAGCTCGTTATTCGGGATTCGCAAATAACGAATAACGTGCCATCAGCTTATTCGGGATACGGCACTAAAACAAACCGACCATTTCCTCACTACCTCTGACCGGAGGGGTAAGTGAACCTTGGGTGGTCGACTAGTACAGAGACGTGTAACACTTTGGTCCTTGAGACAATTTTGGTTCTTTGCAAAAGTGTTTCTTTACTCTGTCTATAGAGTCAAATCACACGTACTAAATGAACGAGAATATATAGTTATACATAAAAAAAACCCAGAGATATTTTGGTAAAATCATAACCACTGTCAAAATATCGATCAAATTCTGTCTGTTAATTGACCTATGGTTGGTAGACCAAAATAAGGTAATGTCTCCTATCTTTGTCATGGGAAATAAAGAGGTTTATTCCATATATGGGATGGAAATTAACATCAAGGTTATCGAAGACCTGCATAAATTAGGGTGCAGAGCGAGTTGGATCAGAGCTCATTCAGAAATTCCTAGCAGCCATTATTATTAAAATTTAAGAACGAGGAACCTGCAAAGCCACAGCAACCTAGCAATAAAGTTGTAAAAACTATTTTATGCTGTAGTCGTGTTACGATCTCCAAGAAATAAACACAACAAGAAAGAAGTCCTATAGTACTAAAGACGACCGTTTGTCGAGCGAATAGTGTGTTGACTGGTTTGTTGGCGTGCACAGGGCAGTCCTATCCCGCACCCACCTGCATTATTGCCGAATCCCGAATAACGAACGAGTCAGTACGTTATTCGCCAACCACGACCGACCGTAGGGGTAAGTGAACGTTGGGTGGCCGACTACCAAGGAGTTGCCCGTTTGTCAAGTGAGTAGGATGTTGGCTGGTTTGTTGGCGTTCACGGGGCAGTCCTCTACCGCACTCACCTGTGCTGGCTCGTTATTCGGGATTCGCGAGCTTCACCAGGAAGTGGTATAGATACTCATTGTTCCGTAATAAATGCACGATAGTTTGGACCTTGACCAACGCTGTGACAAGGTATTGACACCCTACAAGGTATAATTGTCAAAACCGGTTTTTCCATTGTGTAGACTTAACTTGTTAATCAACCTGAGATTATGGTCTTTACCTAAGTCAATGCCTGTTATTTACCGTATATTTTATATTCCTTAGTGTTTTGACATCGGGATGACCAGTATGTCATATTTTCTCTCGCTCCAACTCACTTAACTAGAGTAAATTATTAAAGCTTATAGCATGATAATGTTATACATATTAATTCATAAAACATTGAAGAGTGGTGATTTTATTAATTAATTGATATGTCTATATTGGTTGAATTAAAAACTTGTTTTTTTGATACAATAGTTTCTTTTTGATTGGATAATTTGTTTGTCAAACCGGGTTTTGCTAGTAAAAACATTCATTTATTTATTTCAATAGACGGTCGAGACAGTACGAAAGCCCAGAAAGCTCATTACAAATTCCAAATTCCAAATGCGAAATTCCAAATTCCAAATTCAGGTCTTACCAATCAAATAGCAAATTAAACAAATTAGAATTTGAATTGTAATTTTACACAACTAATTAGTGCTAGTTTACCTATCTGATGCCTGTGCCCACCGCAGCCAAATCGTCCGAGCAATCAACAAGAGTTGTCGCATATTTTTACTTTTTTCGGCAATGAAACATTTATAATACACTAAAATCTGATTAAGAATAACAACTCATTAAGTAATTATCAGAAAATCATTAGAATTTGTTTGGTTTTTATAAAGTTCTGCCCCATGCTAACGTTTAGTATACGAAACTTTTAATATCATGGATTTAGCTGTTCAAGTTATCAAAATTCAATGAAAATCAATATACTTGTTCGTCTCAAGACCTTAAAATCTGTGTATTAATCTGAAGTCAAGCGGATGATAACTTTAGCCTCTAGAGCGTCACAAGATTTTTCAAAGTGATCAAGGGCCATAACTTTGGCAGTAATGATCGGTGTATAAATTTAAAATCAACCGGGTATTATCTTTAGCCTCTAGAGCATCCACAAGATATTTTGAAGTGATAAAGGGCCATAACTCTGGCAGTAATAATCGGAAATCGCTGAAAATCAATAACCTTCTTCATTTCATGACCTTAAACACTGTGTATAAATTTAAAATCAATCGGATATTATCTTTAGCCTCTAGAGCACCCACAAGATATTTTGGAGTGATCAAGGGCCATAACTCGGAAATTATCGGAAATCGCTGAAAATCAATAGACTTTTTCGTCTCATGACCTTAAACACTGTGCATAAATGAGCCTGGCGTCATAGCTTGGAACCGTCACATAGTGATCACACAGTCGTGTAAATGGTAAATTCTAGGGGTAATGAGCACCCAGTCGCGTAAATGGGCAACCACACCCTTCAGGGTATAACTTTGTATCAATGACCACCCAATTGTGTAAATTGGTAAAGATATAATCTCGAATAATGACCGCCCAGTCGGTTAAATGGGTAAATGACGCTCTTCAAGGTATAACCTTTTGGTATGACGACCAAGTCGTGTAAATGGATAATGGTACCATTCAAGGTATGACCTTGGGGATATGACCATCCAGTTGTGTAAATGGGTAATGGCGCACTTCGGGTATAATCTTTGGGTAAATACCACCGGGTCGTGTAAATGGGTAATGGCACCCTTCAAGGTATGACCATGGGGCAATGATCATTCAGTTGTGTAAATGGGTAATGGCGCCCTTTAGGGTATAATCTTTGGGTAATGACCACCAGGTCGTGTAACCGGTATAACCTTGGCGTAATGAATTGTACAAGACTGTTTGCATTTCTTCATAGAGTTTCAATATACTGGTGAAGGCTTTCGTCTTACCCAAGAAATGAAAGATGCTTACGAGGAAAATGGTTTTCTTATAATCAAGTAAGTGGAAATATTTGTATCATAGCTTGTTTATTCGGTGGTTGGGTTTTATTGGGTAATTCATGTTTCAAACCTGCTGGGATTTTTCGTGGACCTGCAACTTGTCAAGGTATTTAGCCATTCAGAAAGTCCTTGTGGGTTGACTGGCTACTCTATAAACAATAATATACATATTAAAGTATGAGAGACCAGAGGAACAGAGTTGAAATAAATGTCACAATCTCCATATATATATACTCTTCAAAAAAAGTAGGGATATCGAAATGCAAATACCTATGCAGGTTGTGATATGATAAATAGTCATAGACATTTGACATGCTTTGAGAGTGTGTTCACAGATGAAGAACTTGTCGCCCCAACAGAACCACTGAGCTGCATGTGCGACACGCAATAGGGCCATACACGTGGGAGAGGTTCATTGTCAAATTTGACACTTCAAGGAAGGGTTGATGAAAACTGCCGCGTGCTGGTTTATCTATCCATGTTTGCTTTCCTACCGGTTCTTGCATAAGATTTACTGTTTAATTTGATCAGGAGACGTGTTCGTCGACGTCAACGTCGACCGACACCACTGCAAGAATTGGCCGTGGCACTGCAAAAGGGGTGGGTCAGATTGCCCCAAATCGTGATTGGACGGTTGATTAGGAGCTGAATGTCTGAAGATTGGTGGAGCAATTACTCATTATTAAGACAAAAATCAAAAACGTCAATTTTCACTTTTGACAGTGTACCTCTTTGCGAGTGAAATGGGGCCATCAGATAAGCCGCCCATATGAACTGTTTATGTTCATGTATAGGCAATTGGCCTGTTATTAACATACACTGATTACCTGTAATAAAAACAGCAGTGCATTTCCGCAGTTTTGTATTGTTTCTGAATATCCCCTACTTTATTTGAACAGTATATATGGAGAAATCACATATGCATGCTATCTAACTGTTCTTTGTCATTTGCGACGATTATTCTTAAGGGGTTTACTAACACCAGAAGAACACAAGAAGCTTAAAGAAGCAACAGAAAGTAGTCATGCTTTACAGAAACATTCTTATGCGGTAAGTTTAAAACCCTAGATCGTTTTTATTATGCGACTGCCACAACAAATGTACTTTTAAATTAAGGGCATTGACAAAGAGAATATAGACGCATCTTGTTCATTATCAGTCCTAACGTCATATGTTTTTCCGATCTGAATTCGTTGATAAATTTGAATTTTGGTGCTTTAATATTAGAGATGCAATATGGTAGAGCTAAATTGTTCTGGCTTCATATGCTATATAAATTATTTAGACGCTTATTCGCGTGACAGGCCTATACAATCAACTCTCTATATCATCCAGGGCCGGTGACAAGGCCCTCCAGGTCCTGGTAAAAACGACTCGATGAGCGGATGTGTGTGTGTGGGGGGGGGGGGCGTGCACCTGGCTCGAAATTTTTTGAAAGATACATGGTCTTTAGTGTAGCACTACCAATCGGTTGAATATGGAATGCGGAGCCGAAAGCCGACCACATCCGGCGTGTGACATATTCCCTACCACACATCTTTTGTTTTGACCTGTGATTGTCTAGGTTTGTCTCTGACGTAGTAGATATTATTCTAATTCTTTTGGTCTTCACTTGGACTTCAGTTTATGTACGTATTTACATGGGGGAGGGGGGGTGGCCGAATGGATAGCACGTGCGCGCTGTATCATAAAGTCTGTCTTTGAGTCAAAAGCGTGGTTTCGAATCCCCGGTTGTACGTGACAAGTATAAGGGTCGCCTGTCCAACCTCGTGGGTTTTCTCTGGGTTCTCCGGTTTCCCCCCACTGCTAAAGACCCCTACGCGCAAGCGAATTATTGAAATAAAATTAAATCATATGTTAGTCCCGAAATGACCTAGTTTGTGTCGAGTGGACGTTAAACCCATCTCTTTCCCTCCCTCCCTCCCTCTCTCTCTCTCTCTCTCTCTCTCTCTCACGTATTTACAGCCGCCAAATCGTATGTTTATCAGGAACACCAATACATAGTTTCTTGTATAAAGTTATAGGGAGAGAGTTTACATAGGTTCATACAAAGGTATACATAAGTCATTCTCTCCAACCCACTCTTGTAAAGTCTAACCAGCGTGGACAGACTCTGGAAACCACCACTACATCATGACCTTCTGAGAAACAAATGGTGGTCTAAAGAACCCAAGCGGTGTCTGGTCATTCGAGTCCTGGTTTTGCTCTTGTAGGAGCCAAGTTCTAATTGCTTACGCCGTAGCCTGACCAAAAGTTCCCAATTCCAAATATGGAAGAGACATGTCCCATACCTTGTATACCAACAAGGATTATTGCTTATAGTTTTTAATTCACCAATTTTTCCAAAATAAAAAGTGAACTGACAGAATCCTATTCTAGTCCTACTCGCACCACTAGTATCCACATTCATAAAAGTCACAGGTTTTCCTCTACATTACGATCAAGTAACAGCTGCCCCACCCCCACCCCATCTCACGGGCCCTGATATCATGGTATAGCTTAGATATTGAGTGGAGTGGTCGACAAATCGCCAGCATATGCAATGCTCAGTGCTATTTTTAAAGAAATTTTATTAGACAAAAAAAAAAAAACAACAAAAAAAAAAACTTCGTACAGCTATGATTAAACTAAGCTATTGCTTAACATTTAACTAGTGTAGTCTTAAAACTTTTATAAAAGTCGGTCTTTTCTTTAAGTGGGTTTCAAAATAGTTCCGCAGGTTGGGAGGAGATGAGGGGGTCCCCACCCATTCTATGTTGCTTGTGTTTTCTTTCCTTTCTTTATATTATACTATCCGTGATGGAACATTTTGCCTTTGTTTTTCTGATTAGATGGGAGATGGCGCTGCCAGGAAGTTGAGGTTGTGTGTATTAAAACATCCAGGTAACAATGTGATAGGAATGGTCTCTAGATGTGACAAAATAGCAGGTACAGTTGAACAGGTAAATTTTCCAAGTTTACCCCCTCCCTACCGGGCCTCTTTATACTGGATATAAAAGTATTTTTTAAATTACACATTTACCTTAAAGGACGGGAGTAATAAATTCAAGATGCAACCGCATTAAAAGAGTTAAGGGTAAATATTTATATTATACATGTAGTTTAGGTTCGGTCCGATCAATCGTTATGAACAATGTATTCTGTTTCCCCCAGAACCCAGAATACATATCGCACAACATGGTCGTCTTGTCGCCTTGTGGTAACCCTTAGTCTACCAGTTCTGGGGCGATAATCTGTGGTGTCGGTGGCCCGAAAGCGTTGCTGAAGCCTGTAGATGGTCCGAACATTGACCTGGAAGTGATTGGCGACGGCTTTGGCATTGTGGCCAGCGTCGAGTCTTCCAAGCGACTGGTTTCTCTGAGCTGTCGTGTGTCGTGGCATGCTGCTGACGTAGTAGTGTAAATGATTCAATCAGGTATGGGGGTACATTTTATAGGGCTGGTCCCGGTGAACAGCATGAGTTACATGAAAATCATGGAGAACACATTACCAGCTCAGAAGTCAAGTTCCGTTTTTCAGAACATTTCCTGGGTTCAATTCTGTGTTTTGGAAGGAGCCTTATTGCTCAGGTAAAGTTCGAGATGTGGTCACAAATATACAATAAAAACATTTGGCAAATTTATGCAATGTATCTATTCAGAGTAACATACCAACCTGACGTTTCTGTTGCTGCTTAGTATGACTTCTCTCATTTAGGCTACCTTCTAGCTAACTCCTAACCTTGTCTCTTGAATTGGGGATCACGTGGCTAAGTGGGTAAGACGCTAGCTCGCTAGCCTGGAGGTCGGGTGTTCGATCCCTGCATTGGCCGAGAAAGTTCATCCAGATTTTCCGGCGTGGTTCTCCCTTGTCAGTGATGCAGGACGGAGGGGCTGACAAGGTAAGCTGTCTAGTCGTTCGGATGGGACGAAAAACCGAGGTCCCGTGTACACATTGGCGTGCACGTAAAAGATCCCTTGGCAGTTGGAATTCGATATAAGAGTAGGCCGTAGTGCCGCTGTCCGGGCAAAATTTCCCTCATAGCACACTGTATGGCGTATGCCCGTCTTCATTAGCCCAGGTTAGGAGCAGCTAGAACAGTAGGACGTTAAACCCCATTTCATTTCATTTCATTTGTCTCTTGAAAGAGAGCCTTTGCGTTTTGCTTACTTTATCCGATGAGAGTTACTTCCCTTTGCCCCAAATTCCGCACTATTAGTGGAGTAGAACGGAATAAGACCACTGGGGATACCGAGGGTGATTTCCGATTGTAAATCCATTATTTTAGTATAGATTCTGGGAGGCGAAGTCTATCACTACCATTCCAAGCTCATCATGAAGGATGCTAGAACTGGCGGAAAATTTGTCTGGCACCAGGATTATGGGTGAGATCTATTTCTGTTTTAAAGTGACAAGTTGGCCATTTAATATTCTTTACAACAGTTTCAGCTGTACTGAACACAAATTCTGTGTATCATGCATTCAACAAAGACAGCATTTGTGACCCAAGCTTGTTTCCCTCCGTTTTTAACTTATGTTGACTATTTATTTTTTTTATTATTCTATTATAAGGCCGATGTTTTGATACGGTTCACGAGTATGGGGGTTACGAATATAGAAGAAATACTGAACGAGTGCATATCGCCTTTTTTTAAAGTTTCTTCTTGGCGTTTAGAAAACTAGCACGACAGCGGGGAGTGCGTGCGAGAGAACTATTATACCAGTTTATGTTTAGTCTATTTTATCACAATTGTTTGTATTATTCAGATATTGGTATAATAATTATATGTATATAGTATTTCCATTCTTCAGATATTGGTATAAAAATTATATAGTATTTCTTTTATTCAGATATTGGTATAATAATTATATAGTATTTCTATTATTCAGATATTGTTATAATAATTATATAGTATTTCTTTTATTCAGATATTGGTATAATAATTATATAAATTTCTATTATTCAGATATTGGTATAATAATTATATAGTATTTCTATTATTCAGATATTGGTATAATAATTATATAGTATTTCTATTATTCAGATATTGGTATAATAATTATATAAATTTCTATTATTCAGATATTGGTATAATAATTATATAGTATTTCTATTATTCAGATATTGGTATAATAATTATATAAATTTCTATTATTCAGATATTGGTATAATAATTATATAGTATTTCTATTATTCAGATATTGGTATAATAATTATATAGTATTTCTATTATTCAGATATTGGTATAATAATTATATAAATTTCTATTATTCAGATATTGGTATAATAATTATATAGTATTTCTATTATGCAGATATTGGATAAAATAATTATATAGTATTTCTATTATTCAGATATTGGTATAATAATTATATAGTATTTCCTGACATGTTGAGTGTTTTGATGCCAATAGATCCTTCTCTTAAAGAAAATGGATGTCTCGAGGTAGATAATTCTTCTTCTTCTTCAGAACAGTGATGTTTTAGTCTTATAACCCGTCGCAAAATGCCGAACAAGTAACTGGGTGGGTGGGATGAACGACACCGCAGATAGAAAATGATAAATTAAATGCCGGTTATTATTGAACCATGAAAGGAAATATGTTACTATTTTCTTACATGGTCGGGGTTAGTGCTAAATGATAAGGCCAGCTCAATTTTTCGTCGTAGGTTATGCTAATCCCAACCCTAACCCTAACCCTGGACCTAGCCCCAATGCTTACCCTAACCATAACCCACAATATCGCCAACAATCACGTGCCCTAACCTTATTTACATAACAGCGACCTTGACAAAAATTGGACTGGCCTTAACAAATCGATTTAGCCCTTGGTCGGTGTGGATTGACAGGTAGGTAGTGGGTCGAGATCTATCCGCGGGTTATTCGAATAGACGCAAATGTTGAAAATTTGCGACGGTCCCTTATTCTATTTAACGGCGATTAAAATACCAAAGCCGTCTACACCAAGTATCTGCTGCTTGTAATTCAGATTTTAGAACTTCTGTAATTTCAGGCAAACGTGGCGCGATTCATAAATATATCTACTTGAAAATACAGTATATTATCCAGTGTATTTACGAGATTGAAAAATAAAATAAAAGATTTTTCTATAAATTGTGCAGTTAGAAGTGATCTAGGTTTTAGTCCGAGTAGGCTTCGGGTGTTGGTATTATACCACTAGTCGGATCCAAAACGTAGCCTACCTTTATTAGCTCAGTGAAGATGATACTGTGAATTTAATTAGGACATTTTTGATTTTTTGTCACCGGTGAAGCATGTAAGATTGGCACGGAAAAAACTAAAATCAAATGGGTTAGGTCTAGATATTAAGGCTAGCTGCAGATTTGGTCAAAGGTCACTAGATGTAAATGGGTTTAACGTCCTAATGAACGAACCGGGCTAATGAGGACGGACACGCGTGCCATGGCGGAAATGTTTGCCCGGACAGCGACGTTTCATCTCTTGTGGGTTTTTTTCGGTCCCATCCGAACGACTCGTTTTCTATCCCATGCTCGCCTCCATCCTGCACGACTAGCAAAGAGAACCATGGCTGGAACTTTCTCGGCCAAGGCAAAGGTTAATCTTGGATCCCCTGGTTAGTGAGCAATGGATAATGACGGAGCAATACTAGTTTAGATTTGGCACAATTTTCTGTACATGTTGCTGTCGCTCCCCCGGGTGGAAAGTTTGTTGAAATGTATTAGCATGAGTATTTTTTTTCTCTCGGAAGGTTTTAGTTGGCTCACATAAATGCGGTAGAATAAATCACGTGAGGATTGGGGGTCAGATCGGTGCTGATTTGGAGAGACTTGAAATGGTGAAGACATTTTGTCCACATAAATATGTTGAACTTCAACCAGGTAAATTGCTGATTTTACCATATTTTTTAATTGATCGGCCATTCTCCGCAACCAAAGAATTTGGGCTGTCAATTAATTTCATCGTGTTGGCCTATTTTTCTGCTAAATTGTTCCGACTTCGTGGGTTTTCTCGTTAAACCCCATTTCTATCTCTCTCTCTCTCTGATTGGTTGGACTGTAGAACAGCCATGGATTTCGTAACAATAGCAGAGAGAGAGAGAGAGAGAGAAAAAAATCGGGTTTAACGTCCACTCGACACAAACTAGGTCATTCGGGACTAACATATGGTTTAATTTTATTTCAATAATTCACTTGCGCGTAGGGGTCTTTAGCAGTGGGAGGAAACCGGAGGACCCGGGAAATCAAAACCCCGTCAGTTGACTCATTGACAGTTAATGTGGACAGGATTGTTAATATTACAGGCGATGCTTTGTTCCAGCACAGTAATTTATTACATACGAGTGAACCTAATACCAGTGCTATGAGAAGATGGATGTTTATAGTAGCTTATAATAAGGCCAGTAATAATCCTGTTAAGGAACATTTTCTTCCTAGTTATACCAAACTTCACAAGGTACAGTACTAATGTCAGTAAACATTCTCGCAGAGAAACATCTGAAAAACAATAGAACCAGAAACAAATTCAGAAATAAAGTGCCGTCGTTAAAAGCTTAACACTCTTTTTTTCTAAGCTTGATCAGTTAAGACATATTTTGAGATATGAAAGTGTCATCGTTGAAAGTTTAAACATACATTATGCAAGAGCTAAATCTGCCTATTGCAAGTCTTAATTTAGGCTTCAGATGTTATAGAAATTATTAATTAGACCTTTATTTACACAAGCTCAAAGTCAACTTTGTGGACCCACGGATGGCTTGAATACAGTTTGGATTTAAACAGTCGTCCATTTAAAATTAAATCAATAAATGGCGGACCAAGCTAACGTTTACCGTTAGTCGCTGATGTCACCACCGGAAACTGGTGATGGGAGGCCTGTCATGTTAAGTGAGGCTACCATAGCCATTGAGCATGTTACTTGATAATCGAGAATATGTGGGTGGAGTTATCGTCTGTCAATCAAATGATCGCCAATTCTCATAGACGGTGCAGATACAATTGATGCCTATTTCTAGTCCAAACTTCCAACAGTGACAATTCCGTTCAGAACAAAGTAATTTGACTGAAATTTTTTAACATTATCTTTTTGTTATCATCTATTTTTGAATTATTATATAATGGCCAACTCTTTATAAAACTCTTAACTAATGTATCTTTAACGTCCCTTTTTCTTCTAAACTTGACAAGTTATAGACATGTTGTGAGGAATGTAGCCAGTGCATTTTAATTTTTTCTGTGTTTTATTTAATTATATGATTTTTTTTTTCATCCATTTGTGAATTTAATTTTATTCGGAAAAACCGTAATAAAAAGAAACGATTTTGTTCATTAAATACATCAGTAACTGTAAATAAACTCTGGATATCTGGTTGGTTTGTTTTATTGTCTGGAGATAACATGGTCACTAACTGCGAGTCGACCTCTTGAAATCGTTGTTATCATATTCTACCGCTAGAGCAGTTTTTCAGCATAGTCAAACGTTCCGGGAATTTGTCTTCAAAGAAAATTGATGTGGTCATATCAAAGTTTTCGGAAAGCAAACTTGCGTTTTCGTCAAGTAAACGGTTTTCAACGTTGAAGAGAGTGGCGTCCATTTTGACGACTATGGTCGAACTATAGCTTCCGTTCGGGTGTAGCCAACTATACTTTGTCGTATTGTCGTGACCATACAAGAGCACCCGAAACGCTGCCCAGACTGCAACACCCGACATAGCTTACGCGTAGAATTCAATGAATACAGACTTGATCTGAGGGCTTTCGAACGAGTCCAGGTGAAGCAGATGAGCCTCCACCACGTTTCCCATCTTTGCCTTCGCGATCAGGCTAAACCACAGCACGCCACCCGGAAATTACGTGTGCCGACACCGATGTTAAGTCCGTAAGATGTGGGGTGTACTGTTCCACCGATTATAAGCATCTTAAATTCCCCTCCGTAATTTGTTTCATGCATCAGTAAGGGACGGATTGCATCCGTAAATACAGAATGTGATGGGGCTCTAACTGGGTTAACCCGATCCTGCCGGTTTGTGCAGAAAGTAAGACTTAACTCATTTCATTTCATTAAACTCCTTTCATTTGGTTTACTTCTAGGTGAACGACACCGCCATTTTGGATTGCAAGAATGAGGATGATTTAGAAGATGAGTTGTTTATGGATCCTAAAATTGATTTTACCATCGACTTAAAGGGATAATCAATTAATACCCGTATTTAAAAATATATACCAACAATTACTAAGTGGGTCGTCAATTTTAAAGTGATATATTTATCCGGATACACGAATATTAAATATATCTTCAATATTTTAAATTTTCATCAATATGGCAGCAAACTGAGTTCGAGACAATCAATTTCTAATTTAACAGGCAAATAAAACATGTCCAAGTTATTTTTGAAGCTTAAATATTTAAGTTACTAATGTTATAATTGGATAGTATTCTAATTCTATTTGCATTAAATTATGTCTATACATGTACATGTTTTTCATTTGTTATTTTAATAAATGCTTTTAGTTGTGCCATTTTTCCACATAAGACAGTTCATATGATGTCTTCCTGCTCTGTGGGGGTAGTTCTCTGGTTCACCATGGATTAAAATGTATTGAATCTAAAAACCACATGCGAGATAGAGAGCCTCTCTAAGTACAAAATATTCCACATATGGGAGATAACTCCCAAAGACTCCAATAACACAAAGGGGAGATAACTCTTCCATGAAAGGTGGCACTACTATATAACATCACTTCAGGTCATTTTGAGACCAACATACGGTAATCTGATTTCATTGCTTACATGTACTTGAATTCCCACTACCAGGTTTCCTTTACCTGTATGCTAATGTGTAAATAGACAACATCAGTTTGTTTCAAGACAAAGCACAATCCTGCAAGCTCCAACGGGAGCAAGTAAGAACATCTTGAAAGTTCAAGACTGAAGAAACCAAGTTCAAACTTCTAACACCAGAAGACAAATATATTAATCAAACTGAAACAGTTGACAAAATAAAACACTTTTATTTTCATCAATAAGATTTTTTACTTTTAACAATAAGTCAATAATATAACAGTTTAATCAATAAAATAATTACTGTTAAAATAACATTTACTGGTCATTTTGTATACCATTTTTATTTAAAAGGTATATTAGAGATAAAAGAAAGGCATTCTTTAAGATAACAGAAATGTAACAAATAACAAAACTGATAAACATTTTTTCATTTAGCAAAATTTTCATCAAATATTTATCTACAAAAATGCTTAAATATTTAATTTTATTTTATTTACACATTTTATTAATTGATTAAAGTTTTGAGTATTGTATAGCTTTAGACTTAAAAAAATGCTTTGAGGTGTGGCACCACGCCAGTTGACTTAATGACAAACTTCATGATACAATGCGCACGCGTTAACCAATTGGTCATACACCCCACTTTTCAATTTCTTCCCAATCATTAAATCAGATTTTATAATTGGGCATGTCAACAAGTCCTGTCAACAAAATGCTCTTTCTAATCATTAAATCATATTTTATAATTTGTCATGTCAGCAAATTATTCTTGCCAATCATTAAAATCTTATTTTTTAATTGGAATTTATCAAATAGCTGTACAACAATAAAAATAAAGTTGACGAAAAATAATCTCAATTTGGAAATGAAATGAAATGGGGTTTAACGTCCTACTGTTCTGCTCCTAACCTGGGCTAATGAAGACGGACATACGCCATACAGTGTGCTATGAGGGAAATTTTGCCCGGACAGCGGCACTACGGCCTACTCTTGTATCGAATTACAACTGACAAGGGATCTTTTACGTGCACGCCAATGTGTACACGGGACCTCGGTTTTTTAGTCCCATCCGAACGACTAGACAGCTTTCCTTGTCAGCCCCTCCGTCCTGCATCACTGACAAGGGAGAACCACGCCGGAAAATCTTGATGAACTTCTCAATTTGGAAGTAAATACTGTTAAACTGGAAATGTAGTGACGACTGTCCACAGATTTTTTTTTTCTAATGGTTTCAAGTTATCTTAACCCATGCCCTTGTTTAAGGTTAATGTGACTGGTATCTTAGCAATTTGATCCTTAAAAATATCCAGTTAAAGAACTGATCGACTAGTCAACATTAAGAAAACAAGCTGTATAGAATAAACCAGGCCCCAAGTTCACAAAAATTCTCAGACATAACTTAAGAATTTACTCAAAAATGTTCACCTTATTTTAACTAAAATTATAGCCCTTTATAAAATTTGTTACTGTTTTAATGTATCAAATACGTCAATAAGAAACAGTGTGCAAAGTTTTGTGTTTCTGGATCAAAGATATTTCCAATAAACAATGAGTGAAAGTTGAGTAAATTCTGAACTAAAGTCGGAGAATGTTTTGTGAACTCGGGTCCAGGGGTGGCCATGGCACACTGCAACTCATCATAATAATGATCTAAACCAATTGAAATCACTACAGTATCAAGTCTAATTAAGGCATGGAATATAAACGGTTGGCCACACCTGTCCTAGATGTATTAAAAATTAAAGATATACCAAGGACCTGTAGTCACATCAATAACAATATCCCATAACCTGATAGTCTAACACTATCCTCAGATTATGTGCACGTTTACCAGGCTAAATCATCTAAAAGTAAGGTCACTGGCCTATCGAGTTTGAGAGTGAAAATGCTCCATGTGTATGAAAGGGTAGACAGCTAAATTATCTCTTCTAGCAGACTTGAATTTTATTTGGTTTCAGGTTTTAACCCTTTAACACTTGTATTGCCCGAAACTACTGCTCCCTCTATCGCATCAAGGGTCCTTAGTAACGTGAATAGATGTTAATCATCTAAAGACCATATATAAGTTCTGTGACGGGCAGTTTCAGGTCTATGAAGCAATTTTTTTTAGCATTTTGAAATGAGCTACAAAACATAGAAATATGAGCTACAATACATCACTTTTCTCTTAATCTTATCAGCGAACCGAGTTAGTCATTATTTACATGTACCAAGTGGCAAAGGGTTAAAGATACGATACTGTATATGTTTGGAGCTTGTAAAAACAGATTGTAAAATTCTATTTCGTTGCATTTCTTTAAAGATATGTTCCTTTGAACTAATTAGGTCATTTCTTTGACAATTTATCCAGTTTTAACATCTGCTCAAAAATGTTTCCATTCAAGTTTTCCGTCATCCTTTAACACAATACTGTCACTAGCTAAGAGTTCTAAAGCTTTAGGAAAGGCTTTGTGTTCCACTACTTTAACTCTTTCAGATAAAGTTGTTTCTGTATCATTGGGAAATACGGGTACTGATTCTTGAATTAAGATTGCTCCAGCATCAACTTCCTCCTGTTTCAATAAAAAACAAATATACAAACTAGAGCAAGAGAGAGAGAGAGAGAGAAATGGGGTTTAACGTCCACTCGACACAAACTAGGTCATTTCGGGACTAACATACGGTTTAATTTTATTTCAATAATTCGCTTGCGAGTAGGGGTCTTTAGCAGTGGGAGGAAACCGGAGGACCCGGAGAAAACCCACGAGGTTGGACAGGCGACCCTACTCCTTGTCACTTACAACCGGGGATTCGAAACCACGCCAGTCGACTCAATGACAGACTTTATGATACAGCGCGCGCACGCTAACCATTCAGCCATCCAACCCCCCAACTAGAGCAAAAGAATAATAAAGAATCTGAAGTATCAATAGATGAACAAAGCACAAACTTCTAGCTGGGAATGATGAGTTATGGCTATATGGAAGACGTTTGACTAACACCATCACTACGACTTCACAGTAATGTTGTTGTTGGGGACTTCGGATATGAGTGATGATAAAATTGGGATTATCAGGAATTTTTTCCTGCTGTATAGAAACTTTTCGGTCTACTCTTTACCATATTCCAATTGTCAAGGGTTCTTTCAAGCATACAGGTAGACCTGGGTGTTTGTCTTGTCCGAACAACTAAACATTTTTCTTCTAAGGCCCTGAATCCTGCACAACTGACAATGGGAAATCAGACTGGAAGATCTTGAAGAACCGTGGGGACCTACTAACTAGTGAGCCAGGGGCATACTCATCGCGCTACCATGGCTCCCTGATACAGTTTTTAGTGTGACCCCTATAAAATGTACTGAGGAACTCAACTAATGTCTGTGATATCACTTCAGAGGAAGCAGACGTTAAAGAACCAAGCAACTTCCACTATAACGCTCTTGGAAGCCATGTTCACACCATCCACTTAGAGACTATCACATGTAGTATACTAAAGGACTTCACTATTGTTAACAGAACTCTCCTATACATTAGCCCGTACGACTCCACTATAATATCTGTTGGGATTCATGTTGACACCAGCCTTACAGTGAAACACACCTTATAGTTCCCACGGTACCTTATTAGTAAATTATCCAAAGTTTAATGAGAGCATACAAAATAAAATACTATAAATAGATGTTGCTATCGGTGAATACTTACAGCAACGAAATGAACTGTACAACCCGATATTCTGACATTAGCTTCTAATACTAATTTATGGGCATTACCACCTTTAAATGATGGTAATAATGATGGATGGATATTCAACATTCTACCTCGCCATTTCTTCACAAATTCACCTAAAATATAAAATATGACCACTGTTCAAAAATTAATTATACATCAATAATCAATTTGTAAATAAATACTTGTAAATTGGACACTCAATATTCAAACTGAATGGTCAGCTTTAAACAGGACATGTACAAATTAGATAATTTTTGGTGATTTTAAATGATTTTTAAGAATTTTTAAACACGAATGTGAATGAAATTAGTGCTAAATACACAAGATTAAATGATAACCGGATTACAGTGAAAGCACAAGCGCATATATTTCCTGTAAGAGGTAACTCTGTAAAACATATCTGGTTCAAATGAAATGAGGTTTAACATACTTTTGCTTGAAACTGGAAGTGTACAATACACAATTATCATGTACACAACCCTCAAATATTAACAAGCACGATAATGGAAATGAAATGAAATGGGGTTTAACGTCCTACTCCGACTGGGCTAATGAAGACGGGTATCACCATACAGTGTGCTATGAGGGAAATTTGGACTGGGCAGAGGCACTGCCAAGGGATCATTTATGTGCATGCCAATGTATACACGGGACCTCGGTTTTTCATTCCATTCAAACGACTAGACAGCTGTCCTTGTCAGGCCCTCCGTCCTGCATCACTGACAAGGGGAAACCACGTCAGAAAATCCTGATGAACTTTCTTGGCCAATGCAAGGTTAGCAAGCTAGCATCTTACCCAATTAGCCACCGTAGCTTACTCACGACAATGGACAATTGATTTATTGTCATATCAGGTCAAGGCAATCATTGCTTTAATTCATTTTTTAAAAATATTTATAATGGATTATAATTATCCTGTGAGTGACGATTAGTACCGAGAGAGAACAAAATTACTCAAATTATACTCCAGGACAGCCCAGAAGGGAGGAGTAGCATTCATAGAACTATCAAAATGGGAAGGTGTCTAAAGTAAAAATTTCTCGTATTGTGTTAAATGATCATTGCTAAAATTTATAGGATAGTAATAGTATGAAATATTTCATTACCTGATAATATTCTCATAAAACCAGCTAAACAAACAATCTCTACCCCAGCAGCTTCTAGTGATAGATGTACAGCATTATCAAATTCTTCACGACTTGTATAATCTTTATGATTTATAACCTGTAACGTAACATAAACTCTATCAATGTTTTATAACCTTTATATAACATTTAACATAAACTGTATTAATGTAAAATTTATAATCTATGATGTATAAACTATTACATTTAACATAACCTGTATCAATGTAAAATTTATAAGCTTTATGATTTTTAACCTTTAACATAAACTGTATCAATGTAAGATTTATAACCTTTATGTTACAATATAACATTTAACATAACCTATATCCACGCAAGATTTATTTTCAGAATGCAGACTAGTTTTACCTTTGTGTTGATACCAGCTGCTGTAGCCCTTTGTAAACCTTGGACACCATCTTTATTTGATATAACTAACACAATCTCTGCACAACTATTATTACTGGCATCACGTGTATAGTCTATTAGTGATTGCAGATTGGTACCTGTAAACATATGGACATACGGGTGAATATAAATGAAATGAAATGAAATGGGGTTTAACGTCCTACTGTTCTGCTCCTAACCTGGGCTAATGAAGACGGGCATACGCCATACAGTGTGTTATGAGGGAAATTTTGCCCGGGCAGCGGCACTACGGCCTACTCTTATATCGAATTCTAACTGCCAAGGGATCTTTTACGTGCACGCCAATGTGTACACGGGACCTCGGTTTTTCGTCCCATCCGAACGACTAGACAGTTTTCCTTGTCAGCCCCTCCGTCCTGCATCACTGACAAGGGAGAACCACGCCGGAAAATCTGGATGAACTTTCTCGGCCAATGCAGGGATCGAACACCCGACCTCCAGGCTAGCGAGCTAGCGTCTTACCCACTTAGCCACCGTGATCCCCCGGATCTGATTAAAACACAGATTCTATTTTGTTTCTTTTTTATAGTTCAAAATTTCGTTTTACTTGCCTTCACAAAACTAGGACCTGGACAAGTTATTATATAACAGGTGTTCTAGTTGATGTGAGGAATTAGCCAATAAAACAGTCTGTTACAGCAATTTCTTGGCATGCTCTGCACGGAACTGTGGGTAAACCCCTAGAAACTTCAACGCTGACTGATTAATCAATGTCTGACGACACAGGGTTAAAAGTTGTTCGCATGACCCCTATTTTTGGCAGGCATTGTTTACACCACATTTTACATTTAGGACCTTCATTTACATTATAGCAACATCTAAAAGGTTTGTGTTCAGTGGAACAACACCTGATCTCTTATCTGGCAAATGAAAAGATGATTTGGCTATGACGAAAATGTTTTAATCAATCACTGTAAAAACCAGCGGCTACCAGGCAGGATACGCCCACATTTTGCAAGAGATGGATTGAGAACAAGCTAAAAACAAACACGATTTTTTGTACAATCAGAGGGCAATAATCCAGGAAGTTATGGCCTGAAATGCGAAAATATCAAAAGGGACTTAGATCTTTGGGATATAAAAATATGTTTTAAGTTTCATCAAAATCGGATAAAAATTGTGACCTCTAGAGGGTCCACAACCTTGGTATTACACACTTCTACACAATTTAAAAACGATTTAAAAAATTGTGACCTCTGGAGTTACAGTGCGATACATGCCAATATCGAAAGGAACCGAGATCTAAGGGTGATAAACCTATATTTCAAGTTTGATTGAAATCGGATAAAAATTGTGACCTGTAGAGTGTTCAAAACCAATTGTGGACGGCGGACAGGGGCGACGACAATATACGTCCACATGAAAATGAGGGCGTATAAAAAAAAATATCATTTAGGCTTAGGTGCTGCAGGAAACATTAGAAATTTTAGTTCAGAAATTATGTGACTTGCCATGAAACAAACTCCACTTACCTGAACCAGATATGAGGACACCAACTCTCTTTTTTCGACTAACACCAGGAACATGTCTCCATGATTGGACTAAAGCTACTTCTAAATTCTTTACTTTTACTCTCTGTTTACCTGAAAATATTACTAACTTATATTTAGGCCACACACGGCTATCAATTATGTAACCATGGGCAAATACTATTGACTATCACAAATGGCACTGGATAATTGAATTTTCATTTATTATTCACAATGATGCCAGCAATTTTACAGTCATCTGTCATTTTTTTTGACAATCAAAATGCCTTAATAACCGAAAATATTCTCCATCGGTAGATTGACGGCGCAGACTTCGATTTAAATCGCAAGCAAAATCCATGCTTTAACAATGAGTAGTTACCGATACCACATTATTTCAAATTCTTACTTTTTTTTTTTTTTTCTTATTGAAAGTTGAATAAATATTAAAATTTATAATAGTTTTTTGTATTTCTTAATGAAAAACGAGCTAGATTTTGACAAAATAAAATCAAAAAACTCCCTCCCGCATAAATTTTAATAGGATTTACAAATGCAAATTTTTGCTTTTCAACCTAAGAAGTAAATGGAATTAAATAATATAGAATTTCTAAATTGTCAGAATTGCCTGATCTACAAATGAAATTTGTTCTGTTTTCAATTCTGTTTGAGGAAAATTTCTGGGCTCAAAGAGAAAGAGAGAGAAATGGGGTTTAACATCCACACAATCAAGGTCATTCCCCCTCCCCTCGGGCCCAAAGAAAGAATCTAACCAGTTTATCATTATTTTTCCCACATGCCTATCTTTTATCAATATAATAGAATATATTCACATTCACAAGGTTTCAAGAAAAAAACGAAAAAAAAAAAAATTGTTTAAAAAAAAATGAGAAGTTTTGATTTTACCTGTATATTTATCAACAGATCCAATGATAGCAGCATCTTCTCCAGCTGATTTAAGTTTATTAAGAACATCAGTAGCATCACTTCTATTGACAATAATAACACCACCTAAACCACAATTATACGTTCTACTCATCTCACTTTCTGATATACGACCCTATAAATATATACACAGAATATACATTTAATTACTACATTGAATACAGAGAAGAGGTTTGTTTCAACACAATCCATAAGTTAATTCAGTAATATACAATTTTAGACTTCATTTTTCTCAGGGTTTCCAGTTTGATTCCATTATGTGTAGGACTGAAAATAACACCTTTACATGACAAATATGTCTGCCACTAATGATGTTTATACCTGAGTAACCAACATGTCACCAGAACTTTGTAAATGATATACAGGTACAGAGCTGTGGTAATTATTTTTAAACTAGATGGGATTGTTCGACTGAAGTAGAAACATGTTGAAATTAGGGACTACGATACCATATTTCCTGGAATAATTCCTGGGAATGAAAACCAAGCCCCTTTACTCAATGACAGACCATCTCATCCAACACGCACGTGTTAACCATTCGGCCACAACCCCAACCTACCCACCCCATTATAACTGAACAGGCTGAAAGCATTTGGGTCATTAATAACATTTTCACTTACAATTTCTGCTAACCAACCAAAGACAGAAGGTATTGACCATGATTTAGCATCCAGACTAACGGCTACATGTTCTGGTAATATTCTAGGTATATTTTCTGTTAAACCACCACCTGTTATGTGGGAAAAGGCTTTAATCTTCTTTTCTTTAATTAAAGGTAATAAACTTTTAACATAGATTCTAGTTGGCGTTAATAAATCCTCACCTGTAAAATAAAATATCAAATATTATTAAAGATGGTGTACAATATGCAAGATATATAACATTGAAGTACCCATTGAGTAGGTTAATTTATCTCTATAGTCGAAATGAGATAGAGAGAGAGAAATGGGTGTTACTCAGTGCTGTCGGTAATTTTTCACAGTTGATTAGCAGCACTGCTAATCAAAAAGTCCAATTTTGCCAAATTTGATTAGCAAATTTAAAAATTGATTAGCAGTTTTTCAGTTTCAAATAAAACACCTAAATAACAAGATATTACTTTAGTTCATAACAAATATGATTAGATTCCATTCTTACTATTCTTAGATTTTTTTAGCACTGCCACAAGTAGCCTACTTGTGACAGTTTGTGAATGTATCACCGATGTAGATTTTTTAGGTCTTATGTCTGAAGCCAATTCTTAACAGTGACTTCCGAAGCTCCAATCATTTTAATTGTTATTTGTGACTGTCAGCATCTAAATGAGTCGAAATGCACAAGAATCAATAATGAGATAAAGACAAAATAAGTGAAAATTTTGATTTTGAACGAAATTGAGATTTTCACAAAAATGAGTCTATAAATATACTATTTATCGACACAGAAGATCAAAATAGCAATAAAACATTTTAAAACACCTGTATTTGAACGTTTTGTAAGAGTACCGTATTCTTAAATCTGTCCTATTTCTTAAAATTCTCGGCGAAATTAGTTATTTTTCTTCGCTCGCAGTGGAACGACTGGCCATTCCTTTTGCATAACAATTGGCATCGTTGTAAAGCGGAGCATCTCTAGTTTATAAATATGATCAAAATATTGTTGGTGAATTGATTTTGAATGGATACAATCAAGTTTTAAACCCCTCCAAAAATATAAATAAACTCCGTCTGTTGCCATGCTGTCCACACAACTCCTTTGCTGATTGGCCCAGACACCGCATGCAAGACATTATCGATAAATATTTGGTTTTGGCAATGTTTTTGGGTACCTTCATGCGATTCACTCTGATAAGTGGCAGAAAAAAAATTAATTCTGATCGTATACATTGCCGTTGAGTGTTAATCGAAACCACGTGGCTGAAGATGTAAATTAATCGACAAGCGGGTGTGTGTCATTGAGTAATACTATTACTAATCAACTGTCACGGGTCAATGATAAAGCCGTCTACAACTCATTATTTACTCCGAATAATTAATCCAAGTGGTGATTGTTTGATATCTCATATCATCTTTAAAAAAATAACTTATAGGCCTTAAATGGAAATAAACAAAATGGCCAATAATGTTCTTTTCGAAGAGAATTTTATTGATAACTGAATTCCGTTTACCGTCGCTTCTTCATACGGCATGCAAAGTAAGAAATGCATTTGGGATATTATTGTTTAAAATTCTCTTATCACAATGGGTCGAAAAAATGAGAACGACCAACGAGCCGAAATGCGACAATTCTCGGTCTGCCATTGAGTATCCACTGAATAATGTTGATATTTACATCAAAGCCAAAATGCACGAAAGTAAACGTAAGCATTGACTATGAAATTGACATTTCTATAGGGACTCATATTTTGATAACGTCACGGTACCTGAAAATAGTAATAGACCTATCGTACAGGGAAAATCCTATTTTAATTCAGGTGTTAAATGAACACGCCTACAGCTGTTGCGGCTTCTTTGATGATAATCCAATCAACAATCTTAATCTCCAGACCACTAGCTGGCACTAAGGTGCTAATTAATTGATTGATGAGATTAACTGAGTTAATCTCACTAAAGTTATATTATACACAACAGACTAGTAATGTATAGATTGTTCTTCAGTATAACACTATCGTGTGAATATTATGCCGTATGTGTTGTGGATGTTTCGTTACGAAAGGAGTGCATTTATTACGATTTTCGTCGTCAGAACCCTTGAAATCCTAAATAAAAACATATTTAACGAAAAATATAGCAAATAAATTGCGGAAATAGTTGGATCAAATTTTTACTACGATTTTCGTCTTCAGCAACCCTGAAAACCCATGGAAAGATATATTCAACGACAAAACAGCAGATAAATGGCCTGGTTGCTATGGGATTTTGTTTTGGAACATACCAAATCTTTGACTTGCTTTTTCTCAAAACTTACTTTTGTGAGTTGGGTAGCTTCTAATGGACATAGCTCAGTCAATTTTTGCCCAATTCAAACAAACTATACATCAAATTGAAGGTAATGAGTTGGAGAATGTGAAAATAACAATAACTCAATTTTCAAAATTTCCTCATTGTGACTCTGTATGCTGTGGGGGGTCACACGATATTTTACGGGAATTTTTACTTTGATTTATCATTTTACAATACGTTAACATATATTTATTTTTTTATATTTTATTTACAATACGTGGGGGATACACTGGATTTATTTCTTTCAAAATGAATATGATATAATTACTTGATGTCTCGCAACGTGAGTGGTACTACTTGATTCCCTATTTCCGGTTTAATAGTCCCTATTCATAGAGTTATGTCCCTGTATTGTACCGTATAATGAATTGTGTCTGGATAGTTCGAGTAGAAAATGTCACTCAGAGAATTCAGTTTTGTTTATAAAATTTTATTCAACATTTTATACATGTTGGAAAGTGTTGAGAAAGCCTTCTAGTCTTCAAATGTGGATTATCCTTGTGTCAATATCCAAAATGACAGGCATATTAATGATTCGCAGTTACTGCGAATCAAAAACTTTAGATTTTAATTTTTGATTAGCAACGGATAAAATATGTATCGCAAATTGCCATGCGATACTGGTTGTCGGCAGCCCTGGTGTTACTAGTAGTAGGAGGAAACTCGAGGACCCAGATAAACCTCCCATGGTTAGGCAGGTAACCACATTCCTTGTCACATGTTGGATCAAAATCATACTACTTGACTCAATCTAAAGTGCAAATAAGATGGGGTTCAAGGTATTACTTTTCAAATGAAATTGTCATACACCACGCATGAGAGAGAGAAATGGGGTTTAATGTCCACTTCGACACAGACTAGGTCATTTTGGGACTAACATATGGTTTAATTTTATTTCAATAATTCGCTTGCGCATAGGGGTCTTTAGCAATGGGAGGAAACCGGAGGACCCGGAGAAAACCTACGAGTTTGGACAGGCAACCCTACTCCTTGTCACATACAACCGGGGATTCAAAACCACGCCAGTTGACTCGATGAGACTTTATGATACAACGCGCACGTGCTAACCATTCAGCAATCCATACCCCCCCTCACCCCTTGCTCTGACTTACCTTGTGGTGCAAACCATTAGGAAAATGAAACATACACGTGCTAACCATTCGCCCCCCCCCTCCTACTCCACGCAATGTGTTATGAGAGTGCTATGGTCTACTTAAAGTTCAGTTTCCAACCGTGCAATGTATTATGAGTGATATTGCCTAAACATCAGTGCTACGGTCTACTCTTTAAGTTCAGTTTTCAACCATAAAAGGTCTGTAACATGCTGACAATAGCATACAAAGAGCCTTGGTTTTTCGTATGATCCAAACAACAAGACCCTTTTCCTAGCAAGGCCCCCTCCTGTCCTACACCACTGACAAACAGATTTAATGGAGTAAAGCAAGTCAAACAACCATACCTAAACTTTTGCCAGTTTTAAACGGTGAAGGCATATCAAATCTCAGTTCCTTCTTCTCTATGATACGGCGAACTAGACTGAAACCGTTACTATGGATACCACTAGAACATAGACCAATCACACTGTCCCCTGGTTTTATATCCTGTAATCTAGGAAGTACGTCTTCCCTTTCAACAGCACCCACGGCAAATCCTGCTAAATCATAATCTTCCCCCTGATACAATCCTGGCATCTCTGCTGTTTCTCCTCCTGAAAATATTTATTGCAACACTTGTCACGCCAAGAATAGATAATGGTACATTTCTATTTGACTGAAGACGAGTGTAGGGATACTCATATTCTGTCATATATCGTCAGTCGAGTGAATCAGAGTAGTCATTGCTCTCACCTCATCCAAATTCATACGATATTGAAATATTAAAATCCAAATTGTAGAATTGCACTACCAACACCCTAACACTCCTTAATTTATTGCTAGGTCTGTCCATTGGAAATTAAACCATCCTACAAAATGCAGTTTGATTTCTGATGAAAACCTCAAAGAGACCACATCAGTTCATTGACTATCTGTGAAAGCTTGGATTCTTTTATAAAATCCTCAACTAACCTTATGGTGCAAGAGAGAGAGAAATGGGGTCTTACGTCCACTTGACACAACCTAGTTCATTTTGGGACTAACATATGGCTCAGTTTTATTTCCATAATTCGCTTGCGTGTAGGGGTCTTTAGCAGTGGGAGGAAACCGGAGGACCCAGAGAAAACCCACGAGGTTGGACAGGCAACCCTACTCCTTGTCACGTACAATCGGGGAATCGAAACCATGCCATTTGACTCAATGACAGACTTTATGATACAGCGCGCACATGCTAACCATTCAGCCATCCCCCACCCTGTATCTATACTAAAACACTGCTCAAATTTCCATATGAATATAAACTACATACCTACAAGAGCACAGCCAGCCTGCTTACAGCCTTCAGCAATACCTTTAATAACATCAGCTGCTGTTGGCACTTGCAATTTACCAGTTGCAAAGTAATCCAAGAAAAACAGTGGTTCAGCACCATGTGCTAATATATCATTTACACACATAGCTACTAAATCTATACCAATAGTATCATGGTGTCCTAGAATATGAGCAATCTGGAAAACAAACATTTTAATCATTATCTGAATCATATTCCATCCAGTAGAAATTTTTCTTTTAAGTTGTATGATGAAAGAGCTCAATCTGTCTATTGCAGCTCTTTTTCTGGCTTCAAATGCTAATTAAAGCATTTAACATAAGCCCTCATTAAAGCATTTAACATTAGCCCCCAAAAAGGCATTTAACATAAGCCCTCATTAACGCATTTAACATAAGCCCTCTGGGCTTTTGGATGGCTCTGATTTTATGTAGATCAGAATACCTCAACTATTTAAAAGTTGAACAATAAAATGGATAATTGAGACAGTCTTGATTGTCAAGTACCATTGCTTTGATAACAATCTACTCTACATTTTGTCAAAACTTCACTGAATAAAGTATATAAATTGACTGAAATTTGCAACATATTCATTTTACATTATCTATTTTTGAGCTATTATAGCAAGAACGGTCAGTTCTTTATCTAAATCATACATAATACATCTTTAACTAGGAAAAATAGATCATCTTCCATGCTCAAAATAAAGTGAATATAGAAAAAAAAACCGGTGTCAATCTGAGAGTTTCTCTGAGGATAGCCTCTTGCGTGAAACCGTGTTGCTGAGGAGAGATGCAATAAATTCAGGGCATCATAGTGCTCCTTAAATTGCACATCCTAAATTATGAGAGAATTTTAAGGTCAAATATACTTGTATTATCTGGTGTTACTAAATGGTTCTCTAACAGGGCCCCGTTTCTCAAAATTTTAACTAAAGATAAAATCCAAATTTTAATAGATACTTCAATTTTGATTGGCTAAGAACTAAAATCAACCTAATATTATCCAATCAAATTACTAAAATTTGGATTTTATATTAGTTAAAATTTCATGCAACAGGCCCCTGGGCTCTAACAACTATAGAAATGAAAGTCACCTTGAGTTTTGTTCCCACACCATCGGTACCAGATACAAGGAGGGGATCTTTAAAACCAGCTTGCTTCATATCAAATATTGCACCAAACATTCCTAGTGTAGCATCACAACCAGGTCTCTTGGTTGCCTTGACAACTGATTTAATAGATTCCACCAATTCATTACCACTTTCAATATCAACACCAGCATCTTTATAGGTCATACCATTAATTATTTGTGAAACTTCTGGACCACTATACATCAAAAACAATTTTTTATTTATTTATAATTCACATCCAATCATGATAATTATCTTCATCTCGTTTTGTGAAATATAAACTCACAGACAAGAAAAAAATCTATCAATTTTATTACTGTAAAGTCAAGACTAGCACATATAACTACAATAAGAGCCTTGCTTTAGATTTACTTTCTATTTGAATTTATAAAATATTTAATAACACGAGAGAAAAGAGAGAGAGAGAGAGAGAGAGAGATGTGGTTTAGTGTCCACTCAACACAAAATAGATCATTTCGGGACTGACACATGGTTCAATTTTATTTTAATAATTCGCTTGCTCGTAGAGGTCTTTAGCAGTGGAAGGATAAAGGACCTGGAGAAAACCCACGAGGTCGGACAGGCGACCCTACTCCTTGTCATGTACAACCGGGGAATTGAAACCCCGCCAATTGACTCAATGACAGACCTTATGATACAGCGCGCACATGCTAACCATTCAGCCATCCAACTCCCCCTTTTATGAAAGGCAAAGCATGCAAGGTCCTTCATAGCCATAACTAATTGATTGTTTTCAATAATTTTTAGGACAAAGTGTGTTTAAATAGAAGTAATTTTGCTTGTGTATGGTATTAAACTGTATATCTAATTTATTCTGGCATGTTGGAGATTTAATATTATAATTTGTACAGTGATATCAGAGTTTGTCCATCAGCTGGCCTTCACTTGTTAGATAATGTGAAGATAATCATGGATTTTAGCCGATATAAAGAATTAAGATACAGTAAACTTCGCATAAGTTGGATCTAAGTGGACTGACCAATTTCATCCGAGTTAAGCAAAAATCCGAGTTAGCTGGAGACCGAAATTCAATCTTAGCTTGATAAGAAATAAACTGCAAGAGCCAGATAATAATTGATTCAAAGGCACATTTCAAGCTTTTGTTTGTATGTGCGAGTAGATAAGTTCCGTTTTGTTGCCATCTTTTCCTGGAAAGTGTCTCGTACAGCAGACAGCGAGATTCGAATTTTCTGGGAAAATTTTATTATTGCGTCGCGTCAATTAGGCTGATTTGAGTCAAAATGATAGAGGAAAGTATTTTGGGGCTCTGTGCATGGAATACCTAACCGTGGTTTAGACCATCGGGACAAAACTGACAGTGAAATTCAGAACATACTGCCGATCCGACTTGGGCGAAGTAAAAAAGCCTGAAATAGATCAAATGGACCATCATTTTGATCATAGTTGAGCAAAGATCCGACTTTCACCCAGAAATTTAATAAGAAAAACGTGCAGGATCAAAGGGTCCAAACGATTTTATCCGAGTTGAGCAAAGATCTGACTTAAATGAATCCAACTTATGCAAGGTTTACTGTAATTTGTAAACAAACCTTTTATCAGAGAGAACATTATGTCCAATATCCTTTCTATAAAAAGCTTTATCAAATTTAATCATGCCAGCTCCCTGTAAAGCTCTATTATAGGCTGGGTATAAATCTGTCTCTGTTGCCACAACAACTAAAACACGACCCCCACTTGTTACAATTTTATCATCTTTTTTGGCCGTGCCAGCATGGAAGACCTTTACTCCTAGTTTACATGCTTCATCCAATCCTACAGTAGAAAAAAACATAATTAAACAATGGCAGCTATAATGGTCGGATTCGGACAGCTAATTTTTTTAGATATTTTGTGAGAGAAATGGGGTTTAACATCCACTCGACACAAACTAGGTCATTTTGGGACTAACATATGGTTCAATTTTATTTCAATAATTCGCTTGCGCTTAGGAGTCTTTAGCAGTGGGAGGAAACCAGAAGAAATAGAGAAAACTCACGAGATTGGACAGGCGACACTACTCCTTGTCCCGTACAAGCAGGGAATCGAAACATGCCAACCCCCCATTGATATTTTGTCTACATCAGATTATCAAGATATGTTTTCCAAAGAATATGACAATTTTTTGCATTATCACTTTTTTATTTTTCAGGTGTTTTACACATGAAAATTCAACTGTTGTTCAAGTTAAAATGCTTTGAAATTCTAATTTTCAGACAAGTTAACTGAAGAACAGGTAGGCTCTCAAGCTGCCAAGTTAAGAATTTACTCCAAATTGTTTGCCTTATTTTAACTAAAGTACAGCCCTTTATAAAAATTTCGTCCTTTTTATATATCAAATACATCCATAAGAAACTATGTGCATAGTTTTGTGTTTCTGGATCAAAAAATATTTCACATAAACAGTTATTAAAAATTGAGTAAATTCTTAATTTAAGTCTGAGAATGCTTTGTGAACTCGGCCCAGGTAGGTTCTCGAGCTGCCAGTAAGTCAAGACTGACAAATATAACTGAAATGAGATCTGATAATATATCTGCCAATTACTACGCATGTTCCCGAAGCAACGAATGCGAGTTTTACAACATCTGGACGTTGCTAGTTTACTTCACAATACCCGAACTTATAGCTGTGTTATCTACAGAGACGTGAACAGTAGCGTCCAGAGGTTGTGACATCGCGACCTCCGCGGAAACCTTGACATTGAATGAACCTTGAACTTTGCAACTCGATTATCACAGATAGACATTTTAGCTTGAAAGCGCAAGACATGGTATTCGCGACGATCAAGGAATCAGATAGGCTCCCAAGCTGGGCTTGTACCCAATTGAAATTAGTGCCGAAATATGCAGGGAATTACGTGAAGGCCTTGATAAGATGTACGTAGTTAAAGCGAGATCAAGCCTTCTATTGAAGATGATTATGATTACTACGTAGGTTAATAACACATCACTACATCATGTATGTTTGCACATATTTGTCAAACTCGTACCTTTATTAACTATATCTAGTTTTTTTCTATCTGAATTTTTATCTAATAATGCTGCCTATGTTGTTTTTCTAAATATTGTTTTTATTGTCTCCAGTTTTGTTAAAATATTCAACCATTCAAAAAGATATTTACCCAATATTTCTACACCTTTCTGATATGAGCCTGGATAACCACCACTAGCCATCACAATACCTAATGATGAATGTTGTGTATCAAAGTCTGGAAGACTGGATGACAGAGTACCATTTGTACAGGCCTTACATACTTTATATAAATCAGATTTTAACAGAGATAGAATTGACTGAAATAAAGTATGAAATAGATTTTAATAACAGTATCTCAATACTTCCAGCAAGTATTCATGTATTTGATATTACATCCCACTTCTACTCGTTGCCACTGGCAACCTTTGATAAAACTGTCCTGTTGATTTTCAATACATGCTTAAAAGTATCCGTGTATCAGAAATATACAGAAAGAGTACTGTTCATTTCTGATACACGGATACTTTTATACTGTTTTAGATACCTATCAAGCAATAAGTAGCGGACGTTTAGTCCGACCCAGATCGCAATTGATAACGATGGCTCTATACAATGTACAAGGATAATGTACATGAAACAACTAGTCAAAATCATAGTAACAAAACAAACCAGGGGGAACTACATGGCAGTTCAAAAACATATACAATGACATTAAATTAACATAACATAATATTACAAAAATCAATTATTATACATATCAATTGGCATCTATTTCATAATTTGGTTTGATTTAGATTAATATGCACAATATATAAATTAGAATACTGAATAATTATTTTAATTAATTGTGATGATAGAAGGCGCAGTTCTCTTGCTGGACACTTCACAGGCATTGAAAATAAGCAGGATGAAAAAAAACGTCTAGAAAGTCATAAACTTTATTACAAATAAATTTCAACGGAAGAACCATCCGCCGATGCATACTTTCACCAGGAGTGACCCACGTTTCGCATTTCCTTTACACTACATTTAATAATATCGCAGTCCTCTCCGCCATAGACAAGTTGTTTTGACGATGTGGTCTAAACAAACACGTGATTGTTTTACGCTCAGAGTATCATAGCAAGACGCACGTGTAAATACTACTCAGGTCGTCTCTCCACTGCGAAATCATTCTACCATGTAATGTAACGTGAGGCTCAGAAAGGGATAAATGAAAGAGCAGAAAGTATTTGTCACTTTTCGGTTGAAACGATTCGATAATAAATACTAGTTTTCACATAGAAATGTGATGTAAGTAACTTATTAGCACCTTTCCTCGGTGTATCGGTGAATATCAGGACAGTTTTGGTCGGGGGCGGCCTCGGCTCCGCCTAGGCTGGGCCACCCGACCAAAACTGTCCTGATTTTCACCGATACACCTTGGAAAGTGTGCTAATAACTATTACATACATTAGTGCATGCATCCAGATTACAAATGAAATGGGGTTTAATGTCCTACTGTTTTGCTCCAAACTGGGCTAATGAAGACGGGCATACGCCAAACAGTGTGCTATGAGGAAAAATTTTGCCCAGACAGCGGCACTACGGCCTACTCTTATATCGAATTCCAACTGTCAAGGGATTTTTTAACATGCACGCCAATGTGTACACGGGGCCTCAATTTCTCGTCCCATTCAAACGACTAGACACTGCCCTTGTCAGGCCCTCCGTCCTGTATCACTGACAAGGGGGAACCATGCCGGAAAATCTGGATAAACTTTCTCGGCCAATGCAGGGATCCAACACCTGACCTCCAGGCTAGCGAGCCAGCATCTTACCCACTTAGCCAAACCCAGATTAGACCCGTCAACCCCTTAGAGCTGCAATACAGTAGGGTAGTGTAAAAAATGCAGTAGAAACCATGATTTGGCAGTAATTTCCCAAAAACGTGTAAATTCGCACTTCCAAAGGTTAATTAATTTAGAAATGATACATTGAACTGCAGGCCCAAAAACACAAAAATTGCATTAAGGGTAATAGATATAAAATATACACAAGCAATGGTAACCATATAAAATTTATGTAATTAATCAAAATTGAATATGTAGAAAACAGAAAGAAATGTTAAAAAATAATTAAAATTTCCACTTTAACTTAAGTTGTGTACCCCATTCTGATTCTGGGATTTTTTCGTCAGTATCGTTTCATGTAAGATAATTGGTGTTTTTATCAGATTTGATAGTATTTTTACATTAGGAATAGAGAGGTGGGGTGCATAAAAAAAATAGTTTTGCATAACGACCAATTACTAATAGGGTGTATCTATCGTCATCATGCCGCCCCCCCCCCCCCCATGGTGACATATTCCCATCTTGAAATTAAGGTTCTAGGTTGTGTTGCATTCAAAATATCGTATTTGATGCTGCACGCGCGTGAACAAAAATGTCAGTCATTGCTGTCGTAAACAGGTCAATATTTATTTATTTTATCAATACACATTTTAAGAGTATTGGAACACATGCCAATAATTATATCTGCTTTATTAACTCTAAAATAGGTTGAAAACAATTGATAACAAATCTGTTAGCTAAATTACACCTTACAATATCCCAAGTCTCAAGTAGCTATTTAATCATGGCCCCTCAGAACTAAAAATTCCATTGTTTTAGTGTCATTTGGCATTGAAATCAATCAATTTCTTTAAGAATATGCAAGTTATGGAAATGCTTCGACTGGGTTAATGAAGATGGGTGCAGGTTATGGGAAGATGGAACTTATTTTACAGCTGTCATACACAGATATTAATTCACAGAATATATAAAATGGGGTTCAACGTCCTACTTTTCTCAAGTAATCCGGCTAAGGAAGACAGGCATACGCCATTGTAGTGTGCTAAGGGGGACATTTACCTGCAGGGCAACAGTACAGCGTATGCTTATTTCGATTTCCAACAGTCAAGGTATCTTTTAACATGCTTCCAATGGTATACACCAGACGCCCCTATTGGGAATTACCGGAGGGCCTTTCTCACACCGATCAGCAGTGAATTTCGCTAGGCCGCGACAATCACTGGTAAGGATGACATCGATGCGACTTAATGAGCCACAAATATTAACTTTTTTCCTCCGCCAAACGTATTTGTAGGTAAAAATTATTTCCTGTTTGGTGTAAATGGGTAATAAAATGAGTAAAAGGCTCCATTCCGCCCGAACCAGTAAGGTCTTATGTAAACAATGCACGCACCACTGAGCCAAATATTGATGCCGCGTGATGAGACGTCACGTGTTGAAGGTAGTCATCTTTTACGGAGATATTAGAAGACTTTCGTAATCCTCTGTGAAACAGATTGGGCCTTTCTAGTCAAACACCAGGATCGAATACAGGTCCTCCTGGTTACATACACTGTGGCTTCCCATACAAAATAAGTAATATTAAATTGACAAACCTGAGTTTCTGGATCACCAAATCTGCAGTTAAATTCTAAAACTTTAGGTCCAGACTTAGTTAACATTATACCAGCGTATAGTACACCTGCAGAACATGATGAAAATTTATACTGTTTGAATGGCATTTAGTAATTGAACACATTAAAAAATAAACAGACAGTTCTATGGATAACAATTACTGTATTTCTATTAAAGCAGCGAATCATTGTTGAAACGTATCTTTAATAGAAATGGTGAAAATTGTTTCGAAATAAAGTGTTTTTGATATACAACTTGCAAATAACATCTAAGAAAAACTCTGAAGATGGAAAAGTGAATGGAATAACAATGCAAGGGGGTTTAATTTCTTGTCAACAGCATAGTATTTTCCATTTCTACAGATGTGTGTGCAATGCTTGATTAGAAATGAAATGGGGTTTAACGTCCTACTGTTCTGCTCCTATACTGGGCTAATGAAGACGGGCATATGCCATACAGTGTGCTACGAGGGAAATTTTGCCCGGGCAGCGGCACTATCGCCTACTCTTATATCGAATCCGACTGCCAAGGGACCTTTTACGTGCATTCCAATGTATACACAGGACCTCGGTTTTTTGTCTCATCCGAAGGACTAGACAGCTGTCCTTCTCAGGCCCTCCGTTCTGCACCACTGACAAGGGGAAACCACGTTGGAAAATCCAGATGAACTTTCTCGACCAATGCAGGGATCGAACACCCGACCTCCAGGCTAGCAAGCCAGCGTCTTAACCATCTAGCCACCGTGGCTCCCCAATGCTTGGTTGGAGAACTTTGCCTGGAAAATGGCACCTCCTCCTTCTCTTCTTCAAAACCCAGCTATCCAGACACCACACTGACAAAGAGAGAGAGAGAGAGAGAGAGAGAGAGAGAGAGAGAGAGAGAGATGGGGTTTAAGGTCCACTGACACAAACTAGGTCATTTCGGGACTAACATATGGTTTAATTTTATTTCAATAATTCGCTTGTGTGTAGGGGTTTTTAGCAGTGGGAGAAAACCGAAGGACCCGGAGAAAACCCACACTGTCAAAATGAAATGAAATGAAATGGGGTTTAATGGCCTACTGTTCTGCTCCTAACCTGGGCTAATGAAGACGGGCATACGCCATACAGTGTGCTATGAGGGAAATTTTGCCCGGACAGCGGCACTACGGCCCACTCTTATATCGAATTCCAACTGCCAAGAGATCTTTTACGTGCACGCCAATGTGTACACGGGACCTCGGTTTTTCGTCCCATCCGAACGATTAGACAGCTTTCCTTGTCAGCCCCTCCGTCCTGCATCACTGACAAGGGAGAACCACGCCGGAAAATCTGGATGAACTTTCTCAGCCAATGCAGGGAACGAACACCCGACCTCCAGGCTAGCGAGCTAGCGTCTTACCCACTTAGCCACGTGATCCCCCCCACACTGTCAAGTAATGGTTGTGCTTGAAAGAACTGAATAAGAACCAAATAGAAAACTAAAGAAACATACCAACATATTTTCTTTCTTCTTTTCTCATTCCATCAACCGTTTTCTGTAATATTTGTTCTTTTATCATCTTTAATACCTCTTCAGTTACCTGCAGATAAACAAATTTTCTTCAACTGACAAAATAGAGTTAATTTGTCTTACAGAGAAAGAGAGAGAGAGAGAGAGAGAGAGAGAGAGAGAGAGAGAGAGAGAGAGAGAGAGAAATGGGTTTTAACCATGCGACACAAACTAGGTCATTTTGGGACTAACACATGGTTTAAATTTATTTCAATAATTCGCTTGTGTGTAGGGGTCTTTAGCAGTTGGAGGAAACCGGAGGACCCAGAGAAAACCCACGAGCTTGGACAGGCGACCCTACTTCTTGTCACGTACAACCGGGGATTCGAAACCACGCCAGTTGACTCAATGACAGACCTTATGATACAGTGCGCACCATTGCCAACCATTCGGCCATCGAAACCCCCTAATTACTCTTACAAAATGGTAGAGAAGTTAGTTAATTGGTAGAGAAATTGTGGTAATTTGAAGGGAATGCTTACGGTTTCTGGAACTCCTGATGCCATATTTTTGAGAGGAATGTTTTCCTGGTTTTGATTCCTTTATTTTTAGTTCCCACTGTGTACACTTCCTGTTAATTTTTAACATTCTTTCAATGCTATTTGAAAATATTTTTGGGGTAGGCGAATTATTGAAATAAAATTGAACCATGTGTTAGTCCCGAAATGACCTAGTTTGTGTCGAGTGGACGTTAAACACCATTTTTCTGTCTCTATATAGGAAATATTTATTAATATCAATTCAATGAATCAACCAACATTCAAAAACAATCAACACATAAAAGAAAATATAATCTAAAAGATTTGTTATTTTACTTGAATTGTATTGAATATTCAAATACCACTCTCAAATTAGGACAATATTCAAAAAACATTCAAATAACGAAAGAGTATTCAAATAGCAAAATCAGCATTTGATGTGACCATTGACCAGTCCAGTAATCTATGCACTTTATTCATTTACCTTACTATATGGACAAAAGGCTCCCATTCCACCTGTATTTGGACCGTTATCACCTTCTTCCAATCGTTTATGATCTTGAGCAGGTGGCATCACAGCAACTGTTGTCCCATCTGTGAATGCCAAAACCTTTCAAAAATATTATATAATTAAATATAGTAGCAAACCAAAAATACAGACATCAGGAGCCTGTTTCACGAAATTTTAACTAAGATAAAATCCAAATTTGAGTAATTTGATTGGATAATATTAGATTGATTTTAGTGCTTAGCCAATCAAAACTGAAGTATCTACTAAAATTTGGATTTTATCTTTAGTTAAGATTTCGAGAAATGGAGCCCCGATTACTTTTTAATGTTTGGCGAAAATAACGGGTATGTGTCTTCGAGAGTTATTGGTGCTTGAAATCTGAAGTATAATGCCATTAACACTGAAATATTACTTAAGGTAATGAAGCGTGCTATACAGTAAAATCTGCCTGGACAGCTTCATTTCTGTCTACTCTTATTGATTTCCAACTGCTGCGTTCTTTTATGAATGTGCAAACGGATATATGGGTGGACCTTGTTTACTTCATCCAAATTTCACTCCCTCATTATATCCCCTTAAGAAGAAAATAACTTACAGAGATTTCCTCTCCTTCCAGTAATTCTTCTATAACAACTGTATCACCAGCAGCACCAAATGCTTTATCCTAAAAATAGTACACATTCTAATATTCATCCTACAAACACTACGTACAAGCTAATATTGATCCTATTACATAATCTAATATTTAGCAGTGGGAGGAATCCGGAGGACCCCAAGAAAACCCATGAGGTTGGACAGGCGACCCTACTCCTTGTCACACACACAACCGGGGATTCGAAACCACACCAGTTGACTCAATGACAGGCTTTATGATACAGCGCGCAAGTTCTAACCATTCGGCCATCCAAACCCCCACCTAAAGAAAGACCTGCAATAGGTAGATTTGACTCTTGAATAATGTATGTTTAAGTTGTAAATAAAACAAACCTCTAAAATGTTTTTAACAGCTTTACAAGCCTCATCTTTAGTTTCTGCCACAATCACTCCCTTACCAGCAGCTAAACCACTAGCTTTAACTACCAATGCTTTATAATCTGCTCTAATAAAATATTGATTATTTATAAGGCTGACCTTAAAAATATCTTTGTTTCGCCAAACCCGACCCACAATCGAGGAGAAGGGTCGGTAGGTCGGGGGTTTTTTTCAGATTTTTTTTTAAAGAGCTAATTTGACAGCTTGATAATTTTCTGGGGGGAAACATTCGTCTTTTTTTATTGTCAAACAAATCAATGAGTATGACATCGGGATTTTTCGTGATGCACGACTCCGAGACTCGCACACGATTTGCCACGAACTCTAAGTGTGAAACCCCTTCAACACGTTTTTAACGATCGTGCCTTCATTTTTCTCGAAAACGGATATTGAAAATATCTTCGTCATGTTTAAAACGACGCCCCACAGACATAGAGGCAGAATCATTTCGTGGGAATGGACGTGCTTTCGTCTGCAACCATTTTGTTGAGAAGCGACACCTATGACACTTTCGTCTTGATCAACCAGTTTCAATAATGAATCAAACCATAGCCATAGTAAAGGGAAATAACTCTCGTGATAAATTTCAGGTTGACACACAAAATAAAATAAAAAGATCGCAGAAAAGTGCAATAAAATAAATTAAGTCGGGGGTGGTTTTAGTTAGTCGGTTGCGTTAGGCGAAACAAAGATATTTTTAAGGTCAGCCTAATAACAGTAATTCATACATGGGAGACACAGGCTCTTGTAAAATGTTTCAAAAATAACATTGATCTAAGTTGATATTGAACAAAGTTAAAGAGAAAGTGAAATGGTATATATCTTCGATCAAGAAGAGGATTTAAATGGGTAATGGCATAATATTATTTTAATATTTAGCTAGTGAGCTGGGTCTACAGCCAGCCATGCAAGTCAGCCAGAAAACTAGAGAACAAGGTTAAATACAATAAGTTGTCAGGTTATTTCTTCCCTTTTTCATGTAAAACATGGGAACCAATGAAGGACTTTGCACAGATTACAGACCATGTGATCCAAATACCAACCCTCCATATGTAAATTTGATTATCTCACCAGAAGAATTTTATAAGGAATCAAAAACTAGAAAAGCTTTTCTCATTTGTAGAGAGAGAAATGGGGTTTAATGTCTACTCGACACAGACTAGGGGTCTTTAGCAGTGGGAGGAAACCGGAGGACCTGTAAAAAAAACCATGAGGTTGGACAGGCAACCCTACTCCTTGTCACGTACAACCTGGGATTCGAAACCATGCCAGCCGACTCAATGACAGGCGTGATGATACAGCGCGCACGTGCTAACCATTCGGCCATCCAACCCCCCTTTTCTCAATTGTACAATAAACATCGGCAAGGCATTATATAACCACTTACTCATTAATGTGTTTACAAGCTGGCTCTATTTCTGTGAACGATTTAAACCTTGCTGTTGGTATTTCATGGCGGTTCATAAACTGTTTAGCAAAATCTTTACTAGCTTCGATTTCAGCTCCTTTCAGAGATGGTCCAAAACAGGCAATATCTACAAACAACAACAAACAGCTTATCAAATTTCTTACACAAAACAAATGTGTCACACCTGGCATTACAGGGGATGTGACTATTAGCATCTGACCAAGCCGTTTAACAACCTTTACTTGCATGTATTGTGATGTTCGAATGTACTTATTGAAAGTTTTGTTATACTTGTCATTTAATGATCTCATTTGGAGATATTTTTTCTTTGAAAGGGGGGGGGGGAACTTCCACGAAATCCCCTCGCAACCTTTTGGGAAATACCCTCCCCCACCCATCATTCCATTTTAAACCATACATCTATATGAAATTAGCTATGACACAATTACCAAATGTAATTAGTCATTTAATAATTAAAATTTATGAGCTTTTAAAGTACCAGTATTTGAAGATGAATTAGAGATTACCTTTACTATTAAGATGATCAGCTATACCATTAGCCAACGGATCTTCAGGTCCAACAATAACTAAACCAATCTTATTACTGGTACAATAAGTTGATACATCTTCAAACTTCTTTACATCTAAAACTACAATATAAGGTAACCATTAACCTAATGTGAGTGAAGGCAGAAGCAGGTTTGCTGGGATAAGTTGGAATTCAATATAAGAGTAGGCCATAGTGCCGCTGCCAGGGCAAAATTTCCCTCATAGCACACTGTATGGCGTATGCCCGTCTTCATTAGCCCAGTTTAGGAGCAGAACAGTAGGATGTTAAACCCCATTTCCTTTCATTTCCAGTAACAAGTTTAATTAAATTATGTCTTTATTTATCATTACCTCTTTGTGGTCTTCGGGCCTTTATGAATAATGGGGATCACGGTGGCTAAGTGGGCAAGACGCTGGCTCGCTAGCCTGGAGGTCGGGTGTTCGATCCCTGCATTGGCCAAGAAAGTTCATCCAGATTTTCCGGCGTGGTCACCCCTTGTTAGGATGACCCGTGCACTTTACAGAAAGTTGGTCTCGACACGGCTAAATGTGCACGCTTCAATTGCGTGTCTCGAACTGATTTCTGACTACCCCGCACTCGCTTTGAGTCGATAAATAGCCATGGCACGTGCAATTCTCTACAAATATATCAACTATTACAGCCGTAAAAATTCTATTGTTGACGATTTTGAATAGCAGTAAAATTTAGCTTCTTGGTTATTACAGCAGCTTTAGTAATTACGTTTGTTTTATTTTTCAAATTGCTTTATCATTAACTGTACCGTTAAGAGCGGCATCTTTTGGTTTAGTACAAATACTATCTCTGAATCACTTTCTTTAGCAGGAACATGATACTAGCAGTAGTTTCATTTTACTTTTACAAGTTTCTTAAAACAATTGTTGAGTTGTCTAAAAGGCTTATTTCTAAATTCAATTTCTTGTTCTAGCTTTCTGTTATGTTTCGTAAAAAAAGTAGTCTTGATTATCCCGACCTGTCAATCAGACGTAGAATGGTCGATAGACTGGTTAAGCGAGACTAATTTCAAAACAAGGGCACGTAACCTATCTTTTACTCAAAAGTGTCTGGATGTTATGGACGCAACTTGGAACCAGTTTTCAGTCTATTATTTATAGATGATTAATGGTCATAGCTTATTAAGTACAACATGATCGTTTATTTAGTGACTATAATTGTGTGAAACTGATTTGAGGCTTGGCATATATATAAATATTGTGGCGTAATTGTCGAGATATTTGGAGATATTTATTTATGGTGGGTCACCCTACCCTTGTCAGTGATGCAGGACGGAGGGCCTGACAAGGACAGCTGTCTAGTCGTTCGGATATAACGAAAAACCAAGGTCCCATGTACACATTGGCATGCACTTAAAAGATCCCTTGACAGTTGGAATTTGATATACGAGTAAGCTGTAGTGACTCTGTCCGGGCAAAATTTCCCTCATAGCACACTGTCTGGTGTATGCCCGTCTGCATTAGCCCAGTTCGGAGCAGAACAGTAGGACGAATAAAATAATGAATTGGAAATTGTCTATTTTAATCACATTGTGTATGATTTAACTAAAAGCTTTATTCAATTTCAAATTCGGCTTTTTGGTTTATTTTTGATGAGTAACCCTGCCTATCATGTGCTATATTCATACAACAGTTTTCTTACATTTAGACACTTTACATACTATTCTTTTATTTATCCTTAGCCTCATGAATAACAACAGTATTGAATCGATAATGAAACCAATAGATTGTACAGAGCAATTACCAATATTTCTAACTTTCTCTCCTTCTGCACCGGTACCAGCATTACCAGGTGCTACTAAAACTTCTCCAACTTCTTTAGACTGAGATAATTTCCAGGCTAGGGCATGTTCCCTTCCTCCACTACCAATAACTAATACCTTTTCACTCATACTCATTTCTTTCACCTACATATAAAGAATAAATAATTAAATATCCCAATAAATAAGATATATAACACTAAATACCTTATAGTGCTCACATAAATATTAGAATATTCAAAATCAAACAGTTTTTAATGGTTATTTGAATTGATTTTTGGTATCGTAATTATTATAAAATGTCAATTAAAAATGATGGAATTTGATTTTTTTGTCATTTATGAATCAGCCATTACAATAACTTCTTCATTGTCTTTAAGGATATGTTTTTCTATGTTCATCACAAATGGCATCTATAACCATAGAATAAGTGACATGTCTACTGATTATAAAAGGTTCATTGTGTCTTTAATATTAGATATTGCACTATTTTATATGGACTCTGGGGTCAACTAATGGATGTCATATAAATAAAAATGGACGAATAAATAATATTACATCTTCCGTTTGTCGCAATTCATTTGTATTCAGCAACATCAAACCAGGTAAGAAATATTATCTCTCAACCCTCTGATGGGAATCAGATTCGACTTCAAAAAGCAAAACTGTCGATTTTTTTCTTCAAAATGATTGATGGTTATTTATTACATTTCTGCCACATCCAACTACAATTAAGCATATAATCCAACCTGACACAGGCACAAACCATCTTCTTTTAAATCAAAGCGATAATTGCTGGCTTTGCCAGACATTTTAAATTGGTGTCTTAGTCTAGTTAAATCATAAATGCGGCACTAACTACCAGTATGTAATGTTGTGAACAACAAGCACTGTAGATACAGGATATAAAACAACAAAAGTAGGATGTTGCGTATGACTAATGCACCGCAATAATGAATGTCCTTATCAATAGCAATGCAAAAGCTTTTTTAAATTTTTGAATCTGACTAAAATTGAATATTTATTATTTTCCAACCCCCCTCTCCCATTTAAGAAACCAAAAAAAATTTCTAAATCAATTAAGAAATAAAAATGTTATTGCACTTTTATGACCCAATATTGATCTATGTCAGTATACACTTTTTTTTAAAATTTGCCAAAAAAGTGACCAAAGACAATTTCCCAGCAACCATTGAAGATATAGAAATCAAATTTTCAGGAAATATCCTACCAATTAACTATTTATTGGAATTTTTAAAATTTGGGCTATATAATTTATTCCTTTGATATAGGCATCTTTCTATGAGAAAATACGTTTACTTTCTGTTTTCGTCTCAACACGAAAAGCGCCAAGTCATCGATGTTGGTGTTCATAAACTTCCCGAAGTCGCGGAACAAAAACGACACAGTTTACGGTCAGTTTTTTGGACATTGATAAAGATAGTATCAGTGGCGCCTCTAGCGAGCTTTTGCATTGCTAGTATCAATTTTGATAAAAACACTGGTTTTGCATTCCTACTAATATCAATTTTGATAAAAACACTGTTGATTAAAGGAGCTAAATCGCTAATATTTAGGACCTAGAAATTGACCCAAATGGGTCGAAACGCATATTATAATGTAATCTGATTGTATATAAACTGATTTACATTCAATTGTTTCCTTTTTGACTAAATTTCAAATCAGTTATGTCCAGCGAAATACAGCATGTGTCTCAACCCTATAGCAATTTTTAGCAGGCTCTCCAGTTGAATATGTCTAGCCTCGTTCTTTCTGGTCACTTGTTGCAAATGACGCTAAAATGCACTATGGTACACGATTCGTGTACGATTCGTGTACCAATGGTATTTAAAGATACATTATGGGTGATAAGATAACGAGATGGCAGTTCTCGCTATAATAGTTAAAAATTAGATAGTGTAAAGGTAATTTGCTGAAAATTTCAGTCAAATTGATTCACTAGGAACCGAGAAAGAAGCGTGTGAAATTTTTGCATAGTCTCGGTCATCATTACTAAAATCATTTATATAAACAGCATAGTCTCGATTATCCGCTTTTATTGATTTAATTATCAATAGCCGTTAGTGGCATATAGGAATCTAATCCAGCCAACATCGAAGGCTAGCCTTGACATCGAGAGTTTATTATGGTCTGGATAAGTTAATTAATGTCTAATTGATAATTTAGATAACATTTCAGGCCTAAAGAAAGACTTGTAATAAGCAGATTTTGCTCTTGCATAATGCATGTTTAAATGTTTATTTTGTCTTAAATATTGAATATCAGAAGCCTGCCTTTTCCTGGTAAGATCACAACATCAATGTTGATTTGCATTGACAAATAATTCGTATTTTCAAGGTGTAAGACTTTGGATGATATTGAGTTAGAGACTTAGCTAATTTAAATTAAATGACAATATTTGCAGATAAATGAAAGTTCTTTCACTAGCACATTGATTGCGGGCTTGGTACGGACAAGGTTAAGGTATGTTTCTAATTGGCTAATACTAGCTAGTATAACTTATTTTTAAGATGTCACATGCATTAATAAAGAAATTAAGTTTGCCAGGTGAACCTAAAGGCAACCAATCGTAGCTAAAACTAACTAAACACATCACAGTATATTTCTCGTAGCTTACACCAAACGAGAGATCTCTGTCACTGTGTGGTTTGAAAAAAAAAACTAACAAGTTTTCAACAACAAAATACTTTATTAAACGCTCGTGACATAACTATACATTAGCCAATTCTAATAATAATTAATCCAGTAAATATGTTTTTTCTATCGATATATTATATCGCTAAATTATTCAACACTTACAACTACCAAACAAACATGCAATTTGCTCTCAAAAGACGACTGCACGTGCAATATGCACAAATGACTATTTACACCTTTAATGCGAAGAGTACTACTAAAGGGAGGCAACTTTATCTTTATCAAAATGTTCAGACCACATTTACATTTATAGAATGAATGAAAGAAATAGTGAAGAGGGATTAGGGGAATCTTGCCGGGACAGCAATTGAATTCCAACCGTTTTACACATGCCAACGTGTAGGCTACACTACATACGGGAGCTCGATTTTTCGTTCCACCCGAGAGACTAGACTGTTCCTTGCCAGGTAGGCAGGTACCCGTCCTGCACCACTGACAAGGGTAAACAACAACAGAGGGTGCGCCTGTTTACCATTGACGATCGACGAAAATCTAATGGTCCTAAACACTGCAGTATGTGTCGATCGTATCAATGAAAAGGGAACTGAACAAAATTATAGGAGAATCTTCTGTGAATACAACTGATTAAAAGTCTGTAGGCTATGTGATGCTCTTAGCTGTCAAGTGGGGTTGGAGATCAGTTTCGTTGTGTTTGAATTTTAAACCTGTTACCCGAGGGAAAAATTAAAAGATTTTTGCGTGTGTTATTTCTGGTTTTAAATAACCTCTGGCAAAGCTTACAAATAGTTTCCAATAGTTGCTTTTATTGACCCCCTTTCCAATATTGGGTTGGATTTCTAATAAGAATAACAGTCCAAAAATGGTTTTAATTCCGTTCAGTAGTATTAGCAAAGATATGATGAATTAAAAATGGCATATTTATAGGAGCTAAATCTCTTATATTTGGGACCTAGAAATTGACACAAATGGGTCGAAACGCATAATAATAACGTAATATGAATGTATATAAACTGATTTACATTCAATCGTTTCCTTTTTTACTCGGATTTGAAATCAGTTATATTTATTGCGCATGCTCTTCAGATAAGAATATGCGCCACAGTTTGACATGACTTGTGGAATATGTCTAGCGTCGTTCTTCGAGTCCCTTGTTACAAATGGCGCTGATACGCATTCTGGTACACGTTTCGTGTACCGGTACCAATTGTAAAATGTTTATTTTGTCTTAAATATTGGATATCAGAAGCCCATCTTTTCCCTGTAAGATCACAACATCAATGTTGATGTAAACTGACAAATAATTCTTGTTTTCAATATCGAAGACTGTGGATGATATTAAATAAAAGACTTAGCTACTTTCAGCCAGATATGGTCTTCACTAAAATCTTTCAATTCTTTTGAAATGAGAACGAAACTAAAGCTCCATCTGAAGTAAAAATGTTTTATTTTAAAAATAAAACGTCAATGCATTGCATTTCACTATTTAATTTGGGGTTATTTTCAATAATTTGCACACAGCCTAATTATTATCAGGTCGAGGGAGAGGCGGGGTCTAGTTGAAATGAGCAAATTACAATTTTACTGCTTATTGAATCTAAAAAATTACCAGTTACAATATTAATTTCTGTCGAAGTTTTACAGAGTAGTTCTATCTACATGAAGAATAATTGTGAACTAATTGGCTCAAATGTGGGTAAATAGGTCAGAAGCCATGGAATAAAAATAACAAAACCAACAAATAACTACAATTAAAATCTAAAAACAGTGAGAAAAAATTGTGGTCTGATCCCGGAGAGAATTTCACAAGGAAAAAAGAGTAAGTTCCCTTATGTCAAGCTCTCTAGAATTGAATGAAGACGAATGGTTGTAAAGATGGGGATATTCAGTGTTTACATCGTAAATAAAGCTGGTGGATTAATTTATCAATATGATCATAATACACAAAGACCAGAAGTTGAAAAAACATTTAGTTATCCTCTAGAACTTGTATTGAAAACATTTGATGATAAAGTAGTGGTCGCTTTCGGCGAGAGAGATGGAATCAAAGGTTAAAATCATCGATTGCTTTACAGTAAAGTTTACTATACAGGCCTGCCATTTTTGCACTGGCAGTGCACAACATTCTGTTTTGGGACACGAATGATGAACCACTGACATAATTATAATATTATTACTTAATCAAACGTTTCAGCAAATTCAGCTATAGCGATTGGTCGAGATACATGTACTAAGATATTCAAATAGTGAATGACTTGTCGACCCAAATTCTCATTAGGGATTGAGAGAATTCAATTCCAGAATGTTCAGTTCGATTATCCCTCACATATAGAATTCACAAGTCATTCGAATAGACTAAGAAATAATGGCCATATTCCCTAAAACAGCCTTACTTTTACTGGCTTTAGTCTTTAACTCAGTGTCATTCACGGTCTTCGACATTGCAAGCATGACTTATTGGTCAATTTTAATGAACATTGATGTTGTTATTACTGTGAAAAGATGGGCGTTTTGATCCAATAGTTAAGGCAAAATGAAAATTTTAAAATTAGCACACGAAATGCATGCCAGAATGCATTCGGGCCCCATTTGTAATGAAGGGATGCAATGAACGAGGGTAAACATATCCCACATATGAATACTTCCGGTGTAGACTGGAATAACCAGACGTCAAAGACGACCATTCAGATTGAACTCTTCGCTGAACATAACTGATTAGAAATTACAGTAAAAACAGCAACGATTAAAGATAGGTTCCCAGAAAAGTATTTATCGGGTGGTTATTCCCAATAAAAGTATGTCAATTTTGGTATATATGGAAAGTAGAAATATCCAATCTTACTAGAAAAATACTGGACGCCCTGAAAAACACTCATGGAGCGCATACAGGACAAAACTGTAAGGGTTTCCCTAATCGACAGCCCAACGATTAGGAGTGTCGGCACGCGTGACGTCAAAGGTCGCACAAGGAGATTGAGCGCTTGATGTACATGTTGATAAACTTTATGAAGAGCTAGACGTACAACAGTTTCTGAGTTCAAAACCACGGGAAAAAACTTGGGCAGTGGATAATCCGAGAATTTAATTAGGCTTCGATATTTGTAATAAATAGTCAGCGATTAAAGACAACATTGTCTTGTGTATGCAATGAATTCTCCTCCGACTTCGCCCCCTTTGCTAGGTACCGAGAGAGGTAAGTCACGTGACACAAACATGACCTCTTTTGATTGATTTTTTTTATAGTAAGGGTATTCCTTGGCAATTGCAATATTTTGAGAAGGATTTGAAGCAAAATTAATTAGTTTGAATATGTTTTTAGTCCAAATATATCATCAAATCACCCAGTTTGTACGCAGGAATGTATCTTTAAATGAAAATCCGTTTATATACATTCATATTACATTATTAAATGCGTTACGACCCATTTGTGCCTATTCCTAGGTGCCAAAGAATAGAGATTTAGTTTCTTTAAATACACTGCTGTGATGTCAAACTCACAATACAACAAAGTGAACTATAACTCTAGAAAATATAAATGTAAAAAAATATATGTCATTCTCAAAAAATCCATTGATTATCCTAAATGTTTAAAGATACATTATGGGAGAGCATTCTTGCTATAACAGTTCAAAAATAGATGATAAAAGAAGAATATATTGAAAATTCCATCAAATTACTTTATTCTGAACATAGTTATCACCAGTGTAATTTTTGACTAGAAATGGGATTGAATTTCATCTTCACTGATTCTTAGTATGGCCGATCGTTTGATTGACAGGCGTTAACTCCACCTACATAATCTCTGCTGTCTTTTGTCTGCTGTCATCATATCCAAATTTGTGTTTTACCTTTTTGGATTTTTATAACAATTAGACAAAATGAGTGAGAGGGAAAATTTTTTATTCTTATTTGTATTTTGGACATGCATTAAATCAATTGAATATAGGACATAATATTATAATACAATTATGATAAATCTATAGGTATACACCAGTGGCGTCGTGCCTATTGGGGAAATAAAAATATTTTTATTGATATTATTAAGACAGAAGACCTGTCCGTCTGTATTAGTCATCACACGGTCTCCAGGAATTGTATAATTTGTCATTATCTGTGTTTAGTTTATTGCACTTTAAATAGTTAAGATGTCATTTGTTAAGGCATCACTCAACAGCGGTCTCGCATCGTACACTCTATCATTTAGCCTCGATCGGGGAGTATGACGTCAACGTAACGGTTAATCTCCGCTCACGAAGCCATTTAAAATTAAATCAGTCAACGAAATCCTGTTTAAATCCAAGCTGAATCCAAGCCATCCGTGGGTCTACAGAGTTGATTTTGTGCTTGTTGTGTAAATAAAGAACTAATTTATAATTTCTATGACATCTGAAGCCTAAATAAAGACTCGCAATAATCAGATTTAGCTCTTGCGTAATGTATGTATAACCCTATTCATTTATTCATTTCATTTCTTGTAGTATTTTGGCAAATCATTGAAACCTCTCTGAGTTTTCCTTCTATAATTTTACTGAATGTTTCATATTCTACTTTTTCTTAATAATATCTTTAATTAGTTTTGTTCTTTTTTTATAGTGGGTCATACAGTTTTATCTATTAATGGGATACCAGCAGCGGGAAAAGTTTTACAAGACAGACGAGATATATTAGATGTTCTAAATGATGAAAGTAACTACCCAATTAATATTAAATTTGGTCGTGCCAAACTCACAGCCAATGAAAAACTGATGTTGGCTAGTATGTTTCATTCGTAAGTACATGTTTTGTTTATTGTCAATGGGCAATATGAAGACACTCTTTTTATTAAAGTGTCCAAAATCCAATTGCAACTTATCAAAATCAACAGGCTTTAAGACTTAAATGGTCTGAGGGGATGAGGGTCGCCTGTCTAACCAAGTGGGTTTTCTCTGGGTCCTCCGACCGCTAAAGAGTAAAAGACCCCTATTCGCAAGCGAATTATTGAAATAAAATTAATGACCCATATGTTAGTCCCAAAATGACCTAGTTTGTGTTGAGTGGACTTCAAATTTAAACCCCATTTCTCTCTCTCTCTCTCTCTCTCTCTCTCAATGGCCTGATCTTTTATAGCAAGTACTCAGGCCAGTAGCCCATGAAAACTAGGTTAGGGTGGATACAGTGATACAGCTGGGATCATAAGGAAATATTTTCCAGAATAATCCATAAAAATAATCCTCATCTAACAAGTAACTTAAAAGATTTTTATATAGAATGCATTGTCATAAGGCATTTATTCTTGCAAGGATAATAAGTTCATTACAGATTAATAGACAATCTGGGGGGTTGGATGGCTGAATGGTTAGCGTGCGGGCTGTATCATAAAGTCTGTCATTGAGTCGACTGGCGTGGTTTCGAATCCCCTGTTGTACGTGACAAGGAGTAGGGTCGCCGGTCCAACCTCGTGGGTTTTCTGCTAGTCCTCCGGTTTCCTCCCACTGCTAAAGACCCCTACGCGCAAGCGAATTATGTAAATAAAATTAAATTAAACCATATGTTAGTCCCGAAATGACCTAGTTTGTGTCGAGTGGACGTTACACCCCATTTCTCTTTCTCTCTCTCGAATCCCCGGTTGTACTTGGCAAGGATTAGGGTCGCCTGTCCAACCTCTTGGGTTTTCTCCGGGTCCTCCGGTTTCCTCTCACTGCTAAAGACCCCTACGCGCAAGCGAATTATTGAAATAAAATTAAACCATATGTTAGTCCCGAAATGACCTAGTTTGTGTCGAGTGGACGTTAAACCCCATTTCTCTCTCTCTCTCTTTCTCTCTCTCTGATAGACAATCTAGCAGCAACAGATCAATCTTTATATTAAAGGAAATTGTTTATTTCAGGTTATTTGCTATAGGTTGTCAATTGTCACCGGAACAGAGATCATCAGGAATAGATCTATTAGAAACAGATACATTTAAACTACATTGTTTTCAAACTATGACAGGTAGGTGTAGATATGAAATGAATTGGGGATTAACGTCCTACTTTTCTGCTCTGACTGGGCTACTGAAGACGGGCATATGCCTACTATTATATTGAATTCCCAACTGCCAAGGGATCTTTTACGTGCATGCCAATGTGTACACAGGGCCTGGGTTTTTTGTCTCGTCTGAACGACTAGACAGCTGGCCTTGTCAGGCCCTTCGTCCTGCACCACTGACTAGGGGAAACCTCGCCGGAATATCTGGATGAACTTTCTTGGCCAACACCAGGATCGAAATCTCGCGACCTCCAGTCTTACTCACTTAGCCTATTTATATATATTATCTACAGAGGATGCCAAATGTTGAAAAATTAATTGTATCGTTGTAAATGATAAAATCAGGGGCAGATCCAGAGGGGGGGTTTGGGGGATCAACCCCCCCCCCTGCTCAGCCACATAAATTTTTTTGTAAATCAACACTTTTTATGAGAAAGGTTTCTCGGCCGTGTGCTTTATCATTTATCGTCAGATTTGGGACAGGATGGGCACTCAAAGCACGAGATAATGATATAGACATTATGTGATATCACAATTAATGCTTTGCATCCATGAATCCATGAAATTGAATCACAATGTCATTGTATTAATTCATAATAAATTGCGGGGGGGGGGGGGGGGAAGATACATTGTCTTAGGAACATGACCCCCCCCCCCCTGCAAAAATTCCTGGATCCGCCCCTGAAAATGATCCATTTTAGCGCTGGTATTCTTTTTAGAGATTCAACTTTCACAATATTGTAGTTTGTTACGGGTAAAAATCAGTGGCTTTGATGTATATGTATCTTTCTTTGCCTTCGATGACATGTTGTTTTTCTCTTTCCAGGTATAAAATTCATAGTTATGACAGATCCCAAACAAACAGCAGTTGAAATATTTTTAAAGAAGTTATATGAAGTTTACTCCGATTTTGCTTTAAAAAATCCATTTTATTCACTCGATATGCCAATAAGGTAAGTGTTATCCTTTATACCCTGCAAAATATAATATAGAGAGAGAAATGGGGTTTAATGTCCACTCGACACAAAACCCCATTTCTCTCTCTCTTTTTGCAAAAAAAAATAGACTAAAGTACATAAACATTTTTCCTCATAATAAACAAGTACAAGCATACTTTAAAACAGGAACCAAATATTGCGTTATTACAGCTATCTTGGAAATTGTGAAATCATATCAAAAATCAAAGTCTACCAATCATTGCACAATTGTTCAAGGAACATGCATGCCAAGTTTCGTATTAATTGTACTTGAATTGGCTTTTTTTTTTGAAGAAGAATAACAAGACGAGTAGTGCTTGAGATCCAGTTCCTTATCCAGAAATTAGTATTCCTTTTGTGATTATCTTTGTAGTAAATGCTGTCCTTATGATTGTTGTTGACTGTATTTATGTCACATCAATTGATATTTCAATTCTTCAGGATCAATTTCACTTTATATTTCTTGGGAAAAAAATATTTTGAAAATATAAACCCTGCTAACTGCTTATCACAGGGCTAATTATTTAAGATCAGGAAGCATTAAAATCAAATTGGATTGCCCTTATGTATCAGCTACCATGTTTTATTATATTTTTGTTTTATCTTCAGGTGTGATTTATTTGAAACCAATCTACAAGCAGCTATAGAACAAGCTGAAAGACAGGGTGTATCTAATATATAGACCTATAATTATACAAACTATTACATTGTCCAATCTTTTATTTTAATTTATAATAACTTATTCCCCTGTATTCTCCAATGTAGATTAGGATTAAACACTAGCCTAAATGCAACCCTTACAAACTAAAATGTTTTTTTGATTTTAATATTATCACATTTTGAATTTCATAAAATATACTCTTCAAAAAAAGTAGGGGATATCCAGAAACAATACAACACTGCGGAAATGCACTGCTGTTTTTTATTAAAGGTAACTAGTGTATGTTAATAACAGGCCAATTGCCTACACATGCACATAAACAGTTCATATGGGCGGCTTATCAGACAGAACCATTTTACTCGCAAAGAGATACACCGTCAAATGTGTAAATGGACGTTTTTGATTTTTGTCTTAATAATGAGTAATTGCTCCACCAATCCTCAGACATTCAGCAATTCGTCGTGGCATGCTCCTAATCAACCGTCCAATCATGATTTGGGGCAATCTGACCCACTCCTCTTGCAGTGCCACGGTCAATACTTGCAGTGTTGTCGGTTGATATTGACGTTGACGAACAAGTCCCCCGATCAAATTAAACGTAACATTCTCAAGCAAAGATACGCTAAACAGTAAATCTTATGCAAGAACCGATAGGAAAGCAAACATGGATAGATAAACCAGCACGCAGCAGTTTTCATCAACCCTTCCTTGAAATGTCAAATTTGACAATGAATCCCTCCCACATGTATGGCGCTATTGCTTGTCGCATGTGCAGCTCAGTGGTTCTGTTGGGGCGATAAGTTCTTCATCTGTGAACATACTCTCAAAGCATGTCAAATGTCCATGACTTTTTATCATATCGTAACCTGCATAGGTATTTGCATTTCAATATCCCCTACTTTTTTTGAAGAATATATTTAGAAATTACATTCTTAAAGAGGCATAATGTAACTAATGTAAGAGATAAATCAGCCGATTGCAGGTCTTTCTTTGGACCTTAAATGTTACATAAATCATTAAATAGTCATTTATTAACATGATAAAACCATAATCAACTCTCGATGGTATTGGATGGATCCGATTTTAAGTAGATTGGAACGGTTCAGCCATTTAATGATTTAATTTATAAATGGAGAAGCAAGGCTAAGACTTGAATAACCAGTACGGTGGTTATGATGAATGTACACATCTTGTCAAAACTACAACTATTGATAACTTTGCTAAAATTTAAGTAATATGAATGAAATTTTCAATATATTCATTTTGCATTATCTATTTTTGAAATATTATAAATATTATAAATCTTACATAATTCCCCTTTAATGAAAATAATATAATCAAGCACACATTCAATTATTATCTAATGTTGAGTAATTAAACTTAATTGTATAATCTCAGTTAGTTCTGAATTTTGTTACATTGTACTCTCGAATAGTTATCAAAGATACTTTCCCAGAAAAGTATTTATCGGGTGGTTATTTTCAATAAAAGTATGTCAAATTTGGTATATATGGAAAGTATAGACACCCATTCTTACTAGAACAATACTGGATTACCCGAAAAACGGCCATGGGGCAAGCACTGGGCAAAATTATCAGGGCATCACTAACTGACAAACCGACTGTTGACTGCTAGCTTATTGTGTGCTAGCTTAAGGGAGGCCTCAATATGTGTGGTAAATGTACAGTAAGTAATGATAAATACATTCTGAAAAATGGACCCTCCCACAATGAAGCCAAGTTGACAGACATTGCATCTAACAACAGCTTACTTATAGCTATAGATAGGTGTCCCTATTGAAGCAAATTTTTGATAGATTGGTTACTTTGAATATGTTTTTAGTCCAAATATATCATCAAATCACAAAGTTTGTACCCGGGAAGGTATCTTTAACTGAAAGAAATAGGTGACATTTGATATTAATCCCTTTGATAATAGTTTACTGTAGTGATACTGTAGTGAAGATATCAGTAACCAGTCTTTTGTAAATATCTATGTTAAGTCTTTGTTGATATAGTGTATGGTATACATATAAATACATGTGATTCAGACTCTGTATATTATGTGAATATGTTTTAATTTAGATATAATATCATTTGATATTTTGTTAATTATATCAAATTCATCATTGTAAGCTATTTGTAAAAATGTCATTAAAGTTTGAGAAATGTGTTACATTTGTTGTTATTTGGTCTAAACCAATTGGATATCTAGCTTTTTTGGAAATGAAATGGGGTTTAACGTCCTACTGTTCTGCTCCGAACTGGGCTAATGTAGACAGGCATAAGCCATACAGTGTGCTATGAGGGAAATTTTCCCCGGACAGCGGCACTATGGCCTACTCTTATATCAAATTCCAACTGTCAAGGGATCTTTTATGTGCACGCCAATGTGTACACAGGACCTCGTTTTTTGTCCCATCCGAACGACTAGACAGCTGTCCTTGTCAGGCCCTCCTCTGTCCTGCATCACTGACAAGGAGGAACCACACTGGAAAATCTGGTTGAACTTTCTCAGGGATCAAACACCCAACCTCCAGGCTAGCCACCGTGATCCCCTATTTTTTTTTTTTATCTTGAAAATTTGCTTTATGGTAGGATATGAGGGATCTTAGTGTAATTGACCATGAAGATCTCAAACATTCCATTGTTTATCAGTATAAAATTTGACACTGTTTTTTTTAATAGGTCCACATTATGGACGAATATTAACATTATTTGAATCGGCTGTCTGTCAACTATTTGTGTGAACTGAATGCACACTAATTTCTTGTAAGAATTTTGTTCATATATGCAGGGATTGTTCATTTTGTCGAAATATTGTGAATGCAACAGTGGAATTGTTCATTACCGTATGCGGAAGAACTCTACCTGATATCAGAATTCTTGGATCCTTAATTTTGAACATGTTTTGCAGAGTTGTCTTTCTGTTAACATTTTGACAGTACAAGACAGGAAAAAGTTTTAATGGGATTTTTTAGGACACTTCACGATCTTACCCTTTGCATGTAAGGCATTTGTAGAGGAACTGAGATAATTGATTAAAAGCATTTTGGCAAAATTCAACTAGTATATTTTATTGAATGGCAACCTTGCTCTGTAGGATTTGTTGAAAATGATCTTGCCCTTTGCATGTAGAAACTGAGATATTTGATTTCAAGCATTTTAGGCAAAATTCAACTAGTAGTGACTGTATATTTGATTGAATGCCAACCTTGCTCTGTAGGATTTGTTGAAAATGATTGAGATGGCTGGATGAATTTGCTACTGTTAGATATATTATTATTAGTGGGCCTGACAAGCTAGGTCATTTCGACAAAAACTAGGTCATTTCGGGACTAACATATGGTTCAATTTTATTTCAATAATTCGCTTGCGTGTAGGGGTCTTTAGCAGTGGGAGGAAACCGTAGGACCCGGAGAAAACCCACGAGGTTGGACAGGCGACCCTTCTCCTTGTCACATAGAACAGGGGATTCGAAACTACACCAGTTAACTTAATGACAGACCTTATGATACAGCGCCACACACTAACCATTCGGCCACCCAACCCCCCGCTGTTGAAATAACCCTCCATCCTGCACCAATGACTAGGGGACACCATGCTGGAACCTCCTGGTTTGTGAATCAGTGCCATACTCATTGACACATCATGATCACACTTTGTAAGACGGGCATCCGCCATGCTATATGGAAAGTTTTGGCCAACCCATATTTCAATTTATAACTGTCAGGAGATCCTGAACCTGTTGCTAATAGTATACAAGTGTCCTATGATTTTTCGTTTTATCAAAATGACAAATCTCTTGGTCCTGCAGACTAGACAGTATGGAGGAACATTCATGGCCAACATCACACTCAAATTCTGGACTCCTCATTGGTGAGCAGGCACCATAATCACTGTGCCACCGATTCAGAAATGGTACACATGTGTTGCACAAACTGGATCAGATGCAAAAATTGCTTGGGAGTTGGGACAACTCCCCTTTCCCTGACAAAATAACATACATACTACATAGATATAGATGTACACTGGTAGCAATATTTAAACTATTATTGCAATAATTTATTCAATGCAAAATAATTCTTAATTTAAATATACCAACAATTTAACAAATTTTATACATAATAATTTAAATATACCAGTACTAATAAATTAAATATTTTTGTACAATTTAAATATACCAATGAGTCACAATAATTTACAACTATAAAGTTGTCAGTTAATCTAAAATTTTGCACAGAATGTAGAATTAACATGGCTGATATAATACAAGAGATATCCCTGATTGTCAGCACCAACCTTAGAATATGTTGGCACTATGTAGAGTATACTGTCAGACTATAATAGACCCTTGTCACATAATTCAAACTGTTTTTTCAGTTCTAGTCATTTCATTTTAATACTATATAAAGTGAAGTTTAAATATATACAAATGCATCTATAACAGAATGTCAACACATGAGGCCTTATATAGGTCAGAATTCTATGGAATACAATTACTGCTTATTACTGAACGACGTTTCGACTAGGCTTCTCTAGTCATTATCAAGCCTTGTCAAAACGTCGCTGAGTAATAAGTAGTAAATGTATTCCATAGAATTGTGACCTGTATACTCCAGTTCAATTACTAAATGCCATTGAAACAATAGTATCTAATTCTGAAAATCAAATTTCAGTATAATTTAGATATTCAACAAAAGTAAATACATCGGAAAAAGAAAAACATGGCACCAAATGTGATAAAATTAAATCTGTTGATGCTAAATGCCCCTCTAAATTGCAGATCTTGAGCAACCCCACGTTTTGCAAATCCCTTAGGTGAAGCTTCTATATGTTTTACTCTTAAGTTTTTCATTGATATTTTTGTAAACATTATGACTTATGCATGAGATGTCAGTATATGTTGTTGAGCAAGTTCAAAACTATTAAACGCCATATTACACTCACTACAAACAAATACCTCTTCTTGTACTGGTTCTTTAACTTCCATCGCTTCTTCCGTGACGATCTGTTCCAACTGAACATCGCCAAGATACATTGTTTCAAAGCTTTGTTGGGAGGCGTCCAAGATTACTGTCTGTGTTTCTCCGTTTGTCTCCGTCATTTCGATATATTCTATCTCCGGCAGAACAAGCTGATGTTCTTCCGGTAGAACGTCAAAGGCAAGTTTACATTTTAAAAAATGCTTTTTCAATGTTGTGCTACACGTGAAAGCTTTTTGACACGATTCACAAACATATTTACTCACACCTGTGTGTGTAGTCAAATGTTGTGTCAGACGCGTTTTAACTTTAAAAGACTTACAACAAAATTCACATTTATATGGTTTGTCATTGCTGTGTGAAAATCGAATATGTTGCGATAACATGGTCTTATAACCAAACGATTTATCACAATGGACGCATTTGTGTGGTTTATTTCCCGTATGCTTATTTAAATGTTCCTCGAAGTTTGTTTTGTTGTTATACTTACTGCCGCAGTAAGAACAAATATATCTATATTTTCTGTCTTTTGAATCCAGATGTGTCTCCTCATGGGATTTTAAAGTATTTGATTCGTAAAAAGCTGCGTTACATATACGACAGACGTGAGGTTTAATCCCAGTATGACGTTTTAAGTGCGATTTTAAATACTTGCTATGGCTGAAAACTTTATCACAATGTTCGCATGAGAAATTTGCCGTAGGTTTATGAACAGTTTCAATATGAGTTTTTAGTAAACAGAAATATTTGAAAGTTTTTCCACACTGTTCACATGCTTTCTCTCCACGGTGTGTTAACTTGTGTTTCCGAAGGTCGAGCGGTGATTTGGCTACGTAATCACACTTCTTACACACCAAATTAACGGTACTTATTTTATGCGTAAAACTAAGGTGCCAGGCCAGTAATTTAGCAGTTTTGTATTTCCTGACACAATATTCACACGAAAATTCCACTGTTTGTTGCTGTGGACAGTGTGTTCGTTCCAAATGCCTCAACAATCCTAAATGTTTCTGGAAAAATTTCTCACAAATCTCACATGAAAGACTTGTTACCGGATAGTCAGGATGGTTCTGTAATGTGTGATTGACCAAAATAAAAAAATCATCAGATTGGAAATCACATACAGGGCATTTACCATTCTCCTCGTTAGCGGTAATTTGGATGGGGACAGCTGGCTTGATAACTTTTATTGGAGGAATATATAAAGTTGAATTCGTCATATCATTGTCTTTGTTTGAGTTTTCATAACTTTGATTGTTAGTCTTCTCTGTTTCACCGTCCTCATAATCCTCGTCTTCATCGCTCAGATATGTCATCGTTGATACAGATGATTTCTGTATTGGATCATCATCATTAACTTCATCATCATCATCATCATCATCATCACCATCATCAAACTCATCATTCCTCTTATTTTGTTCATTTTCAAGAGACCTGTTCAAACTTTTAACTGGTAACTCATAATCTTTATCCTCAACATCTTCATCATCCTCGTCAATATCATCACCTCTTGAATTATAGACTTTAACTCGTTTTCCTCTTGTGTTATAGCGTTGGTTATTTGGGGTATCAATAACAGTTGAAAATGGTTTAAATGACAAATCTTTAGGCTTTTTGGCACACACTTTCTTCGGCCTTCCTCGCTTTTTATGAATTTTCATTATCTTACTATCTCTGGAAGCTTCTTGATCCATTATTTTTGATACGATTTCTTTGGGTTTCTCCTCTATTATCTGATTATGATTTTCTATTATATTTTGAAAAATATTTTGAATTAATTGATCTTTTGGACTAGAATTGGATGGGTAATCGCTCCTGGTGATATCAGGACCGGTCTTAAAAATATTTTTCTCTGTTAATTTCTGGAAAAGAATAAAAATAGTGTCAATTTCAAAACTATACATCCTATTTGGTAAAGTATTTGCTGCCCTGGGACTGTGGTGGTTGAGAAGACCCTTCTGGATTTTTCAAGCTCTGTTCACATTTGTATTTCAGAGAGAGAGAATTGGGGTTTAACATCCACTCAACACAAACTAGGCCATTTCGGGACTAACATATGTTTCAATTTTATTTCAGTGGGAGGAAACCAGAGGACCCGGAAAAAACCCAAAGAGTTGGACAGGCGACCCTACTCTTTGTCACGTACAACTGGGGAATTGAAACCACGCCAGTTTATCTTAATGACAGACCTTATAATACCCCCCACTTTTGTATTTCAACTTGATTTAATATAAATATTAAGATATCCGCACAGCACCACAGTATCTTCCATAATTACAACAAGAATACAAACCAACACTTCAATTAAGATCAAGAAATTGGCAATTCAATTGTTGAATGATCTTCCTCTTGCAATAAAACAAATAGGAGACACCAACAGTTTCAAAACCAAACTTAAACATACATTATGCAAGAGCTAAATCTGCCTATTGCAGATCTTTCTTTAGGCCTGAATTGTTTCCTAAATTATTAATTAGACATTAACTAACTTATCCAGGCCATAATCAACTTGATGGCATCAGATTTCTCTGATATTAAATAGATTAGAACAGTTCAGCCATATTTTGATTTAAGCTAAAAATGGAGGAGCGAGACTTAGCTTCTAACAACCATTACAGTGGTTGAAATTATTGCACACGTCTTCTCAAACCTTCAGAGGCTAATATCTTTGCTCGCAATAGAATAATTTGAATGAAATTTTCAAAATATTCATTTTACATTATCTATTTTCGAACTATTATAGCAAGAATGGCTAGCTCTTTATCTAAATCTTACATTATATATCTTTAAGACTATTTTCTTCAAAAGAGCCAATTATTATTATTTATTACTATTATTTAGCACTTACTGATGTAAACAATTTCTGAGCCATATCTAGAGACTGAAAGTCCCCTGACAGTGTAGCAAATCTATTTTCCTGATGGGAGAACCATCTGAGAGTGGTACAAGTTGATTGAGCTATATCAGACAAGCAAGTGTTTATAATTTCCTGACTAGATCCCAGTAACTCTTGTATACTTCCTGGTATCAACCCAAATAATGTATCAAACAACTGTAAAATAAATAGAAAGTCATGTTATTTATTTACTGTGGTATAAACAAAATCATTTTTGAGGACTGACGTGACAATGCAAATCTTTATGATCATAGACAACAATCTAGACATGTCTGTAATACTATCGGACTTGTTGGGTTGTGTTTTTTTTTCTTCGTGATCGTAATATATCACACTACAGGTTAAATAGTTCCTACAACTTTATTGTTAAGCTGTAATGGCTTTGAAGGTTCCTCGTTCTCAATAATAATAGCTGCTTGGAATACCTGGGTGAGCTCTGCCCAGTCTCGCTCAACACCCTCTTTTATAACCCCCTTATTTCTGGACATCTTAGATTAGCCTTGACATTAATTTCCATCCCAAATATGGAATAAACCTCTTTATTTCTAAAGATCAGAGAGTGGAACATTACCTTATTTGGTCTACTAACCATAGGTCAATAAACAGATAGTATTTGATGGATATTTTGACAATGGTTATGATTTTACCAAAATATCACTGTTTTTTTATGTATAACTATATATTCACGTTCATTAAGTACGTGTGATTTGACTCTATAGACAGAGTGAAGCAACAATTTTTCAAAGAACCAAAATTGTCTTAAGGACAACAGTGCTACATGTTTCCATATAATGGATATATTAATTATCTCATTATACTGTACAAAAGAGAACGGATCATGTCTTTTTTTCAAAGACTGGACTGAAGCACCAGAAATCCGATCTTGGACAAAATTTTCCATAATGACTGACATCTCAAACGTGCAGCTCACTGGCTTAACTGCCAATTTGAGACTGTTTTCCTCAACAGCAGCCTCTGTTTCAACAAAAATTGTTTATATTATTTCTGTGTAAATACTGAAAAGAATTGTACCAATTTTTTGACTGATATTCACTTTAAAAAAAGATTCAACTTCCACAACAGTGTAGCTTGCAAAGGATGAGCAGTAGTTTTAAGTAATAATAGTGAGGTTCCGCAGGCATTACGAACTAAGAACTACGAATTGTTTTCGTGTTGACGTATCACTTCGTGTGATGTTATTGACATAAGCGGCATTTGGTTCGTCCATTTTCTACGAAGAAATCGGGAAAAGTTTGTGGTTAAAAAACGAAGTACGAAATCATGATTTTCTCGCTGATTTTTGGATGAAATTCATATTTTTGCGGTTTTATAGACAGTTTTGACATTCAGTAGAAGGTTAATGAACGTCAAAGTGGTTGTCAATTGTTCTGATTTTGGGCAAATTTTCGGGCTGTGAAACTTGTTTTTTTTTTCCGACAGTCGGCGATAAGATCGAATCATCTCGAATTTGATAAAAAAAACAGTTTTATTCCTTGTTTCAGGTGAACAATCTTGGAACTAAAGATCTTACTTCGGACTTCGCATTTTGGTGGAAACGGAAATCTGTCAAAAATGAAGTACGAAGCTGTGTTCGTAGTTCGTACTGGTTGCGGAACCTCTCTAATAAAATATACCTTCGTATCTTCAACAGATTTTGAAGAACTTTTTTCACTTATTGGACAATTTTCTGACTGCTCATCCATTGAATCCTGTATCTCTAACAGACTATTCTCTCCTTTATCTATAACAGTAATTCCATTTTCTTCATTCATAATTTTTGTATCAATCTCTGTAATGTCCTCTACTGCTTCTGTTTTGGTCAATGGATCAACCATTTCTACATCGTTCAATTCTGATTCAACCATGTCTTCTGATGCCAACACATCCTTTGAATCAATAACCACTTTAAGTTCATCGACCATCTTTTCTGAAGCAACCATTGATGAATCAACCGTCCTGTTTGTCAACACCACTGATGAATCAACCAACTTTTCTGCAACAACCATTTCTGAATCCACAATTTTCGCTGAATCAACGATCTTCTCTGCATCAACCATTTGATCAGTATAAGAAGTAGAAATTGTTTTATCATTGTTTCCCCTTCCATTGCAACCATCAACATGTACTTCCATAGCTATTTTGTGTCGTCTAGTTATACCACAGAATGGACAGTGAAAATGTTGTCTATTATTTATTGTGTTACTGGTTGATACTGGTAAACTTGAACAATAACAGATTAAACTATTATAACCTGTAATATACAAATCATATTAAAGACACGATATTTAAGACTACAATGCAAATCAGAGATTAAACTATTATAAACTGTAATAGACAAATCATATTAATGAAATGAAATGAAATGGGGTTTAACATCCTACTGTTCTGCTCCGAACTGGGCTAATGAAGACGGGCATATGCCATACAGTGTGCTATGGGGGAAATTTTGCCCGGACAGCGGCACTAAGGCCTACTCTTATATCAAATTACAACTGTCAAGGGATCTTTTACGTGCACGCCAATGTGTACATGGGACCTCGGTTTTTCGTCACATCCGAACGACTAGACATCTGTCCTTGTCAGGCCCTCCATCGTGCATCACTGACAAGGGGAAACCACGCCGGAAAAACTGGATTAACTTTCTCGGCCAATGCAGGGATCGAACACCCAACCTCCCGGGTAGCGAGCCAGTGTCTTATCCACTTAGCCACCGTGATTCAAGACTACAAGGCAAATCACATTATTTTTGTTGAAAATATAAAACCTACCATCAATTTCTACTCTGTTCTTCCAGTGTGTTGTATAATGGTCTTTTAAATGATTTTGAAAATTTGGTTTAAATTTGTCTGCCGGACACAAAACACAGTGGAATTTATTTTCACAACAATTATTACGTGTACATCTTACAATAGGTAAATCTTCTATCCTTCGAACTACAGATATATGATGCTGAAATAGATATGATATACGTGTAATCAAAGGTTTTTATTTCTTTACCATATTGCTGTCCTGAATACATACTAGAATTATTTTAACTAATTATTAATGTGTTTTGTATTTTGTTTATTTCTAACTTCTTTTTCAAAAATATTAGTGAACCTAACCCTTAAAAATGCTGAACTAGATATTCTGAATGATAGCCACACAAAGCCTGGAAAATGCCCACACAGCAGCTTTGTCTCAACTGCAGCTTATCTGAAAGGAAAACTTGGATGTTGAGTAAATTTGGTACGAATCTAGGATCCCTTAAGAAAATCTAATCTCCAGGGTTCATCTTCTTATGACCCCATTGCTTCCAATCAAATTTGAAAAAAAAAATCTGTTAAAACCTATAGCCTCCATAGCGTTCACCACACGATTTTTGGCAAAGAGGAGATAACAGAAGATTATGAATATTGATAGGGTTCGATGACCCCAATGCTTTGAAAAAATCTGAAAAACATCTGTTAAAAACTGTAGCTTGAGTTCACAAGGTTTTCGGCAAAGTCACTGTGTGTGTGTGGGGGGGGGGGGGGGGGGGGAAGGGGGAGGGATTCATACTTCGGAACGGAAAGTTGTGGAAAGCTGAAGGTTGATTGCGTTCATTCTCTCATGCTTACAAACAAAAGTGAAAAAATGAAACCATGCCAGTTGACTCAATAACAGACCTTATGATACAGTGCACACATGCTTACCATTCGGCCATCCAACCCCCCCTTCCTCATAATGGTGGAGAAAATTAACCAATTCAAGCAAATTTGTATAACGAGAGATTGTGTAACAAAGTACTCTATAACTTTCATCAAATTAAACGATCATTTAGGTGCTTAGAACTTTATGACCTCAGCTGGTTTTTGATAATATATGATATTGACTTTTCAACTCTGTATAAACTTCTGTTAAGGCACGGACTGGCTATGATCTAATTAAACATGTAATTAATCCCATGTCATTTACAAACTACATATGATCTGTGCACACGCTCCGCATTACTTCAAAAGAATACACACTGGTCACTAAGCATGCCATGATGAGATAAAAGAGACAATTGTATGTATGACCATGTGTCTCATCTATTGTCCAAAGGTATCTAACGAGGAGTTTGCTGACAGAAGTACGACTAAAGACGTGCAGAGACGGAAAGACAAGCACATGAACTCCCCCGAGTTCAGCCGCTGCCTTGGCAGAGGCAGAATGGTGGATTTAATATAGTTATATGTGTTCCTGTCGTAGTCTAGTTCCTGTATATTAGTTTAAGTTCCTGTATTTTTTTGTATGTAGATGTGATACCTGTAAATAAATCATATATCTACTACTGATCTCTCTACTACTGATCACTAAGATAGTGTTACAATTGTGTCTACCGATGAACTGAGTAAATACTTACTGTTATGTTTTCAGCAGGTACCAGTACATGATTGTTTATTGGCAGTGAAGTATTTTTCCTTGGTTTATCTTTTGGTTCCTGATTACATCTCCATACATGAGTTAATGTTGAACTTAAATCCACAAAAGATTTTGTCTTACAGATATGACAATGATAATGTTTCTTTCCATCATCTTGACAAGGCAGCTCACATAAACTAATATCATTGCTCTCTGAAAAAAATAATTGAATGAATGTACATTTATTGCAGCCATTTGGTACTTAAATATTTATGATGAATTGTGTAAAATCTTTGGATAGGCCTCTTTTTGACCTGAATGAGTCCCACCTAGCAGATTAGCTAACTTTGATAGTTTGGCTTTTTTTTTTTAACTACAGTACATAATCCACTGGAATACTTTTAGCATGGGTTTTGCAATTGTCTCAAATCGAGTATGAGAAAAATGCCCATCAGCTGTCACTTGAGATGACTCGCTTGCAAGCGTCACATGTAGGAAGCGTGAGTCATTTGAGAAATAACCAATCTGATTAAAATACAGATCTATATTTCGTTTCGTTTTCTTATACTTTCGATGGCCTACACTACATGAAGATCTGACCGGTTGTAGCCATAGGTCACGTCAGAGGTCATATGAGCGCTTTTGACCCTATGACATCAGACATTTGATTAACCAATCAGCATTGATGTTACTAGTGGATTACCCACAGTTCTGTGCAAAACATGCCTAAAGCTGATCTGTGTTTTAATCAGATTGAGAAATAACTGCTAATTTGCCTTGAATCTCGCAGTAATTTCAATATAACTATTTATGATTTTTTTATATTCAGATGACCATAATAATTGTAATATACACCCACCAGCAGCATTTTGACTGTTAAGTTTTTGGGTCAGAGGCAAATGTATTAATATTGCTAGAATTCTTGCTCTTGAAATTAATGGTTGCAGTATATTTCATTAATTAATATCTTTGCAAAGTTATTAGATTCACATATACGTAGAATTGTACTTTAATCAACATAGTGACAGGTTGACACATAGAAAGAGTTACAGAACCAAAACATGGCTGGTTGTATGTGTCAATAAAATACCACGAGATTACACGTGCTTGGAAATTTACTAATTTCATCATTTGGCTAAAGTAACCAATCATAACAGAAATTGCACAGGTTCAAGGCCATGAATAGGCTTTTCTGTGCGTGGTATCCATGAGTCCTATAAAATAAATCATGGTAAACTTTTAAGGCAGATTTTCATTAGATTCCGGAGAGATTACCATCTGAGTTCCTAGACAACAGCTTGATTCCAGAAGGGAAAAGATGTAGCAATTTCTATCAGCAGACTCGCCCAGCGAGTCTGGCTGGATGAGGTTTGAGAGAATGACTTTATTCTATTATGCATTGTACCATATGTAAGCAGCTATATCTATACTTATATTTGTGACTGTCGTCTGTCTGTCTGTCTGTCTGTTCGGGGTTGGCGGCTACACTAGGTCTGCCCTGAGTCTGAAATTTGGGGTATAGGGGTAGCTCGGACCGGAGAGTAACATAGGCCAGGTGGCGTTAGTCTACCACTTCCGGTTTCGGGGTTATGACCCCCGAGCGCTGCCGGGCATTCTTCTAGTGATATATAAAATCTAAAAACGAACTGTTGCATTGTTATTCCTGGAAAGACAAACGTCTTATGAAAACAGTAAGAAGTAAATACACAACGTGAAGCAGAAGCAAAGACAGCTAGGGACAAATTCTAGACGATCACAAGGCTACTAAGATATGTAGTAGGAAAAGATACATGGGCCGTACGTAGGATGTGGCGACCAGTTTTCCCACACCCGCTATCCACGTCTGTCGAAAGGCCTGTGGTGCTACATATTAGCTATGCATCACACCGATGGGAAACTTTGATGATCACCTTTCTTTTTGTTAGTACAGTATAAAAATTACCTGAGAATTCAATTTTCTTTGGTTGCTTGAAATTAGGAGCTTGCACATGTCCTGTATCTTCGTTCTGAAAGTCAAATACTTGATCACATATCATACAATAATTCACTATTCAGAAATAATCAATATATGAGCTCAAAGATCGTTTGAGGGAATTCTAATGCAGAATCCCCAACGTCAAAATCTCTTTTGTTATATGCAAAAAGAAATAGTAATTTCAATTATTAGTCCTGATGGTAATTTCTATTATTAGTCCTGATAGTAATTTCAATTATTAGTCCTGATAGTAATTTCTATTATCAGTCCTGATAGTAATTTCAATTATCAGTAATTTCAATTACCGGGTATCAGTAAATTCTATTATCAGTCCAGATAAGGGTAGTAATTTGTATTATGAGTAGAAATACTTACTTCTTTCTTCAGATGACCAATGAGATGATCTTTAAAGTTGGCCCTTTTTAGAATTTCTTTAGAACAACAAGGACAATGGTAATGCCCTGATTTACTGCATGCAAGAAAACATTTTAATATAATCAAATCTGTAAAAAAAAAATTAAAAAATCCATAAATATTATTTTAATTGTTACTCTGTTTAATTCAATTTTGGAACATTAAACATTTAATATTCTCCCAAAAATTTAATTAAAGATACATAATGGGAGATTAGATAAAGAGCTGGCATTTCTTGCTATAATAGTTTTACTAGATTCTGTAAAGGGAATTTGCTGAAAATTTCAGTCAAATTGATCAACTATGAACCAAGATTTTAGCAATTGAATTTTTGGCCTAGCCTTGATCATCGTTACTAAAGTCGGTAGGATAAAAAACATAGTCTCGATTATCCATTTCACAATTTAATTATGAATGGAAGTCGAACAATAAATCAAAACCTAATCCAATAAACATCGCAGGCTAGCGATGCCATCGAGAGTTGATTATGGTTTGGATAAGTTAATTAATGTCTAATTAATAATTTAGAAAACATTTCAGACCTAAAGAAAGTCCTGCAATAGGCAGATTTAACTCTTGCATGATGTATGTTTAACTACCCACAGCTTTTCTGTAATTTCGTAGTAAGGTTTATAGGAGTGATTTTTACTACTAAATTAATGTTTATTTTTGACATCATGAGAGAACTGAAAGGTCATTACAGAAAGTAGTATGTCCATTAGCACTGACCATTATGTTCTTGATATAAATGTTCTCTCAAAAACCAAAAAGCAAATCCCCAAGATTATTGGGGGTTCACCATGACTCTGAGACGAGGAGGTCCCAGGAATTTCCATTTGTCAGGGTTCCTGGACATGGCAAGAACAGTGTATAGTCCAATTTTTCATATGATAAAATTGAAATAGGCTGTAGCAAAACTTCCGTTAAATCGATCTAGATGTACTTACAAGAAAATGAAATAATGGATGTTGCCCAACTGGGGATGTCCAGTATTTCTGGAATTGATTAACTATGTCGTTTTCAAAGTTTACCAAGAGTTGTCTATTCTATGACAAAATACAAACCTTTAAAATAAACTGCATGAGGAAAATGTGAAAGTTGAATATGGTCAATAGTTTTAGTAGATCTAGTTGGTTTAAATACTGCTTTATCACAGTAAGGACAATGATACAAGCCATCACAACAATCATCTTTAGAACACTTATCAATCTCAACAGTATCACCTCGTTTTATAAACGTTTTCACTCTTGTCATATTCTTGTTTTCCATCTTCTGAAAATTATTCAGGGAAATAAGTAGCGGTAGAGGTATTAATAATAGTAAAAAAAATGACAGGACATGTATATTAATCAATGTGGTGACCTGCTAGAAGGAACATAGTGTCATTCCTACTACATGTAGTTGAGCTCTCTTATCTAAACCCATGTAGACTTTAGCTTGGATCTGTCCACACCACAACGACAACAGGCAGTTGGCTAAATAAAATGAAATGGGTTTCAACATCCTACTTTTCTGAACCGATGGGCTAATAAAAACGGGCATATACGCCTTGTAGTGTGTTATGAGGAAAATTTTGTCCAAAATGCAGCGCTACCTGGGGTCTTCTCCTATTTCGAATTCCAACTGTGGGGATAATTTTTTTACATGCACACTAATGTGTAGGCTACACAGGACCTCACTTATTTTTGGACAATCCGAACAATACAAGTTGTCAATTGGGAGGGCCTCCAATCCATCCTATAGATGCCGTTGACAAGTGGGAACCACAAAGGAAAATCACAATTTACTTTCTCGGCAAACACCGGGCCCTCTAGGTTTAATACTTGATACTATGTTTATCACAGTCGAAAAATCTGACCTAAAAATAAGCTGTTTTTGTTCCACGACTTCAGGAACTTTTATGAACACAAACTTCGATGACTTTGCACTTTTCGTGAAGGGGAGAAAATGGGGTTGTGTCGAGCATGGTTTGTACATTCAGAAAGGTGTTTATGACATATTTTTTATATTTAGAAAAATTAAAATTATCAGGAAAAGTCAAAAATGGTGCTCGACACTAGAAGTAAATGTATTTTCTCATAGAATGACCCCTTTCCTTGTCATATTGACAGATATTTCATTCACCAAAATTAACCATTTTACTATTTTTGTAGTTATGAAATGCTGTGCAGATCTGTGGAGCCTTATAGTTATATGGTAATCGAGCGTAGTACATGTATTTTCATGCAAGATTGCAGGAGAATTTCAAATGCAGTGGCTATTGTTACGACGATGCTTTCAGAGCCCTCCATCGGCAAAGTTTAGCGTTAGGTTAGGGTTAACCCTAACCCTAGTCAGGCCCGAATCCAGGATTTTGTCAAGGGGGGCATACATTGGAGCAAAGGGTAATCATCAGAGTGCCACATGCATTAGTGGTATGCATTAGTGGTTTGCATTAGTGGCGTGGGCTGGGGGGGGGGGGGAACTGGGCCTGTAGTGAAGTTGAAATCCATTGATTCAGAGGAGTAATAGAAATCGATGGTCGTAACAATAGCCACAGGTCTATTTTTACGACTATTCAGTTTTTAACTTCGTCGATGGAGGGCTCTGAAAGCATCGTCATAACAATAGCCTGAGGACTAGTTTTACGACTCATCGTAGCCACTGTGAATTTCAAAATGGTCTTAGCGAAAGTTGCGCATTAAGGCTTAGCAGAAAATAAGTTAAGATGTTTAATAATTGCTAAAAATAGGGAGCGCTTTCGGATGGGTATAGTTTTGATGTGTTAGGCACCAGAATGCGTTAAAATTTATGAAAAACTTTGAAGTTTATATCTTGACGGATTTTTTAAAATTTGTTTTAGTTTCTTAAATGGGAGGATGGTTAGAATGCTAGTAAATATTCAGGAAAGGCTAGAGGTAAGTCCAGAATAGGCTTCTAAAAGCCATGGCATCTATGTCATATAATAATTTTGTGTCTTTAATACAAAAAAACTTAAAACCGAAGTTCAAAATGATAGTCTACCTTTATTTTTTGCTTTCGTTTCCTATCAAGAGTTCAAGGTCAAGGCCAAGTAATTGTTGTATATATAAATTGATCATGGATCAAAAATATAACATTGCTACTGCTATCCACCTTTAAGATGGAAACCCGTTATAAGTTAGCGGAATGTATACATAAATGAACAAAGAACCCTTTTTATTTTTTTTTTTAAAAAAAGCTCTAGGCTTAGTTTCGTACCTGCAAAAGCTCTGTATTATTCATATAAATTTTACTGATGATCCAAATTATATTTGCAGATAGATTTATATTCCCATTGCCATTGGCAGTGATACAAAGGACAACTTTAATAAGATTAGGCACAAGTGAAGAACCAGTCAATATGACTACTATTCGACCATTTACATGTGATGACCTGTTCCGTTTCAATAATGTAAATTTAGACCCTCTCACAGAAACTTATGGCTTGCCATTTTACATGCAGTATCTTGCCCATTGGCCAGAATATTTTCAAATAGCTGAATCTCCAAATGGGCAAATAATGGGATACATTATGGGTAAGGCAGAAGGCTCAGGGGAAATGTGGCATGGCCATGTTACAGCGCTAACAGTCGCACCAGAATTTCGACGGCTTGGATTAGCAGCCAAATTGATGCAAAATCTGGAAACCATCTCAGAAAAAAAGCAGTGTTACTTTGTGGATCTGTTTGTACGAGTGTCGAATAAAGTGGCAGTGGAAATGTATAAGAAATTAGACTATAGTGTTTATAGACGGGTTTTAGAATATTATTCTGGAGAAGTGGATGAAGATGCATTTGATATGAGAAAAGCTTTGCCAAGAGACAAAGATAAAAAATCTATTATACCATTGACTCACCCAGTAAGACCAGAAGAATTGGACTGACTGTATGTTCTGCAAATAGTGGTGGACTTTTTAAAAGTTATTTTTTTCGTTGTGACTGTATTTGGACTTTATCTTACATTTTTTTGCCATCTAAATTAAACTTGTTTTGATAATAATGTGTTTCCATTGTTTAATTAATGGAATTAATCAGATTTTTAAATCAAGGTTATTTATGTACTTGTTTTGTTAGTTATTACATGAAGTCATGAATAATTATATATTGGAATATTTCATTATACTTTTCAACAATGTAGCAGGAAGTAAAGTTCAATAGAACCATTGAATGCAATTATTCCATATATTTCTCTTTATTATTCGATAAACAGTTTTATAGTCCTAGTTATTCTGATCCAACTCTTTTATGTCTCTGCAATATAAAGTTTCCCATTATTATACCACTAATAACAATACACAACGAGCGCTAAAAGGCATTGATCAGATTTTCTTAATAATCAGATGCACAAGTGCAGGTGGCAAATTTCATTGAAACTCCCACGTACATCAACACTACATCTATCTAATAGGCATTGCATAACGAGTGATATTGGATCAAATAGACCTACCTACGGTACTTAAAAGATAACATAACAAAGATCAATAGCATTCTATGGTTTTCTCATCATATATACAAAACTTTCATTTGGTTGCCTAAAAAGTGAGTTTGTAAAATCTAAAACTATTCAATCCTAACGCTCGTGTATCATATCGTCGATGAAGTGTCAAAAGGGTGTACCGGGTATCTAAGAATTTCTTTTGCATTTCAAAATTTCCACAAATCAAGATACAACATTTGGACACATGATACCCAGAACAGTTCTAATTGGTGTAGAGATACACAGCTTAGACAGAAATGTGCATATTAATTGGGAGATTTTAAAAATGCAAAAATGTGTATTTGACTAATTTCCCGAGATACACCCTTTTGATACTTCACCGACGATATAATTTTCTAATGAGTTACATGGTAAGAGTAGACTGGTTGACGGAAAGAATATATAGTAATGTTTTAAAACACTATTGGTGAAACTCCAAAATTGTAATAAGGAAAATTTTCAGCTAAATATTTTTGTGTCTTTCAGTTGCATTAGTCCAGTTTATGACTATTTTGTCAGTAATGGATATGGATTGACCTAAATTGCATTGAAACAATGTTATTATAATACTAGTCTTTTCAAACTTTATTCATTTCTATTTATGTGTGATGTACGTCATAATATAATATGAATGCAATACAAATCTGAAAGACGAAATATTAAAATGATTACATTGTTTAGACTATTCACTAACACCACTCTTTGCAGATTCAAAATTCATGTGAACACTAACGTATGGCTTTACAAGCTAATTCAATTTATATTCATAAATGCATTATAATGAAAATGTATTAATACTATAAATAAAATGGATGTAAGTAGTGTATTTATACATGAAGTTCTCCTATGGACATTGAAACCTATATTCACAAACAGTTAAAGATACATTATGGGAGATTAGATAAAGAGCTGGCAGTTCTAACTATAATAGTTAAAACTGGATAATGTAAAGGGAATTCGCTGAAAATTTCAGTCAAATTGATCCACCCTGAACTGAGAATTTTGCGATTGAATTTTCAGTCTAGCCTCGATCATCATTACTAAAGTCGGTACGATAAAAGACATAGTCTTGATTATCGATTTAATCATGAATGAAAGTTGAGCAACAAATCGGATCCTAATCCAGTAAATATCGCAGGCTAGCGATGGCATAAGGAATAAATATGAAAAGTTTTCAAGACGATCGATGAAGAATTGTGGCCTGTAGGTGACAAACAAAAAGAAAATGGGTGTGGGTCGGGCATGTATCCAAAATGATAGGTATCATCCTTATGGTATAAGGAATAAGTATGCAAAGTTTCAAGACAATCCATAAAGAATTGTGACATGTAGGCGACCCACAGACACACATACAGACAGGGGCGACGGCATAATAGTCCACATTATGAATGTGGACCTATAAAAATGGGATTTATTACTACAATATAGGCACCGACTGCATAAGAAAATAACTCAACAAACCATGACAGCCAAAACATATTTGTTGTGTTTAAATACGTCAAGCTTCTACTCACACCACCTCTGTTGTAGGGACAGAAAGAACTCGGAGAGGATTGAATTCCGCGTCACTCGATTACAATTCTGTCAATTCGATACGTTCCGGAATGACAATGGAGCAACCCCATTGAATTTGTAACAAAGGGGAATAAACCCTGGAAGTTAGCGAAAACTGTTGAAATTCAATAAGCTTTTCTTCCTTTCAATAGGATAAACAATCAAAATAAATTTCAGAAAGTGTTTAATTACAGACTCCAGTCAGAGCAGAACTATAATGTTCAAACAAAAAGTTTCTTAACAAAGGGGCATAACCCCGAAGGTGATTATTAAAGACGTTGGTTTCAATGATATAAGACAACTCATTTAAAATTCTAAGCTCTATTGTGCTAACAAATTATGCGAACAACAGATGGGCATACATTGTGACAGCAATATACGACCACATCAAATGTGTTTGTATAAAAACAACTTGACAATGGAATGTGGCCAATTAACAGTTTTCGTACTTTTACTGTCGAATTCCTTTGAAAATAACAACTCATAACAATTATTGATAACAAATTTTTGTGTGCAAAATAGTTTATTCCACAATATTATCTAATTTAAAAAAATACACATATTAGAAACCACAAAACAGATTAAGTAGGTTGCATTGCTTTAACATGATATAAATATAACAAACCATATTCTAATGTATTTCTTAAACTACAAAATTTACACTTGACAGGAATCAGTAGATTATTTCATCTGTATCACATTAATCTTGTTTAACAGTAATTACACCAAGCCAGATCATTCACTTCTTATTATGTAACACATAGGAGTATAAAAAAACATTCATAAAAATAGCACTTGTATGAAAAACATAGAATTATTTTATTTGTCAAGATCCATAAAGGTGAAATCAATGTAAACTTTAAATGAACCATAACTTAAGTTAGAATTGATTTGACTAATTTCTAACATTTGAATGTGTATGTTGTCAAACTTCACATTTATCTTTCAAACTGGGGGAGCCATGGTTGCTCACAGTGAATAGAGTTGGCTGATGGTTTTACAATGGTTTCCTCTTTTAAGTAAAGCAGGGACAGAAGACCTAGGAAAGAACTCTGCATGTCATATACGTCTTCATAAGCCGAGTTTGTGCAGAAGAGTATCATATTAAACCTCATTTCATTTATTCTATCATGTCGGGACCTACAGCAATCAATATTCATGTTACAAATTCCTTATGCAATAAATACTTTGAAAAGCAAGAATTAATGATAAATGAATTGTATGTTTTACAATAATCAAGCAATACTGTTTTTGAAATAAACGTTTTTAAATTATCATTACTGTATTCTATGTTCCTGGAATTCTATATTAATTACACGTGTATAAAAATTGAATAAAAATAAAATAAGATTATATGATAATCAATGATATAGGATTTTCTATACACAATGTGCAACAACTGAATTTGCATAGAAAACAATACGCAAATTAAGTAGAAAAATATAGAGCATCAATTGAATGGAATGTAAACACTAATTTATTATGCTTAAAACAATCACTATCACGAAAAACAATGACATCACACTTAAAAACTCTTGATACATTTATATAAAATCAACAAAATAATAACAATATTATAAAATCAGGTATGACAGTATCCACTCATATCTTCAACATAATAAAGTGTTTCCTCACAATTCTCAAATGTTAAAGATACCTTATGTAAGATTTAGATAAAGATTTGGCCGTTCTTGCTATAATATTTCAAAAATAGATAATGAGTGTTTGAAGAAGTAGCATAGATGATTTATTATCCATTTTATTGTTAAATTTTTAAATCTAGCGGGTGTTCTAATCTATTTAAATCTCGACCATCCGATGGTCTAGAGAGTTGATTATAGGCTTGTCATGAGAATAAATATCTAAATAATATATTATATAACATTTGATGCCAAATTCCAGACCTGCATAGATGTAGCTCTTACATAATGTATCTTTAATATACTACGGATTCAATAATTGTGCGTGGTGTACACGTTACAGTAAGTCTCTATTACAGATTTGTGAACTACAATATACTTGTGACAAAAAAAAAAAAAAAAATCTGTATAAGATTATATTGAAATTTATGGGACTATTATGGTACTTTTTAAAAACAAAGAAAAAACTAATATTCAACAATTAACAACTAGAAAAATTCGATGATTTTAACACCTAACAAATAAAAAAAAAAGTTTTTGTCTTGTAGTAGATCAGAGACTTTCACTAGAAAATTTCGATGATTTCAAATCTCCATTTAAACACCTGACCAGACATTTCTCTCATTTATGTACATAACATGCCAACAATTCCATATTCATTAAAGATTAAATGATTTCTACGTTGAGTGATCCTTCTAGAAACTAGTTTAATGATAAACCAGATGATAAATAAAACGACCTTTAAGTAGTTGTGCCCCTTTGGTATCAACCTTGTTACTGATCAAAAAAAATAATGCATCATAAATATAAGAGACAAACCTTCTTTATAACCAAAACTTAATACTTGGAAATATCCAAAACTTAAAGATTTGGAACATCATTTGAGGAATTTTGAATTCATTGCAAATACAAGTTGAATTTCTAAAATAAATATCAGTCCAAATATGATTCAACTGATGAATTAATTATATGCAGATAATATAAGGGATATGGTAAAAAGTCAGCCCCCTCACCTGTAATTCCCCCCCCCCCCTTTTGATCCGACTGAATCCATGGAAGGAGATTATCTACCACTGCTATTTTGTATTTAATTAAATGTTAAATAATCAATTTGAGTATATTTAAATGTTAAGAGAGAGACAGAGAAATGGGGTTTAACGTCCACTCGACACAAACTAGGTCATTTCGGGACTAACATATGGTTTAATCTTATTTACATATTCGCCTGCGCGTAGGGGTCTTTAGCAGTGGGAGGAAACCGGAGGACCCGGAGAAAACCCACGAGGTTGGACAGGCGACCCTACTCCTTGTCACGTACAACCGGGGATTCTTAAATGTTAAGCCAAAAAAAATAATGCACATAAGACTTTAAAATAACACCTCTTTCATTTAGATAAAAAATAAAATTGTTGATTTTATATTTGACTTGTTTATATAGCAGTCTGCATTTAAAATATCAGCTAAGCAGATAGAACCAATGTCAATGTTTTTAGCAGAAATAAAAACTAAATTCACCCATCACATACTGTGTACCTATATTAATCGAAATAACACATTACTTAAACTAAATGGGGTTTAACGTCCACTTAACACAAATTAGGTCATTTCGGGACTAACACATGGTTCATTTTTTTTTATTTCAATAATTCGCTTACGCGTAGGGGTCTTTAGCAGTGGGAGGAAACCAGAGGACCCAGAGAAAACCCACAAAGTTGAAACGCAACCCTACTCCTTGTCACATACAACCACGGAATCGAAACCCCACCAGTTGACTCAATGACAGACTGTATGACACAGTGCGTACGTGCTAACTATTCGCCCATCCAACCAGCCCCCCCCACCCCCCAAATGAAAGAGGTTTTTCTCTTTTAGTAATAAAATGAAATTTAATGTCCACAAAATACATCAGATAATGTATGGAATATAACAATCTACTTGATCTATATTGTAAGAAACTAAATCAAAGAAACAATAAAATATTCTGCACTGTGACCCAAAGCTATCTAACCCAATTATAAATGCACAAAATGTACAAAAATATGAAAACTTGATAACTAATATATTTCCTCTGGAGTTCTGTAACCAGTAGATTATTAATTATTAACTATCTAATATTCAGTTTTAAATATTATTAAACAATTCAATTGAATTTTTTTTTATATAAAATATAAACAAAAATAATAAAACCAAATTCCTCAACCATGTTGTGGGACTTCTGCATAACAATAAACAATTGCATTAGATACAAATTAAAAAATAAACAAATAATATATAATGCCTAACAAAACAATTTCTTCTCAAAAATATGATTTACAACAATTAATTATAACATTTACACCAATTGAGCTTTTGTTCCTTGGCAACACCTAATAAAATTTTGATATTTCATCAGGGATTGCGGAAACAATTTAAAAACAAAAAGTTCTTGGTTTTTCTTCTTAAAAGCTTTCAGTTGTGAACTTTTTAATTTGTAAAATTCAAAATTCAAAAAATTGTGATTATTTATTCAACATTTGGCCTTTCAGTCAAAGTATTATCTAATAGATTTAGCGAGATTTGTCTTAAAACAAAAACAGATTGGTTTATTTTCAAATCAAATAATTTCAAATGATATGAGTCTCTAATTAATTGTTCAAGATTTCAGAAAGTTAGGTCGAGAGGAGTGTTAATAAAACATCACAGTCCTTGTGGTTGAGCCAAAATGATCCTTTGTCACAGGTCTTAAGAAAACAATTTTCAAAACTCTAGTTTCGCTTCTTTTTCTTTTTTTTCTCAATTTCTTTTCTGGTTTCCTCTTCTTTGATCTGTTTTTGATTCTTTCTTTCCACTTGTTGTATAATGTCTTCTGTTAATTTCTTTCCCTTTCTAAGGACACTTTTAGGTAATAACGACATCAAATATTTCACCTGCAAAGAGAGAGAGATAGAGAAATGGAGTTTAACGTCCACTCTACACAAACTAGATCATTTCGGGACTAACACATATGATTTAACTTTATTTCAATAATTTCCTTGCACGTAGGGGTCTTTAGCAATGGGAGGAAACCAGAGGACATGGAGAAAATCCACGAGGTTGGACAGGCAACCCTACTGCTGTCACGTACAACAAGGGGAATTCAAACCACGCCAGTTGACTCAATGACAGACCTTATGACACAGAGCGCACTTGCTAACCATTCGGCCACAACTCTAGAAGTAATAAACGGAAATTACTAAAATTCAATAGAGTTCTTCACTTGACTCATTTTAATAAAGTATAAAAATTTCATACAGATCGGATTAAAACTTATGTTGTTACAGTGTTCACAAGGGTCTACAACACGAATCAAGGACCATAACTCTAGAAGCAATGAACAGAATTTGTTTAATTTCGGTAGGATTCATCAGACGATAACTTTTGTTATTAGATTGTTCACAAGGTTCAACGTTAGAGCGTTCAAAAGGGTCCACAAATTGAATCAAGGGCCATAACTCCAGAAGCAAAAACTGAAATTGTTGAATTTCAATAAGATCAGACAATAACTTTTGTTATGAGATCGTTCACAAGATTCAACAAAATGCAACAAGGGCCACAACTCAAGAAGCAATTTACAGAAATTGCTGATATTCAATGGGGTTCACTAATTTAAATAATTCATATAAATTTCAAACTGATCAGGTCATAACTTTTGTTGTTAGAGCATTTATTTGGTTAAACAAAGAAAAACAAGGGTCATAACTCTAGAAGTAATTAACAGAACTTGCTGAACTTCAATAGGTGTCTTCGTAATCTAAATAATGCATATAAATTTCAATACAGATTGGATGATAACTTTTGTCGTTAGAGCGTTCACAAGCTTCTACATAGTGAAGTAATAAACGGAAATTGCTGAATTTCAATAGGCTTATCCGTTTTACTAATCTGAATAATGCATATAAATTGTATATAGATCGGATGATAACTTTTGTCATTAAAGTCTTCACAAGGTTCAACAAAGTGAAACAAAGGCTATAACTCTAGAAGAAATTAACTGAAATTGTCGAAACTAATATAACCAACAAATATAAATGTAAAAAAGATTGGATAATTAATGTAGCCTGTAGAGTTTTCACAAGAAATTGTGGACAATGGATGGACGTCTGGATGTAGGCGACGGCAATAAATGACCACATTTCCATGTGGGCATAAAAAAGGTTATGAAAAAAAAATGATATTTTCTGTACCTGATCTGGAGGTAATAATGTGTGAAAATAAGCTGGTAAACGTTCTCTTTTAATACTGCCTGCTTTCAAAATCTCCTCCATTATAATTAAATAATTATTACGATTCATAAACTGTCCAGATACAGCCATAGTCTCTTCTGTATTATATGCCTATAGATATAAGAGTTAATTTAACCTTAGATGAAAAATAAGACTCTACCATTACATACCATATAAATAATCAACCAGCGGCTGCCAGGCAGGATACGCCCAGATTTTGCAAGAGATGGATAGAGAACAAGCTAAAAACAAAAGGATTTTTTGTACAATCCGGGGCCATAATCCACAATGTTATGGTCTTAAATGTGCAAATATCAAAAGGGACTGAGATTTCGGGAATATAAAGATGTTTTTTTAAGTATCAAAATTGGATAAGACCACAACCTTGATATACCATATTTTACACTATTTGCGTACAAGGGGCGGCCATTTTGTCCGACATTTTTGGTCCAATTTTCCCGAAATTCGAACTCAACCATTATTAGGGTGTAATGGTGATATACTAAAATGTTTTTTTTAAATCGGATGAAAATTGTGACCTTTAGAGGGACCACAAGCTAAAAATGTGATTTTTCGTACATTCAGGGGCCATAATTCAGAAAGTTACGATCCTATATGCGGGAATATCGGAATGAAACAAGATATTTGGGTTATAAACATGCATATCTAGTTTCATCAAAATCAGATCAAAAATGTGACCTCTAGAGTGTACACAAGCTAAAAACTTGATTTTTCGTACAATCAGGGGCCATGCGAATATTGAAAGGAACCAAGATCTTTCAAGTTTCGTCAAAATCAGATAAAAATTGTGACCTGTAGAGAGTCCACAAACAAATTGTGGACGGACAGGGGCGACGACAATATACGTCCACATGAAAATGTGGGTGTATAAAAACTCATCATATTACTATTAATACCAAACAGCAAATGTAGACCTTCAGACCATACAAAATAATGAATAAACTTGCTAAAAAAAAAAAAAAAAAACCGAAAAAAAAACATTTGTCCAAAAATACTTGAATCCTAATGGAAGTAATGACCATCTAAAGTTTCCATAACAATCTGTTTATTTAATAGCACCATCTTGATTTTCTCTAAGATTGTCAGCGGACTCTTGAACGATACTTCATTACTATCAACGAACATCAATATAGCATTTTAACAGATTAGATTACAATGCAAAGACCACCTTTACATGTAAGTTAATTTTACTTTTAGATAATATGGTTACAATAAGAGTAATGGCAACACTCCTGTAAAAGAGAAACAAAGGCTGGACAGGCCAGTAGATCTGCATAGCTTAATTACTGCCTTACTGGATCAAAAAGATGTTGCCGGCTGGGCAGTAGAGCATGAATAGATATTTAAGAATCCCCACACAACAACAGTACACCATACTTAGGTTGAAGTTAATGATTTTTTAATTATCATCATAATATTACCGTTATCAACACCCTTGGTAATCATTTGATAACGTGTATTGATACCCGAAACATTATGATGCTGATTAAAAAATTTCTAACTTCAACCTAAGTTTGTTATATACTGCTGTTGCGCGGGATTTCTTAAATATCTATTTTTAGATATAAATAAGGAAAATAATTGGAATGACCACCTGGTACCGTTATCAACACCCTTGGTAATCATTTGGTAACGTGTATTGATACCCGAAACATTATGATGCTGATTAAAAAATCTCTAACTTCAACCTAAGTTTGTTATATACTGCTGTTGCGCGGGATTTCTTAAATATCTTTTTTTAGATATAAATAAGGAAAATGATTGGAATGACCACCTGGTACATTGAGGATTTAAACACATTCGATTCATTTTACTCTTCACTTATTTCCCCAATAAAACACGGTATACAAATAATCTTTTACAGGCATTTACTAACTGGATAGAGCAATAAACTATGAAACATACTTGGAAAAACAGCTACTTATTTATTTGAACAACATTTCGAAGAGTATTCTCTAAAAGTTATCAAGCTAGCTAATACAGGATTTACACATTCAAGAGTTTTGGGTAATTCACTTTTTTTCCTGTTGAGTCATCCTGTTCAGTGGAAGATTTATGGCTTGACCTCAAATCCATATTTAAACAAGCCAACAGTGAGGCTGATGTCCCCCGCCGAAATTGCAAAATAAATAGATGACACATATTAATTAATTGCACATTTATTTTATTCACTAAGTTTCATCACTCTCTATCAGATAGAATCAAGATTATCTTGTCCCAAACCATCGACAAATGAAATCGATTAGCTCTGCTTAGCTTCAGCTCGAAATGTTAATTATTGAACTCAGTCAAGACATTCACCTAATGAACATCTACATATACATCAAGTTTAAACATTCACCTAATAGACACCTATGCCAAGTTTGAACATTCTACCTCAATTAGAAGGAGAGTTATTGTGTTCCAAAGTTTCTACCAATCAAATTGCTTATCACTCTGCTTACCCTCAGCAAAAAATGTTCATTATCGAACTTAGTTAAGGTATTCATATAATAAATCTATACACCAAGTTTCATCAATCTCACTTAATTAGAACTAAAGTTATCGTGTCCCAAAGCATCAACCAATCAAATTGCTTATCTCTGCTTACCCTAAGCGGAAAATGCTCATCTTCGAACTCCATCAAGGCATTGACCTAATCAACACATACACCAAGTTTGAACATTCTAGCTCAATTAAAAGTTATCGTGTCCCAAAGCATCAACCAATCAAATTGCTTATCTCTGCTTACCCTATGCGGAAAATGCTCATCTTCGAACTCCATCAAGGCATTGACCTAATCAACACATACACCAAGTTTGAACATTCTAGCCCAATTAGGAAGAGAGTTATCGTGTCCCAAAGCATCAACCAATCAAATTGCTTATCTCTGCTTACCCTAAGCGGAAAATGCTCATCTTCGAACTCCATCAAGGCATTGACCTAATAAACACATACACCAAGTTTGAACATTCTAGCTCAATTAGGAAGAGAGTTATTGTGTCCCAAAAAGTGTGACGGACAGACAGACGGACAGACAGACGGACGAACCCATTTTAATAGTCCCCTGCTTTCTTCGAAAGGCGGGGGACAACAAACTAAAAATCTCTAAAATCATGGTTCATTAGGTTGGTTGTCAAAATTACAGATGGCGAATATATTACAATATGGTGATTAAATGTTTTAATTTGTCAATTTTATTAGATATTAAGAATCGGATCCAGTAATGTTGGTCTAATAATATCTGACTATGAAAACACTGTTAGTGTCTCTTTTGTTCATCTACTTGGCAAAATACAATAAGTTTTCGAAAAAATTATCTAAATAACCACTATATAAACACCCCAGTAGCAGGAAAATAAATGCTGATTCTGTGAGAAAACTTAATATGGAATCTCCAAAGGTATGACTCACAAGTTCACCAAAAAAGTCCGACAAAGGGGAAGCAATGACTTTTGTTTAAGATTAGATTGATGAATTGTCAGTCAATCATGGCAGATTAAGTAGTTAATCAAGGTAGGTGTATAGACGGTATAACACGATAAATACATTCATCACTTAATTACCTAATCAATCCAGCCTATTATTAATGATAATCTGGTAGGTGTATAGACGGTATAACACGATAAATACGTTGATCACTTAATTACCTAATCAATCAAGCCTATTATTAACGATAATCGGGTTGGGTGTTAGTTATACACTGAGTACACTATATTAATTTTGGAATTTTGAAACATGCTATTGTAAGGATCGAGAATTTTGCCAGGAGAGTGGCATTTTCATCTACAATACTCCATATTACATTTGTCAAGGGTGAACTGGTGAAGATCACAGTTTATGCACAATACAAATGACTTGGCTAGGCTGTTATTTTTTTTTTCAAGAATATTTAAGTTATATTGAACATACCTGATGAAACCAGCCTGTTGGTATTATTAAGAATTCACCGGGAACCAGGTCTAACTCTATATACAGAGCATGTTTAAATTTAGGATATTGTTCATGGTCAGGTTCAAATGCATCAACAGGACTTACAAAACAAAAAAATTACAACAAAAAAAAAACAAATATTAATTCTTAAATTCACTGATTTATAGAACTGCTATGGAATTTATATCAAATATTGTGGAGAGAGATAGAGAGAAATGGGGTTTAACGTCCACTCGACACAAACTAGGTCATTTCGGGACTAACATATGGTTTAATTTTATTTACATAATTCGCTTGCGCATAGGGGTCTTTAGCAATGGGAGGAAACCGGAGGACCCGGAGAAAACCCACGAAGTTGGACAGGCGACCCTACTCCTTGTCACTTACAACCGGGGATTCGAAACCACGCCAGTCGACTGAATGACAGACTTTATGATACAGCGTGTGCACGTCGAATCTTGTGGACACTCTATAGACTGAAATTATCTTCTGTAAAAACAGAGATTTATCTGATCATTATAAAGATAGTAAAAAAAAAATAGATAATGAATAACTTCATTGGCAATCTTTTCATCAGCAGTCTTCCGCCATATAATTAGTGTTTAACAGTTATGTCTAATTCACACAATATCACAGCCATCCATATGTTCCAGAGAGTTGATTATGGGCTTATCATGTGAATAAACGTCTCAATAATAATTTGAGAGAGAGAGGGTTTAACTACAAGACACAAACTAGGTCATTTTGGGACTAACACATAGTTCAATTTTATCTCAATAACTTGCTTGCACTTGGGGATCTTTAGCAGTGGGAGGCAACTGGAAAACCCGGAGAAAACCCACGGGGTTGGACATGCGACCCTACTCCTTGTTAAGCACAACCGGGGAATCGAAACCACGGCCATTGACTCAATGACATACCTTATGTTACAACGCGCACACTTTAACCATTCGTCCATCCAACCCCCCAATCTGTTTTAGACTGATGTATTGTTTTGAATATGATAAATAATCGATCGACCTACCTGTTGTATTTAAAACAGTCCAGAGGAAAACCACAGGCACCATCTTGTGGAACATAGAGTAAGTCATCCTGACCGGGAGGAAATAACTGAAAAACATACAAAAACATTAATAAATAGACAACTTAAAATCTGATCTTGTATCGTTATTTCATTTTGTTTTTTTACAGATTTTCTACACTTCATAAAATCTGACATATTCTACCATTCAGCAGTTGGTTTTGGCATGAAAATTTGCAGTGAGTTCATAAATAGATGAGTGGATGAAGTCTTGGGATACCGTTATCAGATGATTTGTGATTTGATTACATTTACAATATGAAGTTTATATGAGTAGAAACATATGGTATTTATTAAAGATGAGAGAAAAAATGACTAAAAAAGGTTGAGGTTATACAAGATTGTCCACAATCAGAAAAATAAGGTTGTGTAGTTTATCAAAGTTTCACAAATTATATTAGACTGGCCTCCAGTGGATGGAAATACTAGTAATCTGGCGATAATGTATTAATTTGGTCAATTTATGTCGTTTTTATTTCCCATTGACTAGACCCAGAGAGCGGAATCACATCTTTGGCAAAATTTTGGATTATAATTGATTACTGTGATATGATGAAGTGAGAACATAAAAACACGAAATGAAATGAAAATGAAACCAAATGAAATGAAATGAAATGGAGTTTAACGTCCTACTGTTCTGCTCCTATACTGGGCTAATGAAGACGGGCATACGCCATACAGTGTGCTATGAGGCACTATCGCCTACTCTTATATCGAATTCCATCTGCCAAGGGATCTTTAACGTGCATTCCAATGTATACACGGGACCTCGGTTTTTTGTCTCATCCGAAGGACTAGACAGCTGTCCTTGTCAGGCCCTCCGTCCGGCATCACTGACAAGGGTAAACCACGTCGGAAAATCTGGATGAACTTTCTCGGCCAATGCAGGGATCGAACCCCCAACCCCCAGGCTAGCGAGCAATGAAACCAAACGTTTTGATAACATATATAACAACTAAAATACTGTGTGCAAGTCGAGGTCACAAGTGCCTTCATTTTTACACACAAAGGGTGTTAAAAAATTCCTGCTTGATTTGCAAAACTCCAGTGCAAGCAGAATTCATGACTTATGTCATTGGATGAGATCATAGTGGAGCCTATCATCAGCTACAGCTCGTATAAATACAAAATAAAATATTTTACCTTCCATTTTTTGTGTCCTTTAAGAACAGCATTAGTGCCTGTCCAGTTATACGGATCTATGTGGAGGGAAGATCGGGAATAGGCTGTTCCCCATAGCAACATACAATCCCATGGTTGTACTTCTTTAGGAAATAAAGGAAAAAAATCTTCTTCTGTATAAAGCTGATAAAAAAAAAAAAAAAAGTTTCATTAACATTTCTGCTCATGTATATAATTCTCTTTCTTATAAATTATGGATATGTCTTCTTTCTTTATATTATATAGAATGCTCTGTTTTCAATAAGGTTCTCTAATCTTTATCAAGGTCAACCTATAACGCACAGAAATAAGGGGGTTATAAAAAAGGGTGTTTCAGTGAAATTGATCAGAGCTCACCCGGATATTCCAAGCAGTTATATCATCTATGCTTTATTGAGAACGAAGGACCTTCGAAGCCAACCAATTTATTACAATAAAGTTGTAGAAACAACTAACTTGTAGTTTTATTTACAATCACAAAGGAAACACAAAAAGGAAATCCGATATGTAACACTATCTTAGTATAACAGAGATCAGTTTCGTAAATATATGGTTTATTCACATAGGAACAGAATATAACATTACTACATCAACACTACAGAAACTAGACTATACTGGAACTAAACTACATCGGAACGCATATAACTATATTAAATTCACAATTCTGCCACTCTGCCAAGGCAGCGGCTGAACTCAGGTGAGTCTATGCACTTGCCCAAGCCTCTCTTCTCTGCCCGTCTGTGGTCCTCTTTAGTCGACTGCCTAACTGTCAATAAACTATTCAATATATACCCTCGGACGATAGATAAGACACATGGTCATACATGCAATTGTCTCTTTTATCTCGTCATGTCATGCTTACTGACCAGTGCATATTCCTTTGAAGTAAAGCGAACCGTGTGCACAAATCATTTGTAGCTTGTAAAGGACATATTGAATTAATTACATGTTTAATTACAACACAGACAATCGTGACTTAAGAACAGTGCATACAGAGTTAAAAGGTCAATATTATATATATTTTATCAAAAAGCATGGCTGGAGGTCAATAAGTTCAATTTGATAAAAGTTATAGATCACTTTGTTACAGATATTACTACACAACTACATATCATTATTCAAGCTTCTAAAAAGAAGATTTCATAACAAATGAGATTTCCACAGAAATAGGTCTCATTACATGATTGATCCTTCGTGAATCATAAGCTCTCCTCCTTTCTGTATTTTATCCTTCTGATGAGCTCACTATCAGAGATCAAATCCAAAACGCCAGAAAGATACAAAGGAATAACAATTGGTTTTATAGTATGAAACAGACTTACATTTCTAGGCACTTGGTTGTACAATTCTGGTCGTTGTGGTAAAAATAGTTCATCTTCTAAATAAGTCCAGGATGTGGGTGAACTATCATTTAAATGTTGAATAAACAAATGAAGGGGGAGCGCTAAACCTCTAGCATTTTTTAAAGTACCCTGAAATGAGAAAAAGCCTTTCATAACAGATTTCTCCCTTATCAGCTGTGCAAGAATGAGGGCCTGGCAAAGCATCCTTAATTAGAATTAAAGTTATCCTGCTTGGCCTAAACAGAAACAGATTATCAAGCTCAGTTAAGATATTCAATCAAATAACATTTACACCAAGTTTGAACATTCTATCTCAACTAGAAGCAGATTTTTTGGTGTTCTAAACACTCTCTGGAGCCACAGTGGTCGCAGGTTTGAACACACCATTAGCAGGAAAGTTCTGCAGGTTTTCCAGCCTGATTTACCCTTTATCAATGGTGCAAAAATGAGGGTGTGGCAAGGCAAAAATGTGTCTAGTTGTGCGGATGGCATGAAAACAGAGGTCAACTGATACCCTTGCGTGCATGTAACAGAACCCTTGATAGTAGGAAATCGATGAAGAGTAGATGGACACATCCAGCCTCATTTCATTTCATCCCTCTCATTCAATTATATTAAAGCATCAACAAATGCAATTGCTTGTTCATCGTTGAACTCAGTAGAGACATTCGTCTTATTTCAATAAGCTGATAACGCTCATAACCATTCCTTTTAGAAAGAAAGGAATCAGATGATCCAGATATAAACCCACTTACTTGTACAGCTTTCATTACAATACGCTGTTCCCCGTATGTTTTATTGAAAAATTCTGTTGACCATTTTCTTGCTGGCCATTCATCCATTACAGTAGTAAGTACCACTGGCCTGAAAACAACAATTCAAAAGCTCAGGTAAGAATATGTTTCATATGAATTTTTTCAAAAAGATCAAAGTCAATGGTGTTGGGGTACTGTCCTTTAACAACACTCCCTGCCCCCACCCCCCAAAAGTTCTGTCTTATTTGCCTAGCTACATGTTTACTTTATTGTCCATTCACTCCCTTATTTTCTAAATTTCATAAACAGAATTTGTCCGAATATATCATGTACATCTATTCGGTGGGTGTGAAATTCAAAATGAAATGAAATGAAATGGGGTTTAATGTTCTACTGTTCTGCTCCTTATAAACTGGGCTAATGAAGACGGGCATACGCCATACAGTGTGATATGAGGGAAATTTTGCCCGGGCAGCAGCGCTATGGCCTACTCTTATATTTAATTCCAACTGCCAAGGGATCTTTTACGTGCATTCCAGTATGTACACGGGACCTCAGTTTTTCATATCATCCGAAGGACTAGACAGCTGTCCTTGTCAGGCCCTCCGTCCTGCATCACTGACAAGGGGAAACCACGCCGGAAAATCTGGATGAACTTTCTCGGCCAATGTAGGGATCAAACACCCGCCCTCAAGGCTAGCGAGCCAGCGTCTTACCCACTTAGCGTGTGAAATTAAAAGCACAAAATTGTACTCAATCATATTGTCTCAAAAACAGTGTGGTTGACAGTTTAAAAAATATTTGGTAGAAATATTTTTGAATAAAATTGTTCAAACATTGTTAAAATTGCTTGTTACACTGAGAAATGGAGACCAAGTGAAATTTCAGATTAGAAAAGGTGAATGCAAAAATTTTTAAATAAACATTTTGTTTCAAATATGGCACTTGCTCACTAATCAGGAGTCTCTCTGTGATGCAGGAAGGCGGGACAGGGAAAAATGTCCAGCTGAATGAAATAGAAAAACAGAGGTCCTGTCCTGTGTACACATCATCTTTAATAGAAAGCTTGATCTCGCTTTAACTACGTACATCTTATCAAGGCCTTCACGTAATACCCTGCATATTTCAGCACTAATTTCGATTGGGTACAAGCCCAACTTGTGAGCCTATCAGATTCCTCGATCGTCGCGAATACCAGGTCTCGCGCTTTCAAGTTATAATGTCTACCTGTGATAATCGAGTTGCAAAGTTCAAGGTTCATTCAATGTCAAGGTTTCCGTGGAGGTCGTGATGTCACAACCTCTGATTGGACGCTACTGCTCACGTGTCTGTAGATAACATAGCTATAAGTTCGGGAATTGTGAAGTAAACAAGCAACGGCCAGATGTTGTGAAACTTGCCGTTGTTGCTTCAGGAACATGTGTACACATTAGCATGGACGTAAAAGAAACCTTGGCAATTGGAATTTGAAGGAAAGTAATCAGAAACGCTGCTATCAAGGCAAAATTCCTCATATAACACACTGCCTATCTACATTGTTCCATTTGATGCAGAACAGCGAGACATTTCAATTCATTTGTAAATAATTACATACACAAACAAAATTCTAAATTAACACAGAAATATTAAGAAATACAATCAGATACAAACCATTTAGCATCATAAACATCCCAGAATTCTTGTAACGTTAACTCCGACCTGCGATCTATTCCAAATCTATCATAATTAAACTCATATTTGTCCATATTGTTAGTCCGTTCTAACTGAGCAGCCTGATGATCATAAACAAATGGTTTAGTTGATAAATTAACAGACGGTTCTGACTTTTCTAATTTATTTACCGGTATCCGACTACTCTGGATTAACTTTGAAGAGATAAATATGGCAAGAATGACTGTCACCAGTCCTGCTATAGAACTGATAGAAGAGTAGGTGATATCTAAAAGAGGGAGATAACTCTTTAGATCTACCCATAATGCCTGTTTTTGCTGTCGTAAATGTTGAAGTTTCTTTGGTGGTTGTTCTCTTTGAGCTATTTTAAACTTGGCCATTTCCTAGGCATTAATCTTTATGGACACAATTACATTTCTGTAAAAAACAAGCCAACAGTGAGGTTAATGTCCCCTGCCTCATTCTCAATTGTATTACTTGTACATGTACATGTATGTTTCCATAAAGCATAGGTAAATCAAATCACTTATTAATTTGCTTAACCCATGCAGAAAATTTCTCATTATTATCGAACTTAGTCAAGGTATTGATGTACATGTAATGAATCTATACAAATTTGATCCCTGTCACTCAATTTTAATCAGAGTATCAAGTTTCAAAGCACTGACAAATCAAATTGCTTAATGTTCTTAGCCTAAGTCGAATATACTCATCCTCAAACTCAGTCAAGGCATTCGTCTAATGAATATTGACACCAAGTTTGACAGTCTCTTATTCTATAATTGTAGTTTAAAACGTCTAACGGACAGACAGACAGACGAGTCCATTTTAATCCCCCCCCACTCCCTCTTCCTCCTTCTGAATAGCATGGGACAATAAAATATTTATTTAATGTACAGACAATAAATGATTTTCTCATAATATTACATGGATGACATAACTGAAAGTCAATGACTATTTTCTACATTTTAAAGTTGCAATTTCATATTTTTAAGTTATATTTTTAAAATTTATTAAAATAAAGCCTTAAAATAGATGGTATCTATAAACAGTCCTACCTTGTTAAAGAATAATCCTATTAATCCTATAATTCACTATTGCCAGTTGAGAAATTGGCAAAAATATCATTTTCATCTTCAAATTCCAACGTTTGAAGATAACTACTCCATGGTGGAGAATAGAAAACAATGGAGGTAATTGTGTTATTATTTCCGGTGTAAATGAGTTTTAAGTGTGAGAATGACACCTATGATCGTATAATAGTGAGTTGACAACCTATTGAGCAAAAGACATAGAAATAATTATGTTTTGACTTTCTTAGAAAATATGAAATTGTAACTTTAAATAAAATAAGGAAAATAATAATTTTTTAAAGTCTGCTGAAAGTAACATTACCGGTGCATACGACTGGTCCCATGATCCATTCACTTGATTTGATAGTTTTTGTTTATTGCTTGCAATGTCTGTATACAATTCAGTTTTGTTTGCGTGTAGTGTGGTCCTCCTGCACTTTAAATACTAATAGAAATGTCAATATATCTGAACTCAAAGCACAGACCGAGGGTCATAAATGTTTTGTTATGGATATACCTGATAATCAGGAATCAATCTGTAGAAAACAATACAGCTTGTTGTGCAGAGAGTGACAGAGAGAGAGAAATGGAGTTGACCATCCACTCAACACAAACTAGGACTTTTCAGGAGTAACATGACATATGGTTAAATTTTATTTCAACAATTTGCTTGCTCCTATTAGCAGTGGGAGGAAATCGGAGGCCCCAAATAAAACCCTAATCCTTGTCACGTACAAGCGGGGAATCGAAAATACGCCACTTGACTCAATGTCAGAACTTATGGTTTCACCCGCACTCGACCCCCTTCTTGTTGTGCACTGTGCAGAAGTTTATTTCAACTTGTTTTCAGACCGGTAGATGACATAATTTCAGGCACCTCCCTCTTGTCAGTGTTTTCAATATTTATAATCTATGTCTTACACAAAGATCAATATGTCAGGTACTATTCATTGGAGTCTGACATTCTGTCATGTGTAACTAAAATGATTGTTTTCCGGTCTCCTGGTGTACATATTAAATTCAAGTCCATTCATGCAATTTATCTCTCTATACATGTATCACTATTCATCAATATATTTCATTACTAAATGCAAACAATGTCTTATAACATTATACCACTAACTTCCTTCTACCTGAAATTTATATTCAATTCATGATGCAGGTAGGCTAACATGAAGTTGTGCCATTATAACGTGTCACATTTTCACTCCTTGACAAAATACTTCTATATTCTATCTATACAAATTGTATATTTCTTAATGTCAACTATATTTATCTCAGTTCCACTATTACAAACTAATGTTTATAAATTTTTAATGAAGCGTTAGTACAATGTATAATGTAACATGTCGAGTGTATACACCTGGTCACACCTGAGTGATGCAACTCAAATAATAAATAATTTGACAATTCCTTAGAATTTTAGTATTGATTCTTGTCATTCTTTTGTGGCATCTTCTTAAATATTTCATATATATGTATATATAGAAATTATCTTGTCGGTAATAAGATTTGCGAAATTCTGGTCTATCATCCGATATAAATTTTCAAATAACTGATCAAATCTTAATGGGGTATTGCCAGATTATATTAGCTCCCATATATTTCAAGCCATTTTATTGATGTTCCTAAATTAAATGATACCCCTATTCCTGCATTACTATATGCTGATGATATTATTTTGTTTTCATTATCAAGTAGTGGTTTACAAACCTCATTAAATATAGTTGATAAATATTGCAAGCAATGGAGATTTAAAATTAACATTTAAAAAAACCCACAGATAATGATTTTTAATAAATCAGGAAGAAAACTTTTTGACAAATTCAATATTAATGGAAACTGCCTAGAAATTGTTCAAGAATACAAATACTTAGGTGTAATTGTACTGGTTCTTTAATCAGAGGCGTTGACAATTTAAACGATAAAGCATTGAAAGAATTTTTCAAAATTTTAAAAGCCTTTTCAAATTTTGATGCATCTTTGAAGATTAAATTAAAACTATTTGATATCCTAGTCAAACCCATACGATTATATGAATGCGATTCATGGGGTGATCATATTATATCCAACCATAAAAACTGTTACAAGCTTGAAAAGCTGCAGTCAAATCTTTGTAAACACTTTTTGCATGTTCATAATAAAACTTCAAACTCTGCTGTATAAGCTGAAGTTGGTCGGTTCCCGATTCTTCTTGATGTTAAATACAGGATGGTCAATACATGGATCGAATCAAAATCAAAACAAGCCAACCCCCTACTTCAGTCTGCTCTGGATGAAATGAAAAATGCCAGCAGTAAGTGGAGTAATCAAATTAGATATGTCCTAGAGGAGACAACCTATCTCTCAGTCATTAAAGGACAATAATAGTGTCAGTCATTATAAAATATGTGATAGAGCTTGTTAAATACATCCTAAATATAACTTTAACGCTGAGATCATTGCTACTATAGCTGAGTAACAAGCACGTGAAGTAACGGGAAGTGATGTCAAACATGACAAACACGAGTTGTCCTTCTATATAACAGACTGAGGTAACGAGCGGTAACAGACACGCGATCGAATTTCATTTCACTGATAATTCAGTTGAAGTTGAAAATTTATATTGAACGGTGAGAGGGTATCTCACAATTCAAAAATAGAATTGGTTGTCACTAGATAAGGGACACGAGAAAAATAGAAAAATCCCGTGCATTCCCCCGTTTTTATTCATTCTGTTCTTAATTTGTTCGTTATCTTTTATCTACGGACAGCCAATTCTTTTTTTGAATTGTCAGATATCCTCTCATCATCTCATATAACAACTTTTCATCTTCAACTGAATTATCAATGAAATGAAAATTCGATCATTTGTCTGTTACCGCTCAGTCTGTTATATAGAAGGACAACTCGTGTTTGTCGTGTTTGACGTCACTTCCCATTTCTTCACGTGCTTGTTACTCAACTATCGTAGCAATGATCTCTGTGTAAAAATTATATTTGGGATGTATTAAACGAGCTCTATTACATATTTTATAATGACTGACACCAATATTGTCCTTTAAATACAGAAGCCTTTCTACAGATGTTCAAACAAAGATTGAGGGATATTTACGTTCAATCTTGGAAATATACCGAAAAAGGACGAACTGTTACGAACTTAAATAATTGCCTTAAAACTAACACAAAAAATGATTTTTATTATAAAATTAAGACAAATTATGATATTGACATATACCTGGATCTACCAGATGAACAAAAACGCCAGCCACTGAGCCAGTTTAGACTCAGTGCACATAAGCTTGAAATAGAGACAGGAAGGCATAAAAAACCTTTTGTCCACAGGGATAAGAGGACCTTTAAAAATTGTACGAGTGGAGAGGTAGAAGATGAAACACACGTTCTTCTCCATTGCTCGGCCCACAATAATCTTCGGAAAAAGTATCAATTCATCACATAAAAACTAGTTTGAATGATTCAATAATGCATATAATAAACGATGATAAATGTTACATACAAGATGTTGCAACGTTCGTATGAAATGTTTAAAAATAGACATTAAATACCATTTGCTATGTGCAAGACCTAATATACCTTACAGGCATTATTAATATAATTTAATATACTTTTAGAAACCTCTGTAAACCTTATTCTATGTTCTTTGATGTTTATTATTGTATTGTACTTTGTATTGTATGCTTTACCATACTCGTGTTATACCATGCAGTTGTGTAATAAAGCATTATTATTATTATTATTAGCTGTGTCTAATGATGCATTTTGCTATGGAAACAGAAGCTGGCATTGTAGATTTTTCATCTTAATTTGTCATGTGCATCAATTTCAGTGCCTGGTTGAAGATTTTTCATCCTAATTTGTCATGTGCATCAATTTCAGTGTCTGGTTGAAGATTTTTCATCCTAATTTGTCCATGTGCATCAATTTCAGTGTCTGGTTGAAGATTTTTCATCCTAATTTGTCCATGTGCATCAATTTCAATGTCTGGTTGTAGATTTTGTTCATCCTAATTTTGAATGAAGCATAGGATGTTTCCCCAAAACCAAATTGTCCATGTGCATCAGTATCAGACTTGTCTGGTTAATTGAGGCAATTATCCTCTATAACACGAAAACATCAGTGTCTGATTTAGATGAAGAGGGGCCCTAGGATATTCCACTTGTGAGGCCCCACCAAATCCCCTACCCTCACAACTAGCAGAAAATGAAACTGTGTTTCAAACACAATTGAGATAAACCAATCTGATTAAAACACAGATCCAATTTTGTTTCGTTTTTATAGTTCAAAATTTAGATTTTACTTGTCTTTACTTATACACTTGGATCTGGAAGCGTTGTTATTTAACTCGTGTTCTGCTTAAAATGAAGGGTCAGCCAATCAAATGGTCTGTCGAATCGAACGTTTGACCTTATTTGCGCGGAACTGTGGGTAGACATTAGCGGCAATAGAAATCAAAACAAAGCAACAGTAGATAAAAAATACATGGTGGTCGCTAATTGGTTAATCGAATGACTGGCGTAATCGGGTCAAATGTCGCTTGCTTGGTACCTGACGTCATAGAACGTGAACTCCCACTATAACTTGTTAGATCTACATGTAGTGTAGGCCATCGAAAGTATAAAAAACGAAACGCAATATAGATCTATATTTTAATTAGATTGGCGATAAACCAAGGAGGATGACAGATGTTTAATACCATAGTGGTGTAAGAAAGCCTTATGACAGAGTCAAAAATATTATAAACCTAGGCCTGAGGACTTTTTGACCGTGAGGCCTTGGGTTCAGTCTTCCAAGCTTATAGGTATATCTGGCACTGGAGTAGATACATGCCTGGGAATAATGATATTTTAAACTTTGTGCCAGGCGCATATATATATTAAACTACCAATAAACAAGCCAACAGTGAGGCTGAGGTGCCCCGCCGAAATTGCAAAATAAATAGATGACACCTATTAATTAATTGCACATTTATTTTTTTCACTAAGTTTCATCACTCTCTATCAGATAGAATCAAGATTATCTTGTCCCAAACCATCGACAAATGAAATCGATCAGCTCTGCTTAGCTTCAGCTCGAAATGTTAATCATTGAACTCAGTCAAGACATTCACCTAATGAACATCTACATAAAGTTTAAACATTCACCTAATAGACACCTACGCCAAGTTTGAACATTCTACCTCAATTAGAGAGTTATTGTGTTCCAAAGTCTCGACCAATCAAATTGCTTATCACTCTGCTTACCCTCAGCAAAAAATGTTCATTATCAAACTTAGTCAAGGTATTGATATAATAAAGCTTTACACCAAGTGTCCTCACTTTCACTTAAAGATACATTATGGGAGATTTTTATAGAGAATTGGCCATTCTTGCTATAACAGTTCAAAAGTAGATGATGAAAGAAGAATATATTGAAAATTTCAGTCAAATTACTTTATTCTGAACATAGTTATCATCGTTATAATATTTGACTAGAAATGGTAGTGAAATGTGCCTTCACCTTGGCCGATCGTTTGATTGACAGGCGTTAACTCCACCTACATATCTCGATTATCAAGTAAAGTTTTCAATGGCATGCGGAAACACTCTACAGCGTCCTCGTTAAGTACACTCTATCATTTAGCTTCGATCTAACTGACGTATTCTCATCAGGATGCGCCATATTGGAATTAATTAATAAGTGAAATCCTATTTAAATCTGAGCTGTAGCCGAGCCATCCGTGGGTCTACAGAGTTGATTTTGGGCTTGTTGTTTAAATAAAGATTTAATTTATAATTTCTATAACATCTGAAGCCTAAATTAAGACTTGCAATAATCAGATGTTGCTCTTGCATAATGTATGTTTAACTAGAACTAAAGTTATTGTGTCCCAAAGCATCAACCAATCAAATTGCTTATCTCTGCTTACCCTAAGCCGAAAATGCTCATCAAGGCATTGACCTAATAAACAGCTACACCAAGTTTGAACATTCTAGCTCAATTAGAAGGAGAGTTATTGTGTCCCAAAAAGTGTGACGGACAGACAGACAGATAGACAAACCCATTTTAATAGTCCCCTGTTTTCTTTGCTAATTAAAACAATTAATTGCATGGACCCAGGTTCTATATTATAGTCAGCTACAAACTTATGGAATCTTACAAACTTGATCAACCGATGTCTCAAATATAACATCTAGACTCAAGCTAATTCATTGGCTACCAAAATAATATTTGTTTAAATACACCAGTACCGGTAAGTGACATATTATCGAGAATAAAGCAATTGACAATAGTCAAGAATATATACATGTATATATATGAAGTACCCAAGCTTTTAAAATTAAACTGTTAGAATTTCTAAATTAATAATGGATTATTCTAGATTCAATGAGTATAGGGAAGCCTAACACACTCTGACTGAGTGATATGACAACAAATTATTCTTAAACTTAAACATACAATACCAGTTTGCTATATGTTTAAAAAAAAGGGTTTTATAATTCCAGCTCCCAATAAAACAAAAAACAAAACCTGGATCTATGCCTATTCCCACAACTGCATATCATCCATCCATTTTCCATGCAATAAAATGTCTACAGTGAATGATGACTGTCAACAATAAAAATGTCAGATGAGATGTGTCAATGACATTTATTTTTAATAAATAGGCCTACCGGTATGTAAAAACTTACATTAAGCCTATTGTATTGGCCTATTTGTTATCATGATTTAGGTTTGTTGAAGTAGGCTTGTTGGTGGTAAGTCTTTTACCTAGTTTCCTACACGAATGATAAAGTGAATATTATACCGCATGCTCAGTCTTCTCTTCCGTACAGGCCCACACTGCTGCAGAAATGCCTTCCTATTTCTAAACATAATTCGGTCAACATGTAAATACGGGCTCTCTGATCACGTGACTTATATTGTATCTCGGCCATATTGGTTGTATGCTGCGTGTTTTAGCTGGCAAAATTTCTGAGGTAAAAGCTGTTGGTAACGAAGTTTTATCATAGAATCCTTGGAAATTAAGAGAAATTGATACCTTATAGTATCAATATTTAACAAAATATAACATATTTATCAAAGGGTTTAATCAAAAACCGATCACATGTGTTGAACTATGTAACTTGAGTTGCCCGACTTACTTGGTCCGTTCGTATTTCTATTTTTACTTCTTAGTTCTTCTCATTCGGCAAGGGATATATTCCAATCCCGATGCCTACGATTTGTGTGGAAATGATTTAAAGGTCTTTTAGTAGGTGCATTCATTTGCATTAAGGCGTTTCCACATATATAATAGGTCGGCTATCAAAGCTGTAAAACAGGCTAAAGTTGACCCTTTCTATTTATAAATAAAATACTAGCCTAATAGGCTTAGATCTGAGCCTAAAATAACTTGACTTTTGTTTCAATAAGATTAGGCAATCACATAAGCCCTAAACATTACCTCATTTTTAATCACTGTGGTCTATAGGATGAAATTCCAAATTCATTTCTCATACTGTTATTAATAATTTTATTTAAGTAACATACAATTGACCTACCACATGTTTTTATATTGTGAGAAAATATGGTAGGTATGAATTTTGGAACAGCTGTTAATTAAGTTACAGTAGTTAAAATACCCGACAGTAGATACAAGCATGCGAAAAGTAAAATAATCAGAGTTATGGTCAGTCACATAACCAGTATCCTGTAAAATATATCTTGTTAAGTTATAAAGCTATAGGCTAAAGCACAACTAATGAGTGCTTGCCACTGCTTAAGTAATAGAGTTCATGGAACTAAGCTTTTGTAAATTTGCTTCAAGTCTAATTGCAAGAGTTCAGAGTAAATTCTTGGGGATTCTCATCATGTGGGATTTACTGGGAAAATACAATGAATCGGTGTCACCCTTGTTATTAAAAGTTTGGTCCAAAATCCCAGGCCTGCCTTATGTTTTGATACCAACTTGCAAGATTATATGGTCCACATCATACATGTACTACCATGTAGGCCTACTCTTGTACTTCATGAACACATAAGTATTGATAGCTCAGGTAATTTTGAAAGTGGGCTAGGCCTACTTTTGAATGGTGAATGTTGTTTATGATAAATATTTATTTTGACATTTGTAAGTTATAGAGGTTTTGCTCTCAAATGATATAGGCCTACCTATGACAGTTGATCAACCCTGTCAAAAGACAAATATCAAGCACAGTTCCTCTGTTACCTGTCCTTCTGTCATGAAATGATTTGTCTTATTTTTATTGAACAATTATGTAAAGTCCAGTTCCTGCTTGTATTTTAATGCTAATTTTTTTTTTTATTTCAGTAAATCTGAGTTAAATTAAAAGAAATGGCAGACACTTTAAACTTTGGTCCTGAATGGTAAGTTAGGTTTTTTTTTACTGGTACTTGTCAGTAGGCTTGTAGGCTAATGATTTCAGAATTGTTCAGTTTAATTTATGGTAGTGAGAGACTGGCTGTCTTTTTCATAATAATCCAAGTTTGGACATAAGGCACCTGTCACAAACTTTGTCAAGTACAAATTATCACACAACGTACATACACAAGCCTGAAGCCCGGACATAAAGCACTTGTCACAGACTTTGTCAGGCGCAAATTATTACACAACATATATATTATAATATAAACGTTGTGGGGTAATTTGTACTTGCTTACAGCTAGCCCCCCGGATCCATTCACTTTTTTTGAATTGTTTATTTGTGGTTTCTGAGTATGATGTCTTGTCCATGTATTTGTTGCTGGATACATTATGTGTGGTGCAGTCCCCCTGCACTTACTATTAATAAAGACTGTGACAGGTGCCTTATGTCCAGGTTTGTCCATGTCCTTTTTCAACAGCCATGGTTGTGGAGCTTAAGTCGGAGGTCCTTCAGGGTTTTTCAAGTTCATCCTTTACTTTTCAGTAGTCATGCTTTCGTCAACATTTATTTTATGTACTATTTATCTTTTTCAATTTTATAGGCTTCGTGCTTTGTCAGATGGCAACAGTGTTGCTTCACCCCCACCAACCCCAGGGTTAGGTGGGAAGTTTAAGTTAGCCAGTAATCGGTATGGAAGAGAGGAAATGCTGGCCCTCTTTCATGAACACTATAAGGCACCAGATGAACTGAAAGAAATCCCTTCTATCTATATTGAACCAGTACAAAAACCACTGGCGTTTATATCATTATCAGAAGAAGAACAGGTTTGTTTGTACATAATATATTTAAAACTTCAAGATGGTTTCAAATTTAAATTTGCGTGTGTAAATAACTTTGGTAATTTATGGCTCCATAAAGCTTTTGTTGTCCGGAGTTCATTAGCTGAAATTACGTGGATTTCAGTGAATTTTTTACTGAATGAAAAAAAAAATATTCTTGGAATTCTTTTAGGATAAACTTTTGAGTTATTTGATTGAAACAGGCAAATTCATTGAAAATTCAGTTTTACAGATTTTATTCCATCTATATGTATTTGGATTATATATTCACAATGTATTCACAGTATCAGCCTCTTATAACTATGTCCATTGTAAAATTTGTAGGCGACATGGATCGCTTCAGCATTACTCTCAGAATGCTTGTTTAAGCTGAAAAGGTAAGTGGTTCCTTCAGGTTGTGGGGATCACGGTGGATAAGTTGGTAAGACGCTGGCTCGCTAGTTTGGAGGTCGGGTGTTTTCGATCCCTGCATTGGCTGAGAAAGTTCATCCAGATTTTCCGGCGTGGTTCCCCCTTGTCAGTGATGCAGGACGGAGGGCCTGAGAATTACAGCTGTCTAGTCATTAGGATGGGACAAAAAACAGAGGTCCTGTATACACATTGGCATGCACGTAAAAGATCCCTTGACAGTTGGAATTCGATATAAGAGTAGGCCATAGTGCCGCTGTCCGGGCAAAATTTTCCTCAAAGCACACTGTATGGCGTATGCCGGTCTTCATTAGCCTAGTTCGGAGAAGAACAGTAGGACATTAAACCCTATTTCATTTCCTTTCCTTCAGGTTGTTGCAAATTGGATTGTCAATCTAGATAATGGCATTAAAGTTTATGCATTAAGTTTACAATTATATCTATATTATACATTATTTTTCTGTTTCAGCGGTTAATGTCACAATCTGTAAACAGTGTCACAGTACTGCGAAGTATGGGGCGTGGTTCTGGACCTCCCATTAGAGGTGGGAGGGGTGCAGGAAGTGCTGATCGGGGACGGGGTAGAGGTATGAAAATTTATTCTTCGTACACAGTAATTAATTAATGCACAAGACAATATTCTGTGTAATAATTTTACAGTTTATTGTATCAAAATGTAATAATTGACGCTAACCATAAATAGATATAAACTTTCCTGGGATGTAAATAATGACAAGATAGAAGTCATTAGCTGAGTAATTATTTAAACAATATTTTATTCAGGATATCTGAATGTAATTGGTGGGGAACCATCTTCAATAGAAGTCTTGATCTCGCTTTAACTACGTACATCTTATCAAGGCCTTCACTTAATACCCTGCATATTTCGGCACTAATTTCGATTGGGTACAAGCCCAACTTGTGAGTCTATCAGATTCCTTGGTCGTCGCAAATACCAAGTCTCGCGCTTTCAACCTAAAATGTCTACCTGTGATAATAGAGTTGCAAGGTTTCCGTGGAGGTCGCGATGTCACAACCTCTGATTGGACGCTACTGCTCACGTGTCTGTAGATAACATAGCTATAAGTTCGGGAATTGTGAAGTAAACAAGCTATGGCACGATGTTGTGAAACTTGCAGTCGTTGCTTCAGGAATATGGTGGGGAACAGACTTAGCGTATGTAAAACCCCTCTCCCTAGTAATTTGTTATCATCTACAAAAAGAATACGTTGTCTGTCATTCATTTAATTTCACTACTATTTTGTCTTGTTACAAAATGCTGTATTTCGAGAGGGGGGGGGGGTGGATGGCCGAATGGTTAGCATGTGCGCGCTGTATCATAAGGCCTGTAGTGTCATTGAGTCAACTGGCGTGGTTTCGAATCCCCCATTGTAGGTGACAAGGAGTAGGGTTGCATGTCCAACCTCGTGAGTTTTCTCCAGGTCCTCCATTTTCCTCCCACTGCTAAAGACCCCTACGCGCAAGCAAATTATTGAAATAAAATTAAACCATATGTTGGTCCTGAAATGACCTAGTCTGTGTCAAGTGGACGTTAAACCCTCCCTCTCTCTCTCTTCTCTCTCTCTCTCTCTCTCTCTCTCTCTCTCTCTCTGTATTTCGAGATCTTAATTATTTTTTTTTTTTTGATGAATATTTGTTGCAGGACGAGGACGTGGGGATAGTTATATTCATAGAGTTTTATCAGAGAATGGGGAAAATAATAGTGGGGGATTTGGTATTCCTGGTAGAGGTCCTAATAATGAAGGCTGGGAAGAGGTGTAAGTTTCAAGTTTATCCTTCAAACTTTACTCAGTTGGGGGAGGGTGGGGGTTAACAAGTACACTTTAGATCATAAGGTCTATCATTGAGTCAAGTGGAGTTGTTTCGATTCCTCACTTGTATGTGACATGTAGTAGGGTTGCCTGTCCAATCTGGTGGTTTTCTCCAGGTCCACCGGTTTCCTCCCACTGCTAAAGACCCCTAAGCGAATTATTGAAATAAAATTGAACCAGATGTTAGTCCCAATATGACCCACTTTGTGTCGAGTGGACGTTAAACATTATTTCCCCGCTGCCTTTCATTACTCAGTGCTGAAAGAGAACAATCAAATATCCATTAATGCAAATACCTATGTTCAGGTGAGCTCAGTGGGCAGAAAATTCCCAGTGGTATATGTTGTTTAATCATACAATGTTATAAAGAACAGTTAATTAAATATTGTTTAAGCCTGTAATGTTATAGGTAATTTTCAGTCAGTTTTGTTATTAATTAAGTGCTGTTTAAGCCTGTTTTGTTATAAATTAAATACTGTAAGTCTGTATTGTTATATATTAAATACAGTTTAAGCCTGTATTGTTATATGTTAAATACTGTTTAAGCCTGTATTGTTATAAATTAAATACTGTTCAAGCCTGTATTGTTATAAATTAAATACTGTTTAAGTCTGTTATAAATTAAATAATGTTTAAGTCTGTATTGTTATATATTAAATACAGTTTAAGCCTGTATTGTTATATTTTAAATTCTGTTTAAGCCTGTATTGTTATATTTTAAATTCTGTTTAAGCCTGTATTGTTATAAATTAAATACTGTTCAAGTCTGTATTGTTATAAATTAAATACTGTTTAAGTATGTATTCTTGTACATTCATAGGGGCAAGAAATATGATCGTAATTATCCGACACGTACACCATTCGATGAGAACACAGGAGTTAGACGAGAATATAACCGCTCGTTAAGTAACGATAATTGGAGAGAGAAACCCAGTGAAGATGATGATGGAAATTGGAGACGTGCAGGAACACGAGACAAGTGGAATAAAACAGAACAAAGTAAGATAGATTTTATTTAATGTAAGCATGATTTTATGAAAATGTTATTCTGTTGCTCTTTCGCTTTTTATGTATGTTCTTTAGATCATAAGGTCTGCCATCGGGTCATAACCCGTGGTTTCGATCCAAGACTTGTACGTGACAATGCTACAGTGCTATTTTTTCCGGTGTGGTTCCCCCTTGTCAGTGATGCAGGACCGAGGGCCTGACAAGGACAGCTGTCTAGTCGTTCGGATGGGGCGAAAAACTGAGGTCCTGTGTACACATTAGCGTGCACGTAAAAGATCCCTTGACAGTTGGAATTCGATATAAGAGTAGGCCGTAGTGCCGCTCTCCAGGCAAAATTTCTCCCATAGCACACTGTCTGGCGTATGCCCATCTTCATTAGCCCAGTACGGATCGGAACAGTAGGACGTTAAACCCCATATCATTTCATTGCAGTGCTATTTGATTTCTCAAGTTTCTTTTTTTTTTTCTGTATATGTATCCATTTAATTGTTTACTCTGTCTAGACACACGAGGAAGCTGGAGCGATCCAAACCACTGTTTTCTGTATATGTATCCATTTTACTATTTATTCTATCTAGATACACGAGGAAGCTGGCGCGATCCGAACCACGATCCCCGAGGCTTTGATGGTGAAAAGAAGTCAAATGGATTTTCACGTGATGGACCTCCTAGTCGAACATATCAACGGAGCAGAAGCAGTGAATCATGGGATACTGAAGGTATAACATTATACGAATTGTGTGTTTTGGGGTGGGGTACCAAACTCGTATGCTGTAGATTACAAAGACTGTTGTCTATGCAAGTCATGAGCTTGACCCGGGGTTGTGTGTGGCAAGATCTTGGATCACCTGCCTAACCTTGTGTTTTTTCTTTGAGTGCTTAGATTTTCTCAAGGTCCCATTTCAGTTTGAAATTGAAATAAAAGTAAGCAGTCAGGGCTAAATTTCCATCATAGCGCACAACATGGTAAATGCCCATCTTCATTAGCCCAGTAAATGTATAAGAGTATGTTTAACTTGATCTCTCTCCTTTTACTAATATGAAGTGTGGAATATATGTATTGTCGACTAAAGATTTACGAAATACAGCTTTTCCCCGTCCCCTTCTTTACATACACTAACTTTAATTTTTTTATTTTTTTTGTGTGACTTATCAGATAATTTACCTGAGTGGAGTACAGATGTAGATGATCCAGAGGCTGTTGGTTCTTTTGATGCAAGTGGGGCTTTTGTTGCTATAAAGGTAACTTTAACTTAATCTAGGATTTAAGAGCAAACTTATTTGTTCACTACACTCAATAAAGAAAATAACATAAATTAACACTATTTTCTGTGATAAAATTAACACTGTTTTCGTGTGATAAAATTAACACTATTTTCTGTGATAAAATTAACACTATTTTCTGTGAAAAAATATTATAGGAACCAGGAGGTCCAGACATTGATGAAAATTCACCACCAAATACAAATAAACAGAATTCCAAACTTCCAGTCTCTAAGGTAAACATATACAGTTATGTTGTTGTCAGATGCATCGAACATGGTTCAGTTTGTACTGCTTGATTTTCGCAATTTTTTACTCAATTGTCGCTATTCATTCGATGTAAAAAATTTAGTTTCAGAATTTAATACAGTACAGTATGTTTGAAGATACAAGTTAACTTTTTATTCTTTGTTATCTTGTAATATAGCCACTTTTTTTTTTCTTTTTTTTTTGATTACGTTTTTTTTCCCTCAAAGAAATAGGAAGCCAAAGTTTTAATGTTTACCAAGCAAAAAAATTTAATTGATTTTGCTGTAGCTGTTTTGATGTTAATTTTTGTTTGGCTTACACTACATAAGGATTCAACTGCTTCTGTTATCACTTCTCTGTGAAAGGCATCTGTTCATTGGCTAGATGAAAAGGCAGGCGTAAAATAAAGCTATTTCACACACAGTTCAATACAAGCTTCCTAACTCAACAGAGTTGAGTACTCCTGTCGACAAGGAAATCTACATTCTATACATGAATCCAGACCATTTCATCCATGACATGAAGGGTCTATATCTACAGATGTTTTTTAATCAGGGGGGGGGGGGGTGGGTTGGATGGCTGAATGGTTAGCACATGCGCGCTGTATCATAAGGACCCTGGGTTTTCTCCGGGTCCTCCGGTTTCCTCCCACTGCTATAAAGACCCATACGCACAAGCAAATTATTGAAATAAAATTAAACCATATGTTAGTCCCGAAATGACCTAGTTTGCTTCAAGTGGACATTAAACCCCATTTCTCTCTCTCTCTTTTTTTAATCAGATGACTTTAAAATGTGTATATTTTACCACTATTGACCATTATGATGTGAGTTTTTATAATGTTATGACATCAAACTTCTGGTTCACTTAAGAGTTAAAGATGTTGTTAGACCTTACAATTATTTTAATTGGACTATATTAGATCGATGGTGTTACTGAAAATGTAAAATTTTCATCTTTACTTTTTGTTTTTCACAGGAAAAAGATATTCAAAATAACAATAATAACAAAGAGAAAGAAGAACCGCGACAGAAATCTAATGATAGTGCTATAAATAAGAAAATGAACAATGAGAAAAAGATAAACTCAAACTCATCTGAGATAAAGGCGAAACCCGAATCGCCGCGCAAACAGGGAAATAATAAATCAGATACTGTCTCAAAAACTTTGGTTGTTCAATCTCCTGCTGTCCAAAAAACTCCTCACGAATTAGCGAATGAAATCATAAATGATAATAAACAAGATAATAGAGAAAAACCACGGAGCATTATTCCGACAGTCAAATCTAAGGAAGGCGAAGCATTGGAGCAAATGAAACTTCAAGCAGAAAGTCTGGTAGCTATCGTTACTGAGGAGGTAATTGGTGCTTTCTGTGTCAGATCGTCTCAGAGTTGGACTTTGTCAAAGCCGATTTGGTTGATATGCTTGTATAAAAATAGAGGTCAAAAATAAAATAAAAACTGGACTGAAAAATATAGAGCTAAATCCAGATCTGTTACAAGGTCAAACTCTGAGTTGATTGACATGGATAGAACCCATTATTATGAATATTTAAATAATTTGCCTTCTAGCCTTTTAGTCTTTTTTCTGGCTTTAGGAGTCATTCAGTGCCTTATGTTTCATTAACCAAGTCCCTGGATTTCGAACATACTCTGACGTGAGGATCAAACATAGAACAATGTGGTGACAGAATTAAATGTGGTGACAGAATAATCAATGTTTATCACTGACAGTATATTGACCTGCAAGCATTTCTTTGATTGTTTGAGCATTGTAGTCAAAGGGGAGGCAACTGTGCAAGATTACCTCCCTTTGATTGCAGTCAAATAACTTATGAGAATCGACACTGTCTTTATTCTTAGTCATTCTTCTGGATTTGAGTCTGTGGTCAAAGGGGAAGCAACTCTTCACCACTATCTCCCTTGTATCAATCCTGTGTGCAAAGATAATTGTTCTTTACTTTGATGGCCATTTTAATATAATATGCTTCTTTTATGTTTTAGGATGATAAAGAACCAGAATTATCATCATCACAGCCAGATAGTCCTGTTAAATGGTTATATAAAGATCCACAAGGAGATGTTCAAGGTTATTGTCTTTTTATTTTTGAATAGATAAAGAAAGTTGTGATTTCTGTTTGTTTTTACTTTTCAGATTTAAGACATATAAGTTGATAGCCATCTCACTTAAGTCTAATTTTTTGGTATTTATGCTAATTTATTTTGTAAATAGGTCCATTTTCCTCTGATGAAATGGCTGAATGGTTTAGTGCTGGATATTTTACTATGAGTTTACTAGTCAAGAGAGGTTGTGATGAAAGATTTCAACAATTAGGTAGGTTTCTACGGAAGTATAAATCTAAACATTGCTTATATATCTATATCGTGTCAGTCAATGTGGATGATGAAGTGCTATGACGCATAGTAGCATGTATAAACTTCTGTGTTCTCTTAGTTTATTGAAATAACCATCTTGAGATGTGTTAATAATCTGTTGTATGTGGACAGGTCAAGTGGTCAGTCCTAGCTTAGAATATTTTGGAGGCCATATTAACTCTTGAGTAAAATGTTTTGGGATTGAATCCTGACATGGTCTTAGAAGAACTGGGATTTTTCAAGTCTGGTTCCAACTTGTCAAGCGCTAACAAGTAGAGTGTGTGTCTAGTTGTTTGGACAGGAAGAAAAACTGTACACATTGGAGTTAGAAAATTTGAGAACATATTGTGTAGTGTAAATGCCTCTGTATGGGCAAGTTTATTCTATCTAGCATTTCACAAATGACAGCAGAAAAAAAAACATGTATGTTGGTCTAAAATGACCAAAGTATTGTATTTCTGAAGGCGGTTACTTTCAATGACTGCACAGCAAAAAGAGATATTAGTAATTGTATCTTGCGTATGTGACCAATAAATGTTATTTCACTGTGTATGGTAATTATATTATAGGTGAATTAATAAAGAGATGGGGAAGAGTACCATTTCTTGCTGGTGTATCTATGCCACCATTGCTTGTAAGTATTGATTTAAAATTAAATTGACCATTCCTTGATCAGTTTATAATGCTAGGATTCTGTTGAAGTTGATCAAAGAATTCTGTGTCAAGGAGTTGGTTGAATGCCTGTCAAATGTAGTTTTCTTTTTTTCAGCATTAAAGAAAGATTTCCACGATTTATATGGTAGTTATTTCCAATAAAAGTATGGTAAATTTGGTATATTTGAAAACTAGAGATGCCCAATCTTACTTTAATAAACATACTGGATTCCCTGAAAAACACCCATGGGGCAAGCACTGGGCATAAATGTCAGAGTATCACTAATCGGCAACCCGACGGCCTATTGTCTGCCAGCTTGACTTACGGAATTCTTGTTATTTCTTGATTGACTGGTTGGCCATGAGGGGTTTAAACGTACAACATACTCTGCAATTAAACGGCGGAAACAGAGGTTGGCAGAAGATAATTCAAGCATTTACTTAGGCTTTGATATGTATACTAATGGACAACAAATACAATCTGTAAATAGGGACTCCCTCAATCAAGTTACACGACAAACAAATCTGCTTAAAATACATTCCTACGATATAAAGTAGTGTTTTTTCAATTAAAAAGTTTTAAGAGTGATTTGAAGCAATGGTTTGATAGATAAATCAGTTTGAATATGTTTTTAGTCCAAATATATCACCAATTCACAATGTTTGTATGTGGGAAGGCAACTTTATCCTTAATTGTGTTGATTGGATGTTACACCACATTACTCTTTTCTTTGAAATAAAAAAGTTTTTTATTTGATAAAATGCGTACATGATATATTTTATGTTGTGTTGATTGGATGTTATTTGATAAAATGCGTACATATTTTATGTTGTATATTTTATGTGTTATAGAATAGTCCAGTAACAACAATGCCAAGTGAAAATACCTGTATACCACCTATATCTCAACCATTACCTGGTACACCTCCTACAGAACAAGTTAATGTTTTACAACAACAATTTCTATTACAACAACAATTGTTACAACAACAGTTATTAATGAGGTAAAGTAATGTTTTTTTGACTCGCTAGCCTGGAGGTCGGGTGTTCGATCCCTGCATTGGCCGAGAAAGTTCAACCAGATTTTCCGGCATGATTCCCCCTTGTCAGTGATACAGGACGGAAGGCCTGAGAAAGGCTGCTGTCTAGTCGTTCAGATGAACCGGAAAACCGAGGTCCCGTGTACACATTGGTGTGCACGTAAAAGATCCCTTGACAGTTGGAATTTGATATAAGAGTAGGCCGAAGTGCCGCTGTCCAGGCAAAATTTCCCTCATAGCACACTGTATGGCGTATGCCAGTCTTCATTAGGCCAGTTTGGAGTAGGACGTTAAACCCCATTTCATTTCATTGTAATCTTCTTGTATATGCTAAGGACCCTGGTGCCAACATGCAATGCTGATTTTACTATATTCGATACATACATCTAGAAAGTAACTGTGACATTTGTGAATTCCGTATCACTTGATTGCAATTCTGTCAATTTGGGATGTTCCGGACTGACAATTGAGCACCCCCATTACTGTTGCTCCCTAAACCACCTGATACAGCTAGTCACACAGCTATTATACAGTCACTAAGTTACTATTCATGGTAATTGTCTAGCTTGGGGTACTAGATAACGACTTTCACCTGTCCAGGTGCTAAACGGTTACACATCATTTGATTTGTTTGGTTTTTTTGTAGGCAACTTCAACAACAGCAACAACAACAAATGGTTTTACAACACATGCAAGATCAGGAGGGGTTTAAAGGTTTACCACTAGCACAACAACAACAATTAGTCATGCAGATGATGATGTCACAACCAATGTTATTACAACAACAATTACAGCAACAACAGCAGCAACAACAGCATGCTGCACAACAAACACACAGATTATCTCCCTTGTGAGTATTTACATAAACGGCATACATCCTCCGTATGTGGGTATTGGATGGACGAATGGTTAGCACGTGCACGCTCTATCATAAGGTCTGCCATTGAGTCAACTGGTGCGGTTTCGAATCTTCCGTTGTACGTGACGAGGAGTAGGGTCGCCTGTGCAACCTCGTGGGTTTTCTCCGGGTCCCCCAGTTTCCTCCCACTGCTATAGACCCCTATGCGCAAGCGAATTATTGAAATAAAAAATTGAACCATGTGTTAGTCCCGAAATGACCTAGTTTGTATCGAATGGTCATTAAACCCCATTTCTCTCTCCTCCGTATGTAGTATGGTATTCTTGTTAAAAAAAATTTGCCAATTTTTGACATATTTGATTGATCTTGGAAAAGCAAGATATTTGGTTATTTGGTTCCAAAAAATATCATTTTAGCATTTTGCCAGTTATATTGTAGATATTTTGTAAGTGGGTAATATATAATTTTAACCATAATGATTGTGCTTTGATGTTAAAATGACAATTAAACTCTTTATTTTGTTACAGACATACAGAACAGCCTGGTATGGCTAATCATCCAGCCTTCCATAGATCTTTGTCTCAACCATCCAGTAAAACGGAAAATCCCAGTGATGAGACCATATGGGGTGGGGTTAATACAGCTACCAGTCCTCCACTCGGTGCAGGTAAATACAAACTTAATGAATATAATAATGTTCTTTTTTCGAGCCCCAAATCCATCAATAAGCATGCTCAAAGCACTTTTAAAACCAATAAGCTAAGTCTCTAACTCAATATTATTCACAGTCTTCGACATTGAAAATGTGAATTATTTGTCAATTTAAATCAACTTTGATGTTGTTATCTTACCAGGAAAAGATGGGCTTCTGATATCCAATATTTAAGACAAAATAAACATTTTACCATTGGTACACAAATCGTATACCAGAATATCTTAGAATAGTTAGCAGTAGAAATAGGATCACCATGATGCAATTTGTTGGAGTATAATTTTTCATAGTCTACCCATTTCTAGACTACAAACCCCTATGTTATAATTTGTGTATATAATATTTCAGGTGCTTTCTCTCAACCTACGAGTGTATGGGATTTAGAGGCTGGTAAACAATCCGATCCTGCCGATCTTCACGCACAAATACAAAGAATGCAGCAGGTAAATATACAAATAATTTATATATTCCTTTTGAGCTTTATAAATATTATACAAAAAATTTATATATTGCTGTTGAGCTCTAAAAGATTGAATATATTTTGTATATAATAAATTGTTTGTAAAATATTTTTTGCCAACCAATCATTCACCAAGAATTATGTTCACTTTGATCAACATACTCCCCGCAGTGTTTCGTTTGATTAGAGCTAATCCCACTAAACACTGCTTTAATGGAAGCAAATTTCTGTTCCAAATTATGAGTGGTCAATGATCTGATTAACAACCAATAGCTAACTACATAACAATATGATTACGCTTTAAACAGAGCTCCATTTAAAAGTCCAATTGGACCAAATATGTTTACATAACGTTACGTCATGACTCACGATTTTATTATGCCCAATTAACCAGTGCATAGAAGAATATTTCAGAAAAACTAATTGTGTGACAAACAAGGCTATCAACACAGATACAATGTAAACAATACTGTATGTAGACGAACAAGACTTCCACTGTTTTTAATACCTTAAATCACTGTCCAAAGTTTTAGGGAAGACCCCAGGTTAAACGAAGGGCTGTCATGTTGCTGTACTTGGGGTAGATTTGATTGAACGGGAAGAATAGACACACTCCCTCAAAAGCTCTTGGTATGAGAAGCCAATCCAGCAATTGGCAGAGAGGGATTTCTCGGGCCATTGCTTCAGGAATATGCTTGATCAAGGAACTTTGAAAATCTATTTGATGGTGGGGGGTAGGGGGGTAAATGGTTTTCCCAAAAAAAATTTTCCAGCACTCCATCCTCACTAGTTAACTTTCCATAGTTTTTTTTAGTTAAGTCAAACAGCTATTGGTATTCTGAAGGCTAAACATTTATTTTTTTCTGGAAAGTCAGTGACAGTGACCTAGAGAGTGAAGCACTACCTTCCATCCTAGTGTTGGTCTAGAAAGTTCTTAAAGTGTGTTCAGTGAGAATAATTTTATTGAGTTTTACACATGTTGTAGTTTCAAAAATCCAAATTTCATTTGTGAAAGGAAATGGACAGAGTGCGAAAACTGGAAGAAGATAGAAAGAGAGAAGAAGAAAGAAAACAGCTGGAATTACAACGAAAACAAGAAGAAATACAGAAACAACAAGAAATGTTGATGAGAGAAAAACAAGAAATAGAAAGACAGAAACAGATGGAAATACAGGTATATCTTTATTCTTATAAAACAATGATGAAAATGCGATTTAATGGTAACTGCGATTGAATGGCCTACTCTTTATTTTGATTTAGAACTACAGGGAATCTTTGACGTGTTTCTAATGGTATACACAGTATTTACCGTATTTTTCGGTGTATAAGGCGCACTTTTTTTACCAGGTATTTTATTTTCTAGAGGGGGTGCGCCTTATACATAGTATTAAGCAAATCTTGGCTTTTCTGTGTGTCAACATCGAGGTCTGAAGTTGATCATATCGACAACAGCAATAAAGATGGCGGCCATTTCCAATACCGATATCCCGTATACCGTTAGTCATAGACGACAGAGGAAACAATATGGGTCAATAGCGGTTTAGTGTTATTAAAATATCTGCAAAGATATCGTAAATAATTAGATGACATATTTTTCTGCTATTCCGACATTCCGATGTCGTCTTTTCTCGTGCAATAAATATGGCGGCCATTTAAGATACGGTATCGGCTTTTCCGTATACCGTTAGTCATATTTCTATTATTCCGTCTTTTCCGTATACCGTTAGTCATAAACGACAGTGCTAACAATATCTGCAAAATTCTCGTTAATATTTCTATTATTCCTGCGTATTTGATGACATATACTTCTGCTAATCCGTTTACCGGTACAGTTAGCCACTGTCGGCAATCCAAACAGTGTGTCGTCAACGGTGATATCAGTCAAGTTGACGAAAAGGCAGGGCTTTCGACAGACAAAGAGTTTTCATTGGCTATTAGAAGGGTAATTTCCATTGAGCACACGCTCATTATACCATAGGCTATGGGTATTGTCTGTTACAATGACAGCGTTAATGGGCGGGATTACAGTTAAACTGGCAGAATATATCGAAGAACAGAACAAATTTAAGCCATCGACTAAAATATATTTTAACACAAGTATAATAAAAACATATAATAAAAACAAACAGGTTCACCAGTATAGCACAGCATAGTTATAGGCACAGTATAGATATAATAAAATATGGATATAAGAAAAACAAAACGTCTCACGTTTGACTCCCCCAAACTAAATTCACGACCCGCAGCCCTATTACCGTGTGCTTCAGCGTAACTAATTACCCTCAACTTCTCCTTAGCGGTATAAGCGGTTCGTCTCGTAGCCATTCTGAATAAATAATTTTTAAGAATGATGGAATGTTCACTGGTGTTTTATATACATCGGGGTGTTTTCTTTGAGCAAGACTGTCTTTTAGTAACCGTTTTAAGTTACCGACAGTTTTCATTCAACATGGATTCAGTGATTGGCCCATTGTTATAATTTACCGGTATAGTTAATTATCTACCAGTGAGTTGTTATCGTTTTCTTTATGAAGTCGTTTGTAGTTGACAAAATCATTGTTTCTTTGATTGGTATTAAAAATGCTATTGTATTATTTTACCGGTATAGTTAATTATCTACCAGTGAGTTGTTACCGTTTTCTTTATGAAGTTGTTTGTAGTTGACAAAATCATTGTTTTTTTGATTGGTATTAAAAATGCTATTGTATTATTTTACTGATAGATCTAAATGGCTACAATCTGGGTATTGTCATGACGCGTGGAGTGGGCGGGGCAACAGCTGACGCTATCGTTTGATTGTCAGTTGTTTGCATAACTTGGAGTAAACTGGAATTGTTGTTTCTCTTTTACCGGTAGTCAGGATTTAAGTTGTGAGTAACTGATCATGATATATTATTTCTACAGGTATTATTTAATTTGTTTATCATCAAAACCGATTCATTTATCACAGACAATTACTCACGAATTTAACACGATGTAATAGACGGCCATGTTTGTTGTGGGCGGGACTTGAATGACAATTTCACTACCGTACGAGCAACAGAATTACAGCTGAAAGTTATGCAATAATGCAATTGCGTGTTATAATTAATATAAACAAATGTAACAAAAGCAATTTATTTCATAAAGAAATATAATTATATAAAGCTTGATACGGCTAAATATCGGTAATTATTATAACTGTAAACAATAGAGTTTGACCTAGTTACTGGAGATCGCAGGTGGATTTGAGTCACATATGCTATGGCACGAGTTTCACACGCGCTGGGAAAGGGTGCGCCTAAACCACGCATATTTTTTTTTCCTGAAACACCTCTGCCAAAGTCGCCCTGCGCCTTATCTACGCATGCGCCTTATACACCGAAAAATACCGTAGTCTTTTATGCCATTCAAAGGATTGGGCAGGGTCTTGGCAAAGAATGTTTGAACCCTCTTAGATCACTTTGCCTCACCATACTCACAGAAGACTCACTGACTGACATAGAGAGAAAGAGAGAGATGGGGTTTAACGTCCATTTGACACAGACTAGGTCATTTCGGGACTAACATATGGTTTAATTTTATTTCTATAATTCGCTTGCACGTATGGGTCTTTAGCAGTGGGAGGAAACCGGAGGACCAGAAGAAAACCCACGAGGTTGGATAGGCAACCCTACTTCTTGTCACCTACAACCGGGGATTCGAAATCACTCCAGTTGACTCATTGACAGGCCTTATGATACAGCGCGCAAGTGCTAACCATTCGGCCATCCAACCGCCCCTTACATAAAGAAAGAAATGTACTATGTAACGGGAATGTATGTGTCCTGCATAGGCTATTGGTAGTACATTAAACATCCCTTAGGCCTGCTAAAGAACATTGTCTACTTGTACGGATGGTATGAAAATCCAGGGTCAACTCGTGCACATGACAGAACCTTTGATAGCAGGTGGAAATGCTACTATCCGGGCAAAAATCTCCTCCCATATTTGCAAGACATGACGTAGAAAAAATACAATTGTATATTAGTTTCAAAGTGACCAAATTATTGTTAACACGACATTTAACTTCTATTTGCTTTGGGGGTCACGGTGGCTAAGTGGGTAAGATGCTTGCTCGCTAGCCTGGAGATGGGTGTTCGATACCTGCATTGGCCGAGAAGGTTCATCCAGATTTTCCAGCGTGGTTCCCCCTTGTCAGTGCTGCAGGACTGAGGGCCTGACAAGAACAGCTGTCTAGTCGTTCGGATGGGATGAAAAAAAGAGGTCCTGTGTACACATTGGCGTGCACATAAAAGAGTAGAACACTGTATGGCATATGCCCGTCTTCATTAGCCCAGTTCGGAACAGAACAGTAGGACATTAAACTCCATTTCATTTCTTTTTCTTTTCTATCCTGTTGTTACAGTGTAAGTGTATTTTACTTTCCACAGAAATATGAGGAACTTAAACATCAAGAACAGTTACGATTACAACAGCAAGATGAGGAAAGAAAGAGAGCAGAAGAAATCTTGAGACAAGAAGCTGAACGACAGTATCAGAAGCAACGAAAAGAGGAAGATCGCAGACGACAAGAAGAACGTCGAATTGAAGAAGAGAGAAAGATGGAGGAGGAACGACAAATGGAAGAACAGCAGCGTAGAGTGGAAGAAGAGAGAAGACGGGAAGAAAGACAAAAGGAGGAGGAAAGAAGGCGGGAAGAGAAACGACAGAAAGAGGAAGCGAGACGTAAAGCAGACGAAGAAAAACGACAACAAGAATTACTTCAACAAGAAGAAATGTTGCAACAACAAGAGTTACAGAGACAACATGATTTAGAAGAACAGTTAAAGAAGCAGGTAAAGATAATTGTCCTCCACTTTTACACTTAAAGATACGTTCCCAAAAAAGTATTTATCAGGTGGTTATTTCCAGTAAAAGTATGGCAATTTTGGTATATATAGAAAGTAGAAATATCCAATATTACTAGAAAAATACTGGATTCCCTGAAAAACACTCATAGAGCGCATACAGGACAAAAATGTACAGGTTTCCCTAATCGACAGCCCAACGATTAGGAGTGTCTGCACGCGTGGCGTCGAAGGTTGCACGCGGAGATTGAGCGCTTGATGTACATTTTGATAAACTTTATGAAGAATTAGACGTACAACACTTTCCGAGATAAAAATCACTGAAAAAGACGCGGGCAGTGGATAATCCGAAAATTTAATTAGGCTTCGATATTTGTATTAAATAGTCAGCGATTAAAGACAACATCGTCTTGTGTATGCAATGAATTCTCCTCCGACTTCGCTTGCGTTGATCGTTTTTTTTTTATAGCCAGGATATTCCCCGACAATTGCAATGTTTTGAGAAGAATTTGAAGCAAAATTATGATAAATTAATTAGTTTGAATATGTTTTTAGTCCAAATATATTATCAAATCACCCAATTTGTACCCGGGAATGTATCTTTAATGGAGACTATTATGCTAGTTGTGCTTTTGCTAATTAGAAATTTCTTGGATCTGGTCATTTTTGTGTATCCATGGAAACAATTCTGACTGAGTTTTTGGTATGCAATTTTTATTCCTGGGCATATGTTATAAACTGGTCATTTAGCTGCAAATTCAATATTTTATAATTTTGCTCACTCTTCATACAAACAGACTTTTAAAAACTACACAGCAATCGTTTTATTATACTTGTATTATAACAGCAATCGTTTTATTATACTTGTATTATAACAGGAAGAAGCTGATAGACAGGCTGAATTACAACGTCAACAACAAGAAGCTTTACGTAAATTACAACAACAACAAAGAGAACAGCTGTCTAATATTAAGGTAATAAAACATTTTTATACACTCATACTTCATGTGGGATTAGATTGTCATCACCTAGGGTCCGTCCGCCTGCCCACAATTCTTACACTACAGGTGAGAGGTTTTGCCAATTTTTTACAAAAAAATGTTCAAACTTGCAGGGATTGTAAGGAGAAATTCAAAATTCAGAGTCACTCAACATGTTTTCACAGAGTTAATGTTGCTGTCACTTGTAATTCCTATCAAAAAAAAAGAAAACTTGTGCTGAAATCCTCTTGATTCGGATACACATTTCAAGTAATTTTGCTTTCATTACAATAGTGTTCATATTGTTTTTTATTTGCACAATATAGAAAAGCTGTGATGTGGTGGGGTGTTGGATGGCTGCATCATAAGGCCTGTCATTTTGTCAACTGAAGTGGTTTCGAATCCCCGGTTGTACGTGACAAGGAGTAGGGTCGCCTGTCCAAACTCGTGGGTTTGCTCCGGGTCCTCCAGTTTCCTCCCACTGCTAAAGACAACTATGCGCAAGCTAATTATTGAAATAAAATTAAACCATATGTTAGTCTCGAAATGACCTAGTTTGTATCGAGTGGATGTTAAGCCCCATTTCTCTCTCTCCTACTGTGATGTAGCCCAAAAAGTTTAAGATTTAAGTTGTTAAATCTGTAAAACTTGTCTGTCATTTACCAATGTATTTCTTTATTTGGAATATTGAAATAGTTATATTTTGATTGTATATATTTAGCTGCCTGCTACAGCTCAATGGGCAAAACAACAGAATCAAGTTTCAACACCCGCCAGTTCTCTTACAGAAATACAACAACAGGAACAGAAAAAATGGCAGATTGAAGAGGTAACTACTTTGCAATAATCTAGTTACAAATTAAAACATGTCAAATATCCAAGAAAAGTTGCCCGATTTGGTAAATGATACAGAATATTGTTTAAAATATGCACTCCTTGATCTATAATTTCTATTATAAATGCACCACAGCACTCAATTTGACCTATTAAAATCAGCTATTGGGAGCAACGATGGCTCATTGAGTATGGCATTAGCTAGGAGGTCCTGTGTTCGAATCTGGTGTTGGCAAATAAAGTTTCTGATGATTTTCCAGCTTGGTTTCCCTCTTCTCAAATAGTAAGTGCAGGAGGACTGCACTACACACAAAAAATTGTATAGGCTTCACTCAAAATGAAATAAAAAATAATTTACAAAAAAAACGTAACAGAAATAATGTGACTAATCTTGACAGTGGTCGTCTCATCAAAGGCGATAGGCTACCAGTTGACATCATGAGTTAAAACAATTGTAACAATAAGGGCGATAATTCAGATAGCACTACCTATTAAAATCTTGCTTTCTTTTGCATTGGAAGAAAAATAATTCAAAAAGAAAAATTACTTGGTTACTCTTCTCAAGCTGTAAGTTCAAAACATGATTAACGAAAACCAAGCAAATAATTATTTATCAAGATCCCAAAAGCAATAAAGATTATTAACAGAACACAGTTTTTATACGCCCACATTTTCATGTGGACGTATTATGCCATCGCCACTGTCCGTCCAGACGTCCATCCGTCCGTCCGTCCACAATTGTTTGTGGACTCTCTACAGGTCACAATTCTTATCCGATTTTGACGAAACTTGAAATATAGGTTTATCCCCAAAAGATCTCGGCTGCTTTCGTTATTGGCATGTATCGGATCGAAACTTCATGGATTATGGCCCCAGATTCTACGAAAAATCACGTATTTAGCTTGTGGACCCTATAGAGGTCACAATTTTTATCCGATTTATTTGAAACTTGAAATGTAAGTTTATAACCTAAAGATCTCGGTTCCTTTCGATATTCGCGCATATCGGACCGTAACTTTCTGAATTATGGCCCCTGATTGTACGAAAAATCGCGTTTTTAGCTTGTGGACCCTATAGAGGTTATAATTTTTATCCGATTTAAAAAAACATATTATTATATCACCGTTACACCCTAAGGATGGCTGAGTTCGAATTTCGTGAAAATCGGCCCAAAATTGACAGACAAAATGGCCGCCGTTCATTCTCAAATAGCGTAAAAATATGGTATATCAAGGTTGTGGACCCTATAGAGGTCACAATTTTTATCCGATTTTGTTGAAACTTGAAATGTAAATTTATAACCCAAATATCTTGGTTCCTTTCGATATTTGCGCATATCAGACCATAACTTCCTGAATTATGGCCCCTGTTTGTACGAAAAATCGCGTTTTTAGCTTGTGGACCCTATAGAGGTCATAATTTTTATCCGATTTAAAAAACCGTATTATTATATCACCGTTACACCCTAAGGACGGCTGAGTTCCAATTTTGTGAAAATCGGCCCAAAACTGACAGACAAAATGGTCGCCCTTCGTTCTAAAATAGCGTAAAAATATGGTATATCAAGGTTGTGGACCCTATGGAGGTCACAATTTTAATCCGATTTTGTTGAAACTTGAAATGTAAGTTTATAACCCAAAGATCTTGGTTCCTTTCGATATTCGCGCCTATCGGACCATAACTTCCTGAATTATGGCCCCTGATTGTATGAAAAATCGCGTTTTTAGCTTGTGGACCCTATAGAGGTCATAATTTTTATCCGATTTAAAAAACTGACAGACAAAATGGTCGCCCTTCGTTCTCAAATAGCATAAAAATATGGTATATCAAGGTTGTGAACCATATAGAGGTCACAATTTTTATCCGATTTTGTTGAAACTTGAAATGTAAGTTTATAACACAAAGATCTCAGTTCCTTTCGATATTCGCGCATATCGATTTGTAATTTCCTGAATTATGGCCCTTGATCGTAGGAAAAATCACTTTCTTGTTAGCTTGTTCTCCATCCATCTCTCGAAAATGTGGGCGTATCCTGCCTGGCAGCCGCTGGTTATGGGATACAATCACTAGTTTTATTCTAAAAGCAAGACTTTTCGACAAATATCCTCTTATCGTTATCAAGGGGGGGTTGGATGGCCGAATGGTTAGCAGGTGCGTGCTGTATCATAAAGCCTGTCATTGAGTCAACTGGCGTGGTTTCGAATCCCCGGTTGTACGTGACAAGGAGTAGGGTTGCCTGTCCAGCCTCGTGGGTTTTCTCTGGGTCCTCCGGTTTCCTCCCACTGCTAAAGACCCCTACGCGCAAGCGAATTATTGAAATAAAATTAAAAAACCATATGTTAGTCCTGAAATGACCTAGTTTGTGTCGAGTGGACGTTAAACCCCATTTAAGAAAGTATCGTTATCAAGCACAAACTAGTGATTGTATCCCATAAAAACTGTGTTCTGTTAATGTGTTTACCGATCGCTAAATGCCACTTAAAGATTACAATAAAGATTAAATAGATTGATCTAAATGTATATGAGCTAGATAATTGTCAACTGGGAAATGATGTTGCCGATACAATCTTCAACAATAGATTGGATTTAAACAAGTTCAACTGATGACAACAGTATAATGTTAAATAATTGATTTTTCAGCATCAAAGATTAGTAGATCAACAGAAGTTACAGATGGAAATGTTACATCAACAAAAGATAAACCAGCAACAACAACAGTCGCAGCAGCAAAAAACAACATGGGCCAGTCATGTGTAAGTAATCCCTACAATTGTAGTGTCAATATATCCCTCTTTCTTCCTTAATCCCTCCTCCCAAATACAACAAACAACACCAAAATCATCGGATATTCTTGTGCAAGTTTTGAATATGCTGGGATTTAACATATATTATGCAAGAGCTAAATCTGCCTATTACACCTCTTTCTTTAGGCCGGAAATGTTATCTAAATTATTAATTAGACATTAATTAACTTATCCAGACCATAATCAACTCTCGATGGCATCGCTAGCCTGCAATGTTTATTGGATTAGGTTCCGATTTGCTGTTCAACTTCCATTCATAATTTAATTATTAAATGGATAATCGAGACTATGTTTTTTATCCTACCGACTTTAACTTTAGTAATGATGATCGAGACTAGGCGGAAAAATTAAATCGCTAAAATCTTGGTTCATAGTGGATCAATTTCAGCAAATTCCCTTTGCAGTATGTAGTTTTTATACGCCATCATTTTCATGTGGACGTATATTGTCGTCGCCCCTGTCCGTTCGTCCGTCCGTCCACAATTGTTTGTGAACAGTCTACAGGTCACAATTTTTATCCGTTTTCAATGAAACTTGAAATATAGGTTTATCACCCTAAGATGTCGGTTCCTTTCGATATTGGCATGTATCGGACTGTCACTTCATGGATTATGGCCCCTGATTGTACGAAAAATCACGTTTTTAGCTTGTGAACACTGTAGAGGTCACAATTTTTATCCAATTTAGTTTAAACTTGAAATGTATGATTATAACCCAAAGATCTCGGTTCCTTTCAATATTCGCGCATATCAGAACGTAACTTCCTGAATTATGGCCCCTGATTGTACGAAAAATCGCGTTTTTAGCTTGTGGACCCTATAGAGGTCATAATTTTTATCAGATTTAAAAAACCGTATTATTATATCACTTTTACACCCTAAGGACGACTGAGTTCGAATTTCGTGAAAATCGGCCCAAAACTGACAGACAAAATGGCCGCCCTTCGTTCTCAGATAGCGTAAAAATATGGTATTTCAAGGTTTTGGACCCTAAAGAGGTCACAATTTTTTATCCGATTTTGTTGAAACATGAAATGTAAGTTTATAACCCAAAGATCTCGGTTCCTTTCGATATTTACGCATATCGGACCGTAACTTTCTGAATTATGGCCCCTGATTGTATGAAAAATCACTTTCTTTTTAGCTTGTTCTCTATCCATCTCTCGAAAATGTGGGCGTATCCTGCCTGGCAGCCGCTGGTTATCTATTATAGTGAGAACTTCCAGCTCTTTGTCTAATCTGCCATAATGTATCTTTAAGGGATATTACCCCATTGTTTTCGGTCTATAGAGCTGAGTTTTTGATCAAGTTTTTCACAATATGTGTTATATTATTGTTTTATATATTTACAGACAATCACCAGCCACTGGTAGAAAATCTCTGATGCAGATTCAACAAGAAGAACAGGCCAAGTTGGCGGAAACTGAACGGAAAAAACTACAATCACAACAAAAACAACAACAGATACAACAACAACAACAACAAGCAAAGGTAATAAAACACAATATGTGTTGAAAATTTTACATTGGGACCTCGCTACAAAACTGGGGTAAACATGATTTCAAACAGTATTTTATTGAAGCTTGTTTTATGTCTGGTTCAACCAAGTCTTTAAGTAAAACCGTTACATCTCTTCTTAGGTTAGGCCAAACCTATTTAATTTTTAGTTGTTTAAGTCCTTTGACAAGAGCAACCAAGTACTTTTTCCCCAGTTGTCGTGGCCTTTGTCAGAAGAAACAAACATTCAGGTTCAATAACATTGCTTTTACACAAATTATGCTGAATAATATGTTGATACAATTTGGAATTAGAATAAGACTTTTCATGTAGATAAATGGTTTTCTTTTGTAGAATCTGAGTTTAGCATCTGCTGCGGCGTGGGCCGGCCAATCTAGTAATAATAGCGCTAGTGTTTGGAGTTCAGACAGTGGAGCATCAGGTGGAATATGGGAACAACCAGCCCCATCTAAGAAAAAGGCAGCAACGTATGTATCTTCTTTTTTTTTGAAACTTTAATATTAGGGATTAATTCTTGCTGCCCGCCTCAGCCGATATAAGAGATAAGGCTATAATTGAGGTTTAAATCACATAATTTATAACAAGTATAAATGAAAACTAGAAATAAATGGTCTTTGTAATGGAGGTCGATCTGTTGTGATTGAGGGGCTGGATGGCCGAATAGTTAGCCTGTGCGCACGTAGCATAAGGTCTGGTCTGTCATTGAGCCAACTGGCGTGGTTTTAATTGCCCAGTTGTACACAAGGAGTGGGGTCGCCTGTCCAACCTTATGATTTTTCTTGGTTCTCCGGTTTCCTTCCGCTGCTAAAGACCCATACACTCAAGCGAATTATTGAAATAAAATTGAACCATACGTTAGTCCCGAAATGACCTAGTTTATATCGAGTGGACATTAAACCCCATTTCTGACTCTCTTGTGATTGTGTGTAATTTCACTGATTGTATTGAATGAAAGTTGAGCTTTGCTTCTCTCTCTTTCTCTGGTGAACTTACCTTAGTTACAGAATTGTCTACTAGATTTGATTTTCATTGTCAATATTTCTGTCATTTTAGATCATCCGAATTTCCGGCCTTAAAAAATAAGAAGCCAGCTCCCGCTCCTAAGAGCACAAAGACTTCAAATGGTAAAACCAGCCGGGATGAGGTAGGCCAATGTCCTGTTTTCACTATTTGAAGTATTTCTGTTTTCAGATTTACATTGTATAACGTATTTTGCAATTATATAGATTAATATAGAAGTCTCAATGATACCATCTTAAATAGAAAGCTTGATCTCGCTTTAACTACGTATATCTTATCAAGGCCTTCACTTAATACCCTGCATATTTCAGCACTAATTTCAATTGTTTACAAGCCCAGCTTTTGAGCCTATCAGATTCCTCTATCGTCACAAATACCAAGTCTCGCACTTTCAAGCTAAAATGTCTACCTGTGATAATAGAGTTGCAAAGTTCAAGGTTAATTCAATGTCAAGGTTTCCGTGGAGGTCGCGATGTCACAACCTCTGATTGGACGCTACTGCTCACGTGTCTGTAGATAACTAACTATAAGTTCGGGAATTGTGAAGTAACAAGCAACAGCCAGATGTTGTAAAACTCGCAGTCGTTGCTTCAGGAACAGATTAAGGCGTCTCACTGATACAGAGGAGTCTCAGACAATCTAATTAATAAAATACCGGTAAAGAAAATAACATGTTAGTCCCCACATCACCAAGTTGTGGATGTTAAACCCCATACACCTGTAAGATGTTGTGTATATACACAGTTATGAAATAAAAGACAGTGACATGGAATATTAATCAGTCAGTATTTTTTTTAGTAATAATTTAATTATTTATTTTGACAGGATGTTGTAAAAAGTTTATTCAAACCACAGCAAAAGCAAGATGAGTTTACCACATGGTGTGAAAATACACTACGCAATATAACTACCTCAGTAGATGGTAAGATATTTATCATGTAATAACAATATAACTACCTCAGTAGTTAGTAGTATATTTATCATGAAATTAGCTGGTAAGATATTTATCATGTATTTAGATGTTAAAGATACATTATGGGAGTCCCCAGTTGTACGAGACAAGGAGTAGGGTCGCCTGTCCAACCTCATGGGTTTTCTCTGGGTCCTCCGGTTTCCTCCTACTGCTAAAGACCCCTACACGCAAGCGAATTATTGAAATAAAATTGAACCATGTGTTAATCCTGAAATGATCTAGTTTGTGTTGAGTGGATGTTAAACCCCATTTCTCTCTCTTTACATTATGGGAGATTCGATAACGAGTTGGCAGTTCTCACTATAATAGTTAAAAACTAGATAATGTAAAGACAATTTCATTAAAATTGATCCACTATGACCCGAGAACTAAGCGATTGAAATTTCCGCATAGCCTCGATCATTACTTAAGTCAGTACGATAAACAGCATAGACTAGATTATCCATTGAATCGTTAAATTGTGAAGGAAAGTTATGCAGTAAATAGGCTCATAATCTACTAAATATCGCAGGCTAGCAATGCCATCTAGAGTTTATTATGGGTTGGATAGGTTAATTAATTTCTAATTAATAATTTAGATAACATTTCAGGCCTAAAGAAAGACCTGCAATAGACAGATTTAGCTCTTGCATAATGTACGTTTAAGATATTTTTCATGTAATCGCAATCTGATAAAAATCAGATCTTCATTCTGCATTTTGTTAATGCTAATATGAGAAGTAGGATATTTTTGTTTATAAGTCCTAAGGAAGCAAAGATATATTGAACTGTATTGTTGAGCTTGATGCCATCATTTTATCAACTTTTAATCAAAAAATGCAAAAGAAAATTATATATATAGGCTTAAGTTTGATTTTTTCAGTGCCAACTTTTATCGCCTTCCTGCAAGATGTTGAATCTCCGTATGAGGTATGTTGTTATATATATTATCTCTAGTATAATGTCTTCTTAAACCCGTCTCACACCAGGTGATTCTATTTGGCCATCACTGCCATTTCAATGGATATCCACGAATTATGGCAGTCCTCAACTGTCGCCTACAAATTGCTTCTATACACACACACATAGCTTCAATAATCAAAGATATATTGCCCATGTGCACTAGGTGTTATGTTAAGCATAGCTTTAAATAGGCTCTAAATCATTAATGAAGAAATGTGACGTCCACCCTATTCACTTCCCCTTTACTCTAATGTTGTTAATACCATGTTTTATGCGGGGGTTGGATGGCCGAATGGTTAGCACTTGCGCGCTGTATAATACGGTCTGTCATTGAGTCCACTGGCAGAGTTTTGATTTCCCTTTTGAACGTGACAAGGAGTAGGGTCGTCTGTCCAACCTCATGGGTTTTCTCTGGGTCCTCCGGTTTCCTCCCACTGCTGAAAACCCCTATGCGCAAGCGAATTATTGAAATAAAATTGAACCACGTGTTAGTCCCGAAATGACCTGGTTTGTGTCGAGTGGACATTAAACTCCATTTCTCTCTCTCTCTCACCATGTTTTATGACAATTTTCCAGGTACATGATTATGTTCGTTCATATCTTGGTGAGTCGAAGGTTGTCACTGAGTTCAGTAAACAATATCTAGAAAAACGCAGCCAGTATAAGAACAAGAAAAGACAGGAGAAAAAACAACAGGAGGTATTAAACATCATTAATTATACAATAATCACACAGAAAAATGCATAGGTTTAATTGAATAGTTATTTGATCTTTAATTCTAATTGAGTGAGTGTCTGCCATTGAGGGGGGGGTGGATGGCCGAATGGTTAGCACGTGCGTGCTGTATCAGACGGCCTGTCATTGAGTCAACTGTCGTGGTTTCGAATCCCCGGTTGTACGTGATAAGGAGTAGGGTCGCCTGTCCAACCTCGTGGGTTTTCTCCGGGTCCTCCGGTTTCCTCCCACTGCTCAGAACCCCATTTCTCTCTCTCTCTCTCTCTCTCTCTCTCTCTCTCTCTGTCTGCCATCGAATCAGTTTATACAGATTGGAAGATCATGAAGAGCATGACCTATGACCTAAGAACAGATGATGGTCTTAGTAGTTATAATGCCATCAGCTTGGACCAAGAGGAACCTATCAAGGGTCGCACCTGCAGACCTAACGAGGAAACTGTGTCTAGTGGTTCGTACATGATGAAAAGGAGAGGTGCTCCAGTGTGCATTTAAAGAACTCTTGACAGATGGAATTTGAAATAAATAATGGGGAAACTTGGCTATCCTGGCAACATTCCCCTCCCTAGCATTGTACACAAGATCAAAGAAAAAAACATTGGGTCTCGATATGACCCAATTATTTATAGTTTGTGAAGTCTGTTACTATTTTGTCCTAAATAGTATAATCATATAGATATAGACGAGTGTCTTATTCTTCGAGACATCTAAACATTCACATAAATTAATTTGAAGGAGGTTAAGTGCCATCACAATAACCGCATGGCCAATTTTTTGGGGGTACTGATTTGAAACTAATTATTAATTGTAATTAAAGGACAGTATCTGGGGTCCAGCTCCAGCTCTAACACCCAAAGAAAGAAAACCAGTCAGAGCAGCCGAACCCGATACTCAAAAGAGCAAAGGCAAGAAAAAGAAGAAGATGCAGAAATTGGACGGTAGTGTTCTGGGATTCACTGTTCATGCCGCTCCCGATCGGGTCAACGCTGGCGAGATTGAAAACCTTCAGTGAACATTTTTAACTAGTTATATTTTAATGGCACATGGTTTAACATATTTACAGAGATTAAACAGGAGAAAAGATTAAGGATTTTAAAACGGCATATAAAGGTGCTAATTGGTTTCTGTTACTTTTGTTTTTTTAATATAGAAGGTACAGAGTTGCCAGGATTTTAAACTGTGAAGATGGGAGAAAAAAAAAAACCTACAAAAGTTCAGAAAAAATTCTTCTGATGTTGTTTTTCTCTCATTTATTGTTTGTGTTGTTAGATTAAGATAATTTGTCCAACTTGTTTAATTTTTCTCCTCACCGTTCTCTCTTCTTCTTTTTTTTTTTTCGTGTGTGATATAAACTGGATGATGCTCTAGCAGTCGGATAATCTCAAGACAAACAATTGGTGTTATTCCAAATATAAAAAGCATCTGTGATATTAAGGAATAACTGATTTGAAATGATCCTACTATTAAAAACTGTTATGAAAGATAGATTCTGGCTTCATCTATCTGTTTATTAATTTTATTTATTTATTTTTTTTTTAAAAAAAGATGACCAAGTTTTAAATCATGGTCATTGATATTTTAAAAGATCAGATTTAAAAAAGAAATTAGGAATAAGGAATTTCAAACATGTGTAATTATCAAAATAGCAATGCTCTCTAGCAATCATAAATTAAGAAATAAGAAATCTCAAAAGGTAATAAAACTGAGCTTTAACGATAAGTACTGGAGTATTAGAATATCTTGTTACACCCTAGACCAAATACTTCAAATAAAATTAAATTGATTACAAACATGTATATTAACTAGGAATTTCATACTTTGAATGTCACAATTTCTACAATCAATTTTCACCCATACATACATGAAAAGATTGAATCTTAAGACCACTATCAAGGAATCTTGATTATTTACCACATTTCTAAGTTTTAAATAAATGAAATTCTTTATCAGGGAAATAATTATGCTAATTTTATAATGAGAGAATCATAAAAAAAAATATTTTGGGCCAAGAAGTCAAATTATGCTATTAAATCTTATATCTCACTTCTCATTTGTTATCTGTGTTGACTAGCAGCAAAATTTGGAAAGTTTTAACTGTAACAAGCATGGGAATGAATCTAATGAACAATTGGGTAGTTTTTAATGTCACCAGAAGTTGAATGAATGTGTGGATATTGTATATTATGTTCATCTTACAGAGTATTTAAATTATTAGAAAGATATTTTCAATAGAACTTGCAAATTTATAGTCTTTAACATTTGTACTTTTATTCATTTTGAATAGTGCCTTATTTAACAGATGTTTATTTTAAAGAAAATATATGGGCTTTTATTTTCTCCTTCTGCATATTAAAGGGAATGGTTTTTGTTATTAGGATTGTAGGCTTTAAATCCCTTTTTATTGTTATTTAACCATCTACATATCCAATGTTCTTCTTGCACTTCTCTTGTCACCTCAAAAATTTGTGGGGTTTTAGTAAAACTGAAAGAAGTTCCTGTACATGAAAACTTGCTAAAATTTGAAAATGTCTTCAGATGCTTTTAATCAAATACTTAAATAGATATGATTTTACTACACAATACCCCTATTCAATAAATAGAACGGTTATTTGGGGGGTTGACTTTAATACTTTTGATAGTTAGTTATCCTATTAGTAATACTAATTGAACACATTAAAATAAACTCAACAGTTCTATGGATAACAATTACTGTATTCCTATTAAGACTACATTTGAACAATGATTCTCTTGTCGTTATCAATAATCATTGTTGAAATGTAGCCTTAATAGGAATACAGTTATTGTTATCCATAGAACTGTTGTGTTTATTTTGTGTTCAATTACTAAATGTCATTCGAACACTAATTGTATAACTTTCACCTATTAGTAAGGTAACGCTAAATTAATATCAGTAATAGTGACAACATCCCAGACCATAATACTGATAATTATAGTACAAGGCTATATATAATGATCGATATAGAAGAACGATTGTATTAAATATTTATATATGTTAGTGAATTCTATATAAAGACTGAGTGTATAGAGCCAAATATTCCCGCTAAAAATACAACCTGTATATAGTTATTATTCACATCTGTTATATGCATAATTTATTTCATGTTTTTTGGTTTTTGTATAAAATATCAAAAATGTAAGACAGGCCAGATATTTTCGTTCTCTTTGATTCCTTATTTGGTATACCTCTGGTCTGTGACTAACCATATCAGTAGAACCGTACAGCGGTTATTTTGTCTTGGATGTTCTGTTGTACAATCAGGGTTGGGAGGGTAGTCAAAAATTGTTTTTAAATGTCGGGGTGCAGAGGGAAGTAAAGTTTAATTTGAAATGACCTAAAAGTCATTACTACTATAATTATTTTGGCATGGTCATATTGAAATTTGTTCTGTCTGTAGTCTCCCTCAAGTAAACCAACATAATTAATTCTATGTAAAGTGTCATGGTCGTTCTTTACATATCAACATTATAAATGAGTTTCATTTGACTAACGGACAGTATGTATTATAATTGAAAGGCATTGTGTTGTCTGCCATGTCTGTTTTATGGAGAGTAGGATATTTAAAAAAGAAGGGAGTAATAATTACATTTTCTTGGCACATAATATTTATATATATATTATATAAGCTCAAATAATATAAAGCATTATCTTACAGTCTTATAAGTTTTTATATTATTACATGTATTAAAGTAATAATTTCACTATATCAACTATTTCTTTGAACCATTTAAATTTACATTGTTGTTATTGATTATCTACATTTTCATTAGGTAACATCTATAATAGATAGAAGTTCTGAGAAACCTGGTAGGAAGCACTTACATGAAACCCATGTGAAAGCTATTCTTGTGTACATGAGATAAGGTCTGTTCATCCATGAGTGTCATTGGCTCAGTAAACAAGCGTTCATTCAGATTAGAATATTCACCCATGTGAAAGCTATTCTTGTGTACATGAGTTAAGGTCTGTTCTTCCATGAGCATGAGTGTCATTGGCTCAGTAGACAAACGTTCATAATATTAGAATGGTCGCATGAACAATTGATCATTTTGACAGGGTCTTAATATTAGCGATTTCCTCTAGGGTTTCTCAATTTTAAATCATATAAGGGCTTGTATCAATTGACTGTATGAATTTGAACATTTCTCTAAGCTAGAGTTTTCCTCTTTTATATTTTACTCAAGTTGAAGTAGTCAGCTTAATTAAGAGACACGACTACCTTAAGCTTAAGGAAATAATTAAACGTTGAGGTGACGATTCTTTGTTTCAATCAAATTCGAAATTTAAGATACTTCCTCAACATTATAGTAGTCCTTTGAATGCTTAAGCTATCTTTTCATTGAATGGGAGTTCTTGTTCTAGATTTATGCCTTCATCTAATGAAGTGACATTATCCTATTTTAGTTTATGTGAATTATTCCCAGGGTTAGAGAGTAATGCTTCTATCATGACATCAAAAAATATTCAACTGTATTATTATATTTAAAATTTTATATTTAATTTAAGGTATGTTTTAAGGAGGGAGGGGAACTTTTAACAAAAATATTGGACTTGAAATGCAAATGATTAATCGATCATGTTCAGTAATAATAGAGGTATCTTTAGTTTTATATCAATCTATCTAGAAATACATCCCTGTGATATTTTAATTAGATTATAGACACAACAGTTTGGATGAGATTAAAGTTGTTTAGCTTCGAAACGTAGCAAGGGTTGCATCATGGATTTTTTACAAGGAGTAGAGTCTTCAGGTTTACCACCTGATTTTGTCCGGGTTCTCCGGATCCATGTACCACAAGATGATGTATTTCTAGGTAGGTTGTTGAATATGCCTGTCTGAGAATTGTGTATATATATTATTATTTGATGATATTTTTTTGAAACTGTTTTGTGTATGAAAGAAGATTTTATTTGTATGTTTTATGTATGGAAGAGAAGTTTGTGTGAAAGAAGTGAAATGATGTATGGATGTTTTGTGAGAGTTATCATAGTCATACACATTTATTTTATACTTCATTCGAGTAATAGACATATTTTTGAACACATGCAATATGACTTGCACAATATTTGAATTATTTTCCATGTCGATGAAAGAAAAATTCACTGGGTAACAAACTATGTTGTGCATACGAAGAGTATCCATCCGAATGTGCTATCTATTATTAGCTATAATAAACTCTAGTTAACTTATTTTCCATTAACAAGCTTTTATCAAGACCCCATTTTGATTCACAGTGGCATTCTCTGACATTGCATGACATCAATGGCTTTAACTCTATTGCCAAACCAGGCCAAATACCATATAATGCCTTCTTTGATAGGCATTTAGTACAATTTTATGGATATACAATTTCTGCGTTTAATACTAAGCTTCATAAAGACGAGAGTATCCTCATCGAAACGTCGCAGTATTAATCTCAGTAATTGTGTATCCAGAATTTATTCTTAAATTTTTGCCAACATTAACTATTTAATTTTTAGAGGAATATTAAAGGCCACTGCTACAAACTATTACTGGTATCTAGCATAGTTATTCCAAAATTAATCCACAAACATCAAAATAACCTGTTTCTGACCCAAGTACCATTGGTCCTTTATACCAAAAAGCAATAGTAATTATTATATAACAATAGGTGGCACTATTGTAATTTGATCTAACATCAGATGTCTGGAAGTGAATCAATTAACTCTGTGACTCGATCAGCTAACCTGCCTTTCCCCTAATGTTGACTTTCAAATCAACCCAATACTATTCATTACAATCCATAAAAAAAATCAAAATGATAAAAGTTGGTATCGGGTGTAATTTATTATGAAGTGTTGAAATTCTACCATCAACTTGAACAGGAAGTATTTATTAGAAATTTGCAGTCGTTGTCCATCTGACGACTTTCATGTATTACACATCTGATCAGGATATTATTAACAACAGATTCATGGAGAATCTGCAATTGAGCAGAGATTTATGGGGATAATACGTCTTTCTATTCACGTTCCCAATGCTTTACACCATAATTAACTATCAAATTAATCAGTTTTACATTTCATTTGTTGATTTCAGAGAAATTAGATCTTAATTAACGATAGATTTGATTTAATTCCTGGTTTATTGGCCTTTGGGTTCATCTATCAGGAAGTACATTTACACTACACAGCAGTATGATTATAATATACTTATTTCTTATCTAAACATCATATAAAAAAAGAATTCCCTGAGTTCATCTTACATAAGCCTTAATATAGAATTGTAATCTTGCACTACTGACCTACTAAAACTATAATATATAGGACACAGATTTATTCTGACACATATAACCTATTGTTAGTTTTTTCTCATGATTCAAGTGATCAGAATGTTCACAACAAATGTGTTTAGGTGATAAATGAAAATAAAATATGGATGTATTCTTTCTATCTTGTGAGACAGAACGCATTAAATTTGTGACAATTACTGCTTTAATAAATGAGACAATAACTGAAAAACAAGAAATATAGGCTACCCAAGGCTGAGACAGATACTTCCATCCTACTGCTTTCACTACTAATTGTAATTGTCCCTATCACTCTACATCTATTTAAAATAATTATATGGGTATGATTTAAGACTTCACTACCCATGGGTCTTATCTTTCATTCCAACCGTGTGGGATTTCTCCAGATTCTCCAGTTTCCTCCCACAGTTAAACCCCTACACTCAAGCAAATTATTGAAATTAAATTGAACCTTATGTTAGTCCCGAAATTGCCTAGTTTGTGTCAAGTTGATGTTAAACCCCCATTTCTCTCTCCTTATCTTTCACCTTGTAATTTCAACTCTATAAATATGTATGGTTGTTAGTCATCATAAAGGCCAGGGCCTACTAAAGGTTAGAGGTCAGTGTGTTATTGACACCACAACAGCCCATACCCACTAAGCATGATATTGTTATTTTTAATTCCTTGTTATTGTCATGCTAAGCCCAACAATCCACTTAGCAACCAAGGTAAGGAAACATCACTTATGTTGGACAATTTGGCTATTTTTTCTTTACAAATCATGTGTTAAAGTAATTACCTAAAAAATACAACTGCACAAATTCTGTAGTTCTGGAAATAGAACTGTTTCTAATTGCGTTGTGATGAATCTCTGTGTTTCCATGCAGTCGCGTCTTGATGCTCATTGGACTTGGATACACATAACCTGCATCAGTGTCAAAAACTAAATGGTTTCTATTTGTAGGGCGATGAAGTTATATCATATTGACAATAATTGACATTAAAAATTGTCAAGTAGTCAAGTGGGTGTAACATGTTAGTCAACAGAACATTTTATTATGTGTAGCATGAATTTTCAGTGACAGGCTTCAGGGATAATAAATCTGTTTAGGAGTGCAAGAATTAATATTGTAACATGGATGGGAAATCTTTCTTTGTTCTTTTTGTTGAATAAGCAGATGTTTTCCCTCTTGTAGATTGGGTGGAGCTTAACCATGCAATAACTAGATGTTCAATGTTATTTCACACTTTTGCTGGTTTACACTAGTTTTAGTAGAAATCATATAGAGAAGTGGGGTGGGTTTTCTGTGCAATAACAATAAGCATGTTGAGCAGTTGTCAATGTTACAAGTCATTTATAGCACGCTTCATTTGTTAACATGGTTAACCCCTCGGCCTTCGGCCTCTGGTTAAATATAACTTGGAGAATGTTTGTTTAGGCCTGTGTGTATGCTCTATAAGGAACAACCATTATCTCGAATAAATATCTATTTTTTCCTCACAAATAATCCTTGGTGCATGTCATCATATTATGATTGATCAGTTAAAATCATTGTGTTTAATATGTATAAAATATAATGGTATGCTATGTAGAGTGCGTGAAAGTGTGGGTATGACTGTGTCTTTAATCTTGTATGAGTTAAATGTGTTATTTGTGTGTATGACTGTCTTTAACCGTGTATGAATTAAAGGTGTTATTTGTTTGTGTCATCATAATTTAATGATGCCATGCAATAAAATACCATGTCAAAATATCCCTTTTGTTGTTACTATTTTAGTGCCAGGTCATCGCGGGGATAACCAAGGTCATTATAATGTATCATTTAGTTACTTCCCTTTGCTCAACTAGGCATCCTGGCAAGTCACCTAGGCCTACTGTGAAAAAGGGACCACAGGCTATTAACAATGTTGGCTTGGCCTACTGTCATATCAATCAACCTGAGCGATTTAAAACAGGAAATATTATGCTAGTCTCAAAATGGCAAGTTAATATGTCAGACACCCTAACCCAGGGTTCCCGCTGTCCTTGAAAATCCTTGAATATCCTTAAATTTAAAATTTCATTTTCAAGGTCTTGAATATCCTTGAATTTCGCGGAAATAGGAAAATATCCTTGAATTTCAGTTGAGATCCTTAATTTTGTTTCAAATGTCTTCAATTCCTTTTAAATATGAGATTATAACGATAGTTGGTAATGTTTTGGTTATTTTTAAGATGAAAAATTGTAACTTTAGGCTAAAAAAATGTCCTTGAAAATCCTTAAATTTGACGTATATATCTCCTTGAAAAAATGTTTGACGAAGCCGCGGGAACCCTGTAACCCCATTTTCCTTGGAATCTTAATGCAGAGCAGTTTTAGAATCAATCCATTTTCAAATGGGGTCTTGGGAGCTTATACTTATACCCAGTAGGTCATGGGGAGAACCCTGGTGGGAGTTAGGTGGTGAAACTCGTACAAATGTATGTTTTTGGGGGCAATTTTTATGCTGAAGATGCTTAAAATTGGATCCATATTGGTAATGCAGTCATGAGAATATCTGTTAATATGGTATAATCACATGGAGCCATGTCCTGGTAAAAAGCCATTAGCGCTTCTAAAGTTATAATTCATCCTTTCCTTCTTACGTTTTGAATTTGAAATAAAATGGGGTTTACCATCCCACTCTTCTATAGCAACTTTACTGTTCTAATGAAGACGAGCATATGCCACGCAGAGTGCTATGAGAAAATTTTTGCCCCAACAGCAGCCATTTCAACTGTCAAGGGTTCTTTTGTGTACACAGTACATAGGGCCTGTTTTGTTTTTTTCACCACCTAAACGACTATACCTTGTTCCTTGCCAGGCTCTCCATCCTGCACCCCTGACCAAGAGATACCATCCCCGAAAATCCTGACGAACTTTTGCAGCCAACACTGTACTTACTTAGCCCCCATGGCTCCCCTGTATGTTTTGAAAGAATAACATGGCATTTTCATAATACCTATTTAACCTTTTGTCATAGAGGGCATACTGCTGCTTTTCCCCTGTGATAAAAGATAATAGGGAAGGCAGGTGCTTCTAGCACCCCTGTAAATGTCTCTTCATATAAATCTAGTAGTTATTCTCCATAGAAATGAAATGAAATGGTAAACGTCCTACTGTTCTGCTCAGAACTGGACTAATGAAGACGGGCATACGCCATATAGTGTGCTATGAGAGAAATTTTGCCCGGACAGTGGCACTACGGCCTACTCTTATATTAAATTCCAATTGTCAAGGGATCTTTTACGTGCACGCCAATGTGTACATAGGTCCTTGTCAGGCTCTCCGTCCTGCATCACTGACAAGGGGGAACCCCGCCTCTATAAAGAGAAGTCCTCTATATGTGTTGTGAATATGTGATTCTATAACTTGCAATTCATATTCATATAATTATAAACATATATCAAATAGGTCACCTCCCTAGAATAGAACAGTAAGTAGTCTATATTGGAGATATATTGGCATATGATCTTTTCTTTATTGAGTACAATATTCTTCCTGGTTTGACATGATCATTAAAGCGAAGAAACAAAATTATTGAATAACTACAAATACTGGACTAAAAAAGAAGAATCCATATGTCGTCTATTAGGTAATTTCTCAAAGATTGCATTTAAAAAAGTTTCAAATTTTCCATATATTCTGTACTTTTTTTACCATACTTAACTAAAGTAAAAGAATGTTAGGTTAATAAATGCAAACAATCATTTCATTTTTCTTGATCTTCCAAACATGCAAGAAATGAAATTGTTATTTGCACAAGTGAAAAATAAATGATTTATATGTTCAAAAAAAAGAAAGACTGGTTTGGCATAACATATAATTCTTTAAAAGAAATCCCAACAAGATATCTGACATGTAAATATAAAACAAAACCAGGAAGTTTATTTAGATTTAACTTATCTGGTAGTGTGCAAGACCATATAAAGGTTTAACTCATATACTCTTTTTATTAGTTTGCAATCAGGATTTTTAATTTACGATTGTTGGGAGAATAGTGCACCATTATATTGAGCTCTTGATACTGTTTATATGAAAGAACTGGTGAGGGGAAAATGGCTTTACATCATGTCTATTCTCAATTAAGGTAAAATATTTTTTTTTTTATAAACTGGTGGATTAATAAAGCATGGATCTTAAAACATCATAAGGTCCATGATTAAAGATACATTTATGTAAGATTTAGATAAAGAGCTGGCCGTTCTTGCTATGGTACATGTCAGGGACGGATCCAGGATTTTCAGAAAGGGAGGGGGGGGGGGCTGCGTCCCCCACTTGGGAGTGCGAAGCCTGGCGCTCGGTGGGCGGACTTACGGGCAATTAACCAAGTCACCAACCGGCTCGTTTCGGAGTAAATTACGATTTCCAACCTAAACTGACTGTTAATTCTTTTAGCAAAATGGGTGATCATTGATGCCGCGTTCTCTAAAAAAAATGGCACCGCGCCAGAGACCATGCCATCAAACAAAAGAAATCAACAATTGACGGAGATTGGTTCATTTCAGCGTCCATGTCACCACATCCAAAATTCACTCAGTCAAATCCCTCAGTGGATTCACGAACAGCATACGTCTCGGATATTTCCGAGCATATTTGTCGATGATTTTGTCATAATCGAGATGAATATCGTGGACAAAAAGCAGTACCAATGCGTCAAACACTCGCACTTGTAGCTGAATAAGTGAGAACAATCCTGAGAAAAATTGTCGCGATATTTTCGTGCAACAGATTTCAGAAGCTGGAGATGCATTGTAGGCATAAAAGGGCGCATAATGACACGACAGGACACAGGGACCGCCGACTTACGACGGGGATCACTACCATTTTTAAGTATTTTTGTTCTCCTTTCCCGCGAGAAAAAATGGGGGCATGCGCCGAGTTTGCACCCGCCCCGCCCCCCCCCCCCCCGGCAAGCGTGCCTGCATCTGCATGTAGTTCAATTATAGATAATAAACCAGCGAAAAAAAAGGGGGCGGGGGCATGCGCATGGTTTGCCCCCACTCCCCCCCCCCCCCCCTGAAGCGTGCCTGCATCAGCATGTAGTTCAATTATAGATAATAAACCAGCGGTTGCCATATAAGATACGCCCTCATTTTGCAAGTTATGGATAAAGAACAAGCTAAAAAAAAATGTGACTTTTTGTACAATGTGTGGAGATAATCCAGGAAGTTATGGTCTTAAAGGAAGGTCCAATTTTTTACAAATTTCGAACTCGATCATCATCAGGGTGTAATGATGATATAATTATATGATTTTTAAAATTGGATAAAAATTGTGACCTCTAGAGAGTCCACAAGCTAAAATCGCATTTTTTTCGTACAATCAGGGACCATAATCCATGAAGTTACAGTCTGATATGCGCAAATATCGAAAGGAACATATGTTTATTTTATATCCCAAAGATCTTGCTTCCTTCATAAAGGTCTCAATTTTTATCCGATTTTAAAAAACGTTTAAATATATCACTACAATGAAGTTTGAGTTTGAATTTTGGGAAAATGGAAACATAACTGCCAAATAAAATGGCCGCTCTTTGTATGCAAATAGTGTAAAAGAATGTGATACGAAGGTCACAATTGTTGTCCGATTTTGATGAAACTTAAAATATATCTTTATATCCCAAAGATCTCTTATACTTTTCAAATTTTCCATATATTCTGTACTTTTTTTACCATACTTAACTAAAGTAAAAGAATGTTAGGTTAATAAATGCAAACAATCATTTCATTCTTCGTGATCTTCCAAATATGCAAGAAATGAAATTGTTATTTGCACAAGTGAAAAATAAATGATGTATATGCTCAAAAAAAAGAAAGACTGGTTTGGCATAACATATAATTCTTTAAAAAAAATTCCTAACAAGATATCTGACATGTAAATACAAAAAAAAATCCAGGAAGTTTATTTATATTTCACTTCCCTGGTAGTGTGCTAGACCATGTAAAGGTTTAAATCATATACTCTTTTTATTAGCTTGCAATCTCCCATTTACGATTGTTGGGAGAATAGTGCACCATTATATTGAGCTCTTGATACTGTTTATATGAAAGAACTGGTGAGGAGAAAATGGCTTTACGTAATATTTATTCTCGATTAAGGTAAAATATTTTTTTTTTGATAAATTGGTGGATTAATAAAGCATGGATCTTATAATGTCATAAGGTCCATGATTAAAGATACATTTATGTAAGATTTAGATAAGGAGCTGGCCATTCTTGCTATGGTGGGCGGACTGACGGGCATCAACCAAGTCACCGACCGGCTCGTTTCGGAGTAAATTACGATTTCCAACCTAAACTGACTGTTAATTCGTTGGGCAACATGAGTTTCAGTACCTACCTACCAGCTGAGGGGTGATCATTGATGCCGCATTCCCTAAAAAAATGGAACCGCGCCAGAGATCATGCCATCAAACGAAAGAAATCAACAATTGACGGAGATTGGTTCATTTCAGCGTCCATGTCACCACATCCAAAATTCACTCAGTCAAATCCCTCAGTGAGTGGATTCACGAACAGCATACGTCTCGGATATTTCCGAGCATATTTGTCGATGATTTTGTCATAATCGAGATGAATATCTTTGTGCACAAAAAGCAGTACCAATGCGTTAAACCGTTCCTCCCCTATGGTGGAACGATATGAAGACTTAACAAACCACAAAGCCGAGTTCGTGCGCTCAACACTCGCACTAACGCACTTGTAGATGAATAAGTGAGTACAATCCTGGGCCCTTTTTCACGAAAACTTAAACTAAGATACAATCGAAATTTTAAGAAATACTGCAATTCAATTGGCTGACCAATATGCAAATTGGATATATGCAAATTGATTTTACTGGTCAGCCAATCGAATTGCAGTATTTCATAAAATTTTGATTGTATCTTAGTTTAAGTTTTCGTGAATAAGGGCCCAGAGTATTGTCGCGATATTTTTGTACAACAGATTTCAGAAGCTGAAGATGCTTTACAGGCATAAAAGGGCGCATAATGACACGACAGGACACAGGGACCGCCGACTTACGAAGGGGATCACTACCATTTTTAAGTATTTTTGTTCTCCTTTCCCGCGAGAATATATGGGGCAAAAAATTGTTCGCCACCAAAGGGGGCGGGGGCATGCACTGGGTTCGCACCCCCCCCCCAAACCACCCCCCGTGCCTGCATGTAGTTCAATTATAGATAATAAACCAGCGGTTGCCATATAAGATACGCCCACATTTTGCAAGATATGGATTAAGAACAAGCTAAAAAAAAATGTGACTTTTTGTACAATGTGTGGCCATAATCCAGGAAGTTATGGTCTTAAATGCGCGAATATCAAAAGGAACTGAGATCTTTGGGATATAAAGATATATTTTAAGTTTCATCACAATAGGACAACAATTGTGACCTTTAGCGGGTCCACAACTTTCGTATCACATACTTTTACACTACATGTATTTGCATACAAAGAGCGGCCATTTTATTTGGCAGTTATGTTTCCATTTTCCCAAAATTCAAACTCAAACTTCATTGTAGTGATAGCCTATATTTAAACGTTTTTTAAAATCGGATAAAAATCGGATCTTAGGGATATAAAATAAACACGTTCCTTTCGATATTTGCGCATATCGAACTGTAACTTCCTGGATTATAGTCCCTGATTGTACGAAAAAATTGCGATTTTAGCTTGTGGACTCTCTAGAGGTCACAATTTTTATCCAATTTTTAAAATCATTTAATTATATCATCATTACACCCTGATGATGATTGAGTTCAAAATTTGTAAAAATTGGACCGGTACTGCAAAAAAATGGCTGCCCCTTGAACGCAAATAGTTCAAAAGTATGAAACTTAAAATATATGTTTATATCCCAAAGATCTTGGTTCCTGTCAATATTCGCACACATCAGGCCATCACTTCGTGGATTATGGCCCTTGATTGTACGCAAAAATCACCTTTTTAGCTTCTGGACCACCCTCTAGAGGTCACAATTTTTATCTGATTCTAAAAAAAGTTTGTCACTGTTGCACCGTAATAAAGGTTGAATTTCGAATTTTGGAAAAATCAAAAACACACTGCCTGACAAAATGGACACTCCTTTTACGCAAATATTGTACGAAGACGTCACAATTTTTGTCGATTTTGAAGAAACTTAAAGTATATGTTTGTATCCCAAAGATCTCAGTTCCTTACTGGTTTATGTACTCCATCTATCCTTGCATCTTGTATCGCAGCCACTTGTTTAAGTTGCAGTGGTTTGGGGGTCTTTAAATTCATGCGGATGAACCCTCTTCCAATCTAGAGTCGTGCTTGTTCCAATGGTTATTTATACATCCACATTTAAATGCACAGTTGTCTAAAGAACAAGCTGGCTAATCTTTTAAGTGAATGCTACCCAAATTGGTGAAGCCTTATTGTGTTGTTTTTTTTTAAGAGAATGTTGCAACAAAAACAAGAAGATTTATACCAAGTTTATGGGGCCAGTTTCTTGTTGAAATATCTATTTAATTTTTATTTTTTCTATATCATCCATGATCCTGATAATCGGGGCCTGTATCCATTTCCACGCACCTTAATTGAGCCCCTCTACTCATCGGTCATGAGCCCCATGGACCTTTTTGAATTTCTTTGCATAGTAGCCTTACGAGATAAATCAGTGTCACTCAGTGTGTTAATATTTTTATGTCTTAGTTGCCGGGGTCATAACTAGTTTCATGCTAAACCAATGGCAATGTAGATATGTAATCAATAGATCCATTTCATACTTTGTAAATAAAAACTGTCGTTTATTATAAAAGAATAATCACGATTTTAAAATTTATTATGCCTGGCGGAAGTTCTAGTAATATACCACGTTCCAAAACGAGGCTCTAAATTACTTCCGCCTAGCAGACTGTAGAAGTCTTGTTATTTTGTTTTTGTTGAATTTTCAAATTAGATTAGAAACTCAGTCAGGACATATTTTATGGTGACAATTTATACAAGCTAATAACCAGAGAATGACGTCTCGCAAGTAAGTAGACACCTAATGGTGTCAAATATTACAGGTACGGTGGAATAAAATGTCAACAAATATTCTACGGAGTGCCGATTATTCAGAAATCAGACTCCTCAGGTCAGGTCAAGTAATAGTGGGGTCATGTTATGTAGGCTATAAGATTTTACGTTAATTGCGAGCAAGTTTATTATTAGATCTTAAAATGTGATCAACTGAACTTGCGATCACAATGGTTTTTATTCTTAGATTGTATAATAATAAGTTATCTTATTATAATATTAATATACTGGTAGGCCTACACACGGTAGCATGGCCAAGTGTGAAGTGAAGGGACGGGTTGTACTTGTACTGTAGGCAACCAATGCTGCTAGTAGCACTGGTACAAACCGGGCCACAGTGATAGCCCTATTCAGCTATTGTGTTTGCAAAGTTTGGTTCATCCTAATCCTATCTGGAATTTAGTTCCGCAGATATTTTCTTTTTTCTTAGTTGATCCAACTTCAATAAACAAATTATATAATATAACTTACACTGTAGGCCTATATAAGCTAGAATTAGCGTTGCCAAAGGGTTTTTAAATACACAAAATGTCTCTAATATGATTATTGCACTGCAAGCGTCAACTATTTAGATTCAATAATCTGAAAGAATTTTGAAAAAATATTGAAAATTAAAAAAGTTATGGCATTTTGAAGACCGCGAATTGGAGGCACCAAAATACGGCTTTTTTTTAAAAACGTAAAAAACATGACCGAAGCTAATATCTCAGACACTATAATAGGTAGATCCACGAAACTTGCAGAATTTGAAGTTCAAGATGTACTGGATTGAATCAAATTATCGGGAGACTCTTCGGTTATATAGTGTGTGTGCTACAGACTCTCAAACTTACGACCGAGACAATTTTCGTTCAAGGTCACAGCAAAAAAATGACGTGATAGTTAATAACAAACCATGTAGAAGTCCCAGGGCTTTGAAATATTTACCCAACCCGTTTTTTGATGTGATAGATACACAAATAATGTTTTCACATTGTTATCGTGTTTTTTTATTAGGCATCAGCTACTTGAATTGCATTTTTTGACTATACCATGTCAAGGTCATACAGAAAGTGTAAGGTCACGGGTCAACTGTAGGTCTAGAGAGAGAGAGAGAATTGGGGTTTAACGTCCACTCGACACAAACTAGGTCATTTCGGGACTAACATAGGGTTTAATTTTATTTCAATAATTCGCTTGCGCGTAGGGGTCTTTAGCAGTGGGAGGAAACCGGAGGACCCGGAGAAAACCCACGAGGTTGGACAGGCGACCCTACTCCTTGTCACGTACAACCGGGGATTCGAAACCACGCCAGTCGACTCAATGACAGACTTTCTGATACAGCACGCGCACGCTAACCATTCAGCCATCCAACCCCCCTGTAGGTCTAGAGGCTATTAAAATATTCACAGTCTTTTCCTGGATACATACACATGCAAAACACACAGACAAAAATAGTTGTTTCAGGAATGGAAAATCACAAGTATTATGATCGATAAAAATATCTTTATTTCAATTAACAAAATCAATAAAACTTAAAATCAACAAAAATAAATAAATAACAGAATTTTTCTGGGTGAAAACTTATGACCTAAATCTAAAAATAACAGAAAACAAAACTGTGTATCATGATCAACATCAATCATATGAAAACTACCAACTACAAAACCAAAAATATAAAACTTAAAAAAATTAACAATATATGATATAATCACAGGGATTACACATGACAAAATAATTTCTTTTTTGGCATGACTGGACGTCATCAAAGTCATATGCAAATACAAAAAGTTACATGTATAAGTAATCGAATGTTATGACATTATTAAAGAAAGAATCACCCCTTCTCTATAAATAACAAATATCTCTGGTTATAAAATTTTAAAAAAAAAGATGTACAACAATGAGTAAAAAATTGCATACAGTGATAAAAAATATCAATGCTGTATTCTCAGAACTAAAGCGTGGAGTGAAAAGTGGCATGAATCTTGGAGCTTGCGTCTGTGCCTGGAAAATAAAATTGATTTGGAACAGAGCAATATAATCCCTGGCCTCTTCCAATTATGTTTTTTAAAGTTATAATAAAAGAGTGCTGCATCAAATAAACATAGTATAATAATTGTCCTAAAGTACAGATTGAAATGCCTTACTTGAGATTCACTTTCTCCAATTTCTTTTTCACTCTCCTCAGAATCTGTTATGAATAATGGTTGTGAATACTCTTCTTCCATAGTAAATATAAGCTTTAAAATAAATGAGATACACATTTTCATTTTGCCTATGCCAAGTCAGTCTTATTTCAATATTTGGGGATATATTTTTCTCAAAAGTCCATTTTTTTTTACAAGTAATGTTATTAAATTTGCAAAAACATCTAAATAGTTCACACTTAAGTTTGCAAAAGTTAGGTTAAAAAAAAATAAATCATTCATTGTGGTCTGATCCCATACACGCACCTACCAAGAGTTGTCTTTCCCTGATTCTTCCCCGGTTCTACTTTCCGTCTTATTGCCAATTCCTACGGGGGATTTTGGCAAAACAAAAGCTCAAACTATACAAAATATATACCAGGCTATCCAAAAATGTCGATATCTCGAGCGGAATGCTCTTTTTTTCAAAGTTTCTATTACGGTACATTTAAAAATTAAAAACAAGAAAAATAAGCGAAAATTCGATCAAAATCTTACCTGCTATGGCAGTCCGCTAACTTCAGCTCACCAGGTTCCGGAAAAGTGCCACGTGACCACGTTTTGACTTCCTGAATATTCATGAGCCCCCGTAGTAGAAACGGTACATTTTTCGGTCAGGTTTTTTAGCACACCAATAATAGGACAGCCAGCGCCTCTAGCGGCGTTTGGCATCGCTACTAGAATTACAGACAAGAGATCTGTTAAAAATGGTTAGGCCTATACAGTGTATTATACATGTAGATACCGAATTGGTGTACTGGTAGCCTATTCTAAGTTATTATACATCGCCAGCCCACTATGCGCACTGTCAGTTGAATGAAGTAACTAAATTGAGTTTGAGTGGATAGTTGATTCAATGTGTGAATGGATTGCACGATGCTGTGAATACATTGATCACACTGCTCTAATTCTCTGATATAATTTTTATTTGTCAATTTCATGCAGTGCTCTTGAATAAAATGGTAAAACCATTCACCCAATGAAAGGATAACACTTCACCCAGAGTGAATTACATGTATGTTGTCAGTAGACAAGCCTACCACACTACTGCAAATTGCGTATTGTTAAGATATGTTTACTCTTTCATATAAACCATCATGGGAACCACAGTGGCTCAGTGAGTAAGACTTTGGGTCGCTAAATGCGAGGTTCCTTGTTCAATTCCTGTGTGGATCGAGAAAGTTCATCAGGATTTTCCGACATGGTTCCCTCATGTCAGTGGTGCAGGACAGAGAGCCTGGCAAGGGACATCATATAGTCGTTTGGATTGGACAAAAACCCTGAGAGCCTGTGTACACATTTGATATATAAGTGTAGGCTTTAGCGCCACTGTCCAGGCAAAATTTCCCTCATACATGTAGCAGCATAGCACACTGTATGGCATATGCCCGTCTTCATTAGACCAGAAGGAGCAGAACAGTACTTATGATTTTAAACCCCATTTCTTTCATTTATAAACCATCAACAAAATAATTAGTGTACGGCAGTGCAGTTTGCTACTCCTCATATATGGTTAAAAATGACAGAAAATACTAAAACCTCTATTTAACTTACCAACTGTAGGCCTATAATAAGAATAGAGCAATCAAGTTGGATTTCATTCTTTGAGCTGTGCTTTGCAGTACATGTACATGTATATTGTAATATAACTAGGTCTATTAAGATACATTGTACGTATTAATTACAATATATTGTGAAATTCATTTTCTGAAGAAAAATCTTATTTGAGAACAATTTTGCATATTTTTAAGGACCCTCTATATAAGATTTTGGACTTAAAAAGACTATCCCGATTTGAACCGAGTCTCAAAAATAAAAGTCCGAGTACGTATGAAATTTAAGCGCCAAAATATAGAAGAATAGTGTATTTAGCCTGTCTCAAAATTTCAGCTCAAAATATTCAGTGGTTTGGAAGTGAACGTCACAACAGCTTATCCGGACACGTAACCATTTTAAGATTTCGGGTCAATTTTTTCATTGGGTTTTATAATCGATTCCTGTTCCTTCAGAGGTGAATTTCACCTATACATTATTTTTATAAAATAAAAGCTTAGTTTTATCCAGACACCGCATAATATATCTTGGGACACCGGTCTCCATTTTCAGATTAAGACTGACAGGTTTAAGTTGTTTGAAAAGGTATCACATACATTGTATATTGAATCTGTTGCTCGGCCCTAAGGTAAAAGATTTTAAAGGATTTTAACACAAAAAAGCAGTTTGATTCTCCAAAATATTATTGGGATTGGCCCTTTTAAATCTTGAATGGTGTCATCAAATATGAACTTTCAATAAAGTAACAAATCTGTATACATATCATTTTATTACGCCATCAGTGAAAACATGCGATTATTTGTATGAATTTTAAGGAATTAATCAAATAAAGAGTTTCCATACAATTATTAAAGATGCATGTGTATTAGTAAGAGCTAAATCAGCCTATTGCATGTCTTTATTTTGTCTTCAAATGTTATAAATTATTATTTAGGCATTTATGACAAGCCCATAATCAATCCTCTAGACTATCGGAAGCAGGGATATAAATTTCGCTCAGAATAAAGTACAGTAATTTGAATGAAATTTTCAATATATTCATTGTTAATTATCTGTTTTTGAACTATTGTAGCGAGAATGACCAGCTCTCTTTACAAATCTTACATAATGCATCTTTAAATCAATTTAAATAATAAAACAATGTATTTGAAAACTGAGTGAAAATGTTGTCATTTCTGTATTGCAGAAAATGTGTATAGTAAATTTTGTTATTAAATCTTGGAAGCCACGGTGGCTCAGTGAGTAAGGCATTGGGTTGCTAAACTGGAGGTCCCATGTTCGATCCCGGTGTAACGGTGTTAGCCAGGGAGAGTTCATTGTGATTTTGCGGCAAAGGTTCCCACTTGTTAGTGGCATAGGACTGAGGGTCTGGCAAGGGACAACGTTTAACTGTTCGTATAGAACCAAAAAACTAGGTCCTATGATGTACACATTGGCATGTATTTTAAAGAATCCATGGGAGATGGAATTTGATATAAGATTAAGGCAGGCCGTAGTGCCGATGTCCGAACAAAATTTCCCTCATAACCATAGCACACTATATGATGTATGTCCGTCTTTATTACCCCAGTCGGAGCAGAACAGTTGGATGTAAAACAACATTTTATTTCAGTTACGTTAAACCCCATTTCATTTTAGTTATTTCAGTTATTAAATCTCCTTTGTACTTGTACACATATTGACATTTTAATATGGTACTACCATTGGTAATCACTGAACTACAATATCTTACAACTTTCAATACATCAGTAAAAAATGGCATACATGTAGCTGTATGGAATTTAGTTGTGGGACATAAACAACAAACTTGTTGTAGTGAGTCATCTGTATGTACCATTTAAAATGTTTGTTTACAGTTATTTTAAAACGGTATTCTACGTGACAGCTATTCTATTCAGTATCCAGAATAGTTTTGTTTATTAGCCTATTATATAATCTTGAACCAGAATTTTAAATGGCATGTCATTCTAATTTGAGTATTATATAAGGTTGGTCAGTGAATATAATACATCTAGCTTCAATTGTTACCGAGACACATTCTATTTTAATCATAATGACAGCTGAATTAACCAAGTTGATAGTATGACAGTAATTGATGGTTTTGCTGATTGAGGGTCCTTGAAAGAGTGTGCATTGCATCATTGAGGCTATCATTGAGTCAAGTGGCGCGGTTTCAATTCCCCACATGTATGTGACAAGGAGTACGGTCACCTGTCCAACCCCCATGTGCAAGCGAATTAAAAGAATAATATTGAACCATATGTTAGTCCCAAAATGACTTAGCTTGTGTTGAGTGGACGTTAAATCCTCTCTCTCTCTCTCTCCCTCTCTCTCTCTCTCTCTCTCTCTCTCATTATTTGTGAGATTTTAAATACCATGCAAACTACAATATTGTGAGAGGTGAATCTATAAAAAGAATATTAGTCCAATATTATATTGGTTCATTTCCCTTCTTTTTGTACAATTCTAATTGAATCCAAACCAGGAAAGTCAACTGTCCATAACCTTGTTTTGTTTTCTGAATTAAATGTTGAATAATGAATTTGGGTATATTTTATTGTGGATTGATACATTTATGTGATGATTTCCTAGTATTGCTGTCAGAGTTACGGTCCTTGAGGACATTGCAAAAATCTTGTGGACACGCTTAGAGGTTAAACTTACATGTATCATCTGATTTACTTGAAATTTATTCTCTGTGCAACACAAAATTTCAAATGAACTGAAAAACATTAAAATAATATGCATGTTATGAATCTGTTAAATAGAAACTTTGCTTGCTGTCAGAGGTAATCTTGTGAATAATGTCACGTCATAATAAAGCCTAAATTTGGTATAAAAAAAAATATCTGACTCACTGCTTTGGAAAAATAGAATTTTAAGACCCATTTTGATATGTCACTTTAAACTTTAATTATATCCAAACACAAGCATTTATGTTATGTATGAACTTCCTGGTCCTAGAATAAATAATAATATATACAGACAGTGTGTGAAATATTACTGTATAACATAATATATGTATAGAAACAAAGTTATTTTGAATATGTCAAGTTCTTACAATATATCGGTACATGTATGTCTACAGTAGCTAGTATGTTGTGTCTGAACATCAAGGATTATGGCTGCTGATTGTACGAAAAATCACATTTTTAGATAGTGGACACTCTAAAGGTCCGCAACTTCCTGGATTATGGCCCCTGAATTTACGAAAAGTCGCATTTTTAGATTGCTGTCCTCCTAGAGGTCACAATTTGTTTCTGATTTTAAAAAATGTTAAACATATCGCTGTTTTACCTTAATGCTGATTGAGTTCGCATTTCGTGAAAATCAGTCCGAAACTGCCCAACAAAATGGCCGCTCCTCATACGCAACTAGTATAAAGGTATGGTACACGTATATTATGGATGTGGACGCTCTTGAGGTTACAATTTTGATCTGATTTTGATGAAACTTTAAATTTATGTTTATAAATATCACAAAGAACTCGGATCCTTTCAGTATTTTGCATACAACTGTATAGCGGTCTGTAACTTCCTGGATTATGGCCCCCAATTGTACAGAAAAATCACAATTTTAGCTTGTGGACTCCCTAGAGGTCACAGTTTTTATTCATTTAAAAAAAGTTTAAATATATTACCGTTACAATGATGGTTGAGTTCGAATTTCATGAAAATCTGACCGAAACTGACCAACAAAAAGGACGCAAATAGTGTAAAAGTATTTAATACCAAGGTTTTGGACCCTCTAGAAGTCACAATTTTTATCCGATTTTAATGAAAATAGAAATGTATGCTTATAACCCAAAGATCTCTGTCCCTGTCGATATCCGCGCATATCGAACCATAACTTCCTGGATTATGGCCTCTGATCTCTTGCAAATTGTGGGCGTATCTTGCATGGCAATCGCTTGTTTATAAAATATTTAAATTATTACAGTCTACAGTAACTTAAGTTTCTTTTTTATTTCTAAGTCGGCAACATGTACATATTTAGAAGCATGTGTTTGGTTTGATGTTCATTAAGCCAATGTATGCTAGAAGTAATTGATGAACTTTTACAATATAAATATATATGACTTCACAATATTTAGAGATTTCTCAGTACTATAGTAACATATTGGGTTGGGGTATGCAACAGGTTGGGGTGTCCCAAAATGATGCATGACAAGTCACATGATTGGATGGTCACAAAGATTATTATACATTGTACTTCCGTTATGTAATATACACCTTAGATCTTTGTAACCGACTTACAGATAAAAAGTAGTGTGATTCATGTCTGGGTGTGTAATGTTTGTCACCAAGCCTTGTTATAAATTATGTGTGGTATACTGTGTATAGTTATTAAAACTAAGATTTTTTGCTAGTATATCTGAGTAAAGTTTCTGATTATGTTTATTAATGTTAATTACAGATGGTTCCATCCTAATATTAGTGGTAAAGATGCTGAATTTTTACTACAAGAGCGGGGTGCAGATGGAAGCTTCCTTGCCAGACCTAGTCGTAGTAAAGAGGGCGATTTTACACTTTCAGTTCGGTAAGCTAATTAAATTAATTATAGGTGCTTACCATTGCTAAAGTGTGTATTAGAATGATTTTCTGACAAGGTTCCACCTAGCAAGGGGCAACATATAGTTGTTTGTGTACACATTGGTGTACACGTAAAAGAACCCTTGACAGTAGGAATTCAAAATAATTGTATGTTGAACATAGGTTCCCGATCGCTAAATACAACTAAAGGATTAGTTTTATTGGATTGGGCAGGGAGGGAACACAGGTGTGCGTTGGATCAGAAGGTCTGTCATTGAGTCAAGTGGCATCATTTCAATCCCCCGCTTGTACGTGACAAGTAGGGTCGCCTGTCTAACCTCCGCTTTTCTCCTACTGCTAAAGACACCTACATAGAAATAAGATTGAACCACATGTTAGTCCCGAAATTACTTAGTTTGTGTCGATTGGAACCAAATTTCTCTCTCTCCCATCCTAAACACCAAGAAAAATCAAATCTTTGCCAGAAGAATTGCCTTACTTCTCTATATAACCTACAAATCATTAATAAATTATACATTGCACAGATGTATAACTATGTGATTTTAAACCTTCCTTCACTTGACTATATTAAATATCAATAACATTTATATAGCTGTTGTTGGCTATAATAATAACAATTTAAAATCGATTATAACATTCAAGCTGTAAAGATCTTTCTAGATTCATACTTCCTATTTGATATATATTTTAACATACATATATAGGGGGGTTGAATGGCCGAATGGTTAGCATGTGCGCGCTGTATCATAAGGCCTGGCATTGAGTCAACTGGAGTGGTTTCGAATCCCTGGATGTATGTGACAAGGAGTAGGGTCGCCTGTCCAACCTCATGGGTTTTCTCTGGGTCCTCCGGTTTCCTCCCACTGCTAAAGACCACTATGCACAAGGGAATTATTGAAATAAAATTAAATGATATGTTAGTCCCAAAATGACCTAGTTTGTGTCGATTGGACGTTAAACCCCATTTCCCTCTCACATGCATATATAACCATCATACATATACATATATATATATATATAATCAGTTTTTTGTCGGCATACCTTTTATCTTTTCATCGTTTACCGTGAAACAAAGTAGTGCAGCTTTACGGTTGTACTAATATTTCTGGACATATATACATGTACTTGAAGAGACACCATGAGTTGCCCATTTCAGTTGTTATTGTATTATTTAATTAAACAAAAATAGGGCTGAAAATAGATCTTTAGATTACAGCTAATTTAGTAAGTGTAATTAACATTAAAACATAAAATTTATGTTAGATAAGTTCTTCACTTCAATGTTTGAAGATACATGTAAAATTCAAATATTTCAAAACACTTTAGTCTTTAGATGCATCAAGATGGTAAACCTTTTGTACATGTTCAAAAGGTGGTTTTCTTGACTTGATTTCACTGATGAGAATTTTCTACTTTGGCCGAGCGGAGATAAGCAATTTGATTAGTCTAGTCTTTGAGACACACTAACTAAGCTTCTAACTGAGTGATGGTGATGAAACCTGGCATATAGTTTCATCCATCAATGCCTTAACTAAGTTCGTTGGCGACCTTGGACTAAGTACATTTTAGATATAAGTAATTTGATTTGTCGATGATTTGAAACATGATAACTCTGAAAGTAATGAGACTTGATTGTACCAGATACTATTTAGATTTAGATAGCCCATGTTAGGGTTTATCAAAGATTTATGTTAGGAAAATAATAATGGCAAATCTGAGTAAATGAAGATGTGGGGATCTTCGAAGAGTGGGAGTCACGGTGGCTAAGTGGGTAAGATGCTGGCTCGCTAGCCTGGAGGTCGCGTGTTTGATCCCTGCATTGGCCAAGAAAGTTTATCAGGATTTTCCGATGAGGTTTCCCCATGTCAGTAGTGCAGAACAGAGAGCTTGACAAAGACAGCTGTCTAGTTGTTCGGATTGGACAAAAAAAGAGGTCCTGTGTACACATTGATGTGCACGTAAAAGATCCCTTGGCAGTTGGAATACGATATAAGAGTAGGTCATAGTGACACTGCCCAGACAAAATTTCCCTCATAGCACACTGTATGGTGTATGCCTGTCTTCATTAGCCCCGTCAGAACTAATGATAAACCCATTTCATTTCATTTTTTCATTTCGATCTTCGAAGACTTGTTAAATATCCGACAGGGTGTGCAAGTGGAAAATGTTGGGAACCTATGTATTATGGGATGCCTTGAAGCTTCAAAATGAAAATAAGATGCTAAAAATAATGCCTAAAGGGCTATGAACGAAATCTAATCACGTGATAATTAATATACCTCAATACTGACAATGATTTATATTAAATTACATGCATCTTTGGTCCTATTAATCTTTTCTAATTGCTAATTAAGCCAATGAAGCATATGTAATTATTATTTATTTTTTAACTGTAGGCGAAATGGTGAGGTCACCCACATTAAGATACAAAATACAGGAGATTTTTATGATCTATATGGCGGAGAAAAGTTTGCTACACTATCGGAACTTGTACAGCATTATATGGAAAATCAGGAACAATTAAAGGAAAGGAATGGGGAAATTATTGAACTGAAATATCCATTTAATTCCGAAGACCCTACACCTGAAAGGTAAATGTTAATTTGTGGAATAAATAATTCTTGTGGTCAGTTTCATATATGTATCTAATTGTGTTGTGTTATTGTACATGTTTCATTTGTTTTGTCTATGTTGTGTTGTGCAATTCTCCTGGATTCTCTAGTAAACCCCTAACAGAAAATACCTTGTAGACAGAAAGATGTGAATGGCTCCGTCTTCTAAATTTCTCTATAGTTTAAAGGAGCTAAATCGCTAATATTTGGGATCTAGAAATTGACACAAATGAGTCGCAACGCATACAATAATGTTATCTGAATGTATATGAACTGATTTACACTCTATCGTTTCCGTTTTACTCTAATTTCAAATCAGTTATGTTCGGCGAAATGCGCCAAAAGTCTCAGTCGAATATCAATCTTTAGCATCTGGTTATTCCAGTCTATTGCGCATGCTCTTCATATAAGAATATGGCGTCAGCGCTTGACATGACTTATGGAATCTCTAGTCTTGTTCTTTCTTGTCCCGCATTAAAAATGACAACGCATTATGGTACACGATTCGTGTACAATGGTAAAATGTTTATTTTGTCTTAAATATTGGATATCAGAAGCCCATCTTTTCCCGGTAAGATCACAACATCAATGTTGATTTAAACTGACAAATAATTGGTGTTTTTAATGTGGAAGATTTTGGATGATATTGAGTTGGAGACTTAGCTACTTTAAATATTTTTGTAATTGCCTATACAATGATTTAGAAAAAAAACTAATCTGAATTTTGACAATTTTCTATTTTCATCAAAAAAAACCATTTGATTTCTTGCCATTAATTACACTGTCATTATTTACTTAAGGACGACAAGAGGAACTTGTGCAAAAGAAACTCAGTAATTGTTTTCCATATAAATTATGTTTTAATATTATATATTCTATTACTAAATGCCGTATAAGAATTTACAAAAAAAAACATGTCTTTATCCAGTTTATTGCAGCCATGTTTTGGTTAATCCTGTGTATACAGTGTATGGTTGAAAAGCTAAACTTTTATTTGTCCCATGTTTACGCTCACATCTGCTGAACCTCAGCTTGCTAGTGTTTTTAAATCAGTGTACGTGTTTTATGACTTAAAGATGGAAAGTCATTCAATGCACAGCTTCTGATGATTAAGTTTTCATTACACTTAAAGATACATTATGTAAGATTTAATATCAGAGAAATACAATGCCATTGATTATGGCCTGGATAATTAATAATTTAGAAAACATTTCAGGCTTAAAGAAAGACCCGCAATAGGCAGATTTAGCTCTTGCATAATGTACATTTAAATTCATTCTCAAAATCAAAATGACCTTTATGTAGTTAGTGTCGAGGGGACCTTTAACTCCTTTCTCTCTCTACATGCATTGTTCTCATTCTCAAAATAAAAAGTTTAATTTAATTGTGATATCCTGAATCATAGCTTTTCAATAGTTATGAGTCATTAGGTACAAAGATTGTATATTAGTTTATGATATACACTTAAACCAGGAAGTGATTTTGTCCTATATACATATTCTATTTTTGTAAACTATTCAAACCATACAGAATAAATTATACCTTTATATTCTTCTGATACAGCGGCCTTGCTAAAGGATATGGAAACTATCAAATTGAGACCGTATTTTATGAGGATGAAATTGATGACTCAGAGTTTTCCATAAGAAAGCCTTGATAAAAGGGATTTTATAATAATGAAATAGTTTAAATATTTAAATATGTAAATTTCCTGGCTCAGTCCTCGCTAGAATATACTCATTTTGAATATTTAGCATTTGATTTAAACATACATTATGCAAGAGCTAAATCTGTCTATTGCAGGTCTTTCTTTAGGCCAGAAAGGTTATCTAAATTATTAATTAGACATTAATTAACCTATCCAGACCATAACCAACTCTAGATGGCATCGCTAGCCTGCAATCTTAGGTGGATTATGAGTCGATTTACTGCATAACTTCCCTTCTCGATTTAACTATTAAATAGATAATCGAGACTATGCTGTTTAACGTACAGAGTACCGACTTGAGTAATGATGATCTGGGCTAGGCTGAAATTTCAGTCGCTTAGTTCTCGGTTCATAGTGGATCAATTTGAATGAAATTTTCAGTAAATTGCCTTTACATTATCTAGTTATTAACTATTATAGTGAGAACTGCCAACTCGTTATCAAATCTCCCATAATGTATCTTTAAGGAAACACAACCAAAGTATCTATGGTAGATAATTTCTCGGTTTTGATTTAATTCTATTAAACCAAGGTCCATCAAAAGTTTTACCCAACTTTTATGTGTTTAATACAGTTAAAGATACATTATGTAAGATTTGGATATAGAGCTGACCAATCTTGCTATAATAGTTCGAAAATTGATCATGTAAAATGAATAATTTGAAAATTTCATTCAAATTACTCTATTGCGAGCGAAGATATTAGCCCTTGAAGGTTTGACAAGACGTGTGCAATAATTTCAACCACCGTACTGGTTGTTCGAAGCTAAGTCTCGCTCCTCCATTTTTAGATTAAATCAAAATATGTCGGAACCGTTATAATGTATTTAATATCGGAGAAATCCAATGCCATTGAGAGTTGATTATGGCCTGGATAAGTTAATTAATGTCTAATTAATAATTTAGAAACTATTTCAGGATTAAAGAAAGACCTGCAATAGGCAGATTTAGCTCTTGCATAATGTATGTTTAATGATAATCTGTAGATATATTTACTGATGAATGCTACAAACATTTCAATTAAACAGTACTGAATGGAATTGAACCATTTTTTTAACGATGCTGGTATTTCTTTAAGTGATTCCGTATTCACAATTTTGTAGTTTGGAAGGGATTCAAAGTACCCCAAATTATAATTAAATGCTTTTGAATAATGTATTATGTTGATTTAGTCAGGCCATCTCAATCATTCTCTCTATAATAGTTTTCAAAAATAGATAATGAAAAATGAATATATTGAAAATTTCATTCAAATTACTTTATTCTGAGCGAAGTTATGAGTGTTAAGTTTGGACAAGATGTAGCATAGATTGTTTATTGTCATAACAACGGTACATGACAATCGACATTAAGTCTCCATTATTCATTTTATCATTAAATTTTGAAATCTCGCGGGTGTTCCAGTCATTTAAATCTTGGCCATCAGATGGTCTAGAGAGTCAATTATAGGCTTGTCAACCATGTGACGACATGTCTAAATAAAATTTTATACAATATTTGAAGCCAAAATATAGACCTGGGCCCTGTTTCTCGTAATCTTAACTAAAGATAAAATCCAAATTTTAGTAGATACTTCAATTTTGATTGGCTAAGCACTAAAATCAATCTAATATTATCCAATCAAATTACTAAAATTTGGATTTTAAAATTTCGTGAAACAGGCCCCTGCAATAGAAAAGATCTAGCTCTTATGTAATGCCTCTTTAACACTAACAGCTATACATTTAGAATATGAGGGGGTTGGATGGCTGAATGGTTAGTGGCGCGCACTGTATCATAAAGTCTGTCAGTGAGTCAACTGGTGTGGTTTTGGATTACCCGGTTGTACGTGACAAGGAGTAGGGTCACCTGTCTAACCTTGTGGGTTTTCTCTGGGTCCTCCGGTTTCCTTCCATTGCTAAAGACCCCTACACGCAGGTGAATTATTGAAATAAAACAGTAAACCACATGTTAATCCCAAAATGACCTAGTTTGTGTCGTGTGGACATTAAACCCCATTTCTCTCTCTCTCTCTTTAAAATATGAATGTGTTTGAACAACAACTTATCATTACCTACTTGTCATTTCATTTAGAAGTGTGGCTGAAGGCAATGTTTTGATTTGACGAGAAAAGTAAACAAATTACTCTAATGAACATGTTTAATTAAGAACACCACCCAGTAAATAAAATGACTGATATCTAATATTTGTGATTGAATTCAGTGTTTACTACATTGAAGTTGTGACACAACATTCATCTGTTTCTGAAATATCAATGTAATATAAAACTTAAAGCGTCAGAAGAAATCATTCAGTGTACACTCCAAAATTTTAGTTGATGTCATTTTATATATAAACAAAACAAATTAGAGATGTAGATTGGAGCCATGATGGCTCATTGTAAATGGGACTGGCTCACTAGTCACAAGATCCCGGATTTGATCTTGGTATTGGCCGAGAAAGTTCCTTAAGATTTCATGCCTGCTTTCTCTTGTCAGCTGTGCAGGAATTAGACCATTGATGTATAACTTTGTTAGCATGTTAAAGATCCCCTGACAAATAGAACTAAGAGTGTATGTCATAATGTCGCTGTCAAGACAAATTTCCCTCATAGAATACTTTATGGCATATGCCCATCATCATTGGCCCAGTGATGCGGAAAAGTAGGAAGTTAAGCCCCATTTCATATCGTTTCAGAGAGTTGAAGTTTCTCTTTAATTCATAGTGAAGTAAAATAATTGATTGTATAGAAGTACTTGTAATATGAAATTATAAATCCATATCCACAAGTCTTTCATTTTCATTGATGTCAGGAAGTTAATACTCTGTATGTGGAGGTGTGACCCCCTTTCATTAATTGAAACTAAACTATTAATTGAAAGAGAAATTTAAAGATCAAATTTCAAATACATCAAAGTTTTGAAGATCAAATTTTAATTATCGGTAGATGAAAGTTTTAATAATTGGATTGGAGTTTAAAGATCCAGTTTTAATATTAAGTAGTTAAGTCTTTAATTCAAAATCATCCAAAGTCTTCGACATTGAAAACATGAATTTTTTGTCAATTTAAATCAATATTGATGTTTAGATCTTACCGGGAAAAGATGGGCTTCTGATATTCAATATTTAAGACAAAATAAACATTTTACCAATTGGTACACGAATCGTGTACTATAATGCGTTTCAGTGTCATTTGTAACAAGGGACTCGAAGAAAGAGGCTAGACATATTCAACAAGTCGTGTCAAACGGTGACGCCATATTCTTATCTGGAGAGCATGCGCAATAAATACAATCGGTACTGGAATAACCAGATGCTAGAGAATGTTATTCGATTGAGACTTCTGGCATTTTTCGCCGAACATAACTGATTTGAAATTGAGTAAAAACGGAAACGATTGAATCTAAATCAGTTTATATACATTCATATTACATTATTATATACACTGCAACCCAGTTGTGTCGATTTCTAGGTCCCAAATATTACCAATTTAGCTCCTATAATATTGAATTTGTTTTAAAAGATGGAAATTTGTCTTTATTGTATATGATATTGAGGTATACCAGTCATCTTCCGTTTATTGTAAAAATGAATCCAAAATTACTTTTCCATAATTGCTTATTTCAGATGGTTTCATGGCCATATATCAGGTAAAGAGGCTGAGAGATGTTTAATGGATAAAGGTAAAAATGGTAGTTATTTAGTACGAGAAAGTCAGACTAATCCAGGTGTATTTGTTTTATCAGTGAGAGGTGAAGATCGAGATCGAGTTACTCATGTGAAGATTAGGTGTACGGTACGTCTACAAACAATTAATGCTTTACTGTAAAACATTCCAAATTACTAGCAACAAATTAATGCTATCTGAACAACATGAAATTAAATGCTAGAAATGTTAGAAAGAACAACGTGAAATTAATGCTAGAAAGAACAACATGAAAATAATGCTGGGATTAATGCTAGACAGAACAACATGAAATGAATGCCAGAAGAAATTAATGCTAGACAGAACAACATGAAATTAATGCTAGGAGAAATTATATTACCAGTCACATTAATTCCAATAAGCATTTCTGTTACCTGACCAAAATAAAGTACAGAGAAATTACATTGTATTTGTCAAACATAACACCCCTCTAGGCAGGGTACTATGTTAATTTACAAGAAGTCATTTAATTTAGACAAAAGTAGGGTACCGCAGGTCACATTAGTTTGACAATGCATTTATTTCTTGTGAAACTGATTGTTGATACACATGTAGTCCTATCTTACAGTTGTGTTATTATGTATTCTATGGCATCAGATATTTTAGTTAGAGAGAGAAGAGATAGAGAGAGGTCATTTATATTCTAGGTCATTTCGGGACTAACATATGCTTTAATTTTATTTCAATAATTAGCTTGCGCGGAGGGGTCTTTAGCAGTGGGGGGGAACCAGAGGACCCGGAGAAAACCGATGAGGTTGGACAGGCAACCCTACTCCTTGTCACGGACAACCGGGGAGGAGTGTTTGGTGGCCATGTGATCTAAAATACTCTAGATCATAAGGCCTCTCATCAATTAAAGTACATCTACCTAACAAGGGTCATCTACCTCACCTTGTGGAATTTCTCCAGGTTCTCTGATTTCTTCCAGGGAATAATTGAAATAATAACGTACCATATGTTTCTCCTGAAATGACTTAGTTTGTGTTGGGTAAACTGCAAACCATATCTATTAAACCATATTAAAATACAGATGTGACGTCACCCTTTGATGTTGGCGTACCATTATTTCAAATAATCATACGGGCAACTTGCCAATCGTACATTATTTATACTAGTGAAATATTGGACTCGCGCGACATATTTCACTGTAAAAGCACATGCGGAGTGTCTGTATTTTAAGTCGTTTAATGGTCTCGAGCTTAAGACATTAAGTAATATATTGTAAAATCACTCGGGCCTATAACCCAATATATTACTTAATGTCTCGCTCTCAACCATTAAACAATACATAATGGACTTCATACACACTTAATGCATCCATATTTTGATCAGGAAACATGTTAGTTTATTATACATCTTCTTTCAGGATGGGAAATACGATGTAGGTGGTGGAGATAAATTTTCTAGTTTATCAGACCTAGTTGAACATTATAAAAAAACACCCATGGTGGAAACCTCAGGAACAGTAGTTTATCTTAAAAAGGTATTTCCTGCTTATAGCTGAATAAAAACAGAGTGTTCAAACCTGAAGTAATAATGTAATGAAATGGGGTTTAACGTCCTATTGTTCTACTGCGACTGAACTAATGAAGACTGGCATACGCCACACAGTGTGCTATGAGGGAAATTTTGCTCGGACAGCGGCACTACTGCCTACTCTTATATTGAATTCCAACTGCCATTATTTCCTTTACGTGCACGCCAATGTGTACGCAGGACATTGTTTTTTGTCTCAATGAACTTCCTCTGTCAACACAGGGATCAAACACAGAACTTCCAGACTAGCGAGCCAATGTCTTACTCATTGAGTCACAGGTAGTAATCAAGGCAACTTCTACTTAATCTTTCAAACAAAAATCTTGTCATATATACATAGAGCTTTCTCCACCAGTGATCGAAATAACAAGAAGGCCAACTTTAAACAAGCTTACTTTTGCTTAATCTTTTGAAACAAAAATTGGCCCTCCGCTGAATGAAATAACTTAAATCTTGTTTAAGTTAAAAAAAAAAAAATACTAAAATTGAAATCAAATTTGAATATTAGTGTCAATCTACCCCATTCACTGGAGTGAAAAAATGAATTTTATGATAGAATATATAGCTTTATATTATAGATGTGTGATATAAAACTTGATGAAAGGGTAAATTAACAATATCCTGAGGCTATCTATTTAAATATTTTATCTTTATGGTTCATTAATCACTATTTACACATAATTACATATATATAAATGATACATGTATAACTAGGTTAAAGCAACATCCTGTTTAGTCATTGCTTTCCTGTCTATGTTTATTCTTTAATTTTAAAACTACTGTCATATTTGTTTTTATATGCATATAAATTTATTGTTTTGTAATATAATTTATCCTGTCCCGTCTTTCACTATAATATTATGTTTGCCGCAATATCGCCCGATTGGAGCTGACTTGCAATAAAATTCCATTTCATTCATTTATTTTTAAAAAGATACAGAGCCATTGTAGCTCATGAATATAGGGGTGGCTCTGGTTTAATCCCTGTGTTCTTCATGATGTTCCAGTCTGGGTTTCGCCATTTCAGCAGTGCAGAATGGAGAACCTGGGCCCCGTTTGTCAAAATCTTCACTAAAGATAAAATCCAAATTTTAGTAGATACTTCAATTTTGATTGGCTAAGCACTGAAATCAATCTAATATTATCCAATCAAATCACTAAAATCTGGATTTTATCTTAGTTAAAATTTCGTGAAACAGGCCGCTGGCAAGAAAATTGTGTTTACCTGTAGTTGTTTGGATGGTACAAAAACCAAGGTCTGAACAATGCAGATCCCCTGAGAGTTTGAAATACAAATAAGAGTAGGTTGCAGTGCCGCTATCACAGCAGATTTTCCTGCATGGTGTATGCCCATCGTCATTAGCCCAGTTGTTGCAGAAAAGTAAAATATTAACACTATAACCTGGGTTTCATTTAATCTTGTGTATTTAGCATTGATTTCTTTAACATTCATTCAATATCAAATCTGTGTTTGAAAATTCTAATTTGTACTTGTGTCCAGTTTAAAACCGACCATTCAGTTTTGATAATGAGTGTCCAATTTACAAGAGTTTAATTTCTCGATCACTGTTAAAAAATAAACAACCCAATTGATTATTGATGTATGATGACTAATTTTTGAACGGTGGTCAGGAAATTAAATACTTGTAAATTGGACACTCATTATCAAAACTAATCAGTCAGCTTTAAACTAGACACAAGGACAAATTAGATGATTTTGGGTGATTTTAAATGAATATTGCGTATTTTTAAACAAAGATTTGATATTAAACGAATGTGAAAGGAATAAGTGCTAGATCCCCAAGATTAAATGATACCCGGGTTACAGTGTAAACTCCTTTTATTTCTTAATTCTCATAATAACAAGGATTTTCGAATCTATGGTGTACCTTTTTTTTCAGCCATTTAATGCCACAAGAATAACAGCCTCTGGTATAGATAGTCGGATTAAAGTTCTACAACTAGAAAAAGATGCGAAAGATAACAACAGTAGTAATAAAGGGGGATTCTGGGATGAATTTAAGGTGAAGGTTATATTACATCTTGATTATTGGCTATGTCCATTTGAAGTTTGTAGAAATTTTGAAATTTCATTTGATATTATGTGAGATGTAGAAATATTGATTTAGTTCATTGACTTTTAAACAAAATCTTGAAGAAAGCAGGGGACTATTAAAATGAGTTCGTCTGTCTGTCCGTCACACTTTTTGGGACACAATAACTCTCCTTCTAATTGAGCTACAATGTTCAAACTTGGTGTAGGCGTTTATTAGGTCAGTGCCTTCATGGAGTTTGAAGATGGGCATTTTCTGCTTAGGGTAAGCAGAGGTAAGCAATTTGATTGGTTGATGCTTTGGAACACAATAACTTTAGTTCTAATTAGGTGAGACTGCGCTAAAATGTTCACATTTGGCATAGGTGTTTGTTAGATGAATATCTTGACTGAGTTCAGCCATTAACATTTCCCGTTAAGGTTAAGCAGCGCAAGCAATTTCATTAGTCGATGCTTCGAGACAAGATAACTTTGATTCTAACATGGAGAGTGATGAAACTGAGTGTATAGGTGATTGCTCGCCACTTTTGAAAAAGATAAATGTGCAATTAATTAACATGTGTCATCTATTTATTTTTGGATTTCTGCGGTCGGACATCAGCCTCACTGTTGGCTTGTTTAGTAATCATTCTTCTATAACTCTGTTCCATATTGTATCTAGATCTTGTGAACACAAACAGGGTCAATGAACCAGATCGTGGATCCTTTATTCTGATCCTTTTGAAACTATTATATACTATATGTACCATAATTTTAATTTGTTGTTTTGTTATATTTTGTAGTTTTTACAACAACAAGAAGTCAGACAGTATGATAGAAAAGAAGGTCAAAGGCCAGAAAATAAAATTAAGAATAGATATAAAAATATTTTACCTTGTAAGTAAAGTTTAGAACAAATATACACAAAGCCCAGCTTAACTGGAGCGGGGCCCTGGGCCTAACTAGAATCGCGGGGCGCCTAACACGATGAAAGATTATTTCATATCGTTTTGAATGGCACGCATGTGTAACACACAATTAAACGGTCTGTAATAAAAGAATAATTACATAATATCTGATCACATATGAAATCTATTCAGTTCCGAATGGCATACAATGCGCTGAAATGACATATAACTGCGGGGAACTGTTATAACAAGTGAATCACCGGATTGAGTGGAACTTCACAGAGAAGGTTGAGGGATGGCTCAGTCTCTGCCCTCGCGCTGTTAGATCGATTACCGTGAAACTTTCATCTGGAATTTGAATTTTTTCTATTTTTGCCATGAACCGCGAGACCCCCAGAACCGCGAGGCCCTGGCCCATGCCTAAGCTCGCTTTGGATAAACATGTAAGAGACATTTTGAAGTTCCCAGAGCAACACATATCGATTTTTCTTTGTAAATCTTTTCTATAATTCTTTAGAATTCACAACTGGAATTGCCCAGATTTGAATCCTAGCACGGATTGAGAAGTTCCTTCAGAATTCTTCGAATAAGAGTACCAATATCCACACAAATTCTGCTCTCTAGCATTGCACTATAGTCAATAGAATTAGCTAGTTGCTCTCTAACATTGCACTATAGTCAATAGAATTAGCTAGTTCAATTCTCAAAATGTCTAGAATTCATTTTCACAATTTTGTCAGATGCCTTCCTTACATATACTTCATATATTTCAAAAGCTCTTTTCTGTAAATTAGAATTGTAGTAGTCGAGTGGTTAGGGCACTGGACACTCAATCTGAATGTCCTGCCATCAAACAGGGACTTTCTGAGAAAAGCCTTTGGGAATTTTCAAGCCCAGCCTTCACTTGTCGTAAGTTGGTGCCTGCAAAGCTGGCATGGAAATATGCCCGGTTGAAGAATGTGACGGAAAGCTGAGGTAAACCTGTGTATACATTGGTGTCCACATAAAAGAACCATTGATAGTTAGAAATCAAAAAGACTCGGCAAACTCTGCCATGGCAACGGCACTACAGCCTATTCATATTTCAGGGGATCATTAACATGGAATTCTTTTTTCTTTTTCTTTTTTGCCCCCTCTGCATGAGAGAGCTGACTATAATATTGCGTAATGACTATATTATTTCTATTCTTGGTTACAGTTGATCATACACGAGTTATATTAAAAGATGGAGATCCTAATGTTGTTGCATCAGATTACATCAATGCTAATTTTATCACAGTAAGTTTTACAATATACAACCATTCAGTTAAAGAGCCATTATGTATGATTTGAATACAGTGTTGGCTCTTCTTGCTATAATAGTTCAAAAATAGATAATGAATATATAGACAATATCAATCAAATTACTTTATTCTAAGCGAAGTTATGAGTGTTTGAAATTTTGACAAGATAGTCTCGTTTGTCAAGTACCATTGCTACGACAATAAACTAAGTCTTGATTATTCATTTTAACATGTGTTCTAATCCATTCAATGTCATTGCCACCGGATGGCTGAGAGGATTGATTATGGTCATGTGAATAAATGTCTAATTAATAATTTTAAGCCCCCCCCCCCAAAGACCTACGATAGGAAGATTTAGCTCTTACATAATGTATCTTTAAACTCATTGACGATTACTATAAACAAAACAATGGAATATGTATTGTGATTCGAATCGCTTCACATATATTACGATATGTATATATTCTGTTGGGACTGTAGTCACAGTAAACAGCACTAATATAATCTTATAACTCAGTTCTTTTATTTTGGACAACAAATGAATTACTCTATAAATATCATTTGATTCCTTTGATAATTTAACTACACAGAATACCTTATGTGTTTTAATGATTCTGTATCATTCATTGTGTTAGTTAAGTGATATGGCAACAGCCTCTTGAATAGAATGTCCATTCAGTATTTTTCAAGCTCAGTTCTCACTTGTGGTGGCATACTAAACTTAGGCTGTCTGTCTACAGTTTGCTTCGCTTGAGAACAGACACTAAGCTAGTTGACCAACCTTTTAATTCCTAAATCGATGATTATACTTCGAGAATTTTATTCTGCTTCAATTTAATCAAATTGAAAAAGTTTATTTCACCTTTGTGTGTATGACAGAGATGTGAAACGGAGTAGAATCGCAGTACAAAACAGTATACTAATTTTTGGATATGGCAGCCATTTTGGACAGAGATCTGTTCTCGATGTATGAAGTAGATGAATCTCTGTGTGCAGAATATTGTGGTGGGTGGCACCTGAAGGGCTAGCAAAGAAGGTGTGCCAAGTCTTTCGGTGTATATTTTGGCATGCACATTAAAGTGGGAATTTGAAGAAAACTAGGAGGAAACACTGGTCTACCTCTCACATTGCACACGCAATTTACCATGTTAATCTGTATTGTGTTGATGAGACACCAAACCCCATTCTATTCTATTTGCGAATTGTGTTTTAATGATTATGTTTTATTTATTGTATTGACTGGTGTGATGAATAAGCATATTCTCCATTATTAGAGAACACTCAGTACTATTTCTCATTGACTTACAATATCTTTGTTTATATTTTGTAGTCTGAAGAAGAAACTAATGATCGTAAGAAACAGTATATAGCTACACAGGGTTGTTTACCGAATACTATTGTGGACTTCTGGAGAATGGTATGGCAGGAGAATACAAGTGTTATTGTCATGACAACAAAAGAAGTTGAAAGAGGAAAAGTAGGTTATTAAATTCTGAAAAATGGACGACAGAAATCAAAACCCTTCTTTCAATAATCGGGCAGTCATTTTAATTCTTTTTCACATTCAAAGCTGGGGTGACCAACTCCAAACGAATCAGGGCCATAGTAGTCGAACAATCAGGGCACAGGACTGTCGACTAGAGATGTTCAAATCTCGGTGTCAGCCAATAAGAACTTTGGAACTCTTTGGAACCAGGTACCCACATGTAATGGGGAGCACCTGGAGTGTGAACCCTTAATATTTCAGTCATACGAAACCTTTATATTTCCATCATACAAACCCCTAACATTTCAATTATAAAACCCTTAACATTTCAATTATAAAACCCTTAACATTTCAATTATAAAACCCTTAACATTTCAATCATACCCTTAACTTTTCATTCATACAAACCCCTTAACATTTCATTCATACAAACCCATTAACATTTCAATCATACAAACCCTTAACATTTCAATCATACAAACCCCTTAACATTTCAATCATACAAACCCCTAACATTTCAGTCATACAAACCCCTAACAGTTCAATCATACACACCCCTAACATTTCAATCCTAAACCCCTAGCATTTCAGTCATACAAACCCCTAACATTTCAATCCTACACACCCCTAACATTTCAATCATAAACCCCTTAACATTTCAATCATACGATCCCTTAACATTTCAATCATACAAACCCCTTAACATTTCAATCATACGAACCCTTAACATTTCAATCATACAAACCCCTAGCATTTCAATCATACAAACCCTTAACATTTTAATCATACCATCCCTTAACATTTTCATCAAATGACCCCTTAACATTTCAATCATACAAACCCTTCACATTTCAATCATACAAACCCTTAACATTTCAAAAAAGTTCTTCATAACTTTTTGTATTTTTTTGTTATTTTAGAATAAAGCAATGAAGTACTGGTCTGAAATGGATTGTCCGAAAGAGTACCCTTATTATAATGGTAAAATAACCTGTAAATTATTATCAGAATTTAAAGAAACGGAATATATTACTAGGGAAATGGAAATAACAAAAGAAAATGCAGATGGAAAGGTAAATTCTGGTTTTAAATAATGATTGTTTATTATTATATATTTGCTTTGTACTCTCCGTTATTTTTGTAAATCATTGAAATCCAAGTTATAAACAGATTATATGTCGAGATGCCGTTCTAAGAAATTCCTGTTGCAGTATTACATTTGATTGAGCTACATTTTTTTGCATTTCTCTTGATTGTATTGCATTTGATTTGATTTCTTTCTTTTTTTTTGTATTACATTTGATTTGATTACATTACATTACATTTCATACCCTTACATTTGCTACCATTATATAGCAAATGATTGCCTTTCATTAGATTGCATTACATTGATTGGAGTTCATTAGATTGCATTATAGTGATTGCAGTTCATTAGATTGCATTGCAGTGATTGCAGTTCATTAGATTGCATTGCAGTGATTGCAGTTCATTTTATTGTTTTATAACTCCTACTTTGATTGGTTGATTTATATCTGCTACCATTACATATCAAATGATTGCATTAAATTTGATTACATTACATTAAATTTGATTGCATTTTATTAGATTTGAATGTGTTACATTTGATTGCAGTTCGTTAGAATTGATTGCATTACATTCTGTTGCAATTCAGTACTTACATTTCATTGCAGTTTGACATATTTAATTTCAGTACATGAAATTTTAATGTTTTCAACCCTTTAAATATAACTGAAATATTGTGTGTTTTCTTTATTTATGATAGGTGGAAGGCACCAGAAGAATATTTCAGTATCATTTTCAAACTTGGCCAGATTACGGAGTACCACAAGATCCTGGTAGTGTGTTAAAATTTCTGTACACTGTCAATAGTAAACAGGAATCTATAGAGAATGCTGGACCTCTTGTAGTTCATTGCAGGTATGTTGGTCAAACTTTAATACAGGGTTGTCAGGTTACTACATTGGACTTCAAACCCAATCTGATTAAAACACAGATCCTATTTCGTTTCATTTTTATAGTTCAAAATTTCGTTATTATTGATGTGTTCTGAATGATGTGAGTGATTAGCCAATGAAACGATCTGTTATGGCGAGCTTTAGACATGTTTTGCACTGAACTGTGGGTAATCCACTAGTAACCTCAATGCTGATTGGTTAATCAAATGTCTGGTGTCACAGGGTCAAAAGCCGTTCGTATGACCTCTGACGCGACCTATCGCTACAACTTGTCAGATCTTCATGTATTGTAGGCCATCGAAAGTATAAAAAAAACAAAACGAAATATAGATCTATGTTTTAATCAGATTGCATCAAACGAGGGGGGGGTGGATGGCTGAATGGTTAGCGTGCGTACTGTATCATAAAGTCTGTCATTGAGTCGACTGGCGTGGTTTCGAATCCCCAGTTGTACGTGGCAAGGAGTAGGGTTGCCTGTCCAACCTCGTGGGTTTCCTCCGGGTCCTCCGGTTTCCTCCCACTTCTAAAGACCCCTACGCGCAAGCGAATTATGTAAATAAAATTAAACCATATGTTAGTCCCAAAATGACCTAGTCTGTGTCGAGTGGACGTTAAACCCCATTTCTCTCTCTCTCTCTCTCTCTCGCTTCAAACGAGGCATAAGCCAAGAAGAACACTCCAGATTTTTCAAGCCCAGTTCTGTGGAGTTAACAAGAAAAGCATGTCTAGGCATTCGAATTGTAAGAAAAACTGCGGTTCTGTATAACAATTGGTCTTCTTCTTACGTTTTTACAGTAGATTTCTTTTGAGTTGTCGAAAGCAACTGTCTTTGCTTCTTGCATGAGATACCAGTTAAAGATCATTGGTATTACGACGTAATTGCTAGTGCACATAAGGGAGTAAAATTCACCTATCACATATATAATGTAAATATTTTGACTAGCATTATACAATAATAAAATGATGTATTTGTTTTCAGTGCTGGTATTGGTAGAACAGGAACGTTTATTGTTATAGATATGATTTTAAACCAAATTAAAACACATGGTAAGTTATAATATAACAAGTTAATACATATTATTATTGATATGATATTAAACCAAATTAAACTAAAGCACATGGTAAGATATACAGTAATATAGCAAGTTAATGATACATATTGAAATTAATGTCAACTCAAGATTTTAAAACAGTGTATGGCAAATTCCATAGTAACAGCTAAAACAGATCGGTTTTGCTATGGCAACCGGGAATAAAAAAATATTTATTAGCATCAGCATTTTGTAGATAATTTATATAGCTGTATAATTGCTGTAATATTACGTGCATCAGACTCAGTGAGCTGTGCATGGAAATAGTTGCCAAATGTTGAACTATTTGTATGGTACTGCACAAAATATTCACCTGTAATAACTTTGTGTCAGTGAGTGCTATTATAGATAGTCTGTCAATCCCTTAGTCAGTGCTATTTTAGACAATGTGTTAAGTAATAATGAATATTTAAGTATTAAGTAGTGGTTATTTTTAACAAAAAGTCCAAATACAGAAAAACAAATGATATCATCGGCAGTTGTCCTGCTACTGGAAATGAAAATATAAATGTCTACAATGATCATAAACTGTACTAAAACTCTGATGCAAAATTTAAAAAGATGGCGTACAAGACTATGGCAAGGCTGCATTATCAAGACTGTATTAAAACTCTGATTCAAAATTTAAACAGATGGCATACAGGGCTGCATTATCAAGACTTGTCTCAACATTTTCAACTTTCTTCCCTTTTACAGGTTTTGATACAGATATAGATATACTGAAAACAATACAGGCTGTACGATCACAGAGATCGGGTATGGTACAAACAGAAGCCCAGTATAAATTTGTATATATGGCAGTTTCACATTATATAGAGACAGAAAAACAAAGACAAGCGGCAGAACAGGTAAACATAACAAGCAGAACATGATTTATATCCTCCACACCAGGCTCTAGGTTTTTATTCTCTGCCAAATGAAATCGGCAAAAGCTATTGAATTGGGCTCTGTCCGTGCTTCCATCCTGGTTTTGTTTCAGGAGCATATCTCATAAACTGTTCAAGGAATCAAGCTATTATAGTAGTTAGTATAAAATTTATATTCCAAAGCGTTATCAGGGGGTTTGGATGGCCGAATGGTTAGCACGTGCATGCTGTATAATAAGGTCTGTCATTGAGTCAACTGGCGTGGTTTCAAATCCCCGGTTGTACGTGACAAAGAGTAGGGTCGCCTGTCCAACCTCGTGGGTTTTCTCCGGGTCCTCCGATTTCCTCCCACTGCTAAAGACCCCTATGCGCAAGCGAATTATTGAAATAAATTGAACCATGTGTTAGTCCTGAAATGACCTAGTTTGTGTCGAGTGGACGTTAACCCTTAACCGGTCATTGTCCACTATAGTCACCACAACGTTATACAGCTAAGTGGTCACGGTCGACTAAAGTCGACCACAGCAAGAACCTTTTTTATAAGCCGCATTTGAGTATTTAGTTTCGTATTTAATTGATATGGCCACGCATGCGTGTCAGACAGGAACTTGTCTTGTCAAGGGCATTGAGAAAAACATGTCTTTGTTCATCATTTTTTGATGAAAAACGTAATTTAACGGTGTCGGGAACGTTAAAGACGCTCGAAGTGGTTGAAATACTTATGAATTATTCCGAATCGGATTATATCGATGACACCGATTCTGAAGACGATATTTCTGATGAAAAGGATTTAGAATGATTTGCAAATTATAGATCAACTTATCCCCAGCAACTTTTTTATTTGTGTCAAGAGTCTATCACTTATAATTATTCGGCAGTAGTCGATTGAAATAGGCATACAAAATATTTCATGTCAGCCTTTATTTAGCCTGACCACTTGACGTCATAACGTCAAAATGACGTCGACAGGTTAAGGGTTAAACCCCATTTCTCTCTCTTTCTCTCTTCAAAGTATATCTCATAAACCCTTCCAGATGTCTTCATGAAACTTTTTACAGAGTAGACAGAAACACCACTGTCTGGCCAAAATTCTCCTACCTCACTATTGAAATAACCAAAGTATTGTGTTGATTCAATAATATTTTTGTAAATGGATGAAATATTTTTATTTGTTTTGTAGATGAGTCAAATCGCAGGTCGAGAGTACACTAATATAAAGTATGCGCAGGGACTAAACCCAAATCAAGCCAGACCAATCCCACCTGGAGTTGTAGCCACCCAGTCACCCCTGTCACGATCTACCCGACCAGAGAAAGCAGCACCACCGTAAGTTTTAATTTAACCAGAAATTCTATGGAATACAATTACTGTTTATTACTGAGCATCGTTTCGACTAGGCCTCTCTAGTCTTTTATCAAGCAATGATAAAATGGGCTATACTATAGACTGGAAAACACCGGAAAACTACCGGAAAACACCATGTTATACTGAATACCGGAAAACACTAAGGCCGTGTTGAATTGATTCCTTGTTTCTCCTCGCCCGCGCTTAGGTCGAGGACCCTGAAAATCGCACGCTTACGTTTTTAACACAAAAAAAAATATTAAAAAAATTACGTTAATAACATCTAAATAAAATTCTACCAAACATCAGAAGTCAATTCTCGTTGTTTATTCCTCGTTACAAACTAAATAAGTAAGTGCAGGGGGCCGCACTACACGCAAAACAAAAACCTACAAGATTAACCTGCGGACAAGACAGAAAATAGGCATTGCACCGAATAAACAAATATCAAATCAAGTGAATGGATCCGGTTGATAATACACATGTAGGGGCCCGCATGCTATGGAATAAGTTACACTGTATATGATTGGATGAATTCCGCAAAATGGCGCGTGTAGCAGTCATTTCGGCTAATGAGAAAGCATATTATAAACTGTAAGACAATCGCTAATATTCAACCGCGAACCTGAATAATCAATTTTTTCATTGGCTGAAATTATAACTCATGTCATTATTATTCAAGTATTACCCAATCATATCTTGTGTAATAAATAACGCACGCCTTACAAAATGGTGAGCTATGCCGGGACATAGGTAAATTCGCGTGCCGGTCGGCCTAATTTATTGATGTTCAAGGAAATAATAGTGGCCCCGTTCGCTCGTTTCTGGAGTTTAACAAACGAACGAACAAACGGGACCACTATTATTTCCTTGAACATCAATAAATAAATTAGGCCGACCGGTACGCGAATTTACTTATCTCGACTCGACTTTGGTGGTTATTCCCAGCACTTTCACGTTCGATGATATTATCGAAACCATCTATAACTCAACAAGCGAATCAAATTATAACTGGAATGTTTTCATTGTATTTTAACACAAGAATACGGAAAATTTATATCAAAATATGGTTATTTCATTTTTTTAAAAGTTAAACAAAGAAGCCACTTGTTACCAAATTTTAGTTTGTTATTAAATTTATTTAATTAAATATTATCTGTGTTTTTATTCTAACCAATAATATAACTAGATTATTTATAATATTATTAAAAATGGTACACAACCCTCAGACTATATAGGTATTATGCCAGACCACTTTGTGTTTTGAAACCCACTTTGTGTTGTGTTTACCGCACTACCGCACATGATTGCCAGAGTGGTGGCAGGAGAAACAAGGAATCAATTCAACACGGCCTAAATACCGGAAAACCCACTAAATACCGAGACCACCCTAAATAGGTAACCCGGAGAAAGGCAATACTATAAACCGGAAACTAACCCTAATCCTGACCCAGGCACACATAGGACCAGGCTCCCGGTTACCTATTTAGGGTGCCAGTCTCCGGGTTACCTATTTAGGGTATTTTCCGGTATTTAGTGTGTTTTCCAGTATTTAGTGTTTTTCCGGTGTTTTCCGGTATTCAGTATAAAATGGTGTTTTCCGGTATATAGTATTGACGTGATAAAATTATAAAAAATAATAATTAAGTCACCTTCAAAGTAATAAGGGGCAATTAACTGATTGTGTTCTTTAGATAGTAATTTTGACAATTTGACAGTTTATCTTCATCAGTGGACTGACGTTCTGAAATGAACAGATAGTAGTTGGCCATAACTTCTGTTATGTTGGACTAATATGCCTTTTGATCAGACTATTTTTTAGTGTTGGATAGACTGAAAATCTTTATTTTCCTTTTAGCCTGGAATTTTGTGTCTTTAATTTGTGCATCAATAGCAAAGAGATAATCTTGGTTTTAGCATTTATATCTGGATCTGTTTGTTTGGGGGTTGGGGTGGGGAGGTGGGGTTCTATACGCCCACATTGAAATGTCATATATTGTCGTCACCCCCGTCTGTCCATCCACCGGATGGTCATCAGATAAAGAAACCTATTGATTTTCAACGATTTCTGATAATTACTGCCAGAGCTTAGGCCCTTGATCACATTGAAAAATCTTGTGGGTGCCTTTAGAGACCATAGTTATTATCTGATAGATTTTATATTTTTACACCGTGTTTACGTCCATATATAATCGTCTCGATTGACTTTAGATTGATACTCAGAGTTTAAAGGTCACCGGAAAAGCATCAATTTTTTTTTAAATAATGCAAGTAATTATGTCAACATATCCTTTCCATAAGTATAACCCGAGCCCGAACGTCAATAATACCTGCAACAGGTAAATTTCAACATTAGTAATTTCCGCCGTTCTCCGTCGGTAGTCGGAACTTTCCGTCAATAAGCAATCCGTGACGTCATTTTAGTCCTTCTGCACATAGAAATATAGACTAGAATATGAGCAGAAGGACTAAAATGACGTCAAATTTACGACTACCCACGGAGAATGGCGGAAATTGCTAACGTTGAAATTTACCTGTTGCAGGTAATATTGACATTCGGGTTCGTGTTATACTTATGGAAAGGATATGTTGACATAATTACTTGCATTATTTAAAAAATTTATGAACCTTTTCCGGTGACCTTTAAGGTCTTGAGACGAACAAGTATATTGATTATCATTGAATTTTGATAACTTGAACAGCTAAATCTATGATTGATACTAAATGTTTTGTTTACTAAACGTTGGCACGGGCCAAACAAATTCTAATGATTTTCTGGTAATTACTTAATGAGTTGTTACTCTTGATCAGATTTTAGTGTAATTTAAATGTTTCATTACTGACTGCCTGGACGATTTAGCTGCTGTGGGTGTATGTTTTGTTGCCTGGCAAACTATCTTTTTTGTAGCTATATTTCCATGAAGATTCAAACATTAACGGACCAATATGTAAACAACCAATATCGTTTGTTTATATATAAATTTATTTTCCAGGTTACCGGAAGAAAAATCACAGATCTATCAAAATATAGGAGCAGTGGATTCCACGTCTCGTAAATAACAGATTTATACATGTGATATCAGATTATACGAGGGACCTTTTCTTTTAAACTGAGTTGTCTTCCCCTTTTGGGATATCTACTGAAGACTGATTATGGCACACACACATCTCAATACTGTCTCTCTTTATAACATGGCAGTGAACTAGAAACCAAAAGTTGAACCGTCTTTAAATATTGAAACATATACCTTTTATCTGTTTTAGTGTAAAGCTTTATAAAATTTACATTTTGGATTGACGGTTTTATCCAAAATTAGGTGGCAGAGTGGGTGTTTATCTTCTTTTAGTATGCCAGACATAAATGGGAGATGACATAATTTTAGTAGAAAAAGGCTATATGTAATATTATATAAACCAGTAACATATGATACATGTTTATGTCAACCAATAACATCTTGGATTGGATGCTCGATTGTTTGTCCAGAATCTTCCCAATTGTCAGAATTGTAATTGGCTAGTATGGAATTTTATCCTTTCACAGCTCGGTCAATCCTGACAGCTGAGGTAGAATTGGTATGTAATTAAACACAATGAATATGTTTCAGCTGTCGTGGTTGGATGAGTATTCTCTTATCAGTTGACACATGGACTGTAGCTTTTCACCCAATTGTCAATACACCTAGGATTAAGAGAATATAGTTCTGGAATATTCAATTGAGTATCACCTCATTAATAAAGCATAAATTGTGGCCAGTTAAACACTGAATTTAGAATTTAATATTTCAACTCGGTGTGTGTGTAGAGCAGGGCTTATACTTCCAAATTTTGATTGGTCATTTTTACGGATGTTTTATTTACATGTGTGACATTCAAATCTGAAAACTCTTATAGAAATATGATTATTTATTACATATTTATAAAATAAAAACCTGTTTCTTTACAGAACAATTTGATTGTATATTTTGATTTTTTAAGTAATTTAATTGTATTTTAATGATATGTTAAATATAAATTGTAAAATATAAAAAAATGAATGACCGGTATTTTTCTCATGCTGGCTAAACATTGACTGGTCAAAATTGTTGTGTTGAGACCTTGTCATAGAAGTGTGCGTGGTTATGTATTCTTGTTTATTTATTGTTGTACTCCCAGAATCTTGTGAGTATTTTACTCCATAAAATGGTTTAATCTACAACACTTTAGTATGTCAAATCATTATTATTATATACTGAAAGCCATTAAATGCCAAATTCAAAGTTTATTTACTACAACAACTTTTAACAAATGTACATAACAATTGACAAAATCGAGATAACAAGCATCTGTGGATAATTTCATGAAAGAATTCACTACAAATGCACAAAACCGAAACGTCAGAGAACCATGAAACAAAGCAGGGGTCAGCTGAAGTCAATATCGGGTATGTCCACCCTGAGCTCTTACACATGCTTGAAGTCGCCTTGGCATGGACTGGCACAGGTGTCTCACTACACGCTGTGGGATTGTTTGCCAATGATTTTGGAGTCCCTCTGCTTGAGTTCGAACCCGTCGTCCAAGTTCATCCCAAAGGTGTTCGATCGGGTTGATGTCGGGAGACATAGCGGGCCAATCCATAACACGGACATGATGATTGTTCAGAAAGTCTCTTGTCAACCTGGCAGTGTGGAGTCGGGCGTTGTCATGCTGGAAAACCATCTGTCGACGGATGCCATGTGGAGCCAGCAATGGAAGCAACACCGGACAAAGGATGGCGTCAACATAGGGTTAAGATTGCCTTGGACCACCACCAACTGGAACCGGAAGTTGATGTTGATAGTGATAGCGGCCCAAACCATGACGCCACCTGGAATCTGTCGCGCAGATGCTGTAGTCGGATGTGGCGATCTTGAGCAGCAGTTGTTACAGGTGGCGGTCGATCGGCAGGTTTTCCAGTGGCATGGAAGCATTGTCTGAGACGAGCAATGGTCGATGGGTGGACATTAAAGTGTTTGGTGACGGCTACCTGTGTAGCCCCCTGATCCAGCATGTTAATAGCTCTGTTCCTGTTTTCTTGTGTAAGGCATGGCAATTTTCCAAATTGATGAATATTGAAATTTTGATCTGTATTTAAAGGCCAGAGTGCAGGGAATGCACGTGCAAAACGTGTGACATGGGACTGCTTAAAATCGTGAAAAAAAAGATTAAAAAAAATGTTTACCAGAAATATTTCACGAATTGGGCATTGCGTTTTTAATGGCTTTGAGTATAGTATAATATTACATTGTAGGTCAAGAATTATATTTCATGGCTGTTTTTGTCTTCACATGCTATGGCCCCGAGTTCACAAAGCATTCTCAGACTTAAGTTAAGAATTTACACAAATTGTTTGCCTTATTTTAACTAAAATATAGCCCTTTATAAAACTTGTGTTGTTTCAATGTATCAAATACATCCATAAGAAACTATGTGCAAAGTTTTGTGCTTCTAGATCAAAGATATTTCTCATAAACAGTGATTGAAAGTTGATTAAATTCTTAACTTAAGTCTGACAATGCTTTGTGAACTTGGGGCCAGGTCTTTCAGGTTAAATGCCCATTAACTACCATAAAATGGAAACACAGAGTGGGCCACGGAACTGGAGCCGATGGGCTCTTTGGCTAGACTGTCCGGAGTTTGAATCCCTGCATGGGCAGAGAAAAACTATTGGATTTCTCAAGCCGGGTTCCAACTTGTCAGTTGTGGTACTTTTGGAGCTGACAAGGTCAGTTGTTTGGATAAGATAAACAAGCGAGTTCCTCACATGTTTGTAAAAAATGTACACACATATAAAACCCTTGACAATTGGAGTTGGATGAAGCCAGTGTGACCAGGAAGTTAGTCTCAAAATGAATGAAATGAAATGAAATGCAATGGAGTTTTAACGTCCTACTGTTTTGCTCCGAACTGGGCTAATGAAGACGGGCATACGCCATACAGTGTGCTATGAGGGAAATTTTGCCCGTACACCGGCACTAAGGCCTACTCTTATCGAATTCCAACTGTCAAGGGATCTTTTACGTGCACGCCAATGTGTACACAGGACCTCGTTTGTTTTTTTTGTCCCATCTGAACGACTAACAGCTGTCCTTGTCAGGCCCTCCGTCCTACATCGATAGTCTAAAAATGACCACTTTATTCCATTCTACTATCAATTGGGTGACATTATTCCCATGCATGTGTGCTATGGTTCATTGAATAAAATTACTTCTGGAAAAGGAAATTCTTGACCTTTTTATGTATCATCTCATCTCATTGCTTGCCTGCTGTTAAATAATAAAACATTGTAGAAATATATTGTTGAGATTTACCATAAATCTACATAATAATATTTGTAAATATAATGTAATAAAAAGAGGAGGAGGAGTGTAACCCTGTGGACAAACTTGTGTCGTCATTTACTGTTAGCCACCCTTGGTAATAGTCAAGCTAAATAAAATTGTAACATGCTTAAGAGTGAATCTTGTGTTTTGATTGGTCAATTAGACACTGTCGATTGGACAATAACTCCCCTCTGTTTTAGTAATTTCTGTTAAAATGCTAAAATAGCATGTTACAATGTTGATAAACACTTCCTGTTTCGCATTTAGGGGGTGTTATTTTCCAATAGACATGTCCAGAGACTTTACATTAGAAACCGCCCCTCTAAATGCGAAACAGGAAGTGTTTATCTCCTAAGTATCTGATCGTCATTTGACAGGAATTTTTAAATCCCTTGTAAACTACAATATTGTGAAAGTTGAATCTCTAAAACGAAAAATATAAGTCCACAAATGGTTCCGTTCCGTTCAGTATTTTATAAAGATATGATTAAAGATACATTATGGGAGATTAGATAAAGAGCTGGCAGTTCTCACTATAATAGTTAGAAACTAGATAATGTAAAGGGAATTTGCTGAAAATTTCAGTCAAATTGATCCACTCTGAACTTAGATTTTAGCAATTGAATTTTCAGCACAACCTCGATCATCATTACTAAAGTCTGTACGATAAAAAAACATAGTCTTGATTATCCATTTCATGATCAAACTATGAATGGAAGTCGAATAGGAAATCGGAACCTAATCCAATAAACATCGCAGCCTAGCGATGCCGCCAATAAGTTGATTAATGTCTAATAAATACATCGAGAGTTGATTATGGTCTGGATAAGTTAATTAATGTCTAATTAATAATTTAGATAACATTTCAGGCCTAAAGAAAGACCTGCAATACACAGATTTAGCTCTTGCATAATGTATGTTTAATTAAAACTTTGTCAACATTTAGCATCCTCTGTATACGATATATCAACTGGATATGGTAAAAACAAAGCAGTAGCCCCTGTAATGTTTACCAAAATGTTTTGATGGAGGTCTTTTAAATCCAAACCTTTGGTATTTTTATCTTGTTTTCTTGAATAAGTACACAATCTGATTAAAACACAGTTCCTATTTCGTTTTGTTTTTATAGTTCAAAATTTCGTTTACTTGTCTTTACTACACTAGGATCTGGAAGAGTAGTTATCATTGACGTGTTCTGAATGGTGTGAGGGCTTAGCCAATGAAACGGTCTGTTACAGCGAGCTTTAGGCGTGTTTTGCATGGAACTGTGCGTAATCCACTAGTAACATCTCAATGCTGATTGGTTAATCAAATGTCTGACGTCATGGGGTCAAAAGCCGCTCGTATGACCTCTTGACGCGACCTATCATTGCAACTGGTCAAATCTTCATGTAATGTAGGCCATCGAAAGTATAATAAAACGAAACGTAATATAGATCTATATTTTAATCAGATTGATAAGTACATTAAGCCATAAAAAATTAGATATTATCCAAAAAATGCAAATGATGATAAGCAAATTTAAGCTTTCAATTAGAGATGATTTTAGGTAACAGTACAATATGTTTCTTTACAAGATTTGAACTTTCTTTTAAAAGAGCCATAGGCCCATGGATTTCTAGCATTAATATAAAAGACCCAGTAATACTAAGTAATTTCTTGCTGTATACCAATCCAATCTTATTAATGAAGAATGCCTTATATAGTTTTTAGATATAGTATTTTCTGATTGCAATTTGTGAAAATTTATTTATTATGGTCACAGTCAAAGAACAATTGGTGTAAAGAAATGTGATGTAAGAAAGAAAAAAAAACCAAATACTATTTAATCTTTTATTGGCATTTAGTAACTGGATAGAGCAATGAACTATATCACTTACTTATGAAAAAAAAACCAGCTACTAATTTATTTGGCCGACATTTTGATGAGTAGTTGCTCAACGATAGCTTGATAACTTTGACAGAATACTCTTTGAAATGTTGCCCAAATAAATTAATAGCTGCTGTATAATTTAAATAATATTTACTATATTATTATATTTATGAAAAACTCCTTGCTTCAGTATTCAAACTTAATAGTTTATCTATGTATAATGATTTGATTTTATAGATTTTGAACAGAGTAGATTGTACAGTTAACCCTTTAGCGGACATCCATACACTATTGCTCCCTCTAGTGCCACAAACTGCCTGAGTCACGTTAATTGCTGTGAATTATTAAGGACTCTTTTCTGTTCCTGTGACTCTGGCAATTTGAGCCTGTCTATAAATCTATAGTTTCGGTCAGATTCAGAAATGTGCTACAAAATTGATAAAACTTTAAATTTATCTTTAATTTTGCCTGGTACTGAATGGATATAGTAAGAAATTACTTTTTCTATATCTATTTCAAAATTTACTCAGATTTCACCTGCTCAGAAAATTCAAAATATCTTGCAACTTCCATAATATGGTATTTGAGAAGAAAAATAACTTTTTTGGACTTTGGGTCCAGTTTTGGTTGTTTCGAAAATTGAGCTACAACCTCACTGTAAAAAATAGAGATCATGTTTCAAAAATTGTTGAAGGGAACTGGGTACCAGGTCCTGAAGGGTTAATAAGATTAATAGGTCTCTGTTACAATTAATCAAATATTTTATGTACCTATTGTTGTGTGGATGTAAGGGTACATGGACATATTAGCACGCAATGACCTGTATGCAACTTCTCAATGAAGATCAAAGTTGCCACATTAACTTGAGTAATGTGTAGATAAATAAAGACGAAAAAATAAATTATCTTTGTTTGAGAAGTATTGTTTAATGGTCGAGACCGAGACATTAAGTAATATATTGTAACAACAAGAGGGTCGTAGGCCCGAGTGTTTTTACAATATTACGCAATGTCTTACGCTCGGGACCATTAAACGTCTTAAAATACAGACACTGCGCACATGCTTTTACAGTGAAATACGTCACACGAGTCCAGTATTTCACTAGTATAAATAATGTATGATTGGCAAGTTGCCAGTACGATTATTTGAAATAATGGTACACCAACATCAAAGGGTGACGTCACATCTGTATTTTAATAATAATATTACGGCTACAAGTATAAATAAGCTTGTATTTTAGCTAGGTAGCTGCTGGTCTGTGGTATCACAGATTAGGAGAAGTTGAGTCTTGTCAATCGTAAATGTCTTGTTTCACTTTGTTTTTGTGATTACCGGTAATCTGTATTTAAAGTTTCACAATTTTTTGATAAGATGTTATGAAATTTATCAATAGGTGTTCAGAAAGTAAATTTGTAGCAGATAAATCTTGAAGATAAACAATCTAGAAAAGTGCTCAGTTGTTATGATTAAAAGAACAGGATCTCTTTGATTTGGGTAACAATTGGAAGTTCCAATTAGGTTAAATTTTATGTATTAAAGTTCAATACCCTCAGGCATAGTTAAGTCATCTGTTTCACCTTGTAAACTTATTTTTATTGAAAAAATATCACATTAGTAATGGCCAAAACTAATATAAGACTCATATTGCCCACAATTCATAAAAAAAAAGAGTGTCATTAATATCTAAGCACATTATTGAACCGGTAATGCGAATGCCTATCCATTCATTGCTTGGTGAATGTACTACATAATGGGGGCTGTTTTTATATTGTCAAAAGAGCTTCCCTTGAATATAAACTAATTGATAATTTAGATAACATTTCAGGCCTAAAGAACGACTTGTAATAAGCAGATTTTGCTCTTGCATAATGCATGTTTAAATTATTTGAAGTTTTAATTTTATGGCTTGTAAATTGACTAACAGGTAAGGTCTCTTACTGGTAAATATGAGTGAAACAGGAGGTGTCGTGCCCTGATCTATAAGGACAATTTTATTTTGACCTAAATGAAAGAGATGCTGCTTCGAATCGTGTGTTGGTAGGTTTTTTTAAATGGCTGTTAAAGTATGTTATTATTTATATGAACATTTAATAAACGGTATATTAATTGTATAAATATGATGTAAACTATTGAATAAAATTAAATTTTATGTAAAAGGTATTGTCTGATAAAGAATTGTATAAACATAATGTTCTGGTTATATGTTATATGATTTATCAAAGTCTTAACATCATGCGGTAGTAGGGGTAGTTGACTTAACATCATGTGGCGGTAGTTGACTTAACATCATGCGGTGGTAGTTGACTTAACATCATGCGGTGGTAGGGGTAGTTGACATAACATCATGTGATGGTAGTTGACTTTACATCATGTGGGGGTAGGGGTAGTTGACTTAACATCATGTGCAGTTAGGGGTAATGAACTGAACTTCATGTGGTGGTAGGGGTTGTTGACTTAACATCATGTGGGGGTAGGGGTAGTTGACTTAACATCATGTGGGGGTAGGGGTAGTTGACTTAACATCATGTGCGGTTAGGGGTAGTTGACTTAACATCATGTGCGGTTAGGGGTAATGAACTGAACTTCATGTGGTGGTAGGGGTTGTTGACTTAACATCATGTGGGGGTAGGTGTAGTGAACTGAACATCATGTGGGGGTAGGGGTAGTTGACTGAACATCATGTGGGGGTAGGGGTAGTTGACTGAACATCATGTGGGGGTAGGGGTAGTGAACTGAACATCATGTGGTGGTAGGGGTAGTTGACTTAACATCATGTGGGGGTAGGGGTAGTTGACTTAACATCATGTGGGGGTAGGGGTAGTTGATTTAACATCATGTGGCGGTAGGGGTAGTTGACTTAACATCATGTGGTGGTAGGGGTAGTTGACTTAACATCATGTAATGGTAGTTGACTTTACATCATGGGGGGGGTAGGGGTAGTTGACTACCACCATATCTAAAAATCAGTATTCTATTTCGTAATGTGATTCTACCCCGTTTCACATCTGTCATTCACACAAGGAATTAAAATCTCGATCAACTAGCTTTGTGTCTGTTCGCAATTGGAGCTAGTTGTAGACAGACAGCGTAAGTTTAGTATGTTCCCACCTATTGTGCTGAAAGATAAAGTGTTACCTAGTCGCTTGATGCTAGGAAAAAGAAGAGGTGGAAAGGCTGCTGTCCATTCAAAATTCTCTAGCATTGCTTAGAAGGAAATAACTAATGCATTGTCTTGACAGATATTGAACCTAATTCTATCCATAGTTTGGTGTTTATTTGTAGTTGTATTAGCTAACAGTATCACTCACTGTGTAGCACTCAGTCTCAATAATACATGTTGTACAAGGTCTCAGTATCACACAATATTGTACTGGTCTCAATATTACATCATCTAGTAATAAATAATATTTCACTATAAAGTACCCAGTCCTGACATTACGTCATGTACTACCCACATACTGCACACATTGATCTGTCTACTTCATAGCCTACCTCAGGCGGAGATAACTGTAGACAGGCAGCCTAAGTTTGTGATGGCACTACCCTGTCTCGGAATCACGCCATGCATTAAATGGTCTCAATATCACAAAATATTGTGGCAGGTCTCAATATCACATCATCTATCGATCACACCATGTAGTGCCACGGCTTAACATGGAGTAGGTCTCAATATCATTCTGTTTTAACACCAGTTCCCAATATCACTCTAGATAGTATCCTACCATACCATGTAGTAGAATGTCCACCATATTGTACCAGGTCTTGATATCACTCCATGTAGCACGTACCAGTGCCAACCATCACTTCAGATAGTAACATACAACACCATGGATAGTACAATACCACCAGTGGCGGATTAAGCTCCACCAAGGCCAGGGGCGGCAGTTGCTGAAGGGCTTATTTAGTTTTTAAAGTTAGAGCCAAGGTAGTTGCTAACATTAAAAACGGGATTCGTTACTGAGGTTATGATATTATTAAAATATTAGTTATAACTATTGAAATTTGTCGTACAAAATGCTTTGACAGCAGAAACGTCACCGGAAACCAACTGTACATACACCTATTTCCTCATGATGGGGTGTTTACACCGAAACTAGCGCAAGATCTTTTGCTAGATATTTTTTCTTAAGCCAAAGTCGTTTGATATTAGTAATGTAACTTTATATGCCCATAAATGACGTCACGTGGATACAATATATTAAGCAAGACATAACCGAAAACTTACAAGGATTTAACGTACATTGTATAGGCCTACGTTTAAAAAATAAGAACAGATCTGCAAACAATAGGGCCTATTTAAAATGGCGTGGGCCTAATTAATTTCGGGTGAGGGCCTATGTTGATTCCCGTTGCGCCTAAACCCCACCCCCTAACATTTATTTTCTATGCGTTTTTAATCGTATCAGACAAGTCTAAAAAAATTTTTTTTACAAAATCTTTGGGCCTGAGGCTGCAGCCTCATCAGCCTCACTGATAATCCGCTACTGAATACCACGTTTCAATTTTATGCCATATGGATGTACTATTGATATGACATAGTTCGTGGACAATAAGGGGTTGGATGGCTGAATGGTTAGCACGTCATCGCTGTGTCATACGGTCTGTCAGTGAGTCAACTGGCGTAGTTTCGATTGCCCGGTTGTATGTGACAGGAGTAGGGTCGCCTGTCCAACCTCGTGGGTTTTCTCCGGGTCCTCCGGTTTCCTCCGACTGCTAAAGACCCCTACGCGCAAGCGAATTATTGAAATAAAACTGAACCATGTGTTAGTCCCGAAATGACCTAGTTTGTGTCGAGTGGATGTTACCCCCCCCCCCCTCTCTCTCTCTCTCTCTCTCTCTCTCTCTCTCTTTCCCCCCGCGTGGTTCCCCCTTGTCAGTGATGCAGGATGGAGGGCCTGACAAGGACAGCTGTCTAGTCGTTCGGATGGGACGATAAACCAAGGTCCCGTGTACACATTGGCGTGCACGTAAAAGATCCCTTGGCAGTTGGAATTCGATATAAGAGTAGGCAGTAGCGCCGCTGCCCGGGCAAAATTTCCCTCATAGCACACTGTATGGCGTGTGCCCATCTTCATTAGCCCAGGTTAGGAGCAGAATAGTAGGACGTTAAACCCCATTTCATTTCATTTCTCTCTCTCTCGGACAATATTTGTCTGATTATATAGTAACTGCAAGGATATACGGTATGTCCGCTACTAATATCTTTGTTGTTTAGTACGGGACACAAATAATTTTTCATACCACAGCAATATTGTTGGAGTATACTATAGTCACAGTTGTCTGTCCGCACATTCACAGCAGCGTGCCCTCTGTAACAAAAGGTTAAATAGGTATTATGGAAACGCCATATTATTCTTTCAAAACATAAAGTGGAGTCAAGGGACTCAGTAAGTACAATGCTGGCTTGCTAACAGAAAGTCTGGGTATTGGGTTTGCTCCCTGTTTTGGCCGCAAAAGTTCCTCGGGATTTTCGGGCGTGGAAAATCTTGGTCAGTACACTGGTGCAGGCCCGTAGTCGGAGGGGGGGGGCAAAAAATAGTTTCCGACCATAGCTTTAAAATACCTACGGGCCTGCACTGGTGCCGGATGGGAGAGCCTGGCAAGCAACGTCGTATATTCGTTACGGTGGTAAAAGAACAAAACAGAGTTTGTGAGATTTATTTTAAAACAAGTAAATGAATAAAATGGGATTAAACGTCCTACTTTTCTGCACCGACTGGACTAATGAAGACGGACATACACCATACAGTCTGATATATTATGTGTAATGTTGCCTTGAAAGTGGCGCTACGGCCTACTCTTATTTCAAACTCCAATTCTCAGGGGTTCTTTTATGTACATGCCAATGTGTACATGGGACCTCGGTTTTTCGTCCCATCCGAACGACTAGACACTGCCCATGCCAGGCCCTCCCCGTTCTGCACCACTGACAGTTTATAGGTCCACAAATCAATTATATTCAAAATGAAAAAAATAAAAAAAATTTCATATTTATTATAGACAACCGATAGTTCGCTGGATGTGAACAATTAATTGTCCAGACATTACTTACTAGATTTAACTAAACGCGTCTTCTTGCTGTTCCAGCCCGTGAGTACGGCTGCATACAGGGGTGGATTGTCCAATTCATCTAAAAAAAACTTTTCTGCTGAACATTATATGGGGGGGGGGGTATTGGACCGGCCATGGAGCGATGATGATCATGTTGTATGTGGCCGGTGGCTTTAACGGGCCGCCACGTCATCACTGGAATCTGGATTGGGCTGGTATAATAAACTTTCTGGAACGGGTGTGCTGGGTGTGGGTCGGAATTCGGAATCCTGCAATGGGGATTCAGAATTTCATCCGTAAATTTCATCGGATTCACCCGACACTGTCGCTAGAAACGTCTGCCGATGGTTAGTAACTCCAAAAAAAATAATTCAATTTTAAGGCCTCGGCAAAATTTGATGATAGCTGGTTTTGACGATACAATGACAATACGTAAATTAATAATATGGGTTTTGGCCTAAATTAATCGATTTATGAGATATATTATTTGACAGAGATTATAATCAGATATGCCACCAAATCGCATATTTGGGGTTCATTTTTCAAAATTTTCATGGGGGAGAGCCCCCGGACTCCCCATCCGGGCTCCGCGGTCAGTAAAAGGGGCCGCTCCGACATGGGAGCCCGGGCCGGTTTCCGGCCCCAATCCGCCCCTGGCTGCATAGAAATTGATCCAAAATAGCTTTATTTTGGGGGTTTGCAACCGTAACTAGATCTATGCCTACTCTAATTTCAATCAATCAGACTATTATAGCAGCTGCATTTACCGGACATTAGAAATTTCACTTCCCGAAAAACTGATGAAACTAAAAATGATAATGTCCGAAAAAAAAAAGTTGCGGATAAAGCAGAGCAACTCTAGTGTGGCGTTTGATCAGGGGCCATGACCGGATTAAGACCCGCAGAGGCTCTAAGCACTTAAAAGATTTTGGTGCCCCCGTATGTACATGTATTTAAAAACTAAACCACAAACAACCGCCAAACACGTGATTAGTGTTTTTCCCAAATTATTTTTGTAATAGATTTTTCTCCCGATTCATGGACAAATACCCCTATTAAAGGTTTTTGGAACCTTGAAATAGACGAAAATGGTTCTTAAGCACATATTAGTTTAATATGAATGGATGTATAGTGATTTATATTCAATTTTTTAAAAATATAATGTAATTTCTAACCAATTATGTTCGGTGAAATACATGAACAATTCAAATTCAACGGCAGTCGTTTACGTCTGCTTAGTCCAGTGGTTCTCAACCTTTTTATGCCAACGGCACACCTTGGAACACATGAAAAAATAGCGGCACACCTGGCTAAATATATATGAAAAATATTTGAATTTTGCAAAATAAAAACATGGTAAGTCAGACAGAATACAACCGTAGACACAGACTAGTCATAGACACATAGAAAGACTCAAATTAAATAAAGAAAAATATAACTATTAACTTATCAGTAGACACCAGTGAATACTCATTTGGGATCACTTGGTTTTGCACATTTTCTTAGTGTGCCGTTCAAAATGTCGCGTCACACTTAGGAAGATCTCGCGGCACACCTGTGTGCCACGGCACACTGGTTGAGAATCACTGGCTTAGTCCATTCTACGTACACGTTTTTTAAATTATTATTTTGTCGTTTGTGAATTAGCCTTTACTATATACTTCCACATGTTTTTATTTGTTCATCGCAAAATGGCACCTTAAACCATTGGGTGTGCGAATCGTGTACTGATTATAAAATGTTAATTGTCTCTTAAATATTGGATATTAATTAGGATCCCATAGTTTCGCGGCAAGATACATATTACAAGATCAATATTGATTAAAATTGCTCAATATTGAATTCTAATTCGTGTTTTTAATTTCGAATATTATGGAAAATATGGAGTTAGAGATTAATTAGTTCCTTTAAGGTACAAGTGCGGATGCTACACATTTTTGTCCACTGTTGTAAGGATTTATTTTGATTTTGTACGGAAATTTTATTTTAAATAAACACTTTGCATGAAAAATTGCTATAGTTTTTTTTAACATGAGAATCAATATTTATTTACATAACTCTTTGTTTGGACATTTTGACCTGTCCGAAAAACCTATTTTAATGTCCACGCTTATTTCCCTATGGCTCTCAAACTTTACAAAAGCTGTTCTTATTTTGTTTTCGTATATTATATATAGTAACAGCTTGACATTGTTTATGAAGTGTCGTAATTCATTTGGATTAATTATTAACACTGATGCGACTGGGTGTACTTTCTACCGTTTCATCGCTTACTGTCTACCGCCATTTTGTCTGGGTAATCAAACATTAAAGAGGTGTGTTCTAAAAATAGCACATCTATTAATAGTCGCAGGTATGGTATGATATAAATCTATAACGTACAATCGTATATGGATTATATACATGTATATGTTTGAATTATATAGGCTATCCATGCCAGTGGGATTTACATGGCGATTCTAAAATAACAGTGAGTGAGTTATATAATATATATATAAGATTATGTAGGTATATAGTATTATGTATTAGACCATTCCATGGACCTTGCCATTCAAATGTCAAATTTTATATTTAAATATGTAGAGAACCTTTGCATAGATTGGTTGTCCTCCTAATAAGTTTTAATCAAAATTCTAGATATGTGGAAATATACAGATTGTGACAAATTTAAATGACTTTAGGAAATTCAATTTTCATACTTCTCAATTTTCCATCAGTCTAATTCCAAGTTGAAAAAAAAAACCCCAAAAAAACCAAAAAAAACCCCAACAACAACAACCCGAAACAAACTCTATTCTTTAATTCATAATATGCGCAAACACCTGATAAAAACGATTGTTACGCTAGGCGTTTCAAATCTTTAATTTCTTATGAAATTCATTTATTTGAATTCCCCTATTCCATCATTGCCTTTTGGTAAAAAGAAAAAGAAAAAAGGGTGCTATTAATTTAAATAGGTGGAAAATTATCTCTAATCTTATTGGTGAAAGGGAAGGCTAATAGCACGGTTTAATTTTTATTTTTGCTAACTGGTATTTGTTATAAGAAAAACAGAATTAAAAAAAAAAACCAAAAAACAAAAAAATAACAACACACATTTCTCTCCCTGGCCGTTTCAAATTTGGATGTTTATGTCATTATTCTATTTTTTAATCATCATTTTTAACAAATTTATAAGTACGCCCCCGGTAATAAATTTCGCTCGCTTTTGGGGAAGGGTGGGGGGGCACTAAAATTAAATTTGTTTAAAATCTTTAACCACGGCGAAAACGGTATTCACTCATTAAAAATAATTAAACGCAGAAAGGCAAAGGAGCGGGGATAATAATTAGGCCTGTTTGATTAACCAATATTCGAACCTTGAGTTCTTTATCGAAATTGATGTGATGGTGTTTTTAAATGGGAGCTTAACCTCATTTTTCCTATTTACATAATGGAAAATAAGGGGTTGGATATCAAATTTAATCAGGAATCGAATAAATGAAGATTCTGACAACTCTGAAATTATTTAATCAAACAGACCCCATAAGGACCGTCATCTAAAATGTGCGCATGCGTACGCTATATCGCATGAATTTCCACCATCTTCCGGCTAGAGTTAGCAAAGTGTCAAGGTAGTTAACGCCCTAAAAGGCAAATGTAAGTATAATTATTACCTACATGTAAAAGAATCCGTTGACTTGAGATACACACAACGTTTTTGATCGAAATTTAAGTGCATATTATTACATTTTCTCATACAAAAATGGTTTTTGATGGCGTATATCTCGAGTTTCCAAAATCAAAATGGCGGATAAATTTTGTCTATATCAATTCCTGGCAAGGTTTTTAATTTTGATGACGGGTTAGCAACTATTTCATTTCACACATGAAACTCCTTCACATATTTTCAAGCTTTCAGCTAATGTTTATGCGTCAGAATAATTAAGAAATTGGTACATTAAAGTTGCGATCTTGGAGAATTGAAAGTTGACCCATCTGATCTGTCAAAATCGCATCAACATCTTGGTTACTTCCTGTCACTTCAGTGGACACTTACTCATATAAGACCACAAGTCATTGACTAATTACAGGCTATTATGTCGTAATAAAAACGATGTTGTGTTACAGTAATTATCATTTAATGAATTTAAGGAGGAAATCAATTTAAATTTGTGCAAATTACATAAAATTCTGATGATAATGTTGCTAGTACTATTGTTGGACTTGGTTGGAGCCAAAAATAAATACTAAACAGTAAGGACAATCAAATCTCTATGTAGTGTACCTGTAAAGAAATTAATATTCAACCTTAGGGTCATATTCCTGAAGCAATGGCCAGAGAAATCCCTCTCTGGCCATTGCTGGATTGACTTCTGATACTTGAGCTTTTAAGGGAGTGTCTATGTTAGGCGCAATCTTCACCCCTCGCGCAGATTGCAATCTGCGCTGTCATCCTGCGCAGATTGTGAGGAGTATGCCTTAGGGTCTGTTTTGTATACCCCGGTATTAAAAGCTAACAAGTCGAAAGTACAAGTAGTAGTACATACGATGTAGGTCAGTTCCATTTGAGCCCAGTAGCGGACAGATTACCCCTGCACATGCACAAATCAATCTGCCTAATTTTTGTTGACTAATCTGCGCACGCGGACTGAACTCTAATCATGTTGTAAATTAACATGTAATTGTCTGCGATATCACTTATGTGGAAGCAGACAATAAATAAAGGTACATGTATTTCACATACTGATGATCCGTCTAATCCTACTTGGATTCACCATGGATCAGTGCATTAGTTTTATTTGTTTAAATGAATTTTGTAACTGTCAGTTTACTGGTATAAGTACAAGCAAGGTGATGTGAAAATAAAAGTATGATCATATAGCTGATTACCTTACATGTACATGAAGAAGATTCTATATTTTATTGCTAGCATGCCACTGCATGAAACAACCATCGATTTCATTAAAATCATTAGAATTTATGTGGAGTTGCATACAATAATATATTTTAGTGTGAACTAACCAATTTTTTCTGCGTCACACAGCCCGACAGCCCTTTGAAAAAATTGGGTCCACACCATACGCATACACATATCTGAGGATTTAATTCCACAAAACCAGAATTCAGAAACACATACATAGCACTAGATAAAATATTTAAAAATCTGTCAACTGTTTGTTATTAATGTATTTATTTCAACTATACAAAACTAACACTGAAGTTTACGGTAATGAAAGCAAATAATTTTGGACATTCAGTCACATGATCAGTTGATGTATAGCGTAGATTATCTGCAGACTCAAATTTAAATCTTATTCTTACTACTTACATGTAGCACACACGTTAATTATGCAGTGATATTGAAAATTATTTGAAAAATCATTATGGTACAAAGTTGATGGGGTGTCTAACGTCCTACTTTGATCCTGAAGAAAATTTAGGAGTAATCAGGGCAAAATTGAAAATCTGGGCAGCAGCTTGATATGTGCAGATTACAATCAGTCGCACAGGGTCCAATCTGGGCAGACAGAGTGGACTTGGCGCCACACGGCAGCGCAGATTGAAATCTGTGCGAAGGTAGAAGAATGCACCCAACAGCTAGAGTCTATTTTATTCAGGGAGGACGATTTACTCAATACTAACACATAATTACCGCCATACGGTGTTTGATAAAAAACTGGATGAATGCCCCAGTTATTTCAATATCAATAAGTCAATTCGCTGAAAAAATGTACAAATACAATGTAGCTGGCATAGCTATTTATAGCAACCATTAGATAGATCATCTGAAATACTAACCCAGCCAGAATTACTAAATATCTAATGATTTGAACCCAATATTACCACATTAATACATACTAACCTTATTATGAAATATGATCCGAGTTCTTTCAATTATCTCAAAATCAATAGGCTTACAATGTAAGTAAATTCCCAGAAAGTGTATTTGGTGTTAGGCCTATTATATTAGACATACTCGTAGGTTGGTATTGGTTAAATCGTCCAGCCGGTTTTGTTTAGTTGATTCATATTCCAATTATTTGTGAAATGTGGAGATGATTAACTATAGCTGCATTTTGTAAGATTAAGATAAACAGATGTCCATTCTTGTTATAATAGTTTAAAAAATAGATAATAAAAAAATGAATATTGAAAATTTCAGTCAAAAAAACTCTATGAATGGTTGAAGTTTTGACAAGATTTAGCCTAAATGGTCTTGATTGTCAAGTACATGTATCATTGCTACAATAATGATAAACAAAGTCCCAATTTTTATTCATTTTAATGTTAAATTATTGAATGGTGTGGATGTTCTAATCCATTTATTATCACGGCCATTCGGTGTCCTAGAGAGTTAGGTCCCATGTATACATTGGAATGCACGTAAAAGATCCCTTGGCAGTTGGAATTCGATATAAGAGTAGGCGATAGTGCCACTACCCGGGCAAAATTTCCCTGATAGCACACTGTATGGCGTATGCCCGTCTTCATTAGCCCAGCATAGGAGCAGAACAGTAGGACGTTAAACCCCATTTCATTTCATTTCCTAGAGAGTTGATAATGGGCTTGTCATATAAATAAATGTTTAAATGGTAGTTTATACAACATTTGATGCCAGGAAAAAAGACCTGCATAATGCATCTTTAATTGTCAAGATATCTGCCTATATCTGGAAATAAGGTGACTCACATAAAAGGTAGAATCCCTCTCTCATGAGTAAAGTAAACACTGCAAATTACAAACAAAAATAGGCAAATGCTGGAAAAAAGACATTCCCAAAGTATGCAAGTGTTTGTTTCAGTTGCTTAAAATAACTAGTCATATTAAATTCTCAAACATGTTTTGTAATTATTTGAAAATATATGAATCATATTTAGTCAACCAGGTGGAAACATATACTGCATAAATTTAATGTTATTACTTATTGGTTAAAAATCTGGCATGTGCGAGCATGCGAGTATTCATGTAAAGTGAAAAACTACTATGTCTCAATTTTGTCTTAGAAAACTCTTATTTTATTTGTTACAGACGTTTTGGTGAAGGTAAAAGAATTCAAAATGCAGACGATAAAATGTGTAGTAGTAGGCGATGGAGCCGTGGGTAAAACATGTCTACTTATTTCCTACACAACCAACAAATTTCCCTCGGAATATGTACCCACAGTAAGTATAGTTTGGTTTATAATTTGACTGAAATAGCAACATTTTCTTATACAGTATATAAATTAAACTGAAAAATCTCCTGAGAAATATTGGTTGTAATTTAGAAGATTAAAAAAATGTAGCTACATGTACATCTAAGTTTACATCTAATCAGAAATATATAACATGGGCTTTGGATAACTGTTTTAATATGGTTGTATATTAAATTTATTGTCACACCTTATAGACTACCAGTGCGTTCATGGGGCGAAAGAAGTTCATTGATTATCATCGATAATTGTTATCCAAGTTATGGTCTTTGATCACTTTGTACAATGTTGTTAACCCGCTATTGGTTAGCTTTATTGTCCCCCGCCTTTCGAAGAAAGCAGGGGACTATTAAAATGGGTTCGTCTGTCTGTCCGTCTGTCTGTCCGTCGTCTGTCTGTCCGTCTGTCTGTCCGTCTGTCCGTCCGTCTGTCTGTCCGTCACACTTTTTGGGACACAATAACTCTCTTCCTAATTGAGCTAGAATGTTCAAACTTGGTGTATGTGTTTATTAGGTCAATGCCTTGATGGAGTTCGAAGATGAGCATTTTCCGCTTAGGGTAAGCAGAGATAAGCAATTTGATTGGTTGATGCTTTGGGACACGATAACTCTCTTCCTAATTGGGCTAGAATGTTCAAACTTGGTGTATGTGTTGATTAGGTCAATGCCTTGATGGAGTTCGAAGATGAGCATTTTCCGCTTAGGGTAAGCAGAGATAAGCAATTTGATTGGTTGATGCTTTGGGACACGATAACTTTTAATTGAGCTAGAATGTTCAAACTTGGTGTATGTGTTTATTAGGTCAATGCCTTGATGGAGTTCGAAGATGAGCATTTTCCGCTTAGGGTAAGCAGAGATAAGCAATTTGATTGGTTGATACTTTGGGGCACGATAACTCTCTTCCTAATTGAGCTAGAATGTTCAAACTTGGTGTATGTGTTGATTAGGTCAATGCCTTGATGGAGTTCGAAGATGAGCATTTTCCGCTTAGGGTAAGCAGAGATAAGCAATTTGATTGGTTGATGCTTTGGGACACGATAACTTTAGTTCTAATTAAGTGAGATTGATGAAACTTGGTGTATAGTTTCATTACAGTAATACCTTGACTAAGTTTGATAATGAGCATTTTCTGCTCAGGGTAAGCAGCAATTTGATTGGTTGATACTTTGGGGCACGATAACTCTCTTCCTAATTGAGCTAGAATGTTCAAACTTGGTGTATGTGTTGATTAGGTCAATGCCTTGATGGAGTTCGAAGATGAGCATTTTCCGCTTAGGGTAAGCAGAGATAAGCAATTTGATTGGTTGATGCTTTGGGACACGATAACTTTAGTTCTAATTAAGTGAGATTGATGAAACTTGGTGTATAGTTTCATTACAGTAATACCTTGACTAAGTTTGATAATGAGCATTTTCTGCTCAGGGTAAGCAGAGCGATACGCAATTTGATTGGTCGAGACTTTGGAAAACAATAACTCTCCTACTTTGATTGTTAGACTATAAGTAAAGATATACTGTTTGATTGTTCAATACTTTGTAAAAGATAATTTGTGATAAATTTATATGTGTCCTCTAATTATTTTCCTTTTCGGCGGGGGACATCAGCCTCACTGTTGGCTTGTAATTTAATTGATCTGAAATTTATGCACAGTGTTTCTAATAATGAAGTGGTCATGTGATTACCTGTAATGTTTTGTTTGTTTTAGTGCTAGGATTTTTGAAGCGTATCAAATTTTAAATTATTTCAGATAAGTACTTAATGGGTTGTTGCTGATCAGTTTTGAGTGTCATTTAACTACTTCCATTGCCTACAAAAAATGAAAATGTGTCAGCATTTATGAATTACTCAGATGACTGTGGGCATACATGTATGTTCTGTTGCATCACAAGCCATAACTTAAAAATTTATGACAGGGACATGTATCGAGCTTGAAGCAGAAGAAAATCAAAAGAACTTTGTCCCTGTTTACGTAAATGAGCCCATGTAATTCTATGCATATCCCAAGCCACTGCTTAATCTTTAGAATGATATTTTCTTACGGAAACTACTGTGGTTGGAGCTACAGAAATCAATGCTGTTAAAAACAATATGTGTGTGGTGTGGGGCCGTGGGAGGGTACATTTGTTCTGAACTTGGGTACTATCTTGTCACGAGTATTGATGGTTACAATGAAATATAACTCCAGGTTGTTATTATAATGGATTGTTACCTATTTATTATGCAGGTATTTGATAATTATGCTGTAACAGTTATGATTGGAGGTGAACCATATACATTAGGTTTATTTGATACAGCTGGTCAAGAAGATTACGACAGGTTACGACCCTTAAGTTATCCTCAAACAGATGTTTTTCTAGTCTGTTTCTCTGTTGTTTCACCATCCTCATTTGAAAATGTTAGAGAAAAGGTAAGTTGTCTATCTTGTAACTAAAAAAACATGTCAATTTTGCGACACACAAATTATGGAATAAAATTTGTTTGACAGTAATTTAAAAAAACATGACAAAAATTTTACATTGGTTTATTTAATATCTGTAACGGTTAAAAATACATTATGTAAGATTTAGATAAAAAGCTAGCCATTCTTGCTATAATACTTCGAAAATAGATAATGTAAAATTAATAATTTGAAAATTTCATTCAAATTACTCTTTTGCAAGCAAAGATATTAGCCTTTGAAGGTTTGACAAGACGTGTGTAATAATTTCAACCACCGTACTGGTTGTTCGAAGCTAAGTCTCTCTCCTCCATTTTTAGCTTAAATCGAAATATGGCTGAACTGTTCTAATCTATTTAATATCGGAGAAATCCAATGCCATCGAGAGTTGATTATGACCTGGATAAGTTAATTAATGTCTAATTAATAATTTAGAAAACATTTTAGGCCTTAGGAAAGACCTGCAATAGGCAGATTTAGTTCTTGCATAATGCATGTTTAACTGTTAAAACAATTGATTTTATAATTCGTAAACTATGTACTACAGTATTGTGAAAGGTGCATCTCTAAAAGGAATATATATCCAAAATTTGCTTCCTTTCCATTAAAGATGGATATTTGAATAATAGTTCCAAAATAGATAATGCAAAATGAATATATTGAAAATTTCATTCAAATTACTTTATTCTGATCGAAGTTATCATTGTTTGTAGTTTTGACAATATGTGCCATTGATTGTTTATTATCGTAACGATACTGGTTAATCAAGGCAAGGCTTCTCCATTATTAAATTAAATGGTCTGAAGCTTTCTAATCTACTTAAAATCGGAGCTTGATTATGGACGTGTTATGTTAATAAATGTTTAAATAATATTTTATATAACATTTGAAGCAGAAATAAATGTTTAAATAATATTTTATATAACATTTGAAGCAGAAATAAAGACCTGCATCTAGGTAAATTTAAATCACGGTATAATGCATCCCTAAATAAATGTATGAATTGAAAATTTCGCAACTCGGCAGACGATACAAAAAAACCAGAGTCAGCTGTGTTCGTTAAGATCTTTTGATTGGTGGGGGGTTGGATTGCCGATTGGTTAGCACTTAGTATGTGCACGCTGTATCATAAGGTCTGTCATTGAGTCAACTGACTTGGTTTCAATTCCCCGGTTGTACGTGACCAGGAGTAGGGTCGTCTGTTTGGGGTTTCTCTGGGTGCCCTGGTTTCCTCCCACTGCTAAATACCCCTACACGCAAGCAAATTATTGAAATAAAATTGAATCACGTGTTAGTCCCGAAATGACCTGGTTTGTGTCGAGTGGATGTTAAACCCCATTTTTCTCTCACTCTCTCTCTCAAATTGTGTTGGGTGGATGTTAAATCCCATCTTCCTCGCAAATTGGGTCAACTGCCAAACCTGCTAGGTTAATTTGGGGTTCACCCATGTCTTCCTACAGCTCAAGCAAAACAGTAAAGATTTACCACTACCAGTCCCAAATGTGCTAGTTGGATGTTAAATCCCATCTTTCTTTTTTTTACAGTGGGTGCCTGAAATCACCCATCATTGTCAAAAAACACCCTTCTTGTTAGTGGGAACACAGATTGATTTACGTGATGATGCTGCTACAGTAGAAAAGTTGGCCAAAAACAAGCAAAAACCAATTTCATCAGATCAAGGTGAAAAACTAGCAAGAGAACTTCGTGCTGTTAAATTTGTAGAATGCTCAGCTCTGACACAGGTAAATAGAATTTATTAAATTCATTACACGTGTGAAAATATATGTGTGTTGCCCAAACTTTGGTTTCCTTGTTTGTGAAGAATGCCATTCCCTCTATATAAAACATTGGCATTGTGTGATATAATAGCCAAACTCATTATTGATATGTTATCACTTGTCCCCAATGGAAATATATTATTATACGCCCACATTGACTTGTTGTACATGTATATTGTTGTCACCCCCGCCCATCCGTCGGTCCATCGGTCCGGCATCCACAATAGCTTGTGGACACTTTAGAGGTTAAAATTAATATTCGATTGACTTTAGATTTATACACAGTGTTTAAGGTCCTTTATTTTCAATGATTTCCGATAATCACTGCCAGAGTAATGGCCCTTGATCACTTTGAAATATCTTGTTGATGCTCTAGAGGCTAAAGTTAATATCCGATTGACTTGAAATTTATACACAGTGTTTACGGTCATGAGACGAAGAAGCCTAGTGATTTTACTACCAGAGTTATGGCCCTTGATCACTTTGAAAAATCTTGTGGATGCTCTAGAGACCAAAGTTATCATCCGATTGACTTTAGATTGATAAACAGAGTTTAAGATCTTGAGACAAACAAGTATATTGATTTCCAATGAATTTTGATAACTTGAACAGCTAAATTCATGATATTAAATGTTTCGTTAGCATGGTTCAGAACTAAAAGCCAAACAAATTCTAATGATTTTCTGATACATGTAATTACTTAATGATTTGTTACTCTTAATCAGATTTTAGTATATTATAAATGTTTCATTACCGACAATAGAAAAAATATGCGACAACTCTTGTTGACTGCTCGGACGACTTAGCTGCTGTGGGTGTATGTTTTGTTGTCTGGCAACCTATGTTTTTGATATTAGAAAAAGAATCTAAAATCCTGATAAACAAAAGGCTAGTGATGTAAATTGTGTACAAAGACAGACGTTATATGAATAGCCAATGAATATTTTCTTCTTTATAGTAAATGTAGTTGTCTCCCTTTAATATCTTTCGTCATTTTAATTGTGCAGAAAAGGCAGCTTTAACCCTTCTCCAACTCGCAAGATTTTTTTCGATGAAGATTGTCCAGGAGTTCCATCTTAATATTTAAAGTTAGGTTTAGTTACCCAGTTGAAATGCACTTACTTGGTATCTTTCTGGCATGTGATGTCACAGTGGCCAGACTTACTAAGCACTCAATCCTGGTTTCACCCTTATCAGTGGTGCAGGACAGAGGACCTTGCAAGGAGAAGCGTTTTGTCATTTGAATGGTATACATGTACTAAAGGAATTGTTTTAATGAATGGCTAATAAATTAATTTTTTTTGTGTATTTATAGAAAGGCTTGAAGAATGTTTTTGATGAAGCGATTTTAGCAGCGTTGGAACCACCAGAACCTCCAAAGAAAAGCAAATGCACTCTTTTATAAATGTTTAGAAACAATCTTCTGAAGTTTTAACCAATTTCAACTTGGAGAGCTGTTGTATAGGAGATCAGAGGATTCATTTCCACACAGTTCTAGCAGTGAAAGCATAATTATGTCTAAATCAAATTCTTAGCATATGCTTTCATTTCTAAAATCTACCACTTGATTTCTTGTGTATTTACTATTATTAATAATAATTAGGTGGTCTGTTGCTCGTTGGTATTTCTAAGAACAACACCCCCAAAAATAGGATTTATAAAAAAAAAATATGGATTTTAACAATATGACGAATTTTTGTTTTGTATAATTTCTTCTTACAAGATGATACACTCAGTATCACGATGTATTAACTATTTAAAATTTTACGTATCTATTGTCTTAGGAAAAATTAGATGCTTATTTATCATTGTGCTTATCTTTTAACCTGCATGTGTTTTTTTTTTCGTTAGGGTTTTTTTCAACAACAGATATACGAAATAAGGAGATTGGGATAGTATATGTATATCTGCAGCATGCAAAGAGCACACGATATTTAGCATGTATAAAAAATTATAAAAAAAATATTTCATAGCACAGGAATATATTAGAGTGATGGATTTTCTGGAGGTGATATTTTGCAAAATATCTATGCCTGGCATGCTGCTAAACCTAATTTGAAATATCAAATGTGTATAATAGGACACGATCAAACCATTTTTATAGATCAATTCTATAAAGGTTATTGTCCTTGCATACCATTGAATATATAAATATTTTTCTATCTTATTTTGAAGTACCATTAGTGTTAGGTAGGATACACCAATTTGAACTTTGGTTCTTTGGGAACATTTATTAAAATTTGACTTCCTAATTCTTGGGGAAACAGAAATAATTAAAAAACAAAAGTTCTTTTTTTTCTCTTCACATAAGCTTTTAGTTCCACAACAAAAAAAGATTTGTTCAAAGTTCTAAAGTGACTTTTTTTTTTTTTTTTTACATGTAACAAAAACCCAAAGAACTAAAAATTGATTTGGTTTGGCCTTACTAGTATTTGAGTAGCTAGAGAATTGAAATAATTGAAATCTATGCCTATTTACTTCCATTGCCTTGTTGCCAGTAAATCTCATAACATGTTATATTTCATGATATTAAACACATTGAAATTATATTCATCTCACTGAATACATATACACAAGTTAGGGTCCAATTATTGTGTCACAGAAATGAACAACAAAAACAAATGAAATTAATTAATTAGCTTATGTAATTGTGTTTTATTATGTTTGCTGGACAACAACTTGTATTAAACATTTATTGATGGGGGTTTATTTAAATATATTCAGACAGGGTTTAGTTGACTGACATGATATAATTTAATATGGTTCAATCGCTCATTATATTATAGAACTGTATAGATCAAACATTTTTAATTAAAATCATAAAAAATGATTGTTGGTATTAAGGGTGTTGAGCAGTCTAAAATGCACATTTTAAAGCTAGCACTGTAATTTTTGTTGATAAGAGATGACATTTTTTTGTTATTTGGGGTGATAAACTATATGTTAATCACCCAAAAATACCAATTTTATTTTCCAACTATGTTCCAAACTTGGCTCAAAAACAGTAGATTGAAAGTCGAGGTTATAGTCAACACCCACAACGTAAAATATCAACTCGAAAAGTATTTTAAAAATTTTGTTGAAGGTTTTGTGATTTTGGGTTAATTCTTTGAATACATCCACAACAAGTTTTAAATAAAACAATTGCGATGTAAAAGTAAATAATTACTTCAGTGCACTACCCCGCTCTACTCAAAACCATGTTATGCATTAATAAAATAGTAATCTTTGATGTAAAGGGTGTGTACAAGGTCATAATTTATTCAAGAACTAGTCTAGGTCGGGGAAACCTTCTTGTTTGCTATAGATAGTTATTTTCTTTCCGCTTGTATCTCCATTACACGGTCGGACTGTAATGTGTCCTCTGGGTTATTTTACACATGGAACAAGTGTGTAAAGTCTTAATAAGATTGGTGTTGAAAAGTTAGTGCGTATCTTGGACTACTTAACGCCCTTAAATTCAGTAGATATTTTTATATACATCTGATAGAAACTCCATTTCTCGTAATTACAACTTGTTCATTTTTCAAACATGGTTACAGTTATTAGGGTGCTTTGACAGGCGCTACTTGTTCGGCATTACAATATATTTGAAATTGAATGCAGATTTCTATCTTATTAAAAATCCAGGGTATAAACAGAGAAACTAACAAGTTTATACATTCATGATAAGTCTGGATCTGACTGAAAATTATTTCTATGGGATTATCTAATTATTAAGTACAATGTCATATATAATAAGGTAACAGTAAATTGGTCTAGGTATTGTTCATGCAGGGTTGGAGTTATCTCATTATTATCATGCAATTTGATAGTGACTAGTTGATATTTTTGTAATTATAAATTTACCAATATACAGGGAGTACAAACTTGTTTGTGAACTATACTGATTCAGTTAGGTTCTATCAACAATTCCAAGTTTTCACTATTTAAAAAGAATAAGCCCTGCTCCCCTTCAAGTCTCTGTTAGTGAAACATTGATGTATTAAGTCAGTGTTTATCATTTTGTAGGATTTGTTCATACTTTAATAACTGTGTATATATCTATTACATTTGAAATGAATTTATTCATGTCTATCTGGCCAATAAATATTTAATGAAAAAATTCAAAATGTTGGTTAATTTTTCTGTTGTATTTTTTGGGCAGGGTTTGAGGTATATACCGGCTTTTAGTGGTCAGGGGGGTCACGTGGGTAAGACGCTGGCTCGCTAGCCTGGAGGTCGGGTGTTCGATCCCTGCATTGGCCGAGAAAGTTCATCCCGATTTTCCGGCGTGGTTTCCCCTTGTCAGTGATGCAGGACTGAGGGCCTGACAAGGACAGCTGTCTAGTCTTTCGGATGATCCGAAAAACCGAGGTCCCGTGTATTCTTTGGAATGCACGTAAAAGATCCCTTGGCAGTTGGAATTTGATATAAGAGTAAGTGATAGTGCCGCTGACGGGGCAAAATTTCCCTCATAGCCCACTGTATGGTGTATGCCCGTCTTCATTAGCCCAGTATAGGAGCAGAACAGTAGGACGTTTAACCCCATTTCATTTCATTTCATTTTTAGTGGTCAAATATTTCTGGTGAGAGCACTATGCTGGGCAGTTCTACTCAGATATATTTTGTCCCCTGAAGATAGCAGGGGACTATTAATATAAGTTTGCCCGTCAACATATCAATCAAGATATTTGGCATCACTAGGCTCAAAACCCACCGATAGTTGAGGATCTCACCTTTACTCGAATCAAATGTCCATGTGGGTGGGCAGATTGCAACCACGTCACACCTACTGATCAAGGGTAATTGACTAAAGATTGACCTGTAGACAAACTGTGAAAGACAAACTACCAGAAATGGTAAATCCTTCTATTGATTGCTTAGTATTGAAATGTCAGATTTCCTGCTTTGGTCAAACTGATGAATAACACAAAAAGGTTTCTTTCTGCGTAGATCCAGATTAATTTGATGCACATGTTCCCATTCAGCTAAAGTTGAGAATGCAAAAGTGATTTGTGTGGACATGTAACCTTTGTCCACAGATGAACCAGTGGACATATTGCCACTTCAAAATTCACCGATTAACGTCCATTCTGACTAGGATCCCTCGATCCAACAACTTATTCCAGAATCAGTCACCGCGTTGGCTTTCAGGCGAGTTGGATATCCTATGGAAGCCAGTAACTTTGCATTTGTGTTAACTAGGTGCGAAGGCGAAAAGAAGCTGCAACAGATACTGAGATACAATGTAGTCCAAAGCTGGCTCCTTCGCGGAATTCCTCGCTATGAGTTAACTGCTTCAAGTTAACAAGGCTTTGCTTTGTTGATGGCAAAAATGATTATCAGCCGTCCGAGGAATGCCACCCTGGTCGTCTCTTCTCTGAAAAGCCTAGCTCACAACCCGTCGTACAGATCGCAGACTGGCCGTAGAGACTATTGGTCTTGCACATTTTCACCCGGTTTCTTGTGACTGGTCTGCGAGTTACCAACTGGTAACTGGTTAGAACGTATCTTTAAATGTCACTCTGACATTGTGATTGAAATGAAATGGGGTTTAACGTTCACTGTTCTGCTCCTATACTGGGCTAATGAAGACGGGCATACGCCATACAGTGTGCTGTGAGGGAAATTTTGCCCGGGCAGCGGCACTATCGCCTACTCATATATATCGAATTCCAACTGCCAAGGGATCTTTTACGTGCATCCCAATCTATACACGGGACCTTGGTTTTCCGTCTCATCCGAAGGACGACAGCTGTCCTTGTCAGGTCCTCCATCCTGCATCGTAAGACTGATTCACAAGTTCTGAGGATGAACCCTCTTGTAGTTGAGAATCCCACATCAATTATGTAACTAAATTTCAGATATCTTGTGTTCAAATATTGATTAGTTTATTGAAATACAGGGTTGCATGTCAATTATTTGCAGTGTTTCCGCCTCCGTTTTTGCCCTCTTCTTATTGAGATTGGCGGGGATCACCGTGGCTGAGTGGGTAGGACGCTTGCTCGCTAGCCTGGAGGTCGGGTGTTCGATTCCTGCACTTGCAGAGAAAGTTTTCCCAGGTTTTCCGACGTGATCCAACTTGTGAGTGATACAGGACGGAGGTCCCGTGCACGTAAAAGATCCCTTGACAGTTGGAATTCGATATAAGAGTAGGCCGTAGTGCCCCTGTACGGGCAAACTTTCCCTCATAGCACACTGTATGGCGTATGCCCGTCTTCATTAGCCCAGTTCGGAGCAAAAAAGTAGGATGTTAAACCCAATTTCATTTCATTTATTGAGATTGTCCAGTATTAAAATTTAATTCAGACAGAAAAAACCGTCATTGACACGCGTATGATTTATTGTCTGGCAAAATATCACAACCTGAGAAGCAGAATTTCAGAACCATTTTTCCGTATTCATCAGATATAAAAATGAACTTTGTGGTATTACTACGAAGCGTTGCTGAAAAGTTCTAAGCCTATCTGTGAAAGACCCGTACAAAGTCGGTGGCAATGGTTTTGTAAGGCCTGCATGCCGGTTTAAGAAATTTTCTTCAGCCACTCTAATAAAGAAGGGCCGTAAGAGCCGACAGTCCACTACTTATAACACTATAGGGTTATTTAAGGTCTAAGAAAAATGTTCTGTTTAATATAGAAATCTTTACCTACATGATGTGTGACGAAAACTAGGGTAATAAAGTAGCTTGCATTATTCTGCTACTATCTTAGTCTAATTCACCGACAGTTATGTCAGTATCCATTTCTGGAAAGTAGGGTACTATCGTCCTGTCAACTCGTGCACGGATTAGGCCAGTTAAATAGAATAATGTTGACGTTAAACAGTGCCTATATGAAACACTTACCTACCCAAGAATGGTAATTGTCCCGCCCTAATAGATGACGCATTACATTTTTATATAGGAAAGAGCGGGTTTGATTTACCCTCAGACAATCCTTTGGAGCTCGGGAGATCACCATACCTATAGCCTACTCGGCTTGGAGGCTAGGGTGAACACATCATCCTAGCGCGAACATTATGTAGAACTATCAAGAATATTAAACTCAGACCGTGGATATTTTAATAACTCGAAATGTACTATCATAACTTTGTAGTTTGCTGTAAACTTAGTAACAACATAAACGGTGTTCAAGAGTCAGGTAATTGATGATTGAAATAATTGATCCCACAACGTGAAGTCCAAACAAGGCCTAGATGATAAGTCACAATCAGTCCCCGTAGTGCCACACTCGTTTATTTGGTGCCGATGACTTAAGGATGTCGACGCTGGAGGAAATCCTTGCAAGAAGAAGTTTCCAGTCGTTTTTTAGGTAGGTACATATTTCCTAATAAACTGACCATGAAAAGCGAAAAAGACCAAGGGGTAGATTTAACATATTTTAAAGGTTAGGGATTTGCTAAATATAAAGTTTTAAAAAGAATGTCAAACTAGTAAAATAATTAAGTTAAGGAAATAAGGGAAAAAAGTAAAGTTTTTTTTAAAAAAAAACCTAAAAAAAAAAAAAACTAAAAAAAAAACGAACGCAAGGCTATTATAATATGTAGCAGTGTGGAGAGTATGCGGCGCACGTTGGATGTGGGGGGTTTTGCGGAGGGATTTCTACATCTAACCAGCGACTCATAGAACTGCATAGTGCTATATAGTAGATACGATACAAATAAATAAGGGTGGTTTAAACATAGGTTATTTGTTTATTAACGTAGGGAAAAATCGACAAGAAAACAAATTGATACAAAAGATTTCTAAAATTGAAACAGTAAAGCTAGGAAAATAAAATAAATGATTGTCTCCGATCTTGGTAGAAAGATCGTAATCACACCGTTTCGAAAAGTCTTTGGGAGATTGAAGACGTGTTTTTGTAAATGAATGTAATGTTCTGTTCAAGTAATGTATTTTATGTGTTTAACCAGGTATGGTTAAGGTATGGACCTGTGTAAAATCGCGTTAAATGCGTTTAGGTTCAGGGCAAAGGCAAATGCCCAAGGTAAATTTAGAACTGAATGGCCTTTTTAAATTCGCGAGTTGCGTGTGGGTCGGTATTAGGTTTTAAATAAATGATTTAAAATGAAACAGCGCACCTTGCAATATAGCGGTTAGCTTAGATTATGCAATGGTTTAAACTGTTTCTGGATTTTTCGTGTTGTGTTGTTAAAAATGTAAACAGGAGATAATAAGTTCAAAGTATGTGTTAAAAGCGGGAAAACATGCCATGGTAAAATGGGTAATTTAAATTTGGATTCGAATGTGCGGTTAGCTGTCGAATAAATTTTGAATTCCCCGATATGTCATGCGTAGTGTATACGTAAAACCATACTTAAAAGAGACTTTTGGCAAGGGGAATTTTCCCATCCGTATCACGTATCCATATCGTATACGTGATACGTTGCGCTAATGTAGTTTTAGAGTTTTGGCAGATTTTCGCGTCGCGTACTTATGCGTCGCTGAGCTAAGCTTAGTTCTATTACAGAATCACCACCAGTACTAGTCAAGTGCCTGGCCTACAATTACCCGGAGGGAGAGAAGTCGTTCGACAGTCGCTGGGCTATTAAAAAATATGTAATGTCGAATCTTATTAAAAATCTTCCACTTCGATTCGACAGCAATTTCTGGTTTCACTAATGTATCATTTCAGAAAGTTTGTACCCCTTTACCATAGAACAAAATCATTTACAGATTTGCAAAGTCCCACCTCCCTAAATTTAGCACGTAGTTCAACCAGCATGCAGACAGACAGGAAAAGTATGAAAATTCCGAGAAAAACCCATAAAAATAAATGACGAAATTCCAGTCGTTATCGTGGTTAAAATCACATCAAATATACACCTTCATGTTCTGGGATAGCCTACACATAGATTCATAAAAACGCTATAAAACAACATTTCAGCTTCTAAAAGTAGCAAAAAGACGGTAAAAAAGACGACAATGTTATACGGACCTTTTCCGTATGAAAGCCGATCGATACGTGCTGTCGTATCCGTGTGCCGTATCACGTATGAGAAATACACACACATTGATGACGTCACACGCGAAATCTATACGGATACGCGATACGGGCCAAACGTTACGTCTCTAAGTCAAGTCAAGAACTTATTTGTAAATTGTTATTTGTTATATGTGTTAAACGTA